AAAAAAAAAAAAAAAAAAAAAAAGGAAAAGGAAAAGGGAAAAAAAAGAAAGAAAAGCCCAGAGGCTAAGAAGGAGGCGACTCCGACGAAAAAAGAGCCAGTGGGTTCGAGAAGGACAAGAGCCGTTGAGATGATTTCTCCTCCTTGTAGTTAGTAGGAGCAGGAGTAGGTAGGTCACTGGTAGTCAGAGGGCTAGTAGGGTAGCTACGGTCTAATAGGTAAAAGCACTTGTAGATGATTAAACGGTCTCCACTCCCCGGGTGCTATACTTAAATGGAAGGGCTTCACTGGCGGTCAAAATGAGTCCCGTCCCAGACCGTTCGAGCCCGTTTCATTCCTAAACAGAAGGACGGATTGGATGGAGGGCGAAATTGACTTGTGTACGTTCCAGGGATGGGCAGCTGGGCTAACTAAGGTAGTGGTCGAGCAGAGGTTCCTGACTGACTGACTGGGGCTGAAGAGCGAGGGAAATTAAAAAAAAAAAAAGAGGACAAAAAAAAAGAAGCATCGTTCTTCTGCATGGTTGACTGACTACCCCCGTCGCAGCATCATCGTCCATCGGCCGGCTAGTGGTTTAGATCTCAGTCTCATCTCTACAGTAGGAAACAAGAGGGGGGGGGGAGAGGGGTATTATTGGAAGCGAAATCTTTTTTTTTTTCCATAATAATATAAGGAGAGGGAAATAAAATAATAAAAATAAAAAAAAGAAACAAAAAAAGTCCAAGCCACTGAGCAACCGGGATCCCCGGTATAGGATCCGACAGTTGATGTATTAGATACTGTATTCTTGTATTCTGAATATTTATTATTTATTAGATTATCGTTTCTTGATTCTTCATCTTTCATATACACTGATTGACCTGACTGGAATAAAAGAACATGGTTCCTTCCGGTGGGAGATAGCACCATCCGTGGCCTGGATGCGAAATGGCCTTGCGAACTTCTTCCAACCACAATAATCAGGATGTGTCACGGCGACGGCGTCAGAGTCCCAAGGCGTGTGTCTAATCGACTCTAATTCTTCTTCGGTTGGACGGAGAAGGTCCAGAAATTCAGTACGATTATGATAATAATAACAAGTCTCATTATTACTAGGGATTGTGCTAGTTGCATATTATTCAGAGCTCCGTCAGCCTTTTCCTTTTCGCTCCTCCTATCTCCAGTTACCCCCTCCAACTCCAACGGCTTTTTGGCTTCCTCTTTCACCCCCCTCTCCTCCTCTCCTCTCCTTTAGCCTCCAGCTGATCCAGGCCATCGCGATGAATCTGTCAACGCCTCAACGGCCAACGAACTCCAATCTATCCTGGAAGGGCAAGTATCGACCCAGGTAATGTCGCTAGGCAGGACACTACTAGGATCCGGGGTGTTTTAGTAGCTGCTCGCCTCACCCAACCTTCTGCACCTCATCATCTCATTTCTACCGGCCTTATCGGGACTAGCAGGAGTAGTAAGGTAGTTAGCAGCTAAGGTACGTACTACGGAGTATTATTGTGTCTTCTGTACGACCATACTATTGTATTGCATTAATGACTTTCCCTGCTTGCTACGGAATGGTTTGCAGGGTACAGAGTACGGAGTACAAACCACTGTGCTATCGGGGGTTTATTTATTTGCTTTTCTCTCTCTCTCTCTCTTTCCTTATTTTTTATTTTATTTTATTTATTTATTTATTTTTTTCCCTCCCGCTTCCTCTTGATTCAGATGATCTGAAAATTGATGGCGACGATTATTGTTATCTATCTCAAGTGCCGATGAACAATGCATAAGTCGTGGTCAATCAGGTCTCGCCGGGGCTTCAAATCGCCTCTTGCCGCGCTGCCTGGTTTGGATGGTGGATCAGTTCCCGGAGTCCCAAGCCTGGAAGTGGGCTTTTTGTTCCTTAAAGGCTGAGAAGCACTCCATCAGGCTTAAGTGAAGTTTTTGTTTGTCTCTTTTCTTTTCTTTTCTTCTTTTTTATTGATCTGTTATGGTCCAAGGTACACTGCATTCCAACACAAACAGAATATAGTAAGTTCATAAAGGGTTTGTATACTCTAGTAGAGCAAATATTGCAGCATCGGCTCTTACAGCATAGATCTTAATCTTTTTCTATGTCCCAAACATGCATCAAGCCACCTCAATGGACTTATTTGTACCATGGGTCCAGGTCAACCAATCAGTAGGGATTGAAAACCTCTCGTTTGATCTTCTTGATAATTTTATTTCAGCTGCTGTTGTTCGGCCTATTTTGCAACGGTTTCTTCTTCTTCTTTTTTTTTTTTTTCAAATTATTACTGCATGGCCAGACCTCGCAACCCGGGTCTTGACAGTCCCTGGTTAAATTGGGGTCCGTTGATCTGTCGGACATGGAACCACAATGCAGTACAAACCCCCGAATCCAGACTCTTTGGGTGGTCATTGCCGCCAAAGACGCGTCTCACGCTTACTTTGCGCTTGCTAAAAGTAGGTTTCGCCTCGTAATAAAATAATAACCAAAAATAAATGAAAATATGTAAAAGAAAATAAATAATCATTGACATTGTGAGGTTTGGCTCTTCCAGATTCCATCCTTGGTACTGGGACAGCTGGAACTTTGGGGCGTGGCGTGGCTCCGTGCAATATATCCATACGATCACAGCATAATGGTATTAGTATATTGATGCAAGTTCCCCTGTGCAGCCTGAAAGATGTCCATATGTTATTATTATTCTATAATCTGTAGATACAGACACAGGTACAGAATAGTTTGTCTTCGAACGACGGGGCAACGGACAAGGGGTTCCCGCCAGCTGCAAGATTACCTAGGACCAGTGGGGCCAACGGTGGCTTGCTTTAAAGTATTGTTCCGACAGAGGCGGTAGGTAGAGGAGACACTGGACCCAGGGACAACGAAGAAGCCAATCAGCACTGCGCAGCCTCGGGGTTGACAGCCCAAGTGGAGCCGCCAGAAGGGCCAGGGTCAGTCCACTCGCATCATTCAGGTGCTCTGGATGACATGGCAAACACCGGGAATAAAAGTGCGAGGGGAGATGCCTTAGTGCCAAGGCTAGGATGGCATTATGATTCCTGTCAACTCTCGCTAGAGTCGCTACCAAGTTCCCTAGGTTAGGGTCGGTCATTTACTTCCAACAAAGATGCTTGTTTCGGCAGAACATGATTGGGAACCAAACACCTCTATCCATGGGAGATAAATTAATACCATACAGTAATTAATATATTCTCATCTGTCGCAGTTCGTCCGAGTTGCCCTTGGACAAAGAACCGGGACAAACGAGTTTTTGTCTTGGGTGACGCAAGTGGTCGGGTCACCGCCAGATAGATCCAAAAGCACAGTTGCTGTGTCAATAAATCCATCGTAGTACAGAGTACGGAATAATCTATGGGTAGTAAAATTATATTATTACTCCGTATTATTATTATTATTATTATTATTATTATTATTATTATGCTGATCTGACTCTTGCCCAGTCGAGCAAAGATTGCAATGAGGACTCTTAAATTGGACATACGAGTCATCATTCCTCTGCCAAAGTGGCGGTGGGCGGTTACGACTTGCCGTGGGCCTAGAACATGTGTTCCTCCCGCAGATGATCGCTGGTGAAAAAACCGTTGAGGTGCCCTGCTGGGTGTTAACTGCAAAGAGTAACAATCGAGCATTTGCACTTGGCTTTTGCAGGGTATACAGATCAAGTGACTTGGCCGAGTCGGCTCCGTCGCATGACACTCGGACGTGGCCATTCTTTTTTCCTCTGCCTACTCCGTATTATTTTGCCTGCTTAGCAAACAGCATCTGCAAAGCATATGGAATGTGACAGCGGAAGTGCCTAATGAGTGGCTGCCTGGCTGTCCTGACTGGTCTTTTATGATATTCACATTCATCTAGAATACGGAGTACTGTTGAGATATGGTGTCATACAGATGGATCAGTCATAGATAGTCGAACCTTGTCAACTGTCGTACATGGACTGCACAGATGAAGCCACTGACCTCTAGTTACTACCTTACACCCTCCATCTATCTTAGGTTGAGTGCATTAGCCTGAAAGGCGACACCAAGGGCCCTGGGGATAGGCCATACTATTGGACGCCAGCGAGTGGGGCGGTCTGCACGGGGGGAGGGGCGTTGCTCTATCTATTCCTGGCACACCAAATGATCGTCACAGAAAAATGTCCGACAAACTCCACTTGCGGTTCCATTTTTATTGTCTGTGTCCTGTGAGACTCAGTCGTCATTTCAACTGCCGAGGGTTACCATGTGTTGGTACTTTATTTCTGAGTTTGAGTATGCTGATACAAGTGCTTGGTACCTACTAGATACGTATATCCGGTCAATGAGGTCTGCAAATCGTCCAACTACAGCGGGACAGACCGTATATATGTATGTAGTAGTAGGCGGATCCCTTCATTTCGTGGCAAAGCTGAAAGTGGCACTGGGCCTTGTGGCTATGTAGGAAAAAAAACGGTCGACATTCGCCGTTGCCCAACAACAGTGGATCTTCGGGTTTAACTAGACTCGGTACTACTGTCGACTACTAAGGGTACGTACGTATGTTGTCGTTGGACTTGGAGAAGCTTAGAGGAGCTGCGATGGAGACCGACCGCGAATGCATCCATTCATTCTTCTTGCCTCCCAAAACCCGAGATGAGCACGCTGCTGTCAGCCTGTCACCTTCCCAAGACAGAATTAGCAGATCCAGAATTAAAGGGAAAAAAAATGATTGATTGATTGCATTATTCTCCTAGTTGTACTACCTTATATCCCGAATTCTGCATGACTCCCCCCCTGGGCATTCCAGGATGATGGTGGATCGAGAGCCGATCGCCCTAAACCCAACCGACTCGATCATGTACACTGCACCTGTCATGAAGAACACCATATTCCCCCGATGTCATATATTATTATCTCGTCGACGACTGGATAATTAATATCCATCTGCGATCATCCCAATTAAAGTGCATGCCTTCATTTCCCAGTTGCTGGCTGACTCGTCGATTCGACTAAGAATAGATTGCTTCATCTACAATCAAGCCCGATGATAGCACATGTCGATTATCTCCTGCATGTCCATCACAATAATAATCATAATCACATCCTGCTTCCTTTCCCCTCGTGCTACAGGCTGACATGACAGCCTCGTTCCCTACAGTAAATTCTCATTTTCACTCTCCACTGCAGGGTATATCAATCATTCCATCAAACAAAACATATTAGCCAATCAGAATGCTCCGCCGGAAATGAAGTGATGTATATTGAAAAAAAAAAAAAAAAAAAAAAAAAAAGGGCGTAAATTAGGCCCACTCCACACCCTGACATGGTGAAACAAGACCTCGAGCTGTGGGGAAACAGAACGAGGGAAATCCCGACGCTGGATGGGGGAGGGATGCCATTCCGTGGAGAACAACAAGCCTAGCAGGCTTAGCATAAGGCCTAGCGGACGGGCAATCAATGGCAAAAGTGGGCGAACCATGACCAGAGCCGTTGAGGAGAACCGGTTCATGAAGACTTGGGAGTCTTGAGGGATGATGGGTTTTTTAGGATTCTGGACTATTGATTGTTAATTTATCTTGAAGGTACTGACTCGTGGATGACCATCATTTCATTATGATTATGATTATTATTACTACTACCGTCAGTCATAGGATATCTATCACCTCCTCCCTAGTCAGCTCGGTGCTAGAAGTGAGGTATCAATAGTCACCCCAGCACAGACAGTCGCACCAACCAATAACCCAGCGGTTGGAGATACTCTGCCTGTCCCCGATAGGTCAATCAATGGCCTGCGATGATTCCGCTTCCACCTTAATTTCCTCGAAACTTCCCGTGTTGGACCAATTCCTGCCTTCGACTCGGCGTGTATCATCACGGTCTGGACCATCTCGACTACTCGCCCTTCTCCACCGGATGCGTTCCGGGCTGTTGTTGGCGTTGGAGACGAAAACCTGCTTTGCGGTGTATGGATGTGGTGCGATCCTACAGTTTATCCGCATCAACTGGATGTATTCACCATTTTTTTTGGATAGAGGGCTTTGTGCATATTCCAGGCGATGTGTGGTATTATGACTCATGAGTTGTTCGCTTGGATGTGGTCGTCGGTGGTTCAGTAGGACGACACTGTCAACTCCCAGTTTAGGGCACTTTAACCATTGTAACATCAGTAGCTGTAGCCTGTTCTTCTTGATGGTCTCCAATCAGACCTTATGGCATTCAAGCTCGGCCATATCGACAGTGTTGACCTGCCTTATCGCTGTCGAGGTCGACTGGCGGGTCGTATGACCATACATACTATCCAACAATGTCAACGGTGCAAAGAACATCAAAATAGAAACAAGACTCATCTTTGTTATTCTTATTTTTCATTCATAATTTTCAAGTCAACAAAGTCTTGACAAAGATATCCAGACATCGCAGCCATTCTTTGTTTCGAGAATCATCAAAGAACTCCGCTATCATCAACCTGCAACAGCAGTTCATCCAATCCAGTCCATCAAGTCCAGCTGGTGCGGTTAGTCCGGCTGGCACACCTGGTGCTGCTAGTACTACTAGTACTGTCTTTATCTAAAATGTCACTAACAGCCTTGTTCTCCTTCTCTCCTCCCCGAACCTGATACATGCCTCTATTCAGATTAAAACTCACAAAGCATTCTATCAACAAAGAATACCACCCTTTAGGTCGCATTTATTTTGCTATTTTTGTCAATATTCATTAATTCTCTCTGCATTATCGAATGCCACAATTCTAACCATCTCTACAATGATAAATCATCTTGAACAATGACAGGGTCTCATCTCTATCACACTGCAAAATGGAGATCTCAATGATAAATACACCCATTTCCCCTTGCAGCTTGATCAATCTGATTATAATGACAGAATGGACGCACAGATTGTTTCCTATAGCCGTTTTATATATTCTTCTTTTTTAGGAGCCTTTTCTATCAACGCCTGGACATATCTATACAACTTCAGCTATACCCAAGAGAAGCCCAAAGAAACTACAATGAGCCCTCCGGTCAACACGAAACAAGACACCCCTCGGGCAAGAGTAAGTTATCTCTATGATGGAGAAATTCTCTAATGTCAGAAATATCTCACTAACGCTCCGTGAAATAACAGGCTTCGATTTCGCCGGCGTGGACCACCAACTATACTCAATACGATCCTTTCTCGGCCACCAGGCATGGGTTCAACAACCCTCAATCACTATGTTACCGAAACTCTGCGCTTGTGACGTACTTACATACTCCTGCCTTGCTGAACTGGTTTCAATATCACTCTTTACACCATGATTGTGGGCAAAAGCTTCGGTGTCCACTTTTTGCGTTTCAGAATCTGATCGTGTCTTACTGGTTTGGGAATAATCCGCAACATGAGATTTGTCTCGACCATTTCTGGAACATTCTACTGGAGACAACATGGAACCCTGCTGTTAGAAAAATCGATATTTATCATGATCACCAGGATGTGCTCGAATTTATGGAAGCGTTTATCGCGCTATTCTACGATCACCTCAGCCTCGACGAGTGAGTACTCGCTTTTCTCCAATGCCAACGCCGAATACTGACTCAGAGTCTTTTCTTAATAGACACACAGAATTAGACTGCATTTTCAAAACTACAACCAACAAATATTATGCGTGCAAAAATTGCTCACATACAGAGCCACTATCACAGGATACCTGTACCTTTCTCACTGGCAGATTTCCAAGCGGGGCTCCCAACCAGACCACCACAATAGAAGACGCGATCATCGAAGGCTTCCAAGATTCTACTATTTCTGACGGTTCTAGGAAATGCCCTCGATGCAAAGATGGTTCCCTTTCATTGCGTGATCGAATCAAGGATCTACCTGAGATCCTTTTCGTCCAAATCAACCGACAAGATCTGTTCGGTGAAAAGCTGAAATATCCCATATTTTACGAAGAAGAATTGATAATCCCTGATCAGATCCGAGGGCATGATCTCAATGACGTCGGAAAGATTTGGTACGAGCTCTATGCAATTAATCTTCACGTTGGCGACGAGATCACAAAAGGACACTATACCTGTGCAGTCAAGGGTCCAAATGGAAAGTGGACTAGATTGGATGATAATCGTAAGCTGGAAGAACTGACATTCTCGCAGCTGCAATCGTATAAACACTCCGAAGAGTCTTATATATTTGCCTATCGAAGACTGCCTCTGCAAGGTGATTTCAAGGTGGGCGTGAAGGAACTGGCATCTACGCCCGCCGTCTGTGACATGAACCCTGTTGATTCCAACCCTTCAGATTCACAAAGCTTACAGCCAGACTCGCAAAACTCACAGCCAGATTTCCAAGCCTCACAATCAGACTCAGACAGTTCCCAGTCTGATGGAGGGGTGAGGCTGGAAGAAATCATCGAGCTCGACGGCCGCAACATTGATTGGACCGTCAACCATGATCTGCATCTCGATAAAGGCATTCTTTTATCTCAGTTTAAGCCCCGCACAAAGACCCAACGTGCGAATATACGGCTTGTTTTGACCTCCAAGGAAACCGGTGAAATCCTCGAAGGAGAGGGCTATATCTCGTTGAAACTGAGAGGAACCCAAACAAAGCCCCGGGCTAAAACTCCTACGGTGGCAAAGACACCATCGAGTACCAATCCGAACACAGCATCAGGTAAAGAAGTGAAGCCCCGGGGTATTACCAAGAGAGCACCAAAGAAAGCACGCACGAAGAAAACGATCAGCCCTTCGCCTCCATATGTCCAACCGGGGGTACGAAGATCGAATCGAAATCGCACGAAGAAATGAGATTATGGTTCAAACATGATTTGGTTAAGTATAGACTAGACTTTGTATAACAGAACCCTATATACTGAGGGGTTGATATGTTCTTGTTGTCTTGTACAGTTTTTGGTTTATTTCAAATATTGACATTGTTAATGTTAATGTATATATTGGAATTTAGAATATAGAATATCATTTCGATGCTCGTGATTTAGAAATTGATAACTCACCAAATAGCTAGTCTCCCTGCTTGACAAACGGTCCTCCTGCCTCTTCAACGCCTTTCGTGCTCTTCCCCTCCTCACCTTTAGCTCTTGCTCTTCTTCAAGCATCCACCCGACAGCCGCCAAAATCCTCGTTGTCCTCTGGCACTTTTCTTCTTTTCACCATCATAAGTTTCACCAAAACAAGACATCAGAAAGGATTTTTCCGAATATTCTACAGAGGTCTCCAATTAGAGCCCTAACTCCAACCTCAAACACACAGGGGAATATCAAGACTCATCCTACAAAACGGATATTCCAAGTACCTCTCTTCCATGTGGAAGATGAAATCGTTCTCGCACTCCAAGTTGGTGTCCAGAGAGATACAAGGTAGGCAACAGCCCTTTGGGGTATCTTCTGTTTCAGTAATATCCAAAAAGGTCCACTGCTAAAGCACAAACAGATAAATTCAGACGGCTGTCCTTTCTCAATACTGAAACAAACCATGTGACTCTTGCTGGCTCCCGTGGAGAATTGGGTCGCCTATCTGATGGGCTAGTTTATCGTGGCTTATCGAAAATCTTCGCCTGTCAGCCCGTTCTAGTCGACTGTTCAGATCGAATCAGTCGATAATTTCATATGATTTTGTGGAGTTTGTACCCAGGCGTTGATATCCCCTGCTGAATGGCAGGATGGATGCAAACGATTTTCCAATTACTGTATAAAATAGACGATCAGGGTCTTGGACTTTTACTCGATTCAACATATATATTGGAAAATATCAAAGACCTCACAAAGTGAGGAATCCGTAACGGTCAATATGGTTGAGCCAGCCTTTTCATTATTATCTTTTAATATTCTCACAGTCTTGAATGGCTCCCCCCACTCTATATTATGATATAAAAAACTCCGTTGACTCGATACTTATTGACATGTGCTGTATATCGATGCACGTTAAGCTAAAGCATTTCCTCTCCACCGTGGACCTTGTCTCCACTTCCCCTTCTGACCTGATGCATTCATTCACCAACCCACCAGGCATCTCATAACAAGATGGACCCTTCAAATGGTTTACAGCAGAATATACCTACCATTATACAATTTATTGACAGATTAATCACCCGGCTTTCTGCATGCAAACCTTATCCCAACGTTGAAATTCAACCATCCACGCAGCATCAACCAACTCAACGACAAAATCCATTTTCTGCTTTACCAGCCGCAGAACTGGCAAAAGTGAAGCCATTGATGCTAACACTTCACTGCCTCTTCCCGAATGAGTTGCTCCTTGCTCTTGATATATTGGATCGTGGGCTAGTAAGACGTTTTGTGACGGGCGATGCCATCGACAACCCTACAGCAGATTTACATAATCGGGAAATACCAATCTATACCACAGATCCAGTCGAAGACATATTCATTGTTCTCTCCGCCTCTGCAGTGACTGAAGACAAAGGCTACGAAGTCCGTCTTCAAGCTTGGAATTGCACCTGTCCAACCTTCACCCTCTCTGCATTCCGGGATTCAGAGTCCCCAACATCCGAGAATGCTAGTCCAACTTCGACTGCTAATGAAACAAATCTGGTTGATCCACCCAAAGACCAGGGCGGTAATTGTCAATATCAATTCGGTGGAACATTGACTCGGGGATCAGCCGGACTGTCACCCCCGGTGTGTAAACATATTCTCGCTAGTATCCTGACAGCGCGCTGCCCGGCGTTATTTGGACGGGGAGCAGAAGATATCAAATCTGTCAGCGCGAGGGAATTGGCCGGCTGGTGTGCTGGCTGGGGTGGATGATTCGATATGACCTCTGAACAAACCCGACAGCACTTGGGACAAGGCTATATCGAAAACGTGTTGATACCAATGTCATCATTTCGGAAAAGTGAGTTTGCTTCTTAATACGACTCAATCTTCCAGATCACACTTTTCTATTGTGCGATACACCAAGCAGCATCGTTAGCCATACAGAAAGTGACTATGCGTCCGCTGGACTGGTTGTATGTATCGAGAGCTAACACTCAATATCCGGCAAATGCAGCTTTCGGCTGCCTGTCAGTGAGGACTACGGATGGGTATCCGGACTGAAGGCAGTCACGAATTCTTATAACCGGTTAGCATTTTCAATGCTGAGGATTTACGACCATGTGCAAGAGCCTAGGAGAATTGGAAGAACGATTACGCTTCCATTACTGAATCACTGGTCGGAGACTCGATTGTTCAATGTTGATATATCAAGAAGAAGAAGGAGAAAAAATAAATAGCATGCCCGTTATGCCGTCAATACGTGATAAACCTGGATTGTAGAGCTGTCCAACATATGACCAGCCAGAAATGAGGATCTATCTCGAGATTATCCGTAATATACATTTCGGTGCGGTGACTGACTTGCTCTTGGTTGTTTCGTATTAACTGAGAGCCGATCCGGCCACAGACAGAACCGTGAGATTGCCCACCGTTCTCTTTAACCCTTCTTCTTAGGCTTCTCCTTGGAACCTTCCTGTTCCTCCTTTTGTTCCCCATTTACAGTCCCGTTGTTCTTCTTCGCGGCTTCTTTATCAGCCTTAGCTGCGTTTGCCTCTTGTTCCTTCTTCGACTCATTCTCCTCTTGTTGCTGACGATTCTGGATCTTGTTCTCTATCAAGTCGTGGAATGCCGTGATTGCGCGAATTAAGCTACTCAAGTAGATGGCCATTAGTTGATCATTGGTCTTAATGCTCATCGCTCGGGCCAGGTCGCTGTTGTCGGACTGAGGATCCGTGGAACCGCTGATCCGTGGTGTCACTGCCGGAGTCGACAGGTTAGGAAGCAGGTTGAAGACATCCTGGAGATTGCCCAGAATGGTATGGTTAATGGGTAGCTCGTGATCGAGAACTTTCTGGAGGTATTGACCGATGTCGCGGAGTCGTAGATGCAAGCCCTGCAACGATTGCAGCTGCGAGGTTATGCGGGTGGAAAGAGTTCCGACGGCAACGTCCCTGATATCGCGGAGAAGATGTTCCACACCGATTTCCTCTGCTTCCTCGGCCTCGATTATAGACGGGGTATTAACGAAGGTCTTGGATGTTGTTGAACCATCCTGCGCATATGCGAGTGGTATCAGTCATCTTGTCCTTGATGTCATGCATATATATTGATGGGCATGGTAGAATAAACTCACATCCTTGATCTCATCAACGGCAAAATAGGCATCAGTAGGAACGCCAACCTCCTTAGGCTGCACATCGACAATGACCAGCAACGGGTTAGGTGTGTATCGTTTGAACAATTCATTGATCTCGAGATCGGAGGCCCGCAATTTGGGACCCGAGTGGTACCATCCGATTAGCTTCTCGCGAGCATTGATCTTCTTGAACATGTCTCTCATCGACTCGACGAAATTGTGATCTAAGAACCAAACAGATGGGTCTTTCTCATCCTCCTCGAATGGAACTAATAGAAACATATCATCAGTACAGTGGCTTAGAAAGCATAAGCAAGGAAAGCCTTATGAGACGCACCAGCAAAGCTGTTTGATACTCGGACGGTGCTACCCGTATTCTCTCCTAGAAGCACACCAACAACACGCTTCCGGGTTCCCTTGGCCGAACGCCCATAGTGATCTGCGACGGAAAGAAGAACTAACGGAGCGACAGTGACGGTCCGCGTAGAGAGGGAGATGGCATCCGCCGTTGTGGCAGGCATGGCGGAGTCGGAAGAATCTATGTAAAGTGTTTAGGAAGCAATATGTCAGAAGAAGAGATGGTAGGTGTATCCCAAGGGGTAAAATGAAGAAGCAAGACGAGGGGAAGATGGACAACAGTGATGACGATGAGGTTGGAGAGCTGTTGTTCTGCGCTGGAGCTCCCGCTTAGTTACCCAGGATGGCTGCGCTACGGTTGTGGCACAGCAGATGAGCACCAGCCACTACATGCCTGAGGCTTCATTACACCACGTGATTAATATGCTTGTTGACGGCAATTGACAGCAATTGTTGAATGCGCAGTGTTTACTCTATGCAACCATTCAATTCACTGAGGAATTCTATGTTAAATGTGTGCATAGGCTCTGTATCTGTATCTATAGTAATTCTAGCGTACAGCCGAATCTATACCACCCCATCCATGTAACCATCCTTGTACAATGTATTTCTTGCCATTAGTCCGGGCACTCTGCGAACCTCGGAGGCGCGGGCGCTAGGTATGGGACTTCTCCGCTCCGGTCGGACTTCTTTTCATCCCCAACTGGTTCGTGTTCTCGTTCCATTCCTCCCTTCTATTTTCTGCTTTGCTCCGCCTTACCGGTACATATCAATCTCTATTCCTCCTCAATTCCGGTCCTCACTCGAGACCTTTAAAACCTTCATCGGTCTATATCTCCACTCTTACAATTCACAATGGCTCCTATCACAGAAGAGGTTGTCCAGGGCCTGAAGGACACCATCGGAAAGCTCGAAAACCGTGTTGAGGAATTGGAAGGTCGCCTCACCAATGGATCGAGTTCCAAGCCCAAGTCTGTCGCTGAGCAGATGCGCATTATCCTGATGGGACCCCCCGGTGCCGGTATGAACTTGACGTTCTTCCCCGGACTGTGACCATAGCGAGAGTATACTGACCGTCTCTAAATAGGTAAGGGTACTCAGGCTCCTCAGATTAAGGACAAGTACTGTGTTTGCCACTTGGTAAGCAATCCAATGCCATAATATCGAACATTGGGGTCAGCAGCTAATATACCATCTTTCTCAATAGGCTACTGGAGATATGCTGCGCTCGCAGGTCGCCAAGAAGACTGATCTTGGAAAGGAGGCCAAGAAGATTATGGACCAGGGTGGCTTGGTCAGTGACGAAATCATGGTTAACATGATCAAGAGCGAGCTTGACAACAACGCTGAGTGCAAGAATGGGTTGGTTTACCTCTTGTGATCCGCCTGTTCGCGAAAAGACAAATACTGACAGTTGGCACTGGTAGTTTCATTCTGGATGGTTTCCCCCGTACTGTCCCTCAGGCCGAGCGTCTGGATGAGATGCTTGAAATCCGCAAGGCGAAGCTCCAGCATGCTGTCGAGCTCCAAATTGACGACTCCCTGTTGGTCGCAAGAATTACTGGACGTTTGATTCACCCAGCTTCTGGACGCTCGTACCACAAGATCTTCAACCCCCCTAAGGCCGACATGAAGGACGACGTTACCGGTGAACCCTTGGTCCAGCGATCCGACGACAATGCCGATGCCTTGAAGAAGCGTCTTGTGACATACCACGCCCAGACCGCACCTGTTGCCGACTACTACAAGAAGACTGGCATCTGGAGGGGTATTGATGCTAGCCAGGAGCCTGGCCAAGTGTGGAAGAGCCTTCTCGGTGTTTTCCACCCCAAGAACTAGAGGAAGCTTATCTCGAGAGAGCTAGACTCCCCTGCCGGGTTAAGTGGCCTACAACATAACAACTTATTCGGATATATCTGCATACAAGCGGAATAAGGCAAAGGAGTTATTTTCCACTTACCGGCAGAAAAAAAGAAAGAAAGAAAGGACACTTGGGACAAAGAAAATGAGAGCCAAACTCGACGGTGGTGTCTTGCTGAAACGCTCACCACTTTCCGTGTTAGTCGGATATTGATGAGTATAGAGCTGTGCTTTCGTCCGTGCATAGATATTTTCGGGCAGGAATCTCAGCACTATGTATAGTATGTTAATTTTCTGGAACTCAATTCAATATGTGTTACACGACTTTTACCCAGTATTACAACCAACTTACATGGTTATTGATATAAATCTACTACTTCCCAAGTCGATGAGATTCTAGAGGTTGGCTTTGGATTGAGTGACTATCCTATGCATTAATTGCTATCCGACGAATCAAGTGGTTTATGCCTCCAATTATTTCGATATGACAACTCTTTCTGTTTTTGAATGTATGGAATATGCAATTAACGGTTAATTGAGAGTGAATATGCCCTAGATACCATTAATGTTAATTACCTTGGTTTTCACAGCTGTAGGGGATAAACCGTGGACTCGATCTTCTCGGGGTATGTCAGGTTTCCTTGTCGCCTGACTTCATCCATGGTCTCCATAATGACAATGCTCTCCTCCCAGGGCAAAGTCTCGCTCTCGAGTTTTCCATCCCGTATACAACGAGCAACCTCGTCCGCCTCCCAGTACATGCCGTGCCCATTTCCAGGGAATGGGCACTCCACCTCTTCGACATCACCTTCGCCCTTCTTGGGGATGACTCTGTATTTCTCTGGCCGGAAGGCAGGGCCTATCACCTGGATTTCACCCTTTGTGCCTTGAATGCGGATTGAGGGCCCAGATGACCTTTCTTCATCTGGGTCTGTCGCAATTCGGAGATTTGTCATGGCCACGGCCTGGGACTGACCCGGATGGGGGCTGTTGGAGGGTGTGCTAGTCGGAAAACTTAAGAGGATTGTAGTGGCCTCATCTGCACCTGTGAGGTGGTAGAGAGATAGGTGCGCAGAGATTGCCGTGGGAGGTTTACGCTGGGCTCGAGGAAGAGTGTGATACAAGATCTGGAATACCCAGGTCAGAGAGTAGATGCCCACTGTGAGTACAAAGTTAGCACAGCAGAAACCGAGATCAGTTAGCCGGAAAAGGGACTTACGATCTAACAAGCAACCTCCAGCAAGATCCTTGTTCACCATCCGATGTTGTGTCCCCCATTTTTCTTCGACGTCATCTCCAAAGCTGTTGTCGGCTGTAACCCGCAACACTTCCCCAATCGCACCCTTCTGGATCAACTCTCTGACCTGTACACTGAGTGGGAAATACCGGGTCCAGACAGCCTCCATCAGGAACAAGTTCTTCTTCTTGGCTGTCTCACACAGGATCTTCGCTTGTGGCGCATTGACAGTGAATGCCTTTTCACAGAGAACATTCTTCCCAGCCTCAAGTGCCAGCATCGCGTTTTGGAAGTGGTGAGAGTGTGGGGTCGCGACGTACACCACATCAACATTGGCATCGGCCACGAGCTCTTCGTATGATCCATATGCAGCGCAGGGAGCCGGGACACCGAGATCAGCGAGGAACTTTTCAGCGCGGCTCTTGGACGACGACGAGGCAGCGGCCACGACAGTGTGGGTGACATCGCAAGCACCCCGGGCTTTGGAGTCAATCAAAAGGTCTCGTGTGAAAGCTACACCATGAGTTAAACAAGGGGTGTCAAGTACGATCCATTCGGTTTTATAAACGTACTCTCTGCGATTCCACCCGTGGCTATATGATTTTGATGATATGTTAGCTTCAGCACGTTCTGAAATGGTAGTAGTGCGGGGTGTTTTCATACCCATGATACCCCACCGTATGTTATGTGGCGCCATTGTGAATATTGTGAGTGAATGGAATTAGAAGTCGAGATACGGTAAAGACTTTTGACAGAAAGGTAACAGTGAACAGAAAATGAAGTAGAAAAGAGCCGTGAGGGGTAGATTGATTGATATGTAATCTTGCTCTACACGAGGCTTCTCATCTCCGGAGAAGCGCCGAGCGGGCATCGTGGAGCAAAGGCCGACGTCATTTGGAACCCATCGCACATACTAGCATTGACAAGGGCTACAGGATGATTAATGCAGAAAATCCAATTGTAAATGCCATGCTGTTTGTGCTTGATATTCTTTTATATACTACTATGCTGGACCGCTGTGATACATAACGCCAAAAAGAGAGGAGGGGTCTATCCTCCTAAATACCAAACAGCTGCCGGCTAAATGCACGCATTTCAGCTCAAAAAGAGATAAAACACCCCACATGCGAGAAAACACCAAATGAAATGTATGATAAGTCGATTGATCCCCGGCACGGGAAAAGGGTTCCGATCCACCAGGGAGTCGAATGTGGGGGAGCAAATCGATAGAATTCGAGGATTATCATCTAGACAGAAGCCTGTCACATGGGCTCTGTCTTGATTCGAACAATACTCCCGGGAGAGTCATTGCCCTGGTGGATTTTAGAATGAAACAAGAGAAAAAAGAAAGCCGTAGACGAAGCTTACCTCTGCCTTTCGTTTGCCCAACACAGAATCGGGGGTTCCCGTTCTTCCCAGAGGCGTGCTCCCGCGTGCTTGAGTTGGCCCATCTTTTGTGACTTCTGCATAGCAACTGGCATGGTATACGCGGCTGCCAACCTTTACTGCATCCTGCCATATCCAATCTTGGACGTCTTCCGACCATGTTGACTCGAACTTCTCCTGACATATAGGGCACGGCGTGTTCCGCAGAGTCGCATCGTTCGGAGCACGAATCCATTGCTTAGGTGGCCCCTTTTTAGTTGCGCTGCCATCGGCCCCGGTTCCAACATCGCCCGAAGTTTCAGCCTCTGCAAGGCCTTGATCATCTTCAGCTTCTCGTGATTTGATCCAATCCTACTTATGGTTAGAAATGACAAGACATGCTAAAGCAGGGAAATATCTTGATACTGACCCGTTCATCAACATACCAGCTGCGGTTCTGGGCTCGTCTGGCAGCATCCGCCATACGTTGGTTGGTTTTGAAGTGCCAGTCCAAATGACGCGCCTTTTTTTCTTTACCTTCCTCGGTTGTAAAAAACCGACGACCACATGTTCCACATCGGTTAGACCTCGCTTCATAAAGACTGGCTACTAATGCATGTCGTGGTCTAAACGATTTATGTGAAATTAGCAACGTTCCAGACACATGCATATACTGATATGGCCTACATTTTCATTGACATAGTGTTCATTTGAACTTCCATAGTAGCATCAGAGGACGCTTGAGGTGTGGGCACTGGGGGTGTAAATCGAACTTGACCGGGAACAATGAATGGGAATGCAGAAGCAAGATTGGGTGTGGCCGCAGCTGAAGGACCGGGAGGGGCAGAAGCAGCTGGCAAAAGCCCGCGTGCTCGTAGAGCTGCTAAAAGAGGGATATCTGGCGTTTGTGTAGCGGCTGGCTGCGGTGTGCTGGTGTTCGTGGGGATTTGGGGAAGGCTGCTGGGGACTTGAGGTGGTGGAGTCGGCTGCTGACGTGCAGCAGTAGCTTTGATGAGCCCAGCCAGTGTTCCTGAGCTGAGAAGCTGCTGAAGAGGTTGAGCGACAGCTTGCGTTGGTGGAGTACTCATGGATGGTGTCGGGACAGTTGGGATACTAGGGGGAAGACTCTGGGGGACCGGCACAACAGGTTTCGGTGCAAGCGCAGATACTTGATCACGGACAAGCTTCAGTTGCTCTTGTGTAAGCTCCTGACGCTGCAGGATTCCCTGAAGATCTAACAAGGCCTTTAATCGCTGCTGTACAGAAGGATCGAGAGGGTTAGTAGCAAAATCGCTCCGGGCGGCTGTAATCAGGGCTTCGATGTCCCGATTCAGAGCAGCAAGATCGACCTCCTGCCGTTGTTGGAGCTGAGGAGTCGGGGTGAATCGTGTAGCGTATGGGTCCACCTGTCAATCCGTCAGAGAAGGCATACAGCACAAATTAATCAGGATACACTTACTGGAGATTGATAGTTATGACCATGACCATTCTGATTATACTGCGAAGACGAATGCCGTGATGTGGCAAGGGGCGGTGTTGGGCTGTTGGTCCAGCCGGGAGGTGTCGCAGTTCCACGGCCACGGCTGAGGATTTCCTGCTGGCCCCTAGACTGCTGTAGCTGAAGAGCCGCTGTTCTTGCCTTGATGAGGGCACTTTCGATGCCGCGGGTGATCTCAGGAGGGAAAACCGGCCTAGTATCCAATGACCCAGGAACGGATTCTTTCCAGGTTTTGAGCATCTCATCCAACTTCCTGCGAGTCTGCGAGTCGACCAAAGTATAGGCATTCATGAAAGTCTGATACATGTTGCGGCCCAGAAAAAGAGTGTAGGGAGTCCCTACGTTCTTGACGATGGAGTCGACTACATACAAGGCGGGCAACTTCTGAGGCGGTGGTGTCTACAAAGCACAATTAGACGTCGTTCATCCACAAAACTACAGACGGTAGTGCGTATAGCAAGATACACAAGCAGACAGAAAGCATGGAAGAGAGTATGTCACCTACTGTTCGAATGTGATTCTCCAATACCCGAGAAATGGCCATTGCATGTTCGGTGTTCTCCTTTGCTATGACGGTCAAGTTGCTGATTTGAAATCTGTCATTTGAGGTTAGATCTTCCAAGGAATTCTTGTAGTCCTCGGCAACTTCGTCGGAAGCCAATCCGGACGACATGATGGCAATATACAAAGATAGTTGATAGTTGGGATAAGATGGGATTGCGACAGCGGGGAAAGACAAAGAAAAGAAAATAGTGAACGGTGCTAAAGAGAGTAAAACCCCCAGGGATGAGTGATATGCCAACGTCCTGTTGGTTTCTTGTCTTGGTGAATATCCTCCTTTTTTTTTTTTTTTTTTTCTTTCCTTTCTTATTCTTTCACTCTTTGCTTCTTGTTTGCTTTCTTTTCTTCTTTTTCTTTTCTTTCTTTCTTTTTTCTTATTTGTTCGTTCTTTTCTTTTTGCTCTTTATGTCTTGGTTCCTTTTATCTTCTCTCGTTTGCCCTCGTTGTATAATTGTGAATGCTTCTCTTATTCCCTCCTTTGTTTTCCAAAAACACTGGGCTCCTGGAGCAGCAAGAGATGGAAAGAAATGTCGGAACTTGTAGAATGCTTGCTAGCTATCTTCGCGAGACTCTTTTTGAGAGAACAACAAGAGGATGCAGGCGCCTGCCTTCAACCAAAACCAAAAAAAGAACCCGCGACAACCTTCCAACTGTCCAGATGTATATCTACCTCACTAGATATCCTGCCCGATTGACCCTTCCAGTAGATAACAAGCAGCAGAGGTATGGAGACGGCACGACAACGCTGTTTCAGGTATTGAAGATTAGGGGGAGTCGGATATTAAACAGAAAACGATCCGAAGGGATTAGCGGTTCCTAGAGACCCCAACGCATAGGCTATCAACAATTCAGGGGAAAAGAGGGAGAATAGAAAAAAAAGAAGATGAAGAAGAAGAACCTAGACAAAGAGAGGGAAAGAGTTGGCGGTTCAACTGGGACGTTGGTGTGAAAGCGAGACGAAGGATTATTTCGAGGGCCGATGAGAGGCGCGCCAAGAGTCTCGTGCTTAGTCAACGTCTCATGACGCAGCCGTTAGATGATCCCTAGCCAGACAAGACGTTCACGACGAAATACTTCTAGAGGACTGAGATTTAAGTCACTGAGAGTGATAGCTCATATCTTATCATATTCAATAACAATCGAAGAGGCATCATGAAGATCACACTTTCTGCGCTCGTTCTTGGCCTTCTTCCGTTGGCCTTGGGCAAGTCCATCATCGTCACTTATCCTAAAGATACGCCTCAAGATGTGTATGAGAATGAAAAGAAATCTTTCGAGAAAGCTGTGCGTTGAATGCTCGGGGCTTACGGGTATTTGGCTAATGAACTTGTTCCGAGTATGTAGGGTGGCCATATCACTCATGAATATCGTAAGTTTCTCTTATACCGAACGTAAATGACTGGTCAATCCAGAACTAATATCCATATTCTATCAGAACTGTTCAAGTAAACCTCCCCTTCTGTATCTCTGTCATCATTCCTGAAGTTCCACCTCTAATTGTTTCCTATCAGAGGGTTTTCTGCAGATGCCCCGGCCGATGCCATTCGGGTCTTCTCGACCCAGACAAAATACAAGCCTTGTATTGAAGAAGAACAGGTCGTCACCGCTGTTGGTGGCTCTCACTGAGCGGAATATGCGATTTTCATAATCAAAAATGGGGAGTCCTATTATGATTACTGGCGTTCTTCGCTGCACTCATGCCTTGGCTGGTCCTGGGCTCAGGCTTGACGGACTGGACTCTGGCCGGTTATTAACGAATGGACGACTCTTGGTTTCGAGACATGCAATTGTGAATTAATTTTGGGTTTGTTAAAGTCTTCATTTTCTGATATATCTCTGATCTATCAAAGAGGCGTCCTTGGATCAAGTCAATCAAATTATCATTCTATTTTATGTATTGCATACCTTTGAATACTTTAAATATGCATGTACAAGTCACATGAGACAAAGCAATTGTTCACCGTCTCTTTGTCCTTCAGTATTTACATTTAATGGGGATATAAGCGCAAGGTCGATACGCTTCATGAGATACTAGTAAGTAGAAAGTTGAAACTCCGCCCAACGCGGACGAGACAAGGCGATCCTCGTGGCCCCTACGTTTAGCCCCCGTAGATGCGCGTAGCGTGGATCCGCCTGAAACTCCCCGAAATCGCGAAAAGAGACGACAACGTCAACTCTCGAGGGCATTGGGATATTTTATCAACCATTGGCCTTCCCTTAATTTCGTTTCGCCAAGCGAAAAGGGATATGCTTCCTTTATTGCAATTCGCCTACGCCCTTACTTAGACCCGCGGCTTTCCCTCATCGCGATATTCCCCGGATCGATTCCTCCATCCCACTCGCCGCCCACCATGGCTTCAGAGCACGCGGTCACCAAAGTCCTGTTGGAATGGATCAACAGTTTTTCACTAGGAAAGACATTGCGGGCTACGGATGAGTTAACTGATGGTGTTATCTTGTGGGAGGTCTTGCAGGATATCGATCCTCAATACTTCCTTGACGAGCTACCAGAGAGGAACACCTCCGACCATTGGGTGAACAGGTGGCAGAACCTGAAGCACATCCACAAACTTATGATAAGCTATATAAAACACCAAAACGATGACCAAATTCCTTCCGGGCTTGATCCATCGCCGGACCTCGAAGCCATTGCGGAAAAGAACTCGGCCAAGGAAACGAACAAGCTCCTGAAACTCCTCCTGATGGCGGCGATAAGCTCGCCCAACGCGGCGACATACGTGAAGACTATTCAAGACCTCAACACCCCAACACAGGAGGTCATTAAGGATATCATCGAAGAGGCTCATAATGGACAGCATGAACCCGTTGATGTGGCGGACGATATCAAAGATGACCTATCGAAGCGGGATCATCCCGTGGACTTGGAACTGCAATTCGAGGAGCGAGTGGGAAAAGTGCTTGCGGAGAACGACCGTTTGACTCATGAAAAAAAGGAATTGGAGAAAGCATTGGAAGACTTGCACAATCGCCTGGCACGTCTGCAGGAAAACAATGATACCTTGCAAAACCGCCTTGCCTCGACAGAAGATCGGCTGGTGACTTTGAAGTCCGGAAAGGGTGACCTGGGGTTCAACGCCAAGGCCTTGGAAACCAAGACTCGCCATCAAGAGGATCTTATCGCATCCCAAGAGGCAAGGCTCGCTGCCGCCCAGGATGAGGTTGACAGCTTGCGAATGTCCGTAGAGACTCTACGGGTGAAAAACCAGCGGTTCCAAACCCTGCAAGATGACTACGATGAACTCAAAACAGAGAAGGATCAGCTCGCGCGTAAGGCAAATGCAGCAGAGAAATATCGCCAAAAGCTTCAGGCTAGCCAGGATTTTGAGAAGGAAAACCAGACACTCAAGAATCAGATCAAGGACCTCCAGCAGCAGCTGAAGGAGGCTGATTCCCAGCACAGATGGACATCTGAGCGCGATGTGGAACTTGAAGAATACCGAAGAGTTCTACCACGCATTGAACAGGAATGTAGTGAGATGCAAAATTTGAAGAAGCAGCTGGAGTTCAACAACCACGCCCTTACTGAACGCCTCGAGGGCGCGGAAGAACAACGCGAAAGAGATGATTTATTGATCAGCGAGCTGCGCGAACGGATTCGAGAACTTGAAGGCTCGCCTGGAAGTCCATCGCTTACCCCGGGCGCTGAAACACCAAAATTACAGGGAACTTTACAGAAGGACTTTGAAGAAATTGGCGCCAAGGAATCTCAGCTGTCAGAATACCCCTTCCTTTCCTCGTGTCTCCGTTGAATTAACTGACCGATGGTAGAAAATCTGAAAATGACGAGTTGAAGAAGGAAGTTGAGTCATTGAAAACACCGCAGGCATCTGTAAGTCAGGCCCAAAAAGGAATATTGGAACACGGTACTGATAATGGTATTGTAGGTGGAATCTGGGTATGAGAGGTTTTCGGATTCTTTTGCGCAGACCGTGGAAATTGCGCAGACAAACTCTACCCAGAGGTATGCTTATATCAATTAAAGTCCTTTCGAACTCGGTGCTGACTATCCACACAGTGACGAGTACTGGAAATTGTATGATAACTACACTGCAACCCTCAGAAGGCTTGCGGAAGCTCAGTTCTCTCTCGACACATCTCAGAGAGCGCTCTCCGATGCGATGGCAGAGAGTAAGTCATTCTTCGTCTGTGATCTAGCTTAATATTCAGTCTTCTCATATCTATTTAGAAACACTCGTCGACAAGGAAAAGGCCGACATGATCAATGAAGTCAAGGAAAACAACTCCGCAGAATCGGCCAAAATTCGTGGTGAATGGGACGAACTCTTGCAGAGAACGCATCATCTTGAAGCTGAGATTGACGCCAGCCAGACTTTGGCAAGGGAAGTGTGCTCTGAACGAGATGAACTGCGTGGGATGCTTGAAAAGAAACAGACCGAAATGAAAGCAGAGGATCAGGAGTCAATCGATGAAGTGAAAAAGCTGCTCGCTGAACTTGCGGCCCTCGACAGTGGCGAGGGCGTGGACACTTCCGAGAGAACTGTTGTAGAACTCACAAAACAACTTACTGAATTTTTCGAGAAGAATGTTGATAGGCTTGCGAAGCGTGCAGAGGTTAGTATCGTGCCCATTCCTTGGATCCACCCTTTTTATATCTTTACCCGAGCGCCTTTGAAGCTGAGTGCTAATGTTCGAAATAAATATACAGTACATCGAGCGACAAAATGAACTCATCAAATTTCTCCAAGAACGCATAAAGACCCACGAAGAAAGCTCTGATGATAGTATCAGCAAAGAGCGTGAGGTAAGCCAACAACACCGCGAGAATCCATTTCCTTGTCCCTTCCTGCTGACAATACATTTTTCCAGCTCGAACTGGAAAAGATTATCGAGAATCAGACTCGAGAGCTTTCTCTCGTAAGCTCTGCTTGGTTTGACCTCCAAAGCCGTTTGCAGAACAACAGTGTTACAGTCTCCAGATATCGCCACGCCTCGAGCCCTGAAGCTCAGAAGGGCTGGTTGGCAAAACAACGGGTTGTGGTTGCTGGTCGATAGTTTTGTGAAGTAGGTTGGCGTATTGACTTTGTTTTTTTGATCGTGCATCTCGATGGCCTATGGGCTATTTTATGACTACAGCCCTCATGGTTGCTTTTCATGGTGGGATACTATATGGACATGAATAGTCTGCCGGATTTGATCTGTATTTCCTTTTTTGTCTATATTCCCTGGGTCTGTGGTTGTTTATGTCTTGTATCTTCCTGTGTTGCTACTTCATATCTGTACTCAAGATTGCGCATAAAATTGCATGTCATGCATACAGCACTATGAATACCCACCTGCTTTGATGGCAAGCTCCGATTGAGCTTCATTGGCCCAATGGCTATTTGCATCTTACGCTAAGATTCCGCGATTCCTAGTACGGCATTTACGTTTGATAATAGGCTACTCGGTGGAAGGACTATCCATTACAACTGGTTCTGACACGAGATAATTTTTTTTTATAGAATAGCAGCAGCCTTTTAATGAAAGATGCTGATGAATTGCCTTGGGTCTGTTTTGGTTTTGGCATCAAAGAAGAATAAGGGAGGTACACCAAATGAAGAAGACAAGAGTAAGAGATGAAAGAAGCGCTGGCACATTCATGTACAACATCGGCATTCGCCGCCTAGCCTCGAGAGTAAGGGTGGAAACCCCGATGTCCACCACGTCCTCCACCACGGTAGTTCGCGCCTGGTTTTCCGGCATTCTTGGGGCCTGTTGGGGCGTTGGCCGGGGCTGCACTCTGGGGCTGGGGTGTGGTGCCTAGCTTCACGTCAGCAAAGTTCCATTATCAACAATTTGATTCATTCAAGAAACATACCACGTCCTATGCTTCCAGCACGGCCCATACCTTGGGGTCCCGTGGGAATATTCGGTTGAGGCACTTCGTCGTACATACCCTCCCACGATGTTGGGCCGCCCTGTTGGTACGGAGAGAAAGCCCGGTTTTCCATGACCCGGCGGACCTGCTGCTGCTCATATTTTTGCTGTTCGAACGCAATCTGTTCGTGAGCATTATAGCCTGGCCCTCCTCGTGGGCCGGTGAAGTTGCCGGACCCTTGACCGCCAGCAGCGGCGCCGCCATTGTTGTTAACAGCACCACCCCCACTAGCACCAGCAGCAGCACCACCACCCATGGCATTTGCTGGGACTCCGCCATTGTTACTTTGGCCCTGTCCCTGGCCCTGCATTTGCTGCATCTGTTGCATCTGCTGTATCATAGCAGGATTCATCATGTTCTGCATCTGAGGAGTAGGGCTCTGGGAGGGAGGACTCATTCCGCCTTGCTGCTGATTATTACCCATCTGCATTTGCTGCATCTGTTTCATTTGCATCTGCTGCATCATAGCCGGGTTCATTGGGCCCATTCCCATTCCCCCCATGCCCTGGCCTTGGTTGACAGCCATTTGCTGCTGCATCATCGCGAAATACTGCTGCATTCGTTGCCAATACTGCGCCATCATCTGCGGGGTGAGACCTGCACCCATGCCGCCTGAACCTTGAGAGCCCTGCTGTTGCTGGCCACCGTCACTACCGACCTGGCTGTTCTCTCGGAAAGCGTCCCTGCCACGGCGATTCCGGCGGTCTTCTTCATCACGCAGGTTGCCTCTTGGTTGAGCTTTTTTGACTTCGATGGGCTTTCCCAGAATATCCAAGGGCCGCGAGAGAGCGGCTTCAACGGCAGCCTCACTATCAAACGTCACGAAACCGAACCCTCGGGGACGGCCAGTGTCCTTGTCTATCATCAATGTGGCATCGATGACGCGGCCAAACTGCATGAAAAATGACTTGAAGTCTTGTTCGTTCGCTTCTTGACTCACGCCACCGACAAAGATCTTGCTCGTCTTCTCTTGCTCATCACGGGGAATCGCACGCTTTGGGTCGATCTTCAAGTGTCGTTAGTTGTGATATTCTAGTGGGTGCTGTATGATGTATTGCACTAGGGAAGGAATTTCTTACAATTTTTCCATCTAAGTAGTGCTCCTTGACCATCACAGTGTTGACAGTCTTGGGGTCCCGGAAAGTTAAGAATCCAAACCCCCTGGAGCGACCAGTGGCGCTGTCCCGCATAACAGTGCATTCTTGGACCTCTCCGAATTGAGAGAAATAGTCTCTCAATGATTCTAGTTCGAAAGATTAGATTATCTGAAGTGGAAGGAGGAAACCCTGCCAATCAACATGGGAAAAATGCATACGATCTGTAGTCTCCCAATTCAAACCACCGATGAACATTTTCCTATTCAGCCAGACTATTAGCAAACTCGCCATCCCATCAGAGAAAACGATACACGCTATTCGATGTCTAAAAAGCAAAAACAATGATTAGGGGGAAGATTGAATGGACATGGAATGAACGACGATAGATAAATCTGGATCCAAAGCTTCTGTCTCTGGCTGCTGAAAGGCTGTCGGGTGGGCTGCTATTCAAACCCAACATGTTGCGGTGATCACAAAATATTCAAGGACCGACATCTAAATTGTGTGACGCGGTCGAAAATTGTAACGGAGCATCAAGCAAATGAAATTGCCGCGGTCATCTCAGATTTTTTGATCATGTCACGTATACATCGACAGAAATTGAGGCTGCAGGGATCGACGAGTGTGCCAGCCAGCTTTCTAGTCATGAGCTCCACTGGTTTACAAGACGGCCCAGTGGATGAAGTCCAAACGCAAAGTTTTCTCCAAAACCGGGGTATGCGGGTGGTGATAACAGACACAAGTTGCAGTATGTCAGGCGAAATAAGTGAATTGTTTTCTGCCTCTCTCTGAGCAAGGTTCCTTTGCCTGTCTTTCTAATAGAGGCCGAAGCTAGGTAGGTAAAGTTGTTCGGGAATTCCCAAACCAGATAGCCAAGGTCTCTACTCCTTGCTCTGCTCTATCAAGATATATCGACAGAAAGCTATATAGTATCGGCTGTACTATATATAGTCGCTCGCAATAAGGGTTCGTAGTGTCTGTAATCCGATATTTGACTCTTTTGTGACTGTAACACCGACGCTGGTTCGCTGATGCATATCCATTGAACTTTGAACTCCAGGAAAGATGCCTTGCGCCCCTACCACATCGCTTTCCGCGTGGCAGAACTTCATGAGTGCCCAGTGACCATATGCTTCTTTCCCGGGGCAATTGCATAGATACCGCCACCCTCTGGCAACAGCCAATAGCGATTGATACAGTCGAAGGAGACTGGCCCAGACATTATTTCCATCTCACAATGCCAGTACATCTCGGTCCTCCCACGAACCCGTATCATCAGCTCATCCACTGGATGGATATTCACCCGCCATACCAGAAAATTGAAGCCCAATGGTGTGCAGGAAGATGTAGTGAAAATATAGGCACCCGTCGATGCTCGAGAATAGCCAAAACAGCAGCCCCACGGGCAGTAGCAAAGTGCGGCCACCAGAATACCAGTTGCTTTGCAGTGGTAATATAGACCGTCTCACGTAGAATGACAGAATACGAAGGTAATTGGGATGCATTAACAAAGTACACGGACTTACCCATCTTCCTTAATACCAGTTCCTTGACGCTCGGTTTCTGCAGCTGAAGGCGCCGCATTGTTACCAAATCCGGTGTCTACACCTCCAGCCCCATTCTGATAACCTTCTTCATACTGTGGTGGCTGGTAGGCATTTTGCGAGTCCTCTGTTTCCAAGTGAGTGTTTTCGATACTCTGTGTGACAAGAGGCTGAGCAGACGTGGCCGATACAGTGGAATCGGGAGCTTTTGGCGCTTCAACTGCAGGAGTTTGTTTGTTGATATTGTCATCAGCATCGTACCTGGAAAATAACAAGTCAGATATCGAAGGGATAAAGCGTTAGTTATGTGATAAATCATACAGATCCGCAAAGAGATCCTCCTCAATATCATCTGGTTCAGCCATTCTGATTCAATAAGATAAGCTAGAAAATCAAAAAAGAGATGGCACGAAATGCAAGGCAATGGCCAGGCTGAATGGACAGGTTAGAGCAAGGATTCGATCAACCTGAGGGTGAGTAACAGGAAGAAATAATCTAGCAAGGATGAGAGCTCCCCCAGACGGCAAACCGAATGCTATGGAGAAATTAGGGTGATGATTGAGGAAGGCTGAAGTAGAAGCCGAAGAGAAGAGAGAGGAGAGAAGAGGAGAAGGCGAGGAGGACAGGAAGTCTCGACAGAAGCCGACCGCGTAAGAGGCCCCAAGGCCGGACGGAGTACGGAGGACTTGGTACCCGCAGTAGCGCCGACAGGCCAACCACAACTAAATTTTGGGAGCAAATGCAGGGAGAGAAGGAGAGAAAGAAAGAGAGAGAGAGAGAGGGAGAGAGAGGGAGAGGAAAGAGATGAAAAAGAGAGAGGCAAAAGAAGATAGTCTATAATTAAAGTATTCGTTTTGAAAGCTTTATCGCTGAGATCTATTTGACATCCAACCTGACAGCAGTCATCAATCAATTCTTCCCCAGAACAAACAGCGTAACAGTGCCGCAGAGCACCCCGCACTCCTCTTTACGCTCTGGGACCAGCCATCCCCGATGACCTGTTATTGAATGGAATCTCGCGTCTTTCTGCAAGTAGCTTCAGCTTAATATAATGGCTACTAAGAAGGGCCAACAGCAGGTAAGCTCACCATCATTTATACAATGTCCCTCCATTGAAAACCATGCTATGGAAGCTGATCAATTCTTATAAAGGAGATGGTCCAGGTTGGTTCGTACCTCACGATTCCCCATGTTTTGAATCCCAATCCAGTGGCTGATATATAGCTTCGGGATTGCTCAATAGACCGTTCTGAGTATGCCCTCCCTTCATATAATCGACCAATGCGCATGGGTCTTGTCTTTCTAGCTGTCTTTTTTGCATCTTCACGCTGCTAACCCGCACAAAGACGAGCAGATTCTCCTTTTTGGAATGGCAGATCGGTATCCTCAAACCAAGGATCTTCGAGACCTTATGATCAAAACACTGTCGTTGGCGCCTCATATTCCCATGCAAATATCTTAAAGTCTGCCCTGCCCTCCCCCAGTTTTATTTGTTGTCGCTGAATCATGTGGGTTGAACAATGGGCTAACGAACGGGCGTGTTTGGCAGAGGAATCCCACAACAGCATACCCGTCCCAGAACACCACCTCGGACATCATCCGGTAACGTTAATTCACCTTCGCATCGACCAGGGACATGGGTTACCCCTCCCCCACAATCATCGTACTCCGGGATCATGGCTGCGGGGGGTGAAGGATGGGGTGGCGAACATGCAGAAGACGACGATGATGAAGAGGATATAGTCTACGATGACGATGAGGATGAGTTCGGGCTTCCCAGCCTTTCTAGCATGCGAAAGAAACAAAACAAAAGTATAGCAGCCCTTCAACCCAAGGCTGTCGACCCAGGCGGAGTTGGGGGCAACCCTTCAAACCTTGGTTTTGGTCTAGGGAGCGGTAGACATCGTGCAAACAGCTCAGATATTGCTGAGGAGCGCGGACCGACAATGTACCCAGCAGCCCGCAAAGGTGAAGGCAAAATACTGCGGCCTCAGTATAAGGATATACTTAGAGGTAGGCAATGGAGCTCAATGGTTGCCATGTTGAATATGTTGACATTGTTTCGCAGATCCTGCAAATGCCTTGAACCTTATCAATCATGCTCCACCACCTACAAACGCTTCGCCAAAAGAGATGGAGATGTACTCAAGCCGCATATCCAGAATCAACAAGTTCAAACGACTTCTACAAACGAGCACGGTTCCACTCTCAGAATTGAGGAATTTGGCGTGGTCAGGAGCTCCGGACGAAGTGCGAGCGATGACTTGGCAACTGCTTCTTGGATATCTCCCCACAAACAGCGAACGACGCATCTCAACTTTGGAAAGGAAGCGCAAAGAATATCTCGATGGCGTCCGACAGGCATTTGAACGCAGTGCCACGGCTAATGCGGCAAAGCCCCCTGCTTCAACAACTGGGCGTGGGAGAGGCTTGGATGAGGCAATATGGCATCAGATCAGTATAGATGTTCCGCGAACAAGTCCTCACATTCCACTTTACGGCTATGAGGCCACTCAACGTTCGCTAGAAAGGATACTTTATGTGTGGGCCATTCGACACCCTGCGAGTGGATACGTGCAAGGAATCAATGATCTTGCTACGCCTTTCTGGCAGGTTTTTCTTGGAGTTTACATCACGGATCTAAATGTTGAAGAAGGCATGGATCCAGGCCAACTGCCCAGAAGCGTGCTGGACGCTGTGGAAGCGGACACCTTCTGGTGTCTTACGAAGCTCCTTGATGGTATCCAAGATAACTACATATATGCTCAACCGGGTATCCACCGACAAGTTAGAGCGTTGCGAGATTTAACAATGCGCATTGATTCTACTCTTGCAAAACACCTAGAAAACGAGGGGGTTGAATTCATGCAGTTCAGCTTCAGATGGATGAACTGCTTGCTCATGCGGGAAATGAGCGTGCAGAACACCATTAGGATGTGGGACACGTATATGGTATGCCTTGGTTATTCACCTATATTGACATATAACTATACTAACTTGTTCATCAAGGCGGAGGAGCAGGGCTTCTCGAGATTTCATCTGTATGTGTGCGCGGCATTCCTTGTGAAATGGTCAGACCAGCTGGTGAAGATGGATTTCCAGGTATGTTCCTTGCGCGCGATTTGTGGTGTCAAAGAAGTGCTAATCAAATCGCAGGAGGTTATGATGTTCCTCCAGGCTCTCCCAACCAGAGACTGGACCGAAAAGGATATTGAGCTCTTGTTGAGTGAAGCATTCATCTGGCAAAGTCTATTCCAAGGCTCCCGCGCTCATCTTCGACCAACTGGCGAACAATTCCCCGAGGATGGCCTGTAATGAAGGCAAATCATAATTCATTAATAATTTTAGCTTCGTACTTGAGCTTTTCCTTTTATCTGATGCAAGACTCAGCTGAAGTGGAAGCCCTTCTGGTTAAAAGCCCACAACAACTTCAGAAAATCATTTTCATCACACATCCTTGCACGCTTGTCTGCAAGTTTAGTTTCATCTTCCAAAACCTGTCGTACCTTCTCCCGTACCAATTCCGCTACCTTGCCTTTCTTCTTGCGGCTCGGCTTGCTCTTGAGGGCTTCTTCTATGCGATTTGTTTCCTCCTTGAAGAAATCGGGGACATCATCATCATCGACCTCCATGGTTTCGTCCTGCTCCTCTTCGTCGTCATTTTGCGCATCGCCGATGTCCATAGCATCATCACCATCAGCATCCTCGCCGGGGCCATCCTCAACCGGAATGTCGTTCTGGGCACACCACGTCCGGTAATTCGCTTCCAACAAATCCATAACCGTGGATTTCCCGATAAAGCTGGCGCGGATGGTTTTATTCTTTCTCACGAAAAGGATTCGCAGAAGTCCGTCCCACTCATCATAATTAATCTGCGGCCTTGGATTCTTGGGAACCATGCGGACCACACTCGATTCCACCAATGGTGGAGGTTTGAAATTGTTCTTGCCAACCTTCATAATATGATCGATCTTGGCCCACATCTGAGCATTGACAGAAAGTCGACTGTAGAGCTTATCACCTGGTTTGGCAAAAAGACGGAGAGCAAATTCTCGTTGGAACATGAGAATACAGATTCTAGGCGCTGGCGAGGTTGCGAGAAGTTTGAATGTGAGGGGGGAGGAAATCTGACCGGAGTGGTTAAGTTATATCATATTAAGAGCCTAGACAAAGATCATACCTGATACGGGGTATTGCTAATGCAAACGTCGAAATACGGCAGCTCGGTCTTCATCACATCGCCCAGAATAACGTCCAGGCGCTTCTGTGCGGGAGTTCCTTGGACTCGTTTGGTGACCTCCGCCGCCATTCGAGGATCCAATTCAACAGCGATAACTTTCTTGGCCTTTTCGAGGATTTTCATAGTCAGGTTACCTGTACCAGGACCGATTTCAAGAACGACCTGTAGAGAGATAGAGACTTCCTGTTAGAGATCATGATGTAACATATATCAACCATACCCTCGTTCCCTTTTGAGAAACTCACATCGCTCTGCTTCAGATCGGCCTTGTCCACAATGGCCTGGGCAATTCCAGGATTCTTCAAGACGTGCTGACCAATGTCTGTGTTCATTTTGAATATGCTGTTGGCAGCCTTCGTTTTAGCGACGGCATCTGCATAAGGATTCGCTTGAGAAGCGCTGTTGCGCTTCCCCTGTTTTACTTTTGGCATATTGTAGGATTTGTAGAATCCAGTCAGCCAGTACTCGTAGATCAAAAGCTCGCCCTGTCAAGTGGACAGGAGTCTGGAAAGAAAATAAATCTATCGTGGAAGATACCGTATGGTTTTCTTTTCTTTTGTTCCTTTTTTTTTTTTTTTTTTTTTTCTCTCCTTTGGGGGCAAATGCGGAGGGTTTCGATAAGATTACCGGACCGGCATTATGTTTTTGCGGCGATAGTCTGGTGAAGCATCTACGCTTCCAAGTAGGACTTTATCCAAATTGATTTTCCTTCAACATAGCTATTTTTCTGTTCATTTTTCTCCTCACACGGAGCTTTCGTTCAAGATGGCGTCTGGACGAAAAGACTTTTTGAGCCAGCCTGCCCCTGAAAACTACGTCGCGGGTTTAGGTAGAGGTGCGACCGGCTTTACCACTCGGTCAGATCTAGGTCCTGCGCGAGACGGCCCAACACCGGAGCAGATCCAGGCCGCACTTGCGAAACGAGCACAGCTTCTTGGAGCGGCACCTCCGACAGCCTATGGTGCAGGGCGCGAAAAGGGTGGCAAGGAAGAAAAAGAAGAGGAGGAAGACGAGCGTTTTCAGGACCCGGACAATGAAGTCGGGCTCTTTGCCTACGGACAGTTCGACCAAGATGACGATGAAGCGGATCGCATCTATAGAGAGGTAGACGAAAAAATGGATAAGCGCCGGAAAGTAAGAAGGTTAGTTTCCCCCCTCTTTCCGATCTTTCCGATATCAAAAAGCGATTTGTTCATCGGGTTCCCCCCGGTTGTTTAGACAGATGACCGACTTAAATCCTTCGCCACCTATATAGGGAAGCTCGAGAACGACAAGAACAACAAGATTACGAAGAAAAGAACCCCAAAATTCAGCAACAATTTGCCGACTTGAAGCGGTCATTAGCTGCCGTCTCCGAAGAAGATTGGGCCAATCTCCCAGAGGTTGGAGATCTTACAGGCAAAAATAGACGAGCGAAACAGAACTTACGGCAGCGCTTTTATGCCGTACCGGACAGTGTCATTGCCGGCGCAAGAGACTCGGCGCAGTTTGATACAACAGTTGCCGAAGATGGCACCCATACCGATGCCCAGGGTGCGGACGGAACGATGACCAATTTCGCGGATATCGGTGCGGCCCGAGACAAGGTACTGAAAGTGAGACTGGACCAGGCTGCTTTGGGATCATCTGGCGACACCACGTCGGGTAGCGCGACAAATATCGATCCAAAGGGATACCTTACAAGTCTGACGCAATCGGAAGTCAAAGCTGGCGAGGTCGAGGTTGGGGACATTAAACGAGTTCGCGTTCTACTGGAGTCGGTGACGAGGACGAACCCGAAGCATGCGCCTGGATGGATTGCGCTTGCACGTTTGGAGGAACTTGCCGGACGAATCGTTGCTGCCCGAAACATCATTGCAAAGGGATGTGAGCTTTGCCCCAAGAGCGAGGATGGTTGGCTTGAGAACATCCGTCTCAATGAAGGCCATAATGCCAAAGTGATAGCTGCGAATGCAATTAAAAACAACGACCGTTCCACGAGACTATGGACCGAGGCTATGAGGCTAGAAACGGACATCAGAGCAAAAAAGAATGTTTTGAGACAGGCCATTCTTCATATTCCCCAATCCGTTACTATCTGGAAAGAGGCCGTGAATCTGGAAGACGACCCGGCCGATGCGCGCCTGCTTCTTGCCAAGGCGGTTGAAATGATACCGCTGTCTGTGGAATTGTGGCTTGCGCTTGCTCGCCTCGAGACCCCTGAAAATGCACAGAAAGTTCTCAATGCTGCTCGTAAGGCTGTGCCTACAAGTTACGAAGTATGGATTGCCGCGGCCCGACTACAAGAACAGATGGGCACATTCGAGAGAGTAAACGTCATTAAGAGGGCTGTTCAGTCTTTGGCAAGGGAAAATGCGATGCTGAAAAGAGAAGAGTGGCTAGCGGAAGCCGAGAAATGCGAAGAAGAGGGTGCCATTCTCACATGTAGTGCGATCGTACGTGAGACTCTTGGCTGGGGCTTGGATGAAGACGATGACCGGAAAGACATTTGGATGGATGATGCAAAGGGCAGTATTGCTCGGGGCAAGTATGAGACGGCGAGAGCAATCTATGCCTATGCGCTGCGCGTATTTGTCAATCGCAAATCCATCTGGATTGCAGCCGGTGATCTTGAGCGCAACCATGGAACCAAAGAAGCCCTGTGGCAAGTTCTTGAGAAAGCAGTGGAGGCATGCCCGCAGAGCGAGGAATTGTGGTTGCAGCTTGCAAAGGAGAAATGGCAGTCAGGGGAGATCGACGATGCCAGACGAGTTCTGGGCCGTGCTTTCAACCAGAACCCGAACAATGAGGATATCTGGCTCGCTGCAGTTAAGCTGGAGGCCGATGCCCAGCAGACAGATCAAGCCAGGGAGCTTCTCTCGACCGCTCGTCGTGAAGCAGGAACAGACCGTGTCTGGACCAAGAGCGTGGCCTTCGAGCGTCAATTGGGCAACACTGACGAAGCGCTTGATCTCGTGAACCAAGGTCTCCAGCTTTACCCCAAGACTGACAAGCTTTGGATGATGAAGGGCCAAATTTACGAAGCCCAGAACAAATATCCCCAAGCCCGTGAGGCCTATGGAACTGGCAGCAGAGCCTGCACCAAGTCCATTCCTCTCTGGCTTTTGGCCTCAAGGCTGGAAGAGAAGGCCGGAGCTGTTGTCAAGGCCCGATCAGTTCTTGATAGAGCCCGTCTTGCAGTTCCCAAGAGCGCTGAACTCTGGACAGAGAGTGTGCGGGTTGAGCGTCGCGCGAATAACATCGGCCAGGCAAAGGTCCTGATGGCCAAAGCTCTGCAGGAGGTTCCCACATCTGGATTGTTGTGGAGTGAAAGCATCTGGCATCTCGAACCGCGGGCGCAGCGGAAAGCCCGTAGTTTGGAGGCGATCAAGAAAGTGGACAACGACCCCATCCTCTTCATTACTGTTGCACGTATTTTCTGGGGAGAACGCCGCCTGGAGAAGGCCATGACATGGTTTGAAAAAGCGATTGTTTCCGACAGCGACCTGGGTGACGGCTGGGCATGGTACTACAAGTTCTTGTTGCAGCATGGCACAGAGGTTCGTTCACACCCGTACCCCTTTGATTTCTAGGACCCTCTGGCTTATAATCATTACTACACAGGAAAAACGAGCAGATGTGGTATCCAAGTGCATCTCAACTGAGCCCAAGCATGGTGAAATCTGGCAGTCGATCGCCAAAGACCCGTCCAACGCGCATAAGTCAACTGAAGAGATCCTGAAAGCTGTTGCAGAACGCCTTACTCAATAAACTGTTTTAACATGGATGTACTTTTAACACGCCTATTCTTGTCTATTTCTTAATGATATTGCGACTTGGGGTTTTTTTTTGGGGGGGGGGGGGAGGCAGCTTTAGGGAGCCTTCAATGATAAATAAGACATTAAATCTAGATCATTTGCACAAATGCAAGAATCCTTAGCATGGGGCTCTAATATTATAGTATCAGTGAATTCCTAACAATTCGCTAGGGCTTAACAGGTATAAGTACACAGCCAAACTCAGTTGGCATTATAACCATCTTTGTTCAAAATTGACAGACAAAAAGCAAGTGATAACGAATTCTTCCTTTGAAGCAACATCCCGAGACTGACGCAAAAAGGGCAGCTGATGTTCTGCTTCATAAGTGGCCATCTTCTGCCCTTGAAATCAACTTCATAAGATTGTCACCCCCAAAGAAACAGACGTAAACAAATCAATCCGTGGGTATCGAACGAGTTTCATGCGCATCCAAAAACCTCCTTTCTTTCTTTTTTTAAATGATTTTCTTTTTGCTCTTGCGCCCCTCGAATTATCATCCTGGGCAGCTGGAGCACATTTCCACATGCACTCGGCTCGAATGGACCATAACAAGAAACAGGCAGAAAAAATCTCATTGAACTCCATGCCAAATGCAAATTTATCATGTCACACCGGTGACAGCTTCACTTGGTACTCCCAGGACGCCGTTTTCTTCCTGCCAGACCAGGATGTTGCAGACTTTAGTCCATTGCAACGCAATCTGTGTCGACAAGAAAGGTAGTAAGTAAGTAGTAGCACGGATGAACAGAACAGAAACGACAACAAAAAAAGATCTAGCAGAGTGAAACACAAAAGTAATCGGAAAAGGTCATGCAGCCATGGACAAACATTCGTCAAGCAAAGTACCCAATTGCTCACGGTCTGCCACTGCACCTCCTTCCCAATCAGAATCAGCTTCATCCACATCCATTTCGTCGGGGTAGTCCGGCCCCAGGTCATCATTGGCAATTTCTGCCACCTCTTCGACCCGGTCTTGCTTCTCGTTCTCCAGTTCGTCCTCGATATAGCCGCCCATAATCTGGTCTATAAGCAAAGGCATGTGACTGAGCACCCCACCGCCAATCTCCAACGCTAATCTCAGATCTCGAACCCCAAGGGGCTTTCTGACGCTTGCCTCCTTGGCTTCCACTGGGAGTAAACCTGTTGCGCTGTCTTTGACAATCTCTCCACGAGTGTAGGCCAGTTCTTCTTGTTCAAGTTGCTGTCGGTATTTCCGCATCATCATACCGTTTATGGTGCCAGACGGGCCATTGGATCTGGTTCGTGAAAATACAACAGACAGTACTTCCTTCACAAATGTTTCTGTCGCAATCGCCATGAACTCGGCGCAGGGGAGCCCTGCGCCACTAACTATTGATTCTTCATAACATATAGGAACCATCCGCGAGTGTATTGATTCGGCGTCGGGAAATTCACCGGTCTCCGAGGCTAGGGGCTGTGCGTAGCGTTTTCGAATTTCCAATTCCCAGTCTGTAGTTCACCGCGACATTAGCCTTCTCAATCCTCAACGAAGACTGCATTGGGTCTAATCATATAGTAAAAGTGAAAGGGGTCTTACTTGTCTTATTCAAGCCACCGGCACTTGCTGGTACCTGGCTAGGCAGCTTGATCTGTTTAGCCAGGTGGTATTCTTCCAATTCATGGGGGACTGATTCACTGGGATCACGCTGGTTTTTGTTAGCACAATCCGCTTATTCAAAAGAGTCTTGCCAGCCCGTATCTCGTACCTCCTGAATAGCTTTAATTCGTCGACGATCCCTGGGGGGTAGCTGCATAATTTCCGTCTTTAGTCTCTGCTCTGCTGCATCTCCTGAAGCCGGCTTGGACACCACAGACGGTTTGTCATTCGCCGATACCCAACTTGCGACTCCATGATCTGGAAGGTCTCTTGTAAGATTCCCAATTATCGCGCATACGAAGTTGTTGTGAAGATGTTCTGTCTTTGAATCGGCGCATATTATATGATCGACACGCGACGAGAATTCGCTTTGGTTAAGGTGTCCTGGGGTAAGGAACTCGGAATTAACATTTCCCTCCCCTCAAAAAAAAAAGAAAAGAAAAGAATTATAATAAAGGAAAATCACAATGGAACCGAGCACTGGCAGGATATTTTGGGCCACGTCACATACCTAATAGGAAAAGGCCCGTTGACTGCTTATACTCGGCCCAGTTGTCACCGATAGCGGCCTTCAGTTCCGTGTAGATGGGTTCAAGGTCAAGCCGCGGGACCGATATCAAAGCCTTTGTAGATTTCTGAGTTGTCGGAGCACTGGGTGCCGCATTCTTAGACGATGCCACAGCCGTAGATGTTGAGTCTGTCCGACTCAGGGCTGCCGGATCGATCTGCATGGTTGGAGGGCTCGCAGAGGCGCGACGGGCTGCGCGAAGCCGGAGGCGGTGATAATTAGGCCTTCATGAAGGGAGAGTGGAAGGGCAGAGGAGTCCTAGACCGGCTGCAAGATCGCGAAGGATGCAAGCATAAGAGGCCTACCACGAGAAAACCGATGAAATCGCGATGGAAAGGCGGCGTGTTGATGGTTGAAGTGATGGAAGGAGGTTGAACCCGTTGGTCGACTGACGATGGATTCCCCGCCAAATCCAGCAGAACTCGATGAAGCCCAGCTGCGAACAGCAGTCGGCAGTGAATCAAATATGCCACCAGGCAATGTGCTACCAAGAAAAAGGATCTGTGTGCATGTAGATTCTCAGGGATTGATAAATAGTCATCAAAATTATGGTATAATAATCTAATGATGATCACAGCAGCTACAGTACGGTGGTTTTTTGCTTTGATTTCCCCTCTCCAACTACTAGAGAACGACCACCTCTTCATCAAGCACGCCAAATAAGTAGCTGATTTCCTTCATGATCTCCATAATCTCTGTGGACAGCTGTCCGGTTACGAGGGCTAGAGTAAAAGGTCAGCCAGTGGTTGCTACCGTGAAAGAAGCATAAATAGATTAGGCCTAACTTACTGTAGGCGTAAAGCAAGGAGTAATCTTCATCCGTAGACAGATGAGACACATCTCGAGCCTTGCGATATTGGAATATACGAGCGAGAAGTCGATCTCGCGCATGGTCAATATTCGGGAGAGCATCGCTCAAGGGGTATTCGAGCTTCATGGACGAAGCCATGACTGTCACAGTCAGCACTTGCAGCATAAATTAACGCAAAAACATGTAACACAAACTCACCAGACAGTAAGTGGCTGATGCGGGCAGATAATTGATATATTTCTGTGGCAGTGTATCGGAGAATGGCGACTTCTCCCTCGGAAGTGGTCTGGTCCTTCATCAGTTCTAAATTCATGGCATGGAATGCATCCATCATGCTTCTCGTGCGACGAAGGATATTGCTATATGCAGCTTCAGGGAATGCGCACTTCAGCTCAAACTCGGAACTGGCTGATCCCTTGAGAGACTCCAGAAGAGACAAGAACCGTTCAACTTCCAGCTTTTCTCTTGGGCTCATGTAGGTAATCGGGCTCCCTGTCTTGGGTATCTTGGTCAACGGGTCGCGTTTCCAGATCAGACTCATGCGAAGCCAAAGCATGCTGAGGTTGTGCTTCAACTTCGTCCTAGCACTCATAGGCCATATAACCCGGGTAATAATAATACCCCAGATGCACCCCGATAAAACAGAAACTACCCTATGGAGCGCAATCTCAGTGATCATGGGATTAGCCCCTCCCTCGTCTTCATCGTTGTGGCCTTCTCTCTGGGAGAGAGAGTAGGCGTATAGCACGGACAGGTTGTAAGTGAGCATAATGAATCGGCCCATCGGCCCTTGTCTTTTGACAATAGTTATATAAAAGGTCCAGGTTGCCATCAAAAGCCCCACGACTGCAAGTCCAGATACATTTCCGGAAGTCACATACCATGCTAGGATTGCACAGAGTGCTCCTAGACATGTGCCAAGAAATCGAGCATAGCCGGTAGTATTCGACGCGCCGATGGTCATCGAGCACACTAACATGTAAGATAGCAAGCCCCATTCCCCTCTCCAATGGGAATAATATGGTCTAATCGACGGAACGAATGAAGGCAGGGCATATATTGCTGCCCCGGTGCCAACCTTGATAGCAAATTTTGTATCATCACGTCGAAAGAACCCGAGAGACTTCCAGATCTTATAGCCGAGTCTCTGTTTTGCAGATGGCGTTTCTAAGATAGGTGGCGATAAAGGTGGCCCATTCTCCGACTGAGAGTTCGATGTATGCGGAGCAGAACCCGCGAACGCTTCTGGAGCTCAGTTAGCAACCTGTTCTCAAAGGATTTAGGACCATCTAGTCTCCCTACCAGTGTCCGGTGTTGTCTCGTCAGTTTTGGTATCTGTTCGACGCCAAAACTTAAGCCAGGCCCACGATCTGCCGGTGGGCCGTTCTTCAGCTTCAAGTTGTAATTCATCCAAAATTGCCAAAAGGTGCCTCATCTGGAAACCAAATTCAAGAAGAGAGAAACTGAAATGCCCGCAACTGGCAGAAACCTCCTCGAGATCAGCTTCTACCTCGAGAGTCTGTATACTTATGAATTCTTTTTGCCGGTAGATAGACGTGAGTGCTTCTTCTCTCGACTTTTGATAGAGTTCCAGTGCACGATCGAGACTCATGCGGAATCTACTGTCAATACAGACTTTGTAGTCCGGTGCAGGCCCAAAAGGTATCTCTTTGAATATCTCCTTCAACGTAAAAGCAAGAGACCGCTGTAGGTTATTAGCATTCAATTAAAACAACTTGTTCTAGAAGGGTACTATTTACCATAGAAGGTCCTAAATGGCTGATGAACAGCGCAAATATATCAGCGGGAAGAAGGCTGTGTTCATTCTCCAATTGAACACCTCTTGCGGAGTTCGAGTTAGAATCTCTCCCAGGGTCCGACACTTCCTCCTCTGGCCTTTCATCAATTGGTGTTAAAAAGGCGCCGCGGTCCTCGTAATAAGAACCTGGACTTAGTGATGGCACGGAAATGGCCCCATTCAGACCGGGTTCCTGGCCATGATCCGATTCAAGAAGCTTAGTTTGCCTAAGCAGATTGAATTGCAGAGAGGCAGCGCTGCGTAGACCTCCCATGTTGTGAGTAATATCTTGCAATAGGCGCACAAGGCTCTTCTCTAGCCTGTACTCCTTCTCCGTGCCAGCCACGAAGTGTTCAAGCTTTGCTTCTTTCACGAGATTGTCGAGCTGACTGTAGGCTTTCTTATGGCGCGTGGCAGCATCGACAAACTCGTCTGCTTGGAGCTCCTCCTCTGACCCATTAAGGAAGCTCTGCGTGATTATTGCTAGCTGAATTGCCAGTGTCTCAGTGACGGTCGTAAGATTCAACCGGAGCTTTTTCCGCGCAGATATTGGGAAGATCAGGAACGACACAGCCATGGCCACGCTAACACCCATGATAACCATCTTCAGAACCTGGGATATTTTAGAAAGTGATAGAGCGCCACTTTGTACTGCTCCTTCCTTCGTCAAGACTGTAATGGTCGACAGCGAAGCCAGAGAGCAAGCCACGTTCACCAGCGGATCGCCTAGTCTTTGCTTCGTCCATCCGATAAACCCCAGACCACCACCGCAAAACACAATGAGTACCACGGTGTGACCAACGGCGAGCATGTCCATTGTGTCTTGGAAGAACACTGAGACACACATGCTCGTGAGGGAGATGAAAGCGGCGTAGAAAAAAGCAAGAAAGGCACATATCAGTGCCTTGTACATGCTTCCCTTTGACCTTGCTGGATGAAAATATACTGTGACGGTAGCCACCACATGCTTGCCATCTTGATCACCCAGCAGTGCCGAAATGGCTGGAATGAATGTCGCCAAAGAGCCCAGTAAATACGCAAGACTGCATTTCAGAATCCCGATTGCTTGCTCCGAGGAGACGAATTGATGTACCCAGATCCACACGCTCAGCAACTTGCTCCAAAGTCTCGAGGCGATACCTCCATGGCGGGCATGGACCTGTCCCGAAAGAAGCCCCCGTCGTTCTTCATCTTCACCACTGCCGCTGTTCGAGTTGGAAGGTGAGACGGAAGTAGAAGCTCGTAGGTTCACGGCGCCTTTCAGACGTTGACCGGTTTTGGGAAGAACGAAGGTCGCCTGCCGTAACTGCACCGAGTTTTCCGACCGTTAGCAATGATGCTTCTGGGGTAGGCAGTTGCTGACGAGCTTCATTATTACCTCTGGGCGCAAAAAGCGAGGGGAACTGCTGGACGAGTCCTCGGACAGAGGCATTATTCTCATTTCATTTTCTTCTTCCTTTCCCCAAATTCTTAGGAAATCCTCCAAGAATCCATGGTAAGTGGATCAAGGCCACTGCAAAAAAAAGTCGTTTAACGTCTGCTGACCTCACGGATGATCTATTGTTTTTGTTTGGGGAGCTCCAAGGTCCACTGCCGGATCAGTGTGGAGTTTGGCATTGGCATTGCTCGCTACTGCCACGCCTGCGGTGGGGATTCGAAGACGCACCTATGCGATCGATCTCTTGCGGTCTGTCTAGTTACAGTAATAGCTTCGTGGTAAAATATACTGGGTAGAATTGGATTCTTATATACAATCTCAGTACTGTTGAAAATAAACGGCTCCTAGAGATGCTCTGATCAGACGATCATATCGGTTCATATGATCTATTCCAAACCCTCCACCTTCCACACCTTCACGGCAGCATCGGCACCAGCCGAGGCAATCTTAGACCCTCCAGCAATCCAGGCCACGCCATTGACACCCTCCTTGTGGGCAAGAGTTACTTGAAGCCAGTCTCCAGGGTTGGTTAAACTCCAAACGAAGATGTTGGTGTCCAAAGCTCCGCTCACCACATGGGTGCCATCCTTGTTCCAGTCGATGCAAGTGATTCGGGCCGTGTGGGCCGTCCAACGGTCAGTGACCAGACTGCCGTCAGCAGCCTTGAAGACGAGCACTCGGCCTCTGGAATCACCCACAGCCAGGAGAGAGCCATCAGGAGAGAATGCCATGGCAGACAATGGGTTTTGGGAGGCTTTGATGTCAACCTTGGGAGACAGACTAGAGCTGGAAATCTCGCAGATTTGGATGGTTGAGTCCTCGTCTCCGATGGCCGCAATGGTCCCGTGGGCTGCTACTGTCGTGACCGGGGACTTTGGTTTGAAATCTCCAGTCTTCTTTCCATCAGTGTAGATTTCAACATTCTCCGATGTACCGACCAAGACCGTTGAATTGCCAGCCGCAACTCCCTTGGGCTGTCCAGAGAGCTTGGAGGCGCTTCCGGTGTACGTCTTGGCAGAAATATCAGCAGAGCGAATGGTATCATCCCAGCCTACACTGTAGATTCTACCAGCCCCCTCCTGAGTTGGTACAAGGCCGGCAATGTACCCTGAGTGGGATTCCCCTTCCAGTGTCTCTGCGGTTGCGGTGGCAACGTCCCAGCCGCAAACTCTGCCTTCGAAGCTCCCAGTCCACAGAGTTTCATCTTTCTCGTCAGATCCAAATCGACTCATGGAAGTGATATTCTTCTGGTGACCCTGGATAACCCGTGTGGGTTTGGGAGTTCCTTCAACCAGGTAATTGAGGTCGCCACTCAAGGACAGACTAATGAGCAGATCGTCGCTCCTGCCTGGGGGCCAGACCACGCCAACCTGCTGGTCGTTGACATTCATGCTTCCTTCCTCGCCCATGTTCCAGCTCTGTGAGACCTTGCCCGCTTCAACATCCCAGATCTTGACGGTTCGATCCGCACTCGCAGTCACAAACTTTCGAGAATCTTTGGACCAGGAGACTCCGAATATGCTACCCTTGTGTTCACCTTCTCCGATTTGGCCCTTGGTTTCTCCAGTCTTTCCATCGTAGAGCCAGATCTTTCTGTCTGCACCCACACTGACCAGGCTAGAGCCGTCCGGGCTGAAGCCGACGCCGTAGATATAGTTGGTGTGCTTGTCGCGAATTCCAGTATTGAATTTGAATGGTGCTCCATGGTAGAAGACTAAGTTCCTGTCGTCGCCAGCGGCGGCAGCTCGCAAAGGCCTCTGTTGTCTAATGGAGACGGCGTTGATCTGCTGAGTATGTCCATAAATCTCGCCGACAGTATTTCCGCTATCCCACGTGATGCAGTGGCCAAATCGTTGTTTTCCATCACCCACAGCGATGATACGCTGGGAATCACCGTCCCAGGCGAGATCGTTGATTCTACCATTGACAATGCTGTAGTCGCCTTTTGTAATTCCTTCGCCGACACAGTCCCAAACCTTGACAAGACCGGCAGAATCACCACTTGCGACATAGAACCCAGAAGGCGAAAAGCGGGCGACTGTAGTTTGGGCTTTGTGTTCGGTGTACTGTCTAGCGATAGAGGGGTTGTCGATGGAACGGATGAAGATGGATTTGTTCGACTATGAGTCGATTGTGTCAGTTGGGAATTCAACCCTTATATTTATCATTCCGATGGGGTCCAGCACGTACTGCATAAGCAAGACGTTCACCTTTGGCGTCGGAGGAGAGCTGCGTGGTCTGACCCCTCGTCGTGGAGGGGCTGGCTGCCCAGATGGACTCTAACGATTGTTAGCATCCCAAGCGATGAAAAACAAAGGATGAAAGTACCATTTGTGATTGACATGACTGTACCTAGCAGTAACCAAGAATAAAAAATAAAGAAACGGTGTAGAATGAGGAAAAGGAGATTGGGGACGGAAAGCTGGTGGTGTTGATCCTATCGTACTAAGTGCTGGGGCCTGACGTATCGGTGGGGAAAGAAACACGGCGGAGTCCTGCGTTTCAGGACAAGCCATTTCATGTTACTAAAGTTGTTTTATCCAGGATGTTCTGTGGACTCTCTGATAATCCCAGGGAAGATACATATGGATGCAGAAATAATATAATAATCTACAGGGGCATAGAGCGTAGACACGCCCAACATATCAACAGCATGAAATAATATGGATGACAGTAGTAGTATAGTACAGTAGCAATGATCCCCAAATCCTGCATTTAACATGCAACGTGTGCATTTGCTTTAGAAGGCACTACCTCCATCCATTTTAGCCTTTGCCTCTGCAGCCAAAATCTCCGGATGTCTGTGAACACTGGGCATGAGACCAAGACCAATGGCTCTCCGGATGGCCTTTGCAATTTTGCGCTGGTTGACTGGTCGTAGACCGGTTTGGTTTCTGTGTTTGATACGGCCCATGAGAGTCATGTATTCGGACATGATCGAGAAGTTCTGTCGTGGAAATTAAGCTCCGAGTCAGCCAATTTACTTCCGACTCTTGGATGAAAAGGATACCATTGCTCCTTTTTCTGGGAAAATATCACCTTGTACAGGTCCAATGGATTCATGTTCAAAGCATCAAAAGCATCGGTAGGCGGGCTTTGGCGCTTCCTCCATTTCTTCATCTCTGCCGGGCTGAGGTCATGGGGAGCGTAAATGTCACCAGCCCTCCATTCGCGAGTCTGGAATCTTTCGAGTACTCTACTCTCTCCCTGGGCTTTTTGGTCCTCGAGGAATCTTTGGCGGTTAGGTAGTCGACGACGGTGGAACACTCTGGGGTCTATTCCATATCAATTAGCAGCAGTTCAATGTACTCCCCCCCCTTTTTTTTATTCCCTATTATCCGTATACATCTCCATGGTTCATTTCGAATTGCTAAAGGCACGTACTCTGGTTGCTGTTGTTGTTATTGGCAGCACGCTGGAAAGCAAAAGCATTCGTTGCGGCCGTCGAGTTCCATCGACAAGTCGACAGAGATCCAAGATTGGACCCAAAGGTTCGCAAAGGCGACGAGGAAAATATATTCAGAGCCATGATGCCGTCACTCTCCCAGGTGAATTAATTGGAAGTGTGTCGAGGGCGAGGAGTAATTCCACGAGCTGGTTGTTCGGAGGCCAGAAGGAGTGGACCGCATCGGATTTCTTCTCGACGCGCCAAGGAAATTGTCTTCCGCCTCCGATAGCAGCTCTGCTCTTCTTCCAAGTGCTCCTTGAACGACGACGGTATCAAATTTCCCCAACAATTCCAATTCAATTGATGCACAATCATGATAGAAGCTTGGTTCTAGCTCTAATTACCATTTCTTGAGTCGGGACTTCGTCTTTGTCTTGGATCACTCACTTCGAAAGCCCGTCAACAACTACCTACCTTCATCTAACCAACATGCAGTCCCACCTCACCAGAAGGGTCTTCTGGGCCATTCTGAACAATGAGCCGCTACACTCGTCGAGATGTCACAACAGGCTACTACATACTACTGCTCCGGCGCATCGAGCCCGAATACTAGGCGTATCGAATTCCCAGCATGTCCAGCGACGTGGTTTCTTCGCGTTTAATGTCTCGCAACCGTCCGGTGAGAAATCTTCGACTTTGCCCTCAGAGACAGGCTTAAAGCCGATGAGGGATCTCATGAAAGCAATGGCGCATAAGAATAGAGGGCCTCCAAACGATGTTCTGGCGAGGGCATTTCGGGAGTTCTTTGTGGCACGAGCAGAAGCTCCGGGTTTCATTACGGGTTTCCAGGCCCGCATGCTGATTCTGACGTGGAAGCACTTGAAGGCTCAGCAGGACGAGTTGGAACCCGAAGAATGGCAGGCAGTCTATTCCACCGAAAATCTCGAAAATGTCCTATTCGTTCTGTCAGAGGCAACATGTTTACCGGAGTCGCGCGATGCAATCCTCAAGATCGCCCGTTTCGCTTTCCTAGAACTCCGTGCGGATCATGGATTTGGCACCAATACTATCAGCAGACCCGCAATCATTTCTTATATCAACCTTCAAGCACTGAACGGCAACCCTGAGGAAGCGCGGCACATTGTCCATAAGTTTTGGAGCAGACTGCGCAAGACAAAGCCTTCTCCATTCCTCGCAGTCATGAAAGGATTCGCTATGAATGGAGATAAGCGTCAACTCAAGCGTGTTACGGAAGATTTAGAAAAACACGGCAGAAAGTTCGACTGCAGGTCTCATGAAGAACTGACTATAATGCTTATTGACCATGATCTCCTTGATGCAGCTAAAACAATTTATGAGTTTCCAATTTCGGACAGCCAAGAACCTTCTCTTGCGGCAAAGATGGCGGTGGCACGATATGCAATTTTCAAATCTGAACTCTCCTGGGTAAAACCAATTGTCGAATCCCTTTCTCAGCATCCCAGTCCGGATATCATGAATATCATCCTGCTCTGGGAAGCAGCAAATGGCAAAGATGCAACTGGGATTTCAGAGAAAGTCAAATCATGGATGGCAGAGAATCGAACGACCGAATCGCCGCTTACCATTTCGTGCGTGAATGACCTCATTGGGTTTGCCAATTCTATCAAGGATCCTCGTCTCGCCGCTGAGTTCTCTGCATTAGTTCCCCAATGGGGACTGGAGGCAAATAACCAGACGCTTATATTGCAACTGGGAAGTCTTGTTCAGGCTGGTGACGTTGATGGAACGCTGGAATTCTTGCAGGGCTTGCCTGAACTCGATTTAATGGCAACTGATAATATTCCGTTGATGAATCAGCTAGTTGCGATGCTTTGCATGTCAAAGCAGGATGATGCGCTGTTCGATCAGGTCTCATTACTCCTTGATCCATTTTTTGAAAGCAACGTGCGCTTGGAAGCAAGTACAATTGCCGCCTTGACGCATATGCTCCTCTACCGCCACGACTGGGAAGCTGTTTCAGAACTACTGCGCCCACGCCTAGGCTCGTACGACACGGAGGAAAGGACCAAAATTCGGGATGCCCTTACTGGATTTATCCTAGACCCCAACCAGACAGACACGGATGTTTGGGAGGTATATGGTCTTTTGCGAATTGCGTTTCCGGAGACAGGTGTGAGCATGCGAACTGACATAATGAACTCCTTTTTCGACCGGGGAAAGAATGATCTGGCCTGTCTGGTTTTTGGACATATGCGCCAAGCAGAAGATTTCCAGCAACGACCGAAACCAGACACTTACGCCAGATGCTTCCAAGGAATCTCTCGTACCGGTGATGCCAAGAACCTTGAGCTTATTCACAACATGCTCAAGTTGGATGCCGAAGTCAACCTCAACACTCGGGTCCTGAATGGGTTGATGTTGGCCTACGCGGCTTGCGAGATGGCGGAGATGAGCATGGAGGTATTCCGCGACATTCTCCAAACGGAGGAAGGGCCCTCGCACAAGACCATTGCGATATTCTTTAAGGTCTGCGAGAAGCATCACAACGGTGCTCAGGAAGCGATGAAAATGATGAAAAAGGTCAAGATCCTCGAGATTGATGTTGACCGTCGGCTGTACATGTCGTACGTGGAAGCATTAGCCGCGCAGTGCGAATTTAACATGGCCGCGGAGGCTATCGACAACATGCAGGCTGAAACTGGCTACACACCGACACGCAATACGTAAGTAATATGCCATCCGTCTTTTAGGGATACGCTAACGGATATCTCAGAATCGGTCTGTTTTACAACACAATCCCCTATCAGTACTGGAAGGATGAAGTCGAGAAATGGGCCAAAGTCAAGTACGCCGAACAGTGGACACAGCTGGAGGAATTGGAGCGGTCGGAACATGAGGAAGGGCAGAAGTTCAATGGCATCGTCAATGAAGTTTTTGTATAGGACGATTATTGACTATCTAAACGATTGTATATATTGTATTGTATGTGATGATGTCGTCTATTTGTCTATATACCAATCCAACTTAAATCTACATATGTATTCAACCAGAATTAGAAACCGTTTAAATCAGTTAATGACTGTAGTTTATAACATGCATCAGTTGTCCAACTGCCAAGATAGATTTCTCGTGCTAAAGAACTGATCATCAGAGAGACTCCTCCACACCAAAACAGGCTGCATAATTAGTTACGACCTTCTTGCAATCAGCATGCTCCATTATTTTCCTGCAGTCTGTGCGAACCAAACAGCCCCTCATGAAAACACGGCACATGCAGCAGGGGATTTGAAACCTTCGACTAAATTACCGACTACCTAGGACCGGACAGTCTCGAGTCGACCTCGTAGGCAGTGGATCCGACTGGCGCTTGACAGTTGACACAAAACGGCCGGCTCTTGGTGAAACTATCCCTGTCCAGTGGCATTAGTAATGATTATAAGAATTATTCGAATAGCCATGCCACTTTCAATTGACTTGCTCCATCTCTTCTACGCTCAACTGTGAAGTCAAAGAATTCGAGACTAACGACGTTCCAATGGGGGGCGAAAGTCGAGTTGCTATTCTCACCGGAGCTACTGTTAGTTCTACAACCCACCATCGCTCACTTCCATATGACAACCACTGACTGACAAGTATGTATAGTCTGGCATCGGGATTGATATCGCCAAACATCTCTACGCCTGCGGATGGAAGGTAGCCTGTGTAGGACGACGCAAGGAACCCGGTGAGGCCCTGGTGAACAGTCTCGGGGAGAATGCACGATTCTTCCAGGCAGATGTCTCGCAGTACCAGAGTCAAGCGGACATGTTCCATGCAGTATATCAACTCTGGGGTCGAATTGACACACTGTGCGCCAACGCCGGGATTGTGGATCAGTCTTCGATATACGTGTACGACCGGAAAGACGAGAGGGGGATAGACGACATCCCACCCGAACCGGACTTGTCGTGTACGGATATAGACTATAAGGGGGTGATTTATGGTGTGCAGCTAGCGACACACTTTATGAGACACAATCGGCCTCAGTCAGGGGGGCGGATTATCGTGACAGGGAGTATCGGAGGCATCTTTCCGCATCGATCGTATCCAGAATATTGCGGTGCCAAAGCAGCTGTGATTCAATTCATCCGCGGGGTTGCGCCGTTGCTGAAGCAAAAGGATAATATCCTGATCAACGGCGTTCTGCCGGGGATAATATCCACGCCAATTGTGCCACCGGAGATGATTGCCGCTGTGACCCCTGAATGGTAGGTGGATGACTACTGCTCCTTGTATAAAAACACGCTAAACAGGAACAGCATCACGCCCATGCAGACAGTTCTGGACGCATATCAGGTGTTCCTCGAGGACACGACGGGTATGGCAGGAGAGATGATGGAGTGTTCGGCCGACAAACACATCTACTATCACTTACCAGAGAAGGGCAATGGACGGATCACGCAGCGGGCTGTGACGGTGTGGGAGCCATTGTTTCGCATGATACATGGGGAGGACTCCGGGTTGGAGGGGGCAATTCAATGATATATTCGTCTTATATATCAAATAAGGTATGTTGTTCACAGTAGGTTGTCTATCGGTTGACTGACAATATCAGAAGGACATTCCAAAAACCATGTGAAGTACGAAGAATAAAGTCAACTATTTATTTATGAATTATACACTACTTTGATCTTTAATGAATCTAACAACCACATACCACAGTCAACCCGACAACACCTTGCCCATTTCATTCTCAACAGACGTCGCCCCCCATCACCTCACGCATTCCCTCATCGCAAAATTCAATCTGCTAGCGAAAATAAAAGCTCGTCCCTGAGATCTCCACCGCATGCCCATATGCCTTTTCGCTGGGAACACTGACACCCATGGCATCGACTAGAAAGTCGCTATCCCCGTCTTTCTGATCATGATCTTGTCGTCTATCTACCAACATCAAAATAGCCCGACAGATGGTATCGAGTGAGATGAACAGATGAGACGGGAAAGCGGTTCATGCAGCCTCGTCGAGGAAGTTTGTTTGTACGGCACTGGGGCAGATGGCGTTGACGCGGATGCCATCCAGGGCGAAGTTGGGAACAATAGATCGCATGAAACCTACGACTCCATCTTCCATTGCACATTTACTTTAACATAGAAATCCAGAATGTGCACAAGGCTCAGATACACTCACGTTTAGCAGCCGAATACAACGGCACCGACCAAGAGGGATAAACCCCTCCCCCTCCCCCACAGCTAGCTGTGATGACCAAGATAGCCCCCTTCCCATGTCCAGGAGATCGACGGAAATAATGCTGAGCCAGGTAGCTAGTCAGTACGACACTCTTCAAGTCAATATCAAGAACGCGCAGATCCGGTTTCGGCGGCGGTTCGTCCGACTCGGACGCAGCAAAGAAGTTAGTCCGTTCAATTACGCCGGCATTGGCAAATACAGAATCAAGCCTGCCGTTGGAGGTGAAGACGCTGCGGAAGGTGTCTGCGAGGTCGTTGTAGCTGGTTACATCAGCTTGGTGGAAGGTGGCATGGGGATGGAGCTGCTGGATGGCGGTTAGGCCTCTGCATTGATATCGACCAGGTGAATACTCCAGTTGCCGCGACGAGAGAGACCTTGAGCAACGGTGAATCCTATTCTACTTGCTATTGCGAGCTTGCGGTCAATTGAAGTCGATCATGACGGTGGTTATTAGACGACTTACCTCCGCCGGTAATAATCGCGACCTGAGATGCCATTTCGATATGCTATTTTACAGAGTTACGACAAGATAGAGATGGATCAATCATAATAAAAACTTTTGTTTTCCGAATTCTTCATTCTGAATTTCGGTTCTCTCAATCAACTTATGAAATATAGCCATGATTAACCATTTATGATCAATCTTCATCCCATGTGGTAGATCAAATCGAAGCCAGAAATGAAGTATCACCGATCATCCAGATAAATCTCACAGAGTATACTCCGTACACAGACTGCAATAGATTAAACAAAGCAGAATAAAGCTCATCAGTTATTATATACATGCAGACATGGCATTGACATCATGCTTGATCAACTCCGAACTCCAAAACCAAGGTATGTACTCCGTATAACATCCAAAGTGACCCAAACCCACCCATCTCCATCAATTCCAACCCATAAATAACAATCACATCACGATATCGAACCAGGCGCTAATAATACCGAGCCACAACCCCAATAATCGTCCCAGCAATCGCACCGGCAATAATCGCAATGACCACCCGAACCCCACGATTCGTCTCCCTTCGTTTCTTATCCTGTCTCTGCATCTCTACGTCCCTAACCATATTCGATCTGTGGATTTCACGCCCTCGCTCCCTCTCTTGCTCTCGTTGTCGTTGCCGGTCTCGGCCTAGGCGAGGCGGTGATCGGTATGACGATGCTGTGTAGGGAGGGGGCTTGGTGGGATGATAGGATGGAGGTGGCTCTTGGGGTACTTCGAAACGAGAGGCGTTGAGGTAGGGGTTTAACGGTGGAGGTGCTGTTCTCGTCGTTGTTGTTGGTTTGGGAGCAGTCATGTTGGGGGTTTCGGGCATTTTTTATGCGTTATACTTTGTGGTCTATGGATTTGTTAGATAGGGGTTGATAGGAGATCTATGGTGTACTTACAGTTGATATGTAAGATCATCCGGTGCAATAGATAGACGGATAGATAGAGATGGAATCGAGAGTTGCATGGTGGGAGAACCGTTGCGTTGAGAAACAAACTGATATCCCCAGTTGCATCGTTGGGGCTCAGCATCAAAACACAGCCTTGTACGCCCCGTGAGCTCCCACGTGGACAGTGTAGCCTTGGGCGCAGCTATATTTATTCGCGATCCTCAGGATTGGGCCGATTAATTAGTGTAGGATTATATTGTATGGTGAGCGTGTGTTAGTTAATGTCGGTGGAACACAGACTCTGAATAGCCTCATGTTTGATACACCCTTGCCCGGGCAAGAGGGATAAGCCAGTAATAGTAATCAACCAGATAGTTATTCAAACACTATACTATCTATGGAATAACAATGCATTATCAGTACTCGTAACTTTTATCCATGCAACACGCATTCATAATTATTATCGTATCCCTGCGTCCTCGCAGAATGAACCTTAACATGCAATGTAACAGAACTCATATCTCTATCATTTATGCCTGGGCCTGGGCCTGAGACAGTCTCTTGGTCATACTGCATCATCCAGTCAGTCAAATATCCTCATTCGTACTTCATCAGATCACTCACAAGTCAAAGAAAGAGAACTGGCTGGGGTTGCTGCCATGCTCGTACACGAATCGGCTGGCCAAGTAGCTACCGAAAATTGCCCGCAGATAGTTCTCAGGAACCTGACAGAATTAGTATAAATCTCATCTATAGGATGCATTGTACTTACCCGCTCAACAATGGTGTCCAGCCCAATCTTGTCCAGCAAGAGTTTCGGGAGCGCATCGCCGAGAACGGAGCGACGGAGCACAACGTTGTCCCACAATTCTGTCTTCTGGAGCTCCTCGTCAAGGTTGGTGATGGCAAGACTCAGGCGATCACTCAGCACGCTGCGGAGCACACCAGTCTGCTGGTTCTCGCGCCAGATCGCCTCAAACTCCAGAGTAGCGTTCTCCTTGATCACTTCCTGCACCTGCTTAACGTAGTCACTGTAGAACTGCGGCACTGTACCATCCTCACGAATACACATATTCTCCACGAACGCTTCGTCGTCAAACGACAAAGACGCCAAAACCTCGAGCGACGATGAAGTCACACCACCCTTGTTAGCAGATGCATCCTTGAACAAGATGCAGCCGGCCTTCTCCAGGCGCAGTTTGCTGTCTTGGGTGATGAACAGGTTGGCTCCCTCGACCATGTAGGGAATGGTAGATTTGCCATCCTTGATGAGCTTGCCGACGGTAGACAGGTCAATGGACTCGGGACGTCCACCGCATGGAACAAACATGTCGTACGGCTGCTTTCCACGCAGGTGGAAGGTGTTGCGAAAGATCATGCCGTTGTGGACCACCTCGCCGCTGGGAAGCTTGACATTGCTCTCATCGACCAGGACGCGGTAACCCTCCGGCGACAATTTCGACACGTCGAATTCGGAGATCATCACTCGCTTCTTGGCCAGTCTCACGAGTTCCTCATGGTTCAGTCCCTGAGGATCGACAATCACACCCGCTCCATCCACGATGGCCGTGTACTTCTCGTTAGAGAGAAGAATTTCGTTAGATCCCAGGTCACCATCCGGTCCACCAGTCTGCAGCTTCTGCACAGTGCTTGGGTCGATCTTCAACTTGCGGTAGATACCGAGGACATACTGGCGCACAGACAAAGTGGTCATGCCGTAGGTGTCGTGGGGAATACCGCCCAGCTTGGGGCTCTTACCCGTGAAGAAGGACTTCCACCACGGGGCACCACGGCTTCGGGCATGCTCAGTGGCCCAGTTGACCAATTCGGCAGTGTTCTCGTCCGGTCCCATGAAAAGAATCTCATCCTTTCCGTGGAGATCGACAATTGGGTCCTTGATACCCGGGCTGACCGGAGGCAGCAGCAGATCCAAGATACTGTCAATGTACTTTTCGAAGGCCACATGCACCTTGTCTTGGTGGTTCACATCGAGCAGGATCACGCCCTTGGCACCGCCTTCAGGGATATCCTTGTTCTTGCGCTGCTGTGTATTGGCCAAGTTGTAATTTTCATCGAACAGCGAGCGTGCGTTAATGCTGTACGCCTCCTTGTTTCTACTTTTCACAATTCGGATACCACCACGAGCAATGTCTCGGAAACGCAAGTGGAATCCACGGAACTCGGAGCTGATGACCAAGAACATTCCGTACAAAGGCTGAGGGTATTCGTGTCTGGGCAGGAAGTCAGGGTTCAGACGGAAGCTCAGGGCGACCTTGGTCGGAGTGAAGAAGTTGGTCTTGAGGATCGAGTTGTTGAAGACACGGAAGGCAGTCATGACCATCTCATCGTGCTCATTAGCCGCGGTGGTCGAGATCAACTCCTTCAGCTTGTTGCCGTCCAGGACCTCGTCAACCTGAAGACGCAGGTAACTGAGGGTGGGGAGGAAGTCATCCTCGGCAGGACCACGAGTTTGCACGTAGTGGGTGTTCGCAAAGTCGAGGTAGAGCTTGTGGATCAACTGAGGGTACTTGTTGATGATCTCCGAAATGTAGTCGGAGGTAAAAGTTTCGGTACGCAACCTTTTCTTGATCTTGGACAGCAACTCTGCGTGGACACTGTTGTTCGAGTCCAACAAGGCTGTCAGGGAAGTGTATTCAGATCCCAAGCGGTTCAGGAACTGCTGCACAAACACCCACGCGCAGTGAGCGTAGATGGTTTCCTGCAGACTGAGGCGTCCAACAGCAAAGTGGCTCTGGAATCTGTTTTGTGGGATACAGTAAAGAAGGGAGACCTCCTTGATGATCTGGTGAATGGCCGCCTCAATGGGAGGGAATTTGGCGGAGAGCTCGGGCTTGCCTGAAGGACGGAGGTAAAGAGAGATCACGGTGATACCGTTGGAAAAGTTCTCCAGGTACTTACGGGAGCTGGTCAAGCGGTAGTAGTGGTACAAGTCGGAGAGGGCACTGAACAGGCCCATGGCAGAGCCCTGGCGATAGGCAATGACAAGTCTCTTCTCACGACTGCCCTCGATCTCGAACATCTCGATGACAGGTCCGGATCGGCCAACGGCACTGGTGATGATTTCCTGGTAGAGAGCCTTGGTGTTTGCTGTAGCCTTCTGCAAGAATCGCTTTTCACCGATGATGTCAATGTTGGTCTCATTCGGGCCAGGGTTGGGGTTGGCAAACTGGCACTTGTAGACGAAGTAGCAGCGGAGCTGCTGCTCGTTGTCCCCGGGGAGCGGAGTGGGAGAGCGGAAGGTCTCGACACGGTAGCTGTTATCGTGGGTGGAACCATTGATGTACTTCTCGTCGATCCTCTGCTCATAGCGAGGACCATCGACGGTGGAGACACCAGGCTTGCTGGTGTCAATGTACACAGCATGGTCTTCCGCCTCCTTGTCCAGTCTGATCTCTAGCTTCTTGTCATCACGAGCGTAGGCAGCGATCTTGGCGGCGTAGAGGGAAAGAATCTGGGTGACAATGGCATCAACAGACTCGGTCTGGAAGTAGGTGTCATCAATTCCGAGCATGTTGTAGAACCACTGGGTTTCAGAGGCAACAAAGTCGGCGGGGAAGAAACCCTTCTCCTCCAATTGGTCCATGACTATACCGATTAGACAGAGTCATAGATTGTAGGTATAGAGGACTCACCTTGCTCCATCTGTTTCTGCTTTCCTTCGAATTTGGCCGCAATGTATCCAGGGTCCTCTTCGGACAGGATACGGTGCTGACCACCACCTGGAATACCCAAGTGGGTAGGTTGCGGAGATGGATGCCGCACAGCAGAACCGGCTACATTGTCCAGGATCTTGTTCTGAGGGTATCTCTGGAAACCAATGGGGGTTCCAGATCCTGAGGCAGGGCTGTCATTGCTCCCAAACATCTTGGGAGCTGGGCGAGAGGGGAGACCGTTGCTGTGGCCATTGAGACCTTCAGCGGGGTTGGTGGGGGTCATTGACTCCCTGGATTCGGGGAGGGGAGAAGCCATGATGAAGTCAAGATGGTAGATCGATTGACTCTAGACAGAAAGGATGAATAGGGAGAAGTCAGGAAATTTCTAAAAGAGGTGGGTAAAAAAAGTTAGTAATAAGAAGGGGGGAATGGCGGGATAGTTATGGGCGGAAGGAAAGTTCAAAGATAAGAAGGATACACAAGATGCTGGCAACCGGGACTTTATCAAAAGAATAAAGATTTGAAGCCAGTGGATGAGAGGCACAGGGTGTGATCGGAGAGACGTACCTGGCAGAAAAAAGGGGGGATACAACGTAGTCTTCGATTTCTGGGGGGGTTCAACAATGACGAAAGTGAAGCTCCAGGAAGCCAAGGTAGCTTATCGGGCAGGAAGATCTAACGGGAGGTATTTGGGAAGAAGAAAGGGATCCAGTAGGCAATCCATGCAACCGACACGTCAGAGAATATGCACGATAGAAGCAGATTGAAGACAGACACCACGTCGAGGGCAGGAGTGCATCCTTTTTATATCATGGCAAACGTGAATTCGCGAGCCACCAAGGCATAGTCATAGTCATAACCGGTGCTATGCGATCGCCGGTCCGGGGACGATACGTGTTACTAGTGTATTACGGTATTTTACCTACTTTACTCCAGAGTCCAGACTTTGCAATCAGTTACTTTGATAAAATTTTTATAATATTATTCTATAATATCTTTATTTCTCATATATTTCTATCTATCATATAAAATCATTTATCTCTATCTCTGTCTATATGTCTATATGTCTATCTAGATAGATCTCTCTGTTGATGTGGTAAATACCGCAAAACCTGATTGGCCACTGAACTAAAAATGGAAATTGCCGCATGGGAAATAATGCAATAAATTTAGAGTAATGGAATCATCAGCTGACATTGTCTTTGTCGTTCTGTCACTTGGCTTCGTTTGCTCTCCACCGAACCATACAATCCAAGGACCATGATGGGATTTTGGTGTGTCATGGCGAATGGCATTCTGCAAATCAAGGAGCAGCCCTGTGGCGTGCGATTGGAGTGCATGTTTCGATAAAATGCCTCATTACTTGATGATACTAGGTAGTAATAGGGTATTAGTTAACAGTATCTAGGTATGGTATGTCTATACCCCGGATTCTAGGTACTATCATATTCCATACAGTCTATTTATCTAGGTAGATATGTCTACTATGTATCCGATGGGCACCATAGCATCTGCATTCATGCATCCTGTATAGTGGCCTAACAGGCAGTCTTGCGTCTTATCTATCAGAATATCCAACACACAATTGCATCCATCCAGACTCTAACCGGCTTGACAGACTCGAGCTCGGACAGGCTCTGAATGATCAGCGCAGAGTTTTTTCATCGCGGGGTTGATCCTCGAATAGAGACGCCTTGGTACCTGGATCAACCCGGATTGCGGGGTATTCAGCCAGGCAATACCAGATGAAACTGCAGGCATTCCATTCTCATTAATAAAAATGGCTCACTTCCCCAACCGTATTACCCCGACATCACCATAAAGGCTGAGGATGAAGCCATTCGGCCTCGTTTTTGCGGGGTTTCCACTTATTCCTTACCTAATGAGGGCCCCGTGGACCGGCGCTCGGCCCTGGGATTGGAGAATGGCTCCGAGTGAGTCGGCTCGAAGGGCCGTTATGAGGTAATGCGTATTCAATGACGTTGAGGGCAGCAAGATCATTTATTAAAATGGATCTGGTGACTGTTAATTCAAGGATATGTATTGTATTGATACGGGATATCTACATAGTACAACTGAATTGAATGGTTGACTTGAATATATTCCAGGCACCTTGCACATGGAGCCTATATATTTCTCCAGACTCCTTAGTATGCAATGCATGATTTGCAGCGATCTTCAGCAAGTCAATTAGAAGACTAAGGTACAGTTGAATTGAATATTAAGAATGAAATGATACTTAATAAGTGCATTCAGTATCAATCACATGATATCATTGGTCCCCAGTTATATCTGGGTACTCAGAGCATAGGTATACTCTTTGAGTGGGTTAAGTTATGATCACTATTCTGCTTATTAACACATGTACAACTATGTACATAAATACTCCGTACCAGTTAAATTGTACCACAAAGACACAGGACAAATGCAAGATGAATCAAGTTGACGTCGTCATCTTGATGAATAGGCTATCAGATGGACATCTGATGATGCATATATGCCAGCTGATATCAGTTAGTAGAAATCATAAACACGTTGATGACAGCATGCCAATATGGTATACCAATGCATACTTTCTGGGGTAAACGAACAACCAGACCGTCTGTGCTGTTTGTATATCTATCATTTGATGATCAAGCGGTCAATAAGAAAAAAAGTCTGTACTTCTGATCGACTCAATAATTCTCCAGACATCCACTGTTCTCAACTCCGGGATTTCTCCGTGTAGCTCCATGAGGAATCCTCCCGATGGGGCGGAGGATCAACAAGGGGAACGCGGTCCGGTGGCTTCCCCACTGACTATCGCCGGATGAAGCGGTGGAAGGATTATGGAATATCGTGAAGTGAATGATATAGCACAATTCAGGGATAGATATCATATCATTATATTAGTGTATGGAGTGGTACTTTGTGGTGGTCGTTGGACTAGTCCAATAGTCCCTGATCCGCTCAAGCAAGGCGCATTCTAGAAGCCCCAGCTGCCCGACAGTCTGGTCGCTGGATCTGCTTGAAGCTATATTGGATGCCCCGGAATCCGGGATGGACGGAGCGTTTCTCATTCCTGGCGGATCTTCGCCTCCATCCCCATTAGTCGCCCTCCCTTTCTTCTCTTCTGGGCTATTTCCTTTGCCCCTTCTTTTCCCTTTTCCCTTTCTCTCCTGCTTCCCCACACTTGCACACGTATGTACTCCATCTTTGTATCTTTTCCCTTTTTTCTCCCCGGAAGATGAGCCCTCTCCGGTTGTTGTTCCCGCACTTCCGACCCGTCGATTTGTTGTGTTGACGATTATTGATTATTGAGACCTTGCGATATACCCGATCGGAGTAAGGCACTGTTTTACTCCTGGCAATCAAGGGATCTTCTTATAAAGACTGTCTCATCTTCTGGCTGTCTTTTCTATTTCATCTTCCTCTTCATCTCCATCTCTCTCTCTCTCTCTCTCTCTCTCTCTCTCTCTCTCTCTCTCTCTCTCTCACGCTATCTCTCTCACTTTACTATACTTTCAGATACTGCATCTGCGTCCCTCTTTGATCTGTGATCTTCATTCCAGACCATCTGTACTACCCAAGATCACACTCTAATATTACATCACATTTCTCAAGAACTATCACATCCTATCTGTGAGTAACTCCCGACTCTTTTCCCTTCGAAAAAAAGGCAATTGATTACATCATGTTCATTCCCGATGAACGGAGTTGCTTTTCGTCTTTCCCTCGGCGATTTTCGGAGATGCGAAATCTAACCAGTACTATATAGATCATCAACATCTACGTCTACAAGACTTTAACAAGACTTCTACCACTACTACCACTACCACTTTTACGATCTTAATCGATCTTCGAGTTTCAAGTCGAACTACACAACTATCTACATAATGGCTTCTCCCATTTCTACCCGTCCTGCTCGTCCTACTGTCATCACTCCCTCCACCTTCACCCAGGACATCTCCCGTGCTATCATGGCCTCCACTCAAGCTCCTAAATATTCGGCTGCCATCGATACCAACCCTCACTCTCTCGAGTACCCTCCTCCCCCTCCTCCCTCTCCGGTCGGTTTCCGGACTCAACCATTCTGGGAGTTGAGAGGACACAACTAAACGGATCATCAAATCATCAAACTATCGACTTTCAGATTGAATCGGATCGGATCGAGAATAACGACTACTTGCATGCATACTGCGTTCTTTTTTGACTGGGATTACTTTATCACTTTACTACTGTACTTGTCTTGGGTTTCATCAGGTGTCCTTGGATCTTAGCGAGTTTTGCATGTTGGTTCTCTTCACTGTACGGAAAAGTTTGGGATTGGGATTGGGTATATTGTATTTATCAATGGATTAATTATCTATCTGCACATATCTGCATAAGAATCGTCCTAGAAACACCCTAGACTGAATAAATTGTAGATGTAGATGTGGATTGTAGATGGAAAGTACCTGTATGACGCCATGTCGAGCTCTGCAGATCGCCTTGTGGATCGCGAATTACCTTGGCCCTTGGGTATTCTCGGAACAGCCTGGGACCCTGGATAATCATCTTCCCTGTCATCCAGTTTGACTGCCGAGGGCAGATTCATCGTTCTTCCTCGGCTGGGCGGATCGGTATTCACGTGACACGTGATATTGATCCGGATATCTCATGATATCCGGATTGAGATTTTTCATATCTTGATTGTTCCTGATAACTGAGTCATGTAGATGCCGTGACATCAGTGACATAAAATCAACCAGAAAATTGAGTTAGTCAACGTTGATGATCTTCTGCGACATCCCCACCCAACTCTGCGTAGATATTCTCCAACGCCGCCATCGCATCAGTATCGCCGTGCATTACCGCTTCATCAAGGCGCTGGATCTCTGCGACTTGCTCTTCCGTACGAGCCCATCCGCGTAGCCGCTCCTCGAGCTCTAGATTCTGGCTCCGTTTCGAACTGTACACAGTCCGGACGGGATCTGTCTCCCCTTTGGCCCGTTTGGCATTCATAAGCCGTTCCAAAAACCGAGACTGGTTGGTCGGGGGTCCCGCCCGACGGGGATTAGTCGTGGAAGAATCTGTAGCTTGAGGATTAATACCGTCCTGATCGGGGACGGGGCCCGAACTGGAAATGAGGTTGGCCTTGCGACCGAGAATTTTGACACGATTAGCGGCGACCAGGTCAAAGTCTTTGCCGCGTTTTAGGGCGGGGATGGCAAAGGAGGAGGCTGAAGTTGGGCCATCGGGATTTGTGTCATCGGTGAGGGGTGCATGGTGACTATTCTCGGGGTGGGTAAAGAAGAGTTCTGTCCCGATCTGGTCGGCCCAAGAGCAGCTAAAAATCTGGTTTTGATAGGAAACGATTGGGTTGGGGGTGTGAAGGCCTAGAATCTGCACTCGCTCAGCTGCGGGGATGGCGCGGTCGGAGTCATCATGTTCGGTCGGAGATGGCAGGATGGAGGTGGCAGTAGTGGTGGCAGTATCAAAGGAAGAGGCAGAAGAGATGGGGGCAGAGGATTCCGGGCGTCGTCGAGGAGGGCGAATTGGGCCGTTGAGAGAGGTGAGGTCCAGGTTGAGATAGACAGACTGTTAAATTAATTATGCCTGTTAACAAATTATTGAGAAACAATGATGAGAAGAAGAAATACCTCCGTCTCAGTATCATGATATTCGTACTCATAATCGGAATCGTCCGAGTCAGCAGCAGGATCAGCCAGCATGGCCGGGTCCAGCGCCAATATTGGCTCGGAGTGTGGCTGCATGATTCCTGTTGGTTGGTGGTCTTTGGGCAGACAAGAGGAGAGCGAAAGACGAAGCAATTGCGAATCAATTCGATCCACTGCAGATCCCCGAGTGCATGCGGTGAGACTGAGGGGGAAAAAGAACTAAGGGATTCTTCCACAGGGCTGGAGATGGGCTGGAGATTGGAATGCTGGAGGTGGATGCAGATGGGAACGTGTGATAGTGATGGTGGTGATGGATGATAATGGAGGATTTTGATATGGACTGTCATATCTTTTTTTTTTCGCTGTCAGGCAGATGAGTTGTACAGCATATCCGAACATCATCACCATCACCATTATCATCATCATCATCATCAAAGGATCAAAGGATCATCTTCTTCCACTGATCATCCCGTGGAACCCCTCCCCTGTCGTTAATGGTCCCTTATTTTTACTTCTTGTTCTTTTTTTCTCCTTCCGTCTCTCTTCCCAACTATCACCGTCATTATTCCCTGGTTCTGTCCTCCACGTTCCTGGCATGACCGCATCTCCCTCTTTCTCCCTTGATCATCCACGAAGATCATGACCTGAAAACAATATCCCCACTGACATCAACAAAAACATTTAGAACCAAGATCTTCAAGCAGTGAGTCAATTGATGTCCCGTCTTTCCGTTCCTGTTCCAGTCCGGCTCTGCGCGGAAGCAAGGGACTATCTGCTTGCCTGCATCCGTCCTCCTCCCCTCCTCCTCTCGCGGTCGCCTCTTTGTTGCCATCTTTTGCCATCTCACCGATATTATTGACAATTAACTAATCTTGCCCTTCCGCCCATTCCCGGTCTCTCCTCACTGGACCATTTCTGTGTGCTTTTCTTTGCTTTTCTGCTGTTCACGGGGCCTCGTTGGTTTCCTGCTGGGCTCGGAAAATATCCATCATGTTCTCGACCGGTGTTGGCTGACTCTGCTGGTTCTTATTATTTCTAGTGTCTCCCACTTCATCCCAGGGCCTGCTCGCCCTAGTTGTTTGGTCATGGTTTTTCTGTTCTTCAATTGTTTTGTCTGCCCCTCATCCCATCTCTCCTCCCCCTCCCTCATCCTCGTCTACCCTTGAATCCTTTCTGCCTGTGGCTGTTCCGACCGACAAACAAGCTGGTCTTCATACTTCGATCGTTGGAAACGAAGCAGAGATTGCTCTCCTCCGTCAATCGCCTTTATCTGATCCATCCGACCAGCTCAATTGCTTACAACAGATGAAGCGGAAAGCCAAGACCGCGATCACTATCTTATCGTCTCTGATCGCCTATGCGTCGATAAACAGCTTGGCCCGCGCCCTCAACCCCACTGCCTTTATCTGGAGCGAGGAAGATAAGGACGAAAGCACTTGGATTGCTTCTTCCAACTCCTTTGTAGACCGCAAAGTCTGTCGCTGGTTTGGTCTCTGCGGTGCCTCGCATTTCCGCCCGGTCTCTGATCGCTTCGGTCACCGTAAGATCGCCGCGGAGCGGGAGGAGGAAGCTCCCCCGCTTTGGCAGTCTTACTGGTCGAGCGGTCAGAACGGGCCGGGCCAGTGGGACGATGCTGAGCGGGCCCGTCGCGAGATCCCCGACTATGTCTTCCAGTATGCTCCTCTCGTGCATCTCTTCTCCAATGAGCAATTCTGGCCAACCGATATCGCCGAACATCTCTTTCACACCACTCCTATGCTGAACTATACCCCAATTCAACCTCAAAAGGTGCACCCGACTTTGGATGATCTCAGCGAATTGAACCAATGGAACAGAGCCCGCAACGTGTTTCTGACCAGCACAGACAATGTCGAAGATCGCCCTTCCTGGCTGGAAGGCGACAAAAACATTCCCGTATCGGCTACGGACGGGACTGAGGAGTCTTGGGCTGACTGGGATGGCCGTGTTGACGGGGATATCCCGGGGGATACAGACGAGGACAGAGCCAAATGGTATGACACCGATCAGCCGCTCCGCACACAGGCGGATAGTGATCCATCGGATGATGAGGATTCCCAGCCCGGGAATCCCTTCAGCGATGAAGATCTGGAGGAGCTACGAAGGAGGTACGGCGGACATCGTATTCAGGTTCAAAAGACTGGCGGGCGCAGCGATGCACCAGCTGTCTTGGTCGTGATCGACAAAGGGAATGGGATTATCGACGCATTCTGGTTCTATTTCTACAGTTTCAACCTTGGCAACGCTGTCCTGAATGTGCGATTTGGAAATCATGTTGGCGACTGGGAGCATTGCCTTGTGCGATTCCACCATGGCAAACCCAAGGCGCTCTTTTTCAGCGCTCATTCGGCGGGCGAAGCGTACAGCTATGAAGCGGTTGAGAAGATTGGTGAACGGGTAAGTCAAGTCTAAACAGAATTGCTTTGGCCTTGGGGGCTAACTCATACGCTATTTAGCCTGTCATCTACTCTGCAGTAGGCAGCCATGCAATGTATGCCACCCCTGGAGTACACCCATACGTCCTTCCATGGGGTCTACTCCACGACCAGACTGATCGGGGTCCTCTCTGGGACCCTCTCCTGAATTCCCACACCTATACATACGACCTTGTTAACGATACCTTACGTGCATCTACCGCTAATCCTTCTGCTCCTACCGAATGGTTTTACTTCAGAGGCCACTGGGGCGACAAGTTTTATCCACTGGGAGATGATCGTCAATATCGCTTCGCTGGCCAGTATCACTACGTCAGCGGCCCGCTTGGCCCTCGTTTCAAACATCTCGATCGTCACAAGGTTTGCCAGGGCCCCGACAACAGTCCCTGCGTGATTAAAAATTGGATTGGCGAAAGCCAACGAGCCAAGCGCTGGGCCAGTTCTGGAACTGGCGAAGAACACTCTTGAAATATACCCAACCGCATCGATTGAGTCGAATGCTATCTCACAAATGACGTACTGGGCAAGGCGTTCAGTGTTATCTGCTTTTTTCTTTTCGTTTCTTGATTTACGTTTTGATTTCTTTCTATCATATACCCCGAAATGCGGAGTTTTTTTTGATTGTTGATCGATCAACTAGATCATCGCCAAGTGCTAGATGAGAAGTTTGACGACTTGTGACGGACAATGCCACTCAACGCTTATATATCATTATATATCATATCGATATTGGAAGCCGGAGTTACAATTTTGGCTATGGATGAATGCGTTTTTGTTTGATTTCGGTTAGGATGATTTACTTGCTATTGGATGGAAGAAGATGAATATATGCGTCAAGACTAGGGTTAAATCAAAGCGCTCTCCTCAATATTCTTCCAGGTTGACATAATAGATCCCATCCATTCACCAATCGATGATAAGCACTCAATGATTACTTCTATAAAAGAGTAGCCAGGAGTGAATAGCTTAAGACGAATTTATTCGATTCGATACCAACTCAAAGAAATAATATAATTAACCCCTCCTCATATTTCAAACCAACGTGTACACGAAAAGGAAGGAAATATAATTAAATAGAAGAAAGAAGAAAAAAGGCGCCCAGAAAAAGAACTATTCGTTCAGAGGTGCTCTCTGGCAATCGAATCTGATTGACGATAAAAACGCAAATAGAAAGAGGTATTTGCTGGATATGGAAAAAAAAAGAAAACAAAACAAATTGAACCGTAGGACTAGAACCGTTGAACCATAGAAGACAAAGGATATAGACGAGAAGAAAACACCATTTAACCCATACAACTTGAAAATAAAGCTTCAAGTATAAAGATGAACAAGAGGAAAGGGAACAAAAAGAAAGCCAAGGGAACGAATTGACCGGGGCGGGATATATTGGAGATCAACCGGTCTGATCAAAAAGACAAACCCAAATGCGCGACACTTGAACGCCAAGATAGAAAGGAAGACTCGCAGAGTGTCTGGGAAAATGAACAGAGGAGAAACAAGGATGCGAAGGAGAGAACCCAGTTGAAATGAAAAGGAACGAAGATACAACCCAGTGACAAACGCCTGAGCTTAGAAGATGAAGAAAGAAAAACCCGGAAGCTTCCAAAGTGTACCATAACCATCACGTTTCCAACGCCGTATTCCAGATTTCAAAGAATGAAGTCTTTGTTTCATCGCTTGCTCCGTCAAGGATATCGAGAAACACCATAACCATCATGAGATGGACCGAAAGGACGATGTATGCCGGTCCTTACACCCGTGTTGCCCGCTTGCGTAGTCCGAATTCCTGTTCTTGGATTTCCCGAATCAGACGTAAACTATCGGCATCCGGTTCGCCTTCAGCTATACGTTTCGTATTCTTGCCAGATTGACCAGGGGACAGGGAAGTAGCATGGCGATCAAACTTCTTGTCGGTCGTGAGCGAGGAGCTCTTCTTTGCGTGCGATGACGAGGGACGCGAAGAAGGCTTCTTCGAAGCTGACGGGCCGGGTGTGGTCTTGTGCGCGACTGTACTTGTTCCCCCAAAAGACGACCGACGAGCAAATGGCGTATGCGTTGGTAGCTTCGCAATCTTAGTCGCTTGGGCCTCGGGTATATATCGATCAACATGGCGAGGTTGACGTGACGAATGGCGGGAACTTGAAGTTGGAGTATGGAGGACAGCATGCTCCCCTTCGCCGTCAGCTTGGTCATGGGGAACATCCGTCTCGTCTGCCAACGAGGTTGGTGGAGAGACAAGGGTGGTTGTTGGCTGGGAAGACACAGGTATGGTGTTGACTTCCTTTGTGACCATAGTGTCGGTTTGAAATGCAGGTGGTGAGGCGTATGAAGTTTGACCCAGTGGGGCTTCTTTTGTCGTCTCGGCTACACCTACCTGTGGCCGGACTATCTTTGTGGAATGAACTCCCTCGTGGGCATGATCAGACGAGTGTGGGCGTGCATTTGACATCTCGCCCTCTCGCCTACTGAGGTTCGCCGGTCTCACCACAGGAGATGTGCTCTCCTGCTTCGGTTTCTTGTGTGCCGTTAAGATGGCATCATCCTCGTTCCGGGGTCGTTTTGCGGAACTGCTAGCTCGGGGTTTTGAACGTTCTTGGGCCTTAACGGGATCTACTCTGCCATATTCGTCATGAATGCAACGACGCTTGGCCAACAGTTAGTAAAGACGGGGAGTTCATTAGAACAGAAGGGATACTACGAACCTTGCTCTTTCGGCAATCATCACAGGCCTTGCTTCGCCCCTTCTTCCCCGAGTGAACACCATCAGGGCTCACATCATGAAGTCTGTTCGCGGACGCGTTGGGGGTGCTCAAGATTGTTGGGTTGTATTTTCCAGAGCCCTCGAAGTGATCCAGTCCCATCACGTTGCCGCCTTCTTGAAGACCAGCCTCTGATGCGATCGCTGCCAGGGAGTTCAACGCGGACGCGGCATCATGTGCCAACGATGATTGATTTTGCCCCGGTCCAAAGGCACTAACAGCCATGTGCTTATTTGATACCGTGTCACTTTGCTCGTCCTTGTGGCGACATCGTATCCGGCGCTTGCGACACGCATCACAGGCAACTCTCTTCGGCCCTAAACCGGATCCTCGAGGAGCAGTACGAGGTTTGGGGACAGACTCTTCCTTCATTGTTGTACCTGACGACGACCCATTGGCCAGTAGGGGAGTATCGGTGTCAGGTGGCACGGGCGAATCCCTGCTGATAGGCCCGGGGTTAATGGTGTCCGAAGTCGCAGAAGAGACTGGTATTTGTTCCGGAAGTCGCTGCACGGCCTGTCTCTCGGCATACATGCGCTGATTGTCTGCATTGCGCTCTGAGCGACGGCTGGGTCGCCCTGCCGGCTTCTTCTCTGTGAAGCTGATTTTGGCATTGCTTTCAATCACCCCGGGGCGGATCCATTGCGGTGCTTGTTCGTTCCCGCGCTTCCATGCAACCCATATTGCGAAATTCCTGATTGTATCTACTGGATCCCCTTGACCCTTTGGGATAGATCGCTTGATTGCATTCCTGGCATCAATAGTGACACCGTCGACAATGTAGGAGCCTGCAATAAGCGCTGTCCGCAGGAGGTACTTGACTAAATCAGGCAAACCTTCCAGTTCGGCTTGAGAATAGAAGCGAGAATTATGATAGGGAGAGCCAGGAGGCGGGGTGTTTGCCAGCTCTCCGAACTCGTAGTAGATTGGATATTCTCGGTGGAAGCGATAGTTCTCATCTTGCATGAACATATCGAGAACACTCTGGGGAATAGGATCCTCCTCAAGATACTTCAATGCCGTGTACCATTGGATTTTCTGGAAGAAGGGATATCTGAACTTCCTGGGTACCTTGGTGTCTTTCTCGATTTTTGAGATCTTGATCTGCATGCCGTAGTTCAACCTAGTTAGAAAGTTGCCACCGATAACCAGGCTGTTCTCAGGAGTCCAGACAGCATGAATCCAACCAGAAGGAATGAGCATAGTGTCGCCTTCCGAAAGATCAACGCGATAACATTCTTTTGTTTGGTCACCAAGGAAGGTGGTGTCTTGAGCAGGCGAATTGCACCATTCCTCGTATTTCTTGAGATGCTTATCCTTCGGAGGTATGAAGAAAAATGTCTTCTTGCCTTTGAGAATATGGTAAAAGACCGATGAACCGCCAAAGTCAATGTGAAAGTCGGTATAACAATTAGCGACGGACATTAAGGTGTAGAATTGAACCTTAGGGTAGTCGCCAATCCCCTGTAGCTCTTTGGGCCATACTGCATCCTGGAGGTCGAGATCACGCACAATCTTTGGTCGGCGAATTAACCTGCCTAGTCTGCTCTGTGAAACCTCCAGGCTGATGACGTTCCTGACGACCTTAGCCCCGGTGCTCTCATAGTAATCAGCCCACTTCTGCATGTTCCATCGCTTATCCTCGCCCTGTTGGGATTTAACATCGATAACTTCCACCCTTTCTTCCGGGCCATATAATTCGGCGACAGCTCTGACGGTGAGGCCATCGGGAATAACCATGTCCAGTTGATCCTGGCCACAATCAATCACTTGCTCCTGAGCCTGGCCTTCTTCCGGGAGATGCTCGAGTAGCTCGTCAAACATCTCTTGGGTGGGAGCATTTTGAACAAGGTTGTCGTATTCCGAGTCAGTTTCCGGGGTCAGATCATGGCGGGCATTCAAATGGGCAGGAATCACAATTGGTTCTGTCATTCCACTGCCACGTTCAAAATACTCGGCAGTGACCAATGTAGGGTCCATCCGAGCAAAACTTTCAGGAAGGAAACGAATCTTGCCTTGTCGGATGGGCTCGATGTAGTGGTGTTCCATGGAATCGGTGGCTGTCTTGACAAGTCCCTGGTGGAGACCCGCATAGTCAATGGCAGTGCGGGCGCGAGACGATTTGCGTACAAACGTAGTCTGCCCATAGACTGGCCGGCACCCACGGCAGATAAACTTATCAACGGTACGAATTTCACGATCACTCTTGAACCCGGCGCAGACGATATGGAACCATCGCTTGCAACCATCGCAACTGATCCATGTCACTTCGCCTTGTTCCTCCGTGTCCATTGGGATCCGGACCAGGTTGCAGGCAGCACAGCTCGCTTGGTTGGGCTCTTCGGGATGGGCATCCTCCATTTTGGCGGACAAACCCATTGGTTTGGGGAGCGTAGCATTGGACATGGCACCAGAATGTTGTGTGTCTATATGCACATCATTCCCTTGAGTGTGGTTTTCTGAATCCCACCTGATAGTATCTTCACCTTCCTCTTGCCAAATGATGGGCGGAAGGGTAGAGGAGCTGGTGTTAGGTCGTGCTCCACGAACGACTGGCCGGGAGATGACAGCGGAGCCGTCAGACTGTGATCTCATCCGAGAGGGCGGGAAGTTATTACTCCCAAGACCATTGAACGCAAATTTTTCATCTTCCGGTCCCGCATGGACTCCCCCGAAGCCAACCTTGGTCTGACGTTTCGTTTCACCTCCGTAATGATTGTACGACTCATCCGTGTTAAGTCGCTTCGATGAATGGGTGGTAGGAGGGAAGTTGCTTGGTCTGGCAAAGTTTAGCAGGAGCTCTGCATCCGTCTTCATGCTATCCAGGACGGAGTGGTGATTTGCATCGGGTCCCGCGCCCGCCCGGGGATGAAACGGCGAAGGGTCTTTCTCCGACCGCGGGCGCTTGGCAGGACGTTCGGGAGGTTCTATAGGTTCGGAGGGGAAGAGAGGTATCGCAGATGTGGAATTCTGGGACGGAGGTCTGTAGGAAAGAGGTGCGAATGTAGGGCTCGTTGCTAAAGCAATTGTCGCAAGAGTATCGATCGTAGAACTCGACCTGCCATGGCCGGATCGGTGATGAACCCCACCATCTGCTGCAGCATATCTTCCATTGTTCGCTGTGAACTGATCGCAATCAGAACTCGCAGCCCGAGGGCCTCCGCGGTCCGCCCATGAAGCACGGAAATCGGTAGTCGTGGTTGGTGAAATCGGTTCGACGGCGCGTCGCGGAGGCGAAGGAGTGCGGTACCGTGGCGGCCGGCTGCCAAGATGATTCAAAAAGGACGTCGTCCCAATCATCTTTAAGCAAGAGTTGGGAGACTCGAGGGGGGATCACGGAGGAGGGCCGGAAGAGAGACGGTGCAAAAAAAAGCTGTGCTTGCGGCAGGCGGGTGCAAAGCGGGGGTGTTTGACCACGCGGGCTAGAGAGAGGCCACCGCAGGCGAAGGGAAGGTCATCCCTGGCAGAATGAGAAGCGCACGATAAACAATGAGATGAAAGCCGGGATCGAATAAAACAAAAAGCGCTGTCGGGGGAGGGGGATGGATGGAGAAGAATCGCGCGGCGGAGGATAGTTGAGGGGGTGGGAAAGTTGAGTCGCTGCCGACTAGTCGAGAGCGGCGGGAGTGGCAGACCGAGAGCGAGAGCGAGGAGGCAGCGCAGCTGCTTCGGAGAGGGGAACGAAGCGACTGCAGAAACGGACGGAAAGCAGAAGATATACAACCGGCGATATAGGAGGATTGGAGGATGCGTCGTTCAAATGGATAAGATGGTGGGAATAGATCTAGAGGGAGTGAAAGAGGGCAGGTGAAAGAGAGGAAGCGCGAGGGTGAAGAGAGACAGCGGGCGCGCTGCCACATCGTTTGCGGCCGAACATACCAGGGGAACACAATGATAGAGCACGGCCTGGGCTGAGCGGTCTTTGATTCCGATCTACGGGGTATACACAGTACATTGGTATTTTACTTGAGGCAATTCCTCGAACTCATCCGCCGTTTACCATCCATCAAGGAGCGGATCATCTCGTCGTTGTCGATTGCTGTCGCTGCAGCGTGAGGCTCAACGGTGGCTCTAGTCCCGATCGGGAAAGGCAGCCCCCCCAATCCGAACCTCGTGCTGGTCTCTGCGCTCCGCCATCGCGATTGTCGGTTTTATCTCTTCTCCTCTTCTTCCTTCTCTTCTGCTTTTTCTATCTGCACGATCCCTCTCTGGGTATCTGTATCATCTTCAACTCCTCCGCTTGATCATTTCTGGACCGAATTTGTCCCCCCGAGAATGAGCCGAAAGCTCGCCCCCGAAGCCAATCGGTAAGTCCTGTCTGCCCTTGATTCAATCTGCCCCTCCTCCCATCACAAGATGCCACAGCTGTTCTTCACCGCACATGTGGTTATATGAAATGGATTTGGGTGTGTTGATCTTCCGGCAATCTGGCTAACTGAGATTTCTGTCGTTTCGTTTAGGATTCTCTTTGTCAAGAACCTCAAGTACGTTTTATCTTGCAATGAATCACTACCCCTCTGAACCGAAATTTGGACCATCAATCTTTGCAAATTTCCCCTAGGTTTTATATTGGATAGGCGATGCTAGTGTTTGTGACTTTGCGGCTAACAGGATGGTTTCTGCAGCTATAACGTCACTGCAGAACAGCTATTCGACCTCTTCGGCAAATTTGGACCCATCCGGTGAGCTAGCCTCAGGAGAGCAGGGATCTCTACTATCCCATGCAACTGTCATTAACTGACGTTTTTTATCGCCAGGCAAATACGCCAGGGTATTGCAAACAACTCGAAGGGCACCGCGTTTGTTGTATACGAAGACGTTCACGACGCCAAACAGGCATGCGATAAGCTCAATGGATTCAATTTTCAGAACAGATACCTCGTCGGTATGTGATTATTTTCAGTGTCAAAAGGGGCGATTGTCACTAATACCTCTTTCCTATCAGTTCTATATCATCAGCCGGAAAAAATGCTTCGGTCGAAAGAGGATCTTGCAGAAAGACAAGACAATTTGGAGCGTCTCAAACAGCAGCATGGTATAGAATGATATGATGGTTTCTTTCTCGCTTTCTCTCGGTACCCTCTGCAGACATCTAGCTGCGTGTTGTCTGTTGTCTATAATGGGTTGGTTGTGGGGTTTCTGGCGTTTTACTCCTATGGGTTTCGTGGCTCTTGTTCATGGGTATTGAAGGCTGTTCGCGGGTGGAAGAAGGCTTCGATCATGGTCCAGGGAAATGATTCAGAATGGGCTTTTGAGGCCGGGATCCCTCCTGTTATCGATCAGTCGATATTATCAATATGAATCTGAATTTCCGACCACGGTCGGTTTGCTTTACTGATGACATAACGTTTTCATATACGCTGTATCCCTGTATGCATATTAAATTCTACAAATCACTACTCTGTTTAACTATTGATATGAATGGGATGGTCGGGCCATTATGATCATGATCGTCAATATATTGTGGAGGACTTGACAGTCGAGGATAATAGCTGTCTAGTGTCCACCTTGTCGGATCTGCATGGTAAGTCTGGGTACTATTCCCATTGGCAGTTTGATGAGTTTATCTGCAGCCCTTCATTAGTCCTGGGTCGCATCCAAACTGTGTAGCATTCGAGCATCTTTATTGCATGAAATCCTGCTAATTAGTTTGAATTATCGTGTTTGCAAGTATGACACATCCAGTGGGAAGGGCATTCATTACTTGACTTTTTCATATGATCATTTGCTCATTTGCCTGCGCCCAGCTTGGCGTAAGACCAGTTCAATAAAACACCCACATCGTACGGAGTACATCGCGAATATTCAAAGAGCATGTTCAATACCTTTTTCCAAGTCAAAAAAGTATTAAATTGACATTTATCTCAGTATCTCCAGGATAATACTCTGTCACTCGAGTACGTAGATCCTAAGTAAGCTCGATCTAACCTAATGCGGTTAGTTCCATTGGACGGCCCCACCAACTTTTTCCTCAAGATTTTCTTCTTCCGTTCTGGAAATTCTTCCATCTTCAACCTCCAATTAATTACAGACCTGCAATACGGCAGTGATCCTTTGAGTGAGCCACTGATATTCAAGACTCATCTTAACCCCTTATCCGAAACCATGTCTGGAGAGCCCAATGCCGGTATGTGCCATCAAATCTTTGTCGAAATCTGCGCCAGATAAAACTGACTTGATATAGCCTGGCCCATCGCCGATGAGGCCCTCACTCAGAGTCTCCTGGACCTCGTCCAGCAGGCCTCTCACTACCGCCAGCTGAAGAAGGGTGCCAACGAAGGTAAGCTGTAATCGATGGATGTCTCGGGTCACCTGCTAACATTTGAGACAACTAGCCACCAAGACCCTCAATCGCGGAACCGCTGAGCTCGTTATCCTCGCTGCCGATACCTCTCCTTTGGCTATTCTTCTTCACTTGCCTCTCCTTTGTGAAGACAAGAATGTTGGATACAGTCCGTGGAATCTACCATTTATTTATAAAACTTTGCTAATTATAAATCGCAGTCTACGTCCCCAGCAAGCTTGCCCTGGGTCGCGCGACCGGTGTGTCTCGTCCCGTAATTGCGGCCAGTATCACCACGAACGAGGCCAGTGACCTCATGGGCCAGATCAGAGCTATCAAGGACAAGGTTGAGAGACTCATGATCTAAGAAATATGATTCGGGATCACGGATGGATGCGTATGAGAACTTGAGTGATTTTATACCATCCAGGGTTGATGAGCAAAACCTGCTGTCTCAGTGCTAGCACTGGGCTGCAGATGAGATGTATATCATCTAGAATCCATACATAATTGAAATGGACTTGCTAGATATTGATTTGTTGCCTATAGTTGAATTGTTCCTATAGTATACCCTTGTAAACATGCGGTCGTAGATCGGTTTACTCCCTACAAGGCGCCAGCCCTCACTTATCCCGCATTTAATGGTCTACTCTAAACAAAACAGCCTAATGGCCAAAAATACGCCAGTGAGAATCAAACTAATTAACTGCGCCTTTGTCGCTGCATTAGCCCCTCGACTAAGCGTGCGCATCGGGCTGTGCGCCAACCAAACCATCTAAGTTTGGCCCTCGGGACTGCACCATGAGTCCATGACTAACAACTAACTCCAGGGACTAGTGACCACCGCCCACCTGCGGAGTCAATGTCCCCATTCTTTTGGCGCAGACCCTTTTTCCAAGTAACTTATCTATCTATCAGGCTCCTTGCTGGCAAAGGAGTCTTATTTCCCTCCATCCTTATATTTCACCCCTCTCCATGTACGTCAACACACTTTGACCGAACCCCCATACTCTGCTGCTTCCCCAGAGTAGAGATTCCATACATACATACATACATGCCCGCCACGCCGGCTCCATCGTCATAACTCTGGGATCCCTTCGACAACTGCCCGTTCTTCCTCAAACCTATTGCCATCAATAGCTTCCTAGGGGCAGCTTCTTCTTTGTCTGCAGGAGGCTATTTGAGATTCACGACATTATTGTTTTTGTTTTTCTCCCGATTTTTGGCCCCTTCATTAGCAGCCATGGACACCGCCGCCTTGTCATCGCTGACTGCGATGGCAACAACAACGGCTTTAACAGCAACCAGTAGCGGTGCGGTGTTCAGTGTTCTCTCTGCGCCATCGCCGTCATCTTTTCCAGTTCCGAGCCAGGCTCCGACAGCGCCAGGAGATGTACCAGGTGGAGATGACAATGGAGAATGCAAGCTTTTGGGTCCGTTTTCACTCTTCGTGCAAGCTGCACTGGGAGGCCTTGCGCTATTGTCTCTAGTTTACAAGCGATGGAGAGAACGGCCTCAAAGACCGGTGAAGGTTTGGGCATTCGATGTGTCAAAACAAGTACTTGGAACTGCAATGCTCCATCTCGCGAACCTGCTCATGTCCATGTTCTCCGCCGGCCAGTTCGAAATCACAACCAACTTCAAGCCAAACCCCTGTTCATATTATCTACTAAATCTGGGAATTGACGTGAGTCTTCAGTTGTGCTCCCCCATGGTTATATGCCGATAGCTGACCGATATCTCGCTCATTAGACTACGCTCGGAATTCCGATTCTTATTTTTATCCTCCGCGTTTTGAATGCACTGGCCTTCTACACCCCCCTTGCCAATCCTCCCGAATCGATAGAGTCCGGAAACTATGGCAGTCCACCTTGCGCAACATGGTGGCTCAAGCAGTCAATCATTTACTTCATCGGGCTCCTAGGGATGAAGACTTGCGTTTTCGTCCTCATTCAATTGTTACCTTTTATTGTTAAGGTTGGGGACTGGGCCCTCCGATGGACCGAGGGCAACACGGCTGTCCAAATCTTCTTCGTCATGCTGCTTTTCCCGGTCATTATGAACGCCATCCAATATTACATCATCGATACTTTTATCAAGAAACAGCCACCATCCCATGAGCTACTGCTGGCGCAAGATTATGCTGAGAATGCACTCATGGATGATGAGCACGGCCATCGCAGTGCACTACTGGAGGACGAGAGGGCATTCGAATCCGATGATGACTCCATGGGAAAGGGAACGAGAAGACCGTCGCATATGAAGGAAGCCTTGAGCCGGTCCCATACAAGCACAGAGTATGACCCGATACTTGATGGGGAGACGGGCTCAGTATCAGCCGGCTCAAGCAGCCATGAGCAGCATGATTCAGCACAACCTGCTACGAACTCGAAAGCCCAGCACAAGGGCTCATGATGATTTATCTTTAACGATGCTGATTTTTTTTTTTTTTTTTAATATACCTCGGAGTTCGAATATAAGCTTGATTTGACTTTATGATGAAATGGGATTGGTTTGGTGCTATCTTTTTGTATATCAGAGGCTAGCCATTTCAAGCATCGACTAGTACGCACGTGGGTTCAAAATGTAGCATTCTTTAAACCGACCACTGTCTATTCACGATATCTTTATTGAATCAATAACCATATGACCATAACTATGGATACATCCTCTATACATGTTATGGTGCCTGAATCAAAAAGCATGCCCTAAGGCATCAATGTCCACCGCAGAGTCCACCGCCCGCTTCTGCCGCCTCCGCGAAAAGAACGAAGAAAAATATTCGACATCTTTGCAGATCTGGAAGAACTGCTTGTTCACAACCCGACGTCTATTTGCGGTGGGACATTGCACCTGCAAGGACCCTTCAATTGATTTTGCTTCTCTTTGTCATTCTTTAAAGTTATTATTCATCTTATCATATTCATATTGCGACAATATCCTGTACGAGAAAGTGAATTTTTCACGATGCCCAAATCCGGCGTCAAGCAAAAGACCGGCCAAAAGGTCAAGGTCAAGACACGCTCTCCATTCGAGAATACCAACATTCCCAAGCATGCCCAGAGCGACGACGATATGGACGACGAGACGAGCTCGGATGAGGACGATGTTCCCGAAAAGGACGAGGCGGAAAAGAAATTGGAACGGTTGCTCTTCGGCGATGATGCAGGTTTTCATGGCGCATTGAAGAGCCAGGGTCACGATTCGATGGCTCTTACTGTGCAGACTGATGACAGCGCTAGTGGAGAAGAAGAGGGTGAAGGCGATGACAAAGGGTTGGAGGATATGGCTGATGCTGATGTTCGTGGTGACTTTGCGCTGGTCGAATATTTGGGTGCACTGGCTGACTATAGTCTCTACAGCTTTTCTTCCTTGACTCCGGGGCTGCGCCTGAGTCGACCGATCTCGCCGATGCCCCCGCGACACTATCAGATGGCGAAGAGGAAAGTGAGGATGCACCTGCAGTCTGGCAGGATAGCGACGACGAGCGCCTCAACATCTCCCTGGCCAGCCAGCAGCGATTGAGAAAGTTGCGGGTCACAGAATCCGAGGACGTGATCAACGGCAAGGAGTATGTTCGACGGCTGCGCCGGCAGTTTCAGCGCTTGCACCCCGCACCTGAGTGGGCAGACCCGGAGCTCAGCAAGATGAACGCAAATGGTGATGATTCCGACTCGGAAGGTGGAGAGGGCATGGACACAGATGATGAAGAGCAATCTACGCAGCCATTGGCTAAGCTACTTCGAAACGCCACTGATCTGACCAAGCTTGACGACAACACAATGCCAGGCGGTAGAAGAAAGCTGCGCCAGGAGGTTGTGGACATTACAAGACTAAAGGATGTCGGCAAAACTCAGCCGGTAAGTTGCATGTCTTTGGTATGTTTGAGGGTCAGGCAATTGATCAATTTATAGTCTTCTATCGACTCGCTTTCCTACCACCCCCACTACCCACTTCTTCTGTCCTCGGGACCTGCGTCTACGCTTTTCTTACACCATGTGTCACCTGGAGCACCGGCTCCCAACCCACTTCTTACATCCTTCCATATCCGTCGCACTCCCATCCATACGTCAGCATTTGCCGCGCCGTCGGGAAATAAGATCTTTGCTTCTGGCCGCCGACGGTACTTCCACATCTGGGACCTGGACACTGGCAAGGTTGACAAGGTCAACGGCACTTCGGACCGGAAAGATGAGCAGAAGTCTATGGAGCGCTTCAAGCTCTCGCCGTGTGGACGCTATATGGGACTTGTTGGTTCATCTCGCAAGGGTGGTGGTCTCATCAACGTTCTGGATTCAGGCACAGCACAGTGGATTGCACAGGTCCGCGTGGACGGCCGAGGCGGCGTGGCAGACTTTGCCTGGTGGGGTGACGGAGAGGGAATGACAGTCGCCAGTAAGAACGGAGAAATCTCAGAATGGGATGGTCGGTTGAACCAGGTTGTGGCTCGCTGGGCGGACGCCGGTGCGGTTGGTACAACTGTGTTGAGCCTTGGTGGACGCTCGGGGCGAACACAACTCGGTGGAGATCGCTGGGTGGCTATTGGAAGTTCCAGCGGTGTTGTCAACGTCTACGATCGACGAGAATGGGCGGCAGCATATGCATCATCGACGGCAGACAAGAAGGACACGCAGTCTGGAATTCCACGTAACCCACAACCTGTGCGTGCGCTGGATCAACTCACGACACCGATCAGCCATTTAGTCTTTGCACCAGACGGGCAGTTCTTTGTCATGGCGAGCCGCTGGAAGCGCGATGCCTTGAGACTGGGTATGTATTTTTTTTTTTCTATTCTGTTCGCGCCAGTGGATGGCACAGGCTAACAAATGACTACAGTTCATCTTCCTACTTGCACTGTGTACCGCAACTGGCCGACGTCAAACACACCTTTTGGACGAATTTCATCCGTGGCTGTATCACCAAACTCGGAACAATTGGCCGTTGGTAACGAGCAGGGTAAGATCCGGCTATGGGAGATTCGGGGCTGATTTGGGATGTGAAAAAAAAAAATTATATATATATTGTCGGTTATAATATTAGGAAGATATTAGGCATTTGAGCATGTAACTATAGATCAAGTTGCATTAAGGTATTTAGTCAACTCGCGGTTCATCAGCGATATGTCCATCTATGTCTGGATATAGACTTACAAAGGCCAATTCAACACAAAACAAGGCATTTCTATATTTCACTGTCTGCCAAGCCCCAGCAGATTCTTTCCCGGTTAGTCATTGTAGCAATTATCATGGGCTGTAGACTTACTCCAACCCCGAGCTGTATCATAATGTCAGTGGTGGCTCACATGGTGGGTATTGTAGATTAACTCACATCATCAACTATCTGCACATCCAAATATCGCCTATTAGCATATCACCTACCATCCAGTGTTTCGATCATGGTCGACTTACATTCCCAACACTGCTGATAATGTCTTTATTCTACGATAAATCAGCCTTGATTCAATCCATCTAGTCAAGGGCATGGTCAACTTACATCTGTGTCATTCCCAGACCGGGCGATGATTTCACCTATGGGCTTGTCTCCGATGGGTGTGGCCATGGCAATGGAGACCAAAGCGGCTAGGAGGGCGAATGTGAGCTTCATTTTGCTTTTGCATATATGCTTATTTGGGCTATTGGTGTAGTGATTGAGATTCCACAGGGTGTGATGATCTGTATACAAATCAGGCAGGGTAGACGCAGTGCCTGGGCCCCATTTATGCAATGCCAGCCCATCTTGATGGCTGGTATCTTTACTCCGTATTCTGTCTTATTCTGTCAAGTACAGGCATCAATTGACTTGAGCAATGTGAATGTATCACGTTCCACTGGTACATTCCAGCCAGAGCCAATGTACATGCAAGTTGAGGATATAGAGTTTGTATAATGACTATCCGGTATCTATTGTTAACATGCATGGTATGTTGACTGGCATTTTTTATGATGGCACGGGATCAATGTGAGGATGTGGCAATTGTTGGGATTATCCGTTCGACTAAGAAGGTGATCACCATGATCAATCTTCATGGAATTAATATTTCAGCAGCAATGCCATGTGATATTCAGTCTAACAACATCTTCATTGATATCCATAGGGGATAACAGCCTATTATATATATTGAATGGCTTATGATCGATATGCCACTTCAACATACACAGTTTACATATATAACTCTGACAGAAAGATATCCTAGGCTAATATATGACCAGCTGCTATAATAAGTTTATATATGAGTCAATCTTTATTTCATTGACGCATTCTGAGAAGTATACTGGGTAACATAGCAGCAGCGATATTATACAAAATAAGCTCATATATCATCAAATAAAATGCTTATTCAACAACCAGCCCGGTTAGCTCAATGGCTAGAGCGTCGGACTTTTACGAGTTCACAACAGTGAAATCCGAAGGCTGTGGGTTCGACCCCCACATCGGGCGTTTCTTTTTTTTTTTTCTCGTTCGACTTATTTTTCATCTTCTTTTCGAACATTTTTCTTCCTTTATCCTTTATGCCCAATGGAACCCTCATGAAGCCCGGTTAGCTTAGTCGGTAGAGCGTCGGACTTTTAGTCACCTTCCCTTGCCTGTTCTACAAGCCAGTCATCGGAATACAGCATTAAAGTCCAATCCGAAGGTCGCGAGTTCGAGCCTCGCATCGGGCGTGCATTTGCATTTTATTTTGTCTCCTTTTTTCTGTTTTTTTTTTTTTTTTTTTTTTTTTACCTGTATTTTTGCCCTCCATGGGCACCTGTAGATAGATGTACATAAAGAATTATGTTACGCTGGCTGTGGCTATTTGGCAACAACTATTTTTTGTGTCTACCCAGAATACGGGTCGGGTCGTCTCCGTCGCTAAACGGAGAATTCCCGCAGACATCATCATCTTCCAACCTTCTCATCCACAAGAACAAGAGCTCCTCTCTATCACCACGGATACCCCACAAAATGTAAATGTATCTCCTGCGAGAGATAGCAATGGACTCTTCCCGGAAAACTCGGAACCGGGTAGCTTGTAGACGCTGTCAGCGACGGAAGATCCGCGTGTGTGTTTCTGGATTGATATTGCTTTGTGTTCACCCAGACTGACTCCCATGGTCGCTCTAGTGTGATGGAAATTTGCCTTCTTGCGGATCCTGCCAGAAGGCAGGGGTTCCATGCGTGAATGATGGAAAGCAAGAAGTTCATCGCGTGTTCGTCTTCTCCTATTCCGTGGCCTCCAAGACGCTAATGCCCATGCAGATACATCGCGAACATGGAGCATCGAATACGGTGGCTGGAATCACTAGTACGAGAGAACTGTCCTAATGTTGACCTGAGCCAAGGACCGGGAAATGAGCGGCAGCTGGATGACCGAGCACCAACCGGAACACCAGGCGACCATATCGGCGTCGAATCTGCAGCGCAAAGTCCCCATCCAGAGCCCAGGGGGCATGTGGACGACGAAAACACAACTTCCCAACAACTAAGAGATCAGCCAATAGCACCAGTTACGACAAGAGCAGTACATGACGAGCCCCAGCAGGCACATGAGATCGGGTTGGTGTCTTTGTCGTCTGGCGGAGATCCTCGCTACATTGGACCTTCCAGTGGATATTTCTTTGCAAACCGCATATTCTTCAGTGTCGGTCGCCGCAGCAATCAAAGTATAGCAACGGCGAATATTTCAGGTTCAACTTCCCTGTCAGCTGAGCTGCTGAATATGCCTGCCTCGCTGCCACGGAAAGAAAGCGCCGTGGAGCTATCGACGAGGTACTTCCAGAGCATTCATTTCATGTACCCATTTCTGCACGAACCGTCCCATATGGAGACCATCGACCGTGTCTATACGTCTCGAGAAGAGAACCCATCGGATATATTCCAAGTTTTCATGGTCTTAGCAGTTGCAGCGTTGAACCTCTCCCGCCAATGCAAGGTTCACCTCCCAGTGGAAGGTTACTATACCGCAGCGATGAAGTATGTCGATCACATATGTGGTGATACCTCTATGGCAGGGTTGCAAAGCTTGCTCCTTCTTATGGTGTATGCATTACACAATCCTTCATGCAGCCTCAACATCTGGAATCTTAATTATCAATGTCTTGCAAGCCTGATAGATCTAGGGCTCCAGCGTGACGTACGGGCATCGCCGTCTTTCCAGATTTCAGTGCTTGACCAGGAAATGAGAACCCGCGTTTTCTGGGTAGCTTATACATTCGACCGGGCGATATGCACAATGATGGGCAGGCCAATTGGGGTAAGGGACGAAGCGTGTGATTTGAGGGTAAGAGAATATCAGCACTCTCTTGACGAAATAAGCTCATGCATGTGCCACAGTTTCCGATGGATATCTCAGATCGCAATCTCGTCAACCCCGATAATGCCCAGCGAGTCGAGCAAGAGTCATCGTCGCATCTATCACATTCGATACACCTCTTCAAATTAGCTCGGATGAATTCGGAAATTAAATACATCATGCATAGCATCTCTCGCGATACTCCGGCGTACGCCTATCCGCCGGTCATGGATATCTTCGCTTGGCAGCAAGACATGATACATTCTCTCCAGGACTGGCTTTCTAAAATACCACGCCCAGTGGATAACGGCGACGATAAGATGGTGAGACTCTGCAAGATTAAATACCATGAAACAATGATTTTATTACTACGACCAAGCCCGGGTATCTCAACTCCATCAGATCAAACTCTCGATATCTGTTTCCACCAGGCTGTTGATTTAATTCGAGGACTTGGTGAGTTGTACCGATCTGGGAATCTTTTATACAGTCGTCTAGTCGTCCACTCCATATTCCTGAGTACGCTGGTTATGCTCCATTGCATCTGGAAGTTACCAGAGACTGCAGCGAAATGTCAGGTAGACGAGCTGGTATCCGACATCAACATATCGCAAAATATTTTGAGTAGTATTGGGGAGTACTGGACTGAAGCCAACAGAGCGCGTGATTGCATTGGTGAACTATCCAGTGTAACCATCCAAAGGCTCCTGAAAAGTGACCCTACCGTAGGTCTGAGATCGTCTCCAATCCAGGTAAATAGGCGTCCTCGAATTAGCGACTCCCGGGGCCCAGAAATGGTTGGGAATTATCGTGCGCACTTTCAGGATCAACGTGATATAGCCCAGGAGAACAACAGCATAGGTGTCGAGGGCTCAAATGCGCACCTCATCTACCCAATCCAGTCTCAAGACGATACGGGCGTTAGCTATGGTCCCGTGAACCTATTTGATGACTTCTTACAGGGAGGATTTCAAGGCTGGAGTGGCATGTCGGACATTGACGGCCTTATGTGGGAGTTCTTCCACTAGCTCTGATGGACACTCCAGCAGGATATGGAAATATGAACAATAATATTATTGTTTGACTCTATAGTGTATATAACACAGGCCCTATAGCCTTTCAGGTTATGTATTATAATTCTATGCTGTCTTCGAAATCGGAAAAGCGCACATGTATTCATCCTCCGGGTCAACCTCAAAGTCAAAACGAACCAAATCCTCCTTGAACGGAAACATGTAGGTGCTTGTTACTCTGCGAACCAAGATATTGTCAATTGCAATATACCAAGAAGGATCGGACGTGGAGAAATACCTATGATGTTCATCACTAGCCTGATATTCTGCCAGCGCATCCTGGTTCTCATGATAGCTCAGCAAAGAAATCTCGAACCCTTTGCTCCGCTCGATGGGATCGGTGACGGATGGACCTCCAACGATCAGCCGTCCATTTTTGACAGAAGGTAGAGATTTGAGTGTTTTTAATTCTGAAACGAATTTCTGTTTGTGCTCCTGCGTCACATCAGAGCGAAACTTGAAGAGGACTGTTCGAGTATGAGCATGAGTGTGATGATGCCTTTGAGGGTCTTACGAACCAATGTGGACAAGGGTCATGATGATGATGGTAAGGATGATAATTTTATTATTTGCACTGATTTATTTTGGATATTTATTGGAATACATGGATGAACGACATACTGTTCCTTTTATATTCGGCGAAGCCATAACCATCATCTATCGGGGTCGGCCCGTCGAGGAGCGGATGCAGGCCGCATCGGGCGAGCCCTAACCCGAGGCAATCGAAGCAATCAACCTCCAGCAACAACTCTAGTATGCGATTGCCCCGCCCCCTTCCAGATGGTGACATTCGTAAAGGTCAGGGTTTTGCCCATTTTGTTCGTTCGGCCCTCAACCTCGAGTGTCTCCCCCTCTTTGGCACCGGCTACAAAAGAGACATGTAGATCCGTGCTTAGCCCCGTAGAGTCGCGCCCATGCGATGCGACTGCCATGCTTCCCGCTCAGTCTACGAGGGAGATCGACAAAACTCCGTGAAGAATTCTTGGAACTGACGTGCTGGGCTTCGATGGGGAGTCTTGCGCGGATGAGGCCCGGCTCGGGTCAGGAGGAAATCGTAGATGGGGCTGTTGGTGCGTATCTTATCCCATACAGCGTGGACATGCTGGAGAGAGGTGCTCATGTTGTCTTTGTTTCAAATTTGAATAGAAAATGAGGTTCAAAGTTGTTGATGGTGTGAAATGCGGTTTGTCTGGTGTTATATAGGCGGGTTTAGCCCGTAATGTTCAGGAACTCTGCCCTATATGGATATCCCCTTTTGTACAAAAGGCATTCGATATCAGATTGGTTGGATAGATCGATGAATTGGATAACAAAGCCTTATTTTCAAATGAAAGCCAACATAATGGCCCGTTCGGAGGGCTTTATGACGATAACAGCCCAGCAATGGACTTCTCTGCCATCAGAATTCCGCCGTCTAGGATCATCTGAGCATTCACAGAACCAAAAACGTGGCCGGCCTCTTGAATCCTTTCTTGAAGGTCCACTGTTTGTTCCCACACTTTCTCTTCTCTTCGTCGTCGACATCCTATATGGCCGCATATTCTCCATCGATCCTAACACGACCGCCTGGTCCCTCATCATCGAATATGACGGTGAACCGAATGGACTTGCCTGGAACCCCATAACTCGGACTATCATCATCGCAGATTTCAAGCAAGGCATCTTGTCTCTCGACCCACAGACCAAGTCTCTTACGACTCTCGTCTCCTGCCATCATGGAGAACGACTGAAGGGACCCAATGACCTGATCGTCACCACCGACAGCACAATCTTCTTCACCGACCAAGGAATGACGGGCCTGCATGACCCATCAGGCCATGTGTACCGACTTGACCCTGACGATCTGTTAGATATGATCCTCGCAAATGGCCCCTCACCCAATGACCTCATTCTCAACCGCGATCGCTCCGCGCTGTTCGTAGCCATGACGCGCGACAACTCGGTTTGGCACATCCCCTTCTACCCGGACGGATCCGTGCAGCGAGTTGATCGGGTTTCGAGCTACTTTGGCATTGGTGGACCAGATGGGATGACGCTGGATGAGGAGGGAAACGTATTTGTCGCGCATTCGACGCCGGGGACGGTATTTGTTCATGGGGCTGATGGAGAGCTGAGAGCGAAGATTCACAGGGAAGGGAACGATAAATTTGACGTGGGGAGGAGAGGATTCAAATGTGTTGTATATAGTGGAGAGTGAGACTGGGTCGATTTTGATGGTCAAATGGCACTGTTCAGGATGGTTGGCTACAAGACAGTCGATTTAATGTTGAATAAGAACGATAAATTCAAGACGGAATACTAGGACATAAAAGCATTTCATTTTATCTCATAGCCAAATAGCTATCTACCTGAGCAGTGAATGTTCGCTGCCGACACTTCTGGACTGGTGGTGTTTTTGCCTGTCCTTCACACTCAGGCATCCTCTCGTTGATCATCTTCCCCCCACCCATCACCCTTCCCTTCATCCACATCTTCCTCCAAAAATACAAAACCACCCCGAGGCATCATTCTAGCCATCCGAACAATGTCCGCAATGGTGGGAGCTTCTTTGAATACGCCGTCGATGACTTCGAGATTGCGGTTCATCGTCTCCGGAAAAAAGAGAAGGACAAAGGAGCAAGATAGTGGTCCCATGAGGGCTCCGCGCTGGAAACAGGCGTTGACAACGCCTTTTTTTGTCGAGTTGCTGGCTTCCTGAGCCCCTTTGGTATTGATGGTGCCAATCTGAGGGAAATGGTGAACGACATCAGGGAGATCCAAAAGAGACAAAAGACCAGCCTGATTATAACCGTATAAGACGAAGCAGGGACAATGACGAAGAAAGCTTGAGCGAATTAGATAGCGTGGGCCTTGGAGAGCATAATGGGATGAAGGTAACAATACGTTTATTCAGAAATATGATCTGTATGGATGCCACGAAACGGTCCAGGTGGCTTTATATACGCTTCTCTTTGCAGATCACAGTTTCAACTGCTTCTTCCTAACCCCCCCGGACAGAATTGTGGACTTGTGTACATTCCAATGTATGCTAACTGGATGATTTTAGCATAAAAGTACGCCTTAATCCGGGGAGAAGTCTTTCGGAAGGGATCCGCATTCTATACCGATGTATTCAATTTCGGTTGCTAATTTTCATATTCTAAGACAAGCTAATTGACACGAATCTAGTTAAATGCCATTATACACGCCCCGTTGATGAAGTAATTCCTCCATCTACTACGATCTTCTGGCCAGTGATGTACAAGGCCTCGTCAGAAACCAGAAACAAAGCCGTATTCGCCACGTCCCACGCGTCTCCCATACGCCCCATTGGAACTTGAGCGTCGCGCATCTTCATATAAGCTTCTTCGTCTCCCCCAGGGGCATACCGCTTCGAGAGGGCTTTGGTGTATGGCGTATAAATCAGCCCCGGAACGACAGTGTTTAGTCGAATCTTTTTGGGGGCATAGATGACAGCCGTCGCTTTAGTAAATTGCATGATGGCTGCTTTTGTTGCAGAGTAGGCGATTTGGGGTTTTCCGATATATCGCAGCCCGGCGATACTTGCAATGTTCACCACAGCACCACCGGAGGTCTGCTGTTCCATGAAGGGAAGAACATAGTGGCAAGTCAGATAGATACTGTTTAGGTTTGTGCCAATCTGCGCATCCCAGACATCCGGAGACATGGTGGCTGGACAGCCAGGCTCAGAGCGGCCGACGTTGTTGACCAGGATATCGATACGGCCATGCTTCTGCATACATTGGTCTACCAGGTTCTTGACTGATGCAGCGTTGGTCACATCTGTTTCAACCACATCGCAGACCCCACCCTCTTGCTCGATGCGATCTTTCGTCCGTTCAGCCGAGGCAAGTGTGCGGTTTCCTCCAAAGATAGTTGCTCCCTGGCGAGCAAAGAGCGTGGCAATGGCTGCTCCGATGCCCCAGCCTTCGTCGTTGGTTTGACCCAGGCCGGTGATGAGGGCGACCTTTCCGTTTAGATTCAACATTTCAAGATTGTGGTGATGGTATGCAAAGCCTCGTCACATCATTCGTGTGAATTACATCTTTATATTTTCTCGTCGGGGGCCTTCCGTCAATGGAGCGGAAGTCTCCCATGACCTTGACGGGACATCCGAAAGGTGCCAAATAACTTCAAATCCACCCGGGAATTCGCTTTAAATCTCTATATTGTGGAATCTTCTGAAAAATAATTCTATCAGATCATATTACACCAAAATGGCACCAAATGAACCAGTCAATCAGGACTATGACCTCCAACAGCCAATTGCTTCAGCCTCGGGGCTACGCCATGGACTAACTCGTTATTCCTGTGCAAGGTGTTTATCAAGGCGCAGGGTTATTCAGAAGATGCCATGTCCCGTCCCATAATTGGAATCATTAATACCTATTCCGGGTTCAATCCTTGACATGGCAATACGCCTCAACTAATGGAAGCTGCCAAACGAGGCATTCATCTGAACGGTGGTATTGCGATTGACTTCCCCACAATCAGCTTGCATGAAGGATTCTCGCACCCCACGAGCATGTTTATGCGTAATCTGATGGGTATGGATACGGAGGAAATGATCCGCGCGCAACCTGTGGACGCTTGCATTATGATCGGAGGTATGTGTTTCTCACAGACTGTAGAAACAATTGGGCATCATTTAGGGCTGGGGCAATTGATGTGGAGGGGATTGCGGCAATAAACGAGGAGCTTGCGTCTACGGTTTGTATCCCCCTCTACTCCACTGGGTAATGATCAGCTAACATCTAGATAGATCGGGACTTGCGGAGTTATGGGAACTGTCAGCACCATGGCTTGCATCACGGCCGCTCTGGGATTGATCCCTCCACAAGGTGCCTCGGCTCCTGCTGTGTCTGCTGCCAGGCTTCAGATTGCTGAACAGACTGGTGCCAATGCGGTTGCTGCTGCTCAGTCTCATATGGTACCACAGACTATTCTACCGGCAGGATCATTCTATAATGCTGCAACTCTCCTCCAAGCCATTGGAGGTTCTACAAACGCCATGGTCCATCTGATGGCTATCATCAACCGCCACCCAGATCCCAAAGGGTCAATAAATTTGGAAACACTGGACGACATTGGACGTCGCACTCCACTCCTGGTTGACTTGAAGCCAAGCGGCGACAACTACATGACCGATTTCCACAACGCAGGTGGAATGCTTTGTCTTTTACACCGGCAAAAGCCACTCCTCCATTTGTCTGCAAACTGTCTCAGGAGAAACCCTTGGGGAGGTTCTTGAACGCAGCTCCTTTCGCGACTTTGAGTACTCGCGGAGTATAATTCGCACTTTATCAAACCCTCTCCATCCATCATCTTCCCTGGCTGTTTTAGAGGGCAACATCGCCGCAAATGGGGCAGTCATCAAGGCCTCTGCTTCTAAAGAAAAACGGCTTCTCTGCCATTCTGGCCCAGCAGGAGTATTTTAGAACCCACAAGATATGGCTCCACGTCTCGATGACCCTAACCTCGAGGTTACAGCCGATTAAGCCCTCGTGCTGAAAGGTATCGGCCCCATCGGAAATCCAGGAATGGTAGAGGCGGGAATGATCCCCATCCCACGGAAGTTAGCCGCCCAGGGAGTCACTGATATGCTGCGAATCTCAGATGGTCGTATGTCTGGTACAGCAGGTGGAACGATCGTGTTGCATATCTCACCTGAGAGAATCACCGTTCGGTGTCATTCAAACTGGCGACTTGATTATGTGCGATGTTGACAATCGAACTCTGCGATTGGAGATTAAAGACAAAGAGCTCCAGGCGAGAATTGCAAAGAGACGGGCGGAGGTTGCCAGCACCGAGACTTCAACCTGGGTAGCAAGGAAGACCCGACGAGGATACCGGGGTTTGTATGAACGGACGGTGAATCAGGCCCATGAGGATGCGGATTTTGATGTTCTCACTGTAACAGGACCTGAGCCCCCCCCCCCCCCCCCCCCATAGTATTAAATAGTATATAAATGCAAGTAAAATCCAACTTACATGTGGTCTGTTCAGATACACAGCGTAGAAAGTATAAAGCGGAAACTCCGTCAACATGATGTAGTCTGACGGGAGGCTTCCGTTTTCTACCGTTAGCGGATAAACTCCGACGAGTCTTTATAAATGCAAACAACTCGACTGTATATTGACCATCGACAGCGATTTTATCATCAAAGATAATATTTATTTATTTATGTGCCCTTAAATTAAAGTCATTGCTGAGATTTCAAAATCAAAATGACCGAACCAACCTCTCAAACCCACCACATCAAACCCTCGGATTTAACAACCTTGGTCCAAAACATCCTCATTGGCAACGGCGTCCCCAGCGACAATGCCAAGATCGTCGCAGACTGTCTCGTCCAAGCTGATCTCCGCGGCGTAGACACGCACGGTTCCAATCGGATCCCATCTTACATGGAGCGAGTCCGCCAAAAAGTCCTGGACCCAGCTGCCTCACCACAGCTGTCACAAGTCACCCCTGTTGTTGCCCAGGTTGACGGGCACAATGCGTTTGGGTTCGTCGCAGCGCACCAGGGCATGAAGCACGCTATTGAGATGGCCGAGGTGTACGGTATTGGCATGGTCTCGGTGAAGCATTCGAACCATTTTGGAATGTCGGCGTGGTTGGTTCAGCAGGCTGTTGACGCGGGCATGTTATCTCTTGTTTTCACGAATTCATCCCCCGCACTGCCAGTTTGGGGAGGCAAGGAGAAGCTCATGGGTGTATCGCCTATTGCGTGCGGTGCGCCAGCTGGGAATGAGCGTCCGTTTATCCTCGACATGGCGCCGTCCGTGGCAGCACGGGGGAAGATCTACAAAGCCCTCCGACGCGGGGAGAAGATCCCCCAGGATTGGGCGTTGGATGCGGACGGGAACAGGACCGAGGATCCGGCCAGAGCGCTAGAGGGTGTAATGCTTCCGATGGGCGGGCCTAAAGGATCAGCACTCTCGATCATGATGGATGTGTTCTCGGGGGTGTTTTCGGGGGCAGCCTTTGCGGGACATGTCACCAACCCGTATGATCCGTCGAAACCGGCGGATGTGGGACATTTCCTGGTGGCCATCAAACCGGATCTGTTCATGAGTGTTGAGAATTTCAAGTCCCGGATGGATTATCTGTATCAGCGCGTGGTGGGATGTGAGAAGATGGAGGGAGTGGATCGCATCTACTACCCGGGGGAGATTGAACAGATCACGCGGGATCGACGGCTGGAAGAAGGAATTCCATTTACGGAAGCCGAGATTGCGGGGTTGAATCGCGAGGCGGAGATGGTTGGAGTGGAGAAGTTGAGGTATGAATAGTCTCAATTGTCTTCTTTTCATGTTTATGTCTTTTGATGAATGAGAATGGTCTGTATGTGAAATCCAATGTATTCTGTTTATGTATATCCATATATACTATCAACAGTGCTGTCATAAATAAAACCGAAGAACTCTTCGTTAATGATCATTTTCATCATATCCAAATATCTACCCCAACCATGTCATAACACCAGTCCAAAATATCAAAAAACAACCCAATAAACCGATCTTTTCTTTTTAGAGCAGGGTCTTCATGTCTTCCATGTTGCGGATACCTGCAAGGTTGCCTGCCTTGACACGCTTCAGTGTCAAGGCCGCAATGAGGGCAGCACCCACACCGGATCCATCCTCGGCCGCCATGATGGAGACCTTATCCTTCTCCTGTGGAGCCCAGTCGAGGATCTCACGCAGAGCCTGGGCTCCACGGGCCTTGAAGTGGGGGTATTTGGTGAAGACGGAACCGTCAGCACCAACGTGGCACGACTCGATGTTCTTCTTCTTGCAAATGGCGGCGACACCGCAAGCAGAGAGACGAGCGGCACGGGTTCCGATCAGCTCGGCCAGACGGCGGACCATCTCCAGCTCAGGCTGGGTGCACTTAATGCCCAAGTGGCGCTCAAAAACCTCCTCGGTCTCCTGCAAGTTCTCATAGGGGTCCTGCTCAATGGCTGCCAGGAAGGACGAGTCCAGCAGGTAGGGCTTCTTCAGCTTGGAGATGTCCTGATCTTGGAAGACAAGGCCGGGCTTGCTCTCGACGAGATCCAACAGAGCCAAACGCAGGATCTCACCCAGGTAGAGACCGGCGGTCATCTTCTCGAAAGCTTGTTGACCGGGGCGGGGGGAGTCGCGGTCGATGATGTGGTCGAACTTGGTGAGGGGCAGAACAACGTGCTCGTTGTCGAACGCTCCGTACTCGCAGTTGATGGCGACGGGCATGTCGGCGGGCAGGTTCAAGTGGGCGATCTTGGGCACGGAGCCAACGTTCTCCATATAGGCAGCGTTGACACCAGTGCCGAAGATGCAGCCAACCTTCATATCGGTGTCAGTGTATGCGGAGGCGATGAGTGTTCCGGTGGTGTCGTTGATCAACGCAGCAACCTTGATGGGCAGACCCTAAAATAGAATGAGCATCCATATATAGTATACATGACGTAGAGGGGACGTACACGCTTCTTCAGGATCTCTTCCAAAGGCGGCACAACATCTTTACCCTCAACACCGTCAATGTCGAATCCCTTGGTCCAGCGCTGGAGGATACCGTGGTCGACATATTCCTGGGTCGCGGGGTAGGAGAAAGTGAAACCCAAAGGCAGCTTAGCCAGGCTCTGACCCTCGTGGTGGTACTCGATGAACTGCTGGAGACAGTCGGCAATGTACTCCCACAGTTCCTCGGCGGTACCGGTTCTGAGCTCATCGGGCATACGGTATTTGGACTGGGTGATATCGAAGGCGCCCTTCTCCTTGGTCAAGGTGATTTCACAGACACGCAGGTTGGTGCCGCCCATGTCGAGGGCCAGAAAAGTTCCCTCTTCGTGACCATCGGGGTATCCCATAACCCAGGTGACATTCATCGGCTAGAAGGGATTAGTGATGAACAAAACAAAAGAATCGCGCATTGCAAGAAAGGGAAGCTCACAATGTTACCACCCTCGACGCTGAGACCTGTAATCATCGCATCCGATTAGTTTGCGCTGCTGATAAGACGCTCGTGCGCAGGGGAAACCCACCCTTCTCAAGCTCCTTGACGAAGTGGTTAACGACCTCCTTCAACTTGGCAGTGTCGACAGTGAAAACATCCTCAAACTCCTTGATCTGGCTCAGGAGGTTCTGGGGCAAATCGGCCGTCGATCCTGTTGAAACAACACAATTAGAGCTGCTTTGCGATGCACTGCGGGGAGCCTTTGGTAAGCTTACCCTTGCGGGATGGAGGCTGCTTGGGACCAAGTCCGACCATGATGACTGAGGATGTAGATCTAGATGAGGAATTGGAGGGATGAAATAAAATGGGGTATAAACGAGAACAGCGAGATGGAGAAGGAGAAAAAAAGAATAGAGAGAAGGAAAAAAAGAGGGTGAGAGTGAGACAAAGCGTCAAGATATGAAAACAGCAGAGGCCGCAGAGAACGTGGGGCAACGAATCGCGGATTGCCCCGCAGTGCCAAAACCTGGTGGAAATTCGACTTCACCGGGCGGTCATTTGGGATTTGCGGTTTGTAACTAGAGGCAATTCGAGCCGTGCGAAAAGCGCGTTATTACTGTGATTAGAATGGGCAAACGGGACGGACTGGAGGCGATGATGGAGTGGAGTGGAGATGGAGGAGAGGAGTCCGGCGTGATGCGGTTTTCTGCATCCTGGCTGTCTCTACAGAAAATTCTTCATCAATGCGACACATTATTCTACTCGAGATCATTTCATTATTACGGCAGTCGTGGTGGTTTGTATTCATCATCATCTTGCCGGTTTAAACAAGTCGATCTCTTTCCACCTTGATGAACGCTATTTCATCATAGCCTCTTTTTTGCCACTGTCAATCCTGCTATGACATCCACCAGAAAGATTGGAATCCGGCCTGGTCAAGGTGCTTCAATTCTTTCAAATCATGTATCCATGCTCAAGTAGAATTGAACAAATATGTAACCAGCTCCACACACGGCCTCGACTCCAATTCGTTCGTATAGACACATCAATCATCACACGCCATTGGGGAATCTAAACCTATCTCAACTCATATCTACTATCTATCATCGTCATTCAGTTCATCTCTATCCTTACTGGCTCGCTTTATTCTTCCCCGCCAGAAAAGGGAAGACATGCCCCAATCCACTGTAGCTTTCGTCCTCCGCCGGACGAAGAGTCTTTGAACCCTCCAATCGCTCTCGCACTCGCTGTGTGTATGCATCCGATATTCCCAAGGTCCGGTCGACTTCCTCTGTCAGGCGTTCCACTTCATCTTGTAGTCGCTCATCCCTCGTCAACGAAGGGGCATTCTCGGCCTCCCGGGACTCTTTGTCGGGGTTGGTTTGCTCCCATAGCCGCTCCAGTTCCTGACCCCAGCCCATCGCCTGCGCGAATTTCCGCACTCCGGCATCACAATCTCCAAGTAGAAGCACATCGTCCGGGCGGGACCCCATTCCCCCCACGCGCTCCATGTTGATGAGTACTCGGGGGACACCATCCTTGCAGAATCCCGGTAGACTAGCAAATGGCTGTACAGACAGACTCGTACCCATGACAATGCACAGGTCGGCCTCCTCTGGAAGCGTCCGGTTCAGGAAGAAGTCCTCCGGTAGCGCTTCCCCGAAAAAGACAATGTCCGGCTTCACCAACCCATTGCACTGGGAGCAGTGCGGCACCTTGCCCGTATCAATGGCCTCCTTCATCATCTTCTCCGGGTACTCCGCTTTGCATTCAATGCACTTCTGAGAAGCAAAGCTACCATGGGCCTCAATAATCATGTCACCCGGTAAACCCGCCTGGCGCTCAAGACAGTCGATGTTCTGCGAAAAGTGTTTCAACAGCATACCCTTATCGTAAAGTAATTTAATGAACGAGTGGGAAATGGTCGGTCGATACCGACCTGGAGCAAGTTCGCGCGCCAGGGCATAAAAAGGACGGGGGTTGCTCCGGAAGAAGCTGATATCGAACACAGCCTCGGGATCAGGGAGGTCGAGATGGGCGAGATTGGCGTAGATACCTGTATCGGGGGATCGAAAGTCGGGAATGCCTGCTGAAGTGCTAATTCCTGCGCCCACCTATGCCCATATTGTCAGCCCACAGTAGTTTTCGCGAAAGAGGTGCGGGGGGTGTTACCATCACCACAATCCGTCGCACATTTTTGTCCTTGATATACTTGGCCACCGACTCCATATTCCGCGCCTCTAGCACGGAAGGAGGGGTTTTCTCATCGACCATTGTCGACGGTTCATTGCCCATGATGCGACGGCCACGGCCAGACTTGGGCCTGTGCTGGTGTCTTGGTTTGCGACGGCGACCGATGGTGACGGTTGTTGAGTCAAACGAAAGGATCTAGTCGGAATAAACACAGCTTTACCGTGTAGACTATGGAGAAGAGATTATCGGGGTATCGCGAGAGTAAAAGGCAGATAAAACCTCCAGCGATTAAAAAAAGAATGACGTCGAGCAGAAATGACTGGAGATGTCTGGATCGGGTAAGGCACTAGTGCCTGAGGTGTCAATCGAGTATTGTCGCAACAATACGGCTTCATCAAATATCCATCGAGGGGAATTGGGCCTGATCCTCTTTTCAATCCAAACAATTGCGCTTCTCTGCCAGCAGAGAAGAAATCCAGAATCCAAATCCACCACCCCTCATTCGCCGATCCTCTCCAGCTTTTCTGTTTCTCCTGATCTCACCGCCTTGCTCTCTCCACCAACCCATTTTCATCCAGCAGTCAACAAGACAGATCGCCCATCTTCCCCCCTCGATCTGCTTTCTTCTCCAACCTTCAGATCCGGACAATGTCCAAACCGTCCGGCCTCACTGCGGTCAATGGACACGCAGAGTCTCCATCGGATCGACCTCCCCCGCAATCCGCATCGTCCCCACCACCCGACATCTACAATGCCAGCTCCGTCGCAGAGATAAAGGCCACCCTGTCGCACCTCCACAACCAAGAGGCCTCCGTCACAGCCCGTTTAGATGCACTCGTGGCTTCGCAGAAGGATTTCTCTCGGGAATTGGGTCGATTGGATGTACTACGTGCCAACCTCGGGTCTAAAACCAGCACTACTCGTTCTATCAGCCATGGCATGCTCTCCGATGCCGCTGCCACTGCCGACCGTATCTCCAGTGCCGTTCGCAGCCTCGATCTGGAACAGGCCCGGGTGAAGGCTACTCTGGAAGTCGTAGAGCAGGTAGCTGAGCTCAAGGCTTGCGTACTGGGTGTCTCGGGCTCCATGGGGGCTCCGCAGGACTGGGAGACGGCTGCTAGTTATCTCAACCGGGCGTCCAAGATCCCCGCGGAGGTGGTGCATGGTGCATTCGCAGCTGAGATGGTTCCCACGGCTGAAGTCCCGGACCCGCCGAATGTTACATTGGAGAATGCAGCTGAGTCGTTATGTGGTTTGTTTCTCCGCGAGTTTGACAAGGCCGTCAAGGAGAACAACGGAGCCAAGATCACGCGGTTCTTTAAACTGTTTCCCCTCATTGGCCGCTCCGAGGTTGGACTGGATGTTTATGGACGATATGTATGCCAGGGCGTGGCAGCGCGTGCACGAAGCAACCTCAATGCGGGCGCTGGAGGGTCTCAAAGCAAAGATGGATTCTTCTACGCCAACGCTCTTACCAAATTGTTCGAGCACATTGCACAGATTGTCGGTGGCCACGGTGGACTTGTCGAGCGTCATTATGGCCCGCGGAAAATGAACCGGGTCATTGAACGGTTGCAAGTCGAAGCAGATGTCCAGGGAGGCATTATTCTTGACACTTGGAGTGACGAGAGGCATGTGGATCGCAAGCTTACGGATATCAAGTCGTACGCGTTCACTTTCCTGGTCCAGAGCTTTCTTCCTGCGCAGCGGACAGGGACTCCACGGTCGAACTCCCCAGCGAATCGAGACGGTAGCGCAGCTCCCGGGGAAGATGAGGGAGTGGACATGAAAGAGATTGACGGGCTACTAAACGAGATGGGCGTCATGTTGGGCCGGTGGTCACTTTACTGTCGGTTTTTGGCTGATACATGCAATGTAAGTGTCCGTTTCTTTTAAGTATCTGACTCAACCCATCTGACACAACCATGCAGGCTCCTGAGGAAGGGGAGGACGATGATCGACGATTGGTGATGCCAGCGTTCCTAAAGGAATCTTTACTGTCCCGGAAGATCAATGACCGCATAGCCACTCCATTCAACACCATGACTACATTCTTCCTTCGACGGTCGGTAGAAAAGGCGTTCCAGATGGATGAGCAGCCTGCTGGCTTGACTTTGCACCCGCAGAGGCCATTGAAAGCGGATCCACCACATATCACCTCTGCCGTGGATGATATCATGTACATAGTCAACAAGGTCCTGCAACAATCCTTGGCCACGTCTCAAATTGCAGTGGTCACCAATGTTGTGCCCACATTGGCAAGGGTGCTAGGATCCGACTTTATCGGCATGACGCAGCGGAAGATGCGCGACGAATGCTACCCCCGGGCTGCTGTCCAGGGTGCCCAGCCGCCTGAACAGATAGTGCTCTCGTTCTTGGTCCTGATCAACAACCTCGACGTCGCCGTCGACTATATTCGCCGCATTGTGCAGAACAATAGGGAAAAGAAGCAAGCCGTGATGGGACCGGATGGAATACCAGAAGAAACGGACCAGCTGCGCTCACTCTTCCCTGCACCCGCAGAAACTGCCCTCGTGGCACAGACGATACAGACCCTATCTTCATCCTTCGAATCCAAGGTCAACGATCTCCTATCTGACGGCATCCAAGTCACATTCAACAACGTCGTCAAGCATCGTCTCCGTCCCATCCTCGCCGACGCCTTCCGTGACATCGAATACCAACCCCGCGATGACCGAGACCCCACCAGCACCGTCTACAACGACTACCACCACGACGATGACGATGCCGACGGCGACGACGACACCAGCCGAGCCGAGCTCGTCCGTCCTCGCTTCGCAGCCAGCTGGTCCGAGTTACTCCTCCCCATTGCCCGCATCCTGACCGCACCTGCCTTTGACCGTCTCCTCACCGTAACAATCGCCTATCTAACTCGCCTCCTGGAGAAACGACTCTGGTCCTACCAGGGCCGTGTCAATTCCCTGGGCGCCACCCGACTCGAACGCGATATATCCGGTGTTGTCGCGGCGGCGGTAGACGTCGGGGGTGGACATGGAGCGCCGGGCCGGTATCGACACCGCGAGGCCTTTGCGCGGTGTATGCAAATGGTCATGGTCATGGGGATGGATGATGATGAGTGGGAGGATGTTATGAAAGGAGGGGAGACGGCCGAGGTGATTGATCGGCTGAGCGTGGAGGAGAGGGTAAGGGCTAGGGGGATGGTGAGACGGGATATGGTTTAAGCTATACTGTATCGGCATTTTTTGATTCTATGTTTGCTGTATATAAAATTGACACTTTCATCCTTTATTGAGTAACCCCAATTAGCGATGTAAGACGTCATGTCATACATGTGACAACTTAATCTACGAACTACAGATGTACTACAAGATGAGACACAGGTTCCACAATAAAATAACTTTAATCTATGCACAGTCATCGTTGGTATCCTTTTGTTGCAAACCCAAGAAAGAATACGATCCCGCCCGATATCTAATATGTACAGTCGACCAGATGAAAAAACGCCAGACCCAAGACCCACAGGTAGGAATACACATCGGAAATAAATGGCTCAAACCCCAGGCTATAAAGAGAAAATAACAAACGACGCTGGATATCTTGAAGGAAAGGAAAAGGGGAAATAAACAAAGGGGGCTCTATGCAAGAGAAATCAGAAAACAAGGGGGAAAACCGGACTATGACTCGGTTTTCTCATTGATGGTTTCAGACGGAGATGGCTGGTGGGATTCTCCAGCTGGGTGCTGCTCAGCGACTTGTCGTGGAGCGGGAGCAATGGCATGCGGAGCGTGGGCCAATTTGATTTCTTGAATGCCCGAGTCTCCTTCGCTGCCTCCGCGGCTGCTAATCCCCACGGGCACTTGGCCCTCCAGCATCATTTCACTGTGCTCGCCAATTCCGTACCGAGCCGCGTGGGGGATCTCGTGGCCATCCTCGAGCTGATCTTGCTTCTGTGGGGTCCAGGCGAGGTAATCTCTGCGGACCTCAACGTAGTCGTAGGCGAATTCACCCAGTTGGTCGTCGTCCATACCCAGCAATTCAGCCTCCTCAGATGCACGCAGTTTCAGACCGGGGATGGCGTTAATGGCGTGGGCAATGATAGCGGACATGACAAAAGCGTAGGCGCAGGTAGCCACGATGTAGGCGATTTGGATGTAGAGTTGCTTGTAGTTGTGGATGATCCATCCTCCAACACCAGAACCAGTGTTCACACCGTCGAGTCCAACAATCGCATCGTCACCGAAGAGGGCGTTGGCGAGGAGGCCGACAATTCCAGCGACACCGTGCTCAGCGAACACATCCATCGAGTCGTCGATTCGGATCCAGTATTTCACTTGGTTACGTTAGTATGGGAATTAACCCGCTAGATATGGAAAGAAACATACCCTTGGTGGCATAGTTGCAAACAATTCCAGTCACAATTCCCAAGACCACACTACCCCAGGGAGTGATAAAACCAGAGGCCGGGGTAGCAGCGACCAGACCGGAGATAGTGCCAGAGCACCATCCGACCATCGACCACTTGCGAGCCAAGCGCCAATCGAGAAGAACCCAAGTGATCGAGGCAAAAGCAGCTGTCAAGTTGGTGTTCCAGCATGCCATGGCGGCGCGGAGGTTGGCACCAAAGGACGAACCACCGTTGAACCCCAACCAACCAAACCACAGGAAAACGGTACCGAGCAGAATGAGAGAAACGTTGTGGGGGCGGAAGTTGAGCATCATTCGCTCCTGTCGACGACCGAGGACCATCGAGTAAGCAAGGGCAGACAGACCGGATCCGATTTCGACAGGGCCACCTCCTGCATAGTCCATAACACCGTATTTATAAGCCCATCCGTTGACATTCCAGGCCCAGCAAGCCAGGGGGCAGTAGACGATAGTGGCCCAGATGAAGGTGAAAACCATGGCAGGGAGTAGACGACCGCGTTCGGCAACTGCTCCCATGATAATCGCGGCAGTAACAGCACAGAATTGCATCTAACCGAATGAAAGTCAGCTAGAGCCCAGGAAATACATGATTGTTCGAATGACCATACCTGGTAGAACGCGTAAAGCAGGTTAGGGATAAGGGGCGATCCAGGACTGGGATCGCCCAGGGTCTTCATCAAACCGAAATTGCGGAGGTTGCCGATATAGCCATTGGTAGCGGTCGGTGAAAAGGCCAACGAGTAGCCCCAGAAGTACCACTGGAAAGTAACGACAGACATGGAAGCCATACAGGCCCAGATCATACTGAGAGCGGACTTGCGACGGGCCAAACCAGAGTAGAGGAAACCGAGACCGGGGACCATGACCATGACCATGGCAGCTGCCACGATGATATAGGCCTGGTCACCCGATTGAAACCATTTGTTCAAGTTCTCCGTTCCTGGGGAGATTGTTAGTTGATTGTTGATTTGAGGCTTTTTTCAATGACTGTAGGAATCATACTGGAATCACCACCCAAGTTGACATTGGTAGAGAGATCATAGTTGGAGGGAGCTCCAGTCCAGTTGTAAGAAGCATAGTCCGGGGCGTAAGGAGCGACGCCTTCAGTAGACGCCATGGCGAAGATTAAAAGGGGTCGAGAGTAGACTGGCGGTTGAAAGGAAGTCGAAAGATGAAGGCGAGTTGAGAACCACCACCAGGGGGATTCTCACGAGGAGCAAAGAATGAAAGAGATGGAGATTGGGGGAGGTGGAGAGAGAGAGGAGAGAAAGGTGGAAGGAGGAAAGGGAGAATCGTCTGGAGAAGAGGAAAATCAGGTAGGATGACGATTTCTCTTTCACCTTTTTGTTCGATGAAACTCCGCCTTCAGTCGTGGAGAAAGAAAGTCGCCACGGGGAGGCGTCGGTATATGTATAGCTAATCGAGCATCAACGTTCTGGAAGAGCGTCCCGGTGGAGCCTCCGAAGTGGGAATGGATGGATGGAACTGGACGGGACGAATTTGCGGTTTGAGTTTTCTTCGAGAGTTTCTGAGTCAAAAAAAGATAGATCGACGGACGGTGGAGAATGCTGCCCAAGAGCTGATATTATTATTATTATTTGGTAAGTGAAGATATTCAACCCGTCTTTGTAGGTACACTGTAAGATGAGTCTCTTTAATTATTAAAAGAGAAGAAGAATCGGAAAACCAGAGAATAAGAGAAGGAAGGGAGCAGCGTTTAAGCTCTGGAGCAAAAACGAGAAAATCAATAATCGAATAATAGAATAAAATAAAACAAAACAAACGCAGGAGATAACAGAGGAACTTAAATTGGCCAATCACCGTGGGCCCTGGCTGACAGCCCATAATTGGGGCCTTCCATTCTGTTCTCTCCATCCCCATGCTGTATGTTAGTATATTATTAGCATATTAGTACTCATATAGCATGGCTTCGTCTTTTTTTTTTTCTGTTCAATTCAATTCATCTTCATCTTCTTCAGCATCTCGTTCAGCATCTTCTTCATCGTGAAAGTGGCAATCGGCCCATCCCCGTCGGCCAAGACCCCCGCTGGAACTGCTCAGATCGGTGGCAAGTACATAATCATATTATCATTTCATTTCCCACGGATAACACCAGATAGAACAGAGATACCTTCCCTCCAATCAATATTCCGCTTTGGTTAATTTTTCTGCCTTCCGCTTCATCCTCTGGTTAATTCCTTTGCGTTGCTTTTTCTCTCCCTTTCTCGCGTGTTTCAACCATGGGGAATCCAAGGCTTGTCCTCCGTAGCTAGACCGATTTAGTCCTGTAGCACTACCGGAGAGTGTCCATAGTCCATATGGTCTGAGGCGGAGAGTGAAGATCCCAGTGTGTAAAACAAGAGGACGAAAAACAAAAAGTGGGTGGTCTTTCATCATCCATTTCTTCTTCTTTTTTTGGGGGCTGCAGCTTTTATGGATACTCTCGACCATATCTACTATCTATCTATCTCTTCCTCTCTGCTTCTGACGATAAGTATCAAGATACATCCCCAGCACCTGGCCTTACTACTACTATATGGCAGTCCATCGGAATTCGCCTGACTGGCTCTCTGCCATCGCCGCCCTGCTTATCTGCAGTGTTTGTTTCTCTCAAGTCATCCATTGGCGCTGCACCCTATCAGACAAACGATTGGCTGTGAGGTCCCGATAAGGCCCTGTCCGCCACCACCGCGCCAAGTGGGTCCCGCTATCGCCGCATCCGGCTAGGGAAGGCGAGATCCACCCGCCTCCACTGATAACGATTGAGTGTCGACCAATCACAGCGATGCTTTTAGGATTTGGCCCTTCGTCCCTCATTCAACCGATGCCTTCGGGCATTTCAGGAACGACATCGGATGGCCGTTGGTTCCCTATCTGACGCCGTCGGATTCGGTCTTGGCTTCTTATTTCTACCTTATCTCTTGGCTACCCTATATCGAAGTGGAATAACGGTTGACTCCATAGTCTTCTACCAAGTAGAAGGTAACTACTATAGAGGACACATGGCTGTAATATGGTCATAGTCTATCTGCAGTGGATAATGTCACTGGCGTTTAGTGTACCAACCCAGCGTACGAGAACCGATCCATTCCGCCGGGACTGCAGATTCCTATCTCTCCCTCTCCTGGCCAATCAGCATCCAGCCGTATTTAGAGTGTGTCTGACTGTCATCGATTTGCATCACAATATGAAACTGATAACAGATACAGTCACTATCAAGGCGTTACCCCCCTGGCTACCTATTAGTAAACATCCCCAAAACAATCACCTCCTATCCTGATCAGTAGTTTCTAATGCTTCGCCCTACGACCCTTATTGAAGATCGACCCAATAGTTTCAATAGCTGCAGCCAGAGCATGGGCCATAGATAGACTGCAGTGGGGTCTAAACTGCGATGTTGTGCAGACAACTAGGCCTGTACTTATTTATCTCGACTTGAGTTGTCCATATCCTAGATTGCTTGCTTACTTACTGGTAACGCATGTGATGTATCTGCTCAGCTGCAAGCAAGGCATACCGATTACAGTTTGCCTGGTTGCCTCGTCCTCCGCATCATCACATGCCAGAATATCGTATCCATCTCGTGCCGCGACATCACTGGCGATTGTTACTTAATATGCTCCCACATCACACTCACTGGCCATGGCCCACTGAAGTTTCTGGGGAAGAGGGTCTGTACATCCAGTCTAGGGACGGGGTACATACAGCCAATCAGCCAGTCAGCCACTATCAGCGACATGCATAATACAGTGTGTCATGATTGCTGTAAGGATGACTCTTCATAAGCCGCTTTTTGTGTTACCTTGCTCCATAGTAGTTAGTACCTAGGTACTACTCCTTTCCTCCTGCGTATCCATTTCTGTCTGTCCTCTATGGTGAGTGACTGGATATATATCGAGGTTGGCGATAGGGAACTAGGATTTCCGATGCACTCTTCTATCAATTGAGTAGAAATAAACCATGAGAAAGGTTGTATTCTATATTTATCTGCTACTCGTATTTATAACAAGCCCACCATGTTGGTGAATTATTCATCTGCTTCATGAGAGGCAGAGAGGGGTGATATCACCTGTTGAGCTCACGAGGTCAATGACAAGGCATTTAAAGGAATAGCAGGACACAGGTTGTAGTCAATCCATCAATGATTAATTAATTATCCCCAATGACCTGAAAACTCCATCTCCATTATTGTTACAAGTGATGTATATAAAACACCACGGATATCCCCCTAAATACAGACTAAAATGAGATTCATGACTGATGTAATGCTCTGCTTTTGTCTTTCCTATACAATAACAAGCCCAACAAATAATTGTCCAACCCAATAATCATATACGGCAAAATCTAAACATTGACACTATATCCTACTCCAACCGCCCTCCGCCGTTTCAGCGCGCTGAAGTACTTTCGCCCCTCATCCACCCAAAACACAGAGCTGGAAATGCACACCAGTTTGAACAGGTGGGTGAAGCTGAGCGGCTCCGTCTGGAAGATCTGCTGCAAGAATGGGAGGTAGATGACACATGCCTGGCCCAAAAGCGAGCCCAGAACGGCATAGTTGAACATGTTATTTCCAAACATCGAGATCTCACCCCGAAGTACCGACTTGCCTTCGCTGCGGCAGGACAGGGCGTTGAACATGTCGAAGAGCACAAAGCAGGTAAAGGTCATGGTCGTGTCATGGGCTGTGACTACGCGAGTGTGCTTTCCCGGATTACTGACATCCTCCACATGACCCATTTCGTGGACATAGACGGCCAAAGTGCCGAGCATAATCACAAATGCAGAGGTGAGCACACGCTGGATCAACGGTTTGGTCAAAACCCGGGCGTGCTTCGGACGGGGTGGACGACTCATGATGGACGGATCGACTGGCTCGACACCAAGGGACTGAGCTGGAGGGCCATCCATGAGAATATCTAGAAACGGCTGTTAGGGAAATGTACGAAAGAGAGATCCTGCAGTAAACTTACTAATCCAGAGAATTTGCATCGCATTGAGTGGGTTCTTGAAGCCCATAGTGGTACCCAACAAAACCAGACTCAAAGCAGCGACGCTGGTGCTGAGTTGGAAAGTAATAAAGTTCTGGATATTGTAGAAAATTCCCTTGCCCTGCTCAATGGCACGAAGGATTGTCGAGAAATCATCGTCCGTTAAGATCATATCTGCTGCCTCCTTGGCAACATCGGTTCCCAGTTTGCCCATCGAAATACCAATGTCGGCCTTCTTCAATGCCGGCGCATCATTCACACCATCACCGGTCATGGCAACCACATCTCCTCGAGACTGCAATGCCTTCACAATCTTCATCTTATGGTCTGGACTAGTGCGCGCGAATATCGATGTGGTCGAGATGGCTTGTGCCAACTCGGCCGTGCTCATGCGGTCGAGCTCGTCACCCCCGATCACGGGTCTTGACCCTGGGGATTCGTTGACTGGCATGCACAGTTGCTTTGCAATAGCGACCGCTGTTGTTTCGGCATCTCCTGTGATCATTATCACCCGCACTCCTCCAGCCATCAGACGCCTGATGGATTTGTGAACGTCCTTTCGCGGGGGGTCGTTCATTCCCACCAAACCTGCAAACACCAGCCCATTATAGCGATCATCGTCGTTTCCTTGACTGGAACTCGAAGAAGGTGTGCCAGATCGACTACCAAATCTCCCTCTTCTAGGGGAGTCTCTCACCACTCCGCTGGCGAAAGCTAAAACTCTCAATCCCTCTGCGGCCATCTGCTCGGCTGCTTGCCTCACCATATTCCGCCGCGGCTCGTCTAGAATTACCTCACGGCCGTCCTTCATCAAATAAGTATCACATCGCAACAGAACCTGTTCAAGAGCACCTTTGATGTATGCTACATCCGTGCCTCCGTGCGCAGATTCGCCCGTACCACCGTGGATTATCACCCCCATCCACTTGCGCTCAGAGCTAAATGGGGTTTCAGCAGTCCGAGTACTGATGCGTTCACGTACATCATCTTCCCCAAGGGCATCTAGCAAATCCAGGATGGCCACATCCGTGGGTTGACCAACCCATCTGCTCTTCACAGCCCCCGAGGAACTGTCAACAGTGGAAGACAAAACCGCCGCGGAGGATGCACTAGCCGGAGAGTTTGCATGAATACGTGATAACCTGGCATTGTTGGCAATATTTCCAATTCGGAGAACGGTATGAGCCGCGGGGCCTGGAGTCAACGAGGAAATATCTCGGTGAACCTCGAATGCCTCCGTGCAGTCAAAATGCCACATCTTGGTAACAGTCATGTGGTTCATGGTAAGTGTCCCTGTCTTGTCACTGCAGACAACGTTCACAGAGCCCAATGTCTCTACGCTCGGAAGTCTTCGCATAATCGCTCCTCGTTTGGCCATACGCAACACACCCAGAGCAAGAGTAACCGTCACAATAATCGGGAGACCTTCTGGAATCGCTGCAACCGCGAGTGAAACGCCAATGGTGAACATCTCAAGGAGCTTCCTGCCCTGCAGTAACCCGATTACCACGATCAGTGCGATAACACCAAACGAGATATAACTCAATTCCTGGCCCAGCCGGTCCATAGATAACTGCAGCGGGGTTCGAGGGCTTTCAATCTCCTGAAGAGAAGCCGAAATACTCCCAAACTCGGTCTTGGCACCAGTCGAAATGACGATCCCCTGTCCGTATCCAGACCGTACCAAGGTGCCCATGAATGCGACATTGTGCTGCTCGTTCAATCGAATATCTGCCCCAACAGCACCGCTGGCAGGGGCGTCGTAAAGAGGGGATCGAGAAGGCTTGGGTGACTGCAAAAGGAGGTGCTTCGAGCTAAGCGCATCTGCGAATTTAACAACTGGCTCATTCTCTCCAGTTAAATTGGATTCGTCAATTGACAAGTCGGTCGCGCTAGTGATCCTTATATCCGCTGGAATGCGATCGCCTGTCGAGAACAAAACCAAATCTCCCGGCACAAGCTCGTTGGCGGCAATGGTACTGGCCGCCTTGATAGCAGCGGAAGCATAGCCCGGGCCCTTACCCCGGAGTTCCTGCAACTCCACATCACCTCCAGCAGCGGCAGTAGGGGAATGGCTCATGGCAGGGTTGTTAGAGGAGGGGACATCACGGATGAGATGCGCATGATGAGGTACGAGGCGGCTCAACGCCTCCAAAGACTGCTCTGACCGATACTCTTGGACGAAACCGACAGTGATCACAATGGTAACAGCAAGTGTAATACTAATCGCATCGTCGTAATTGCCCATGAAGAAAGACATGGCCGCGGACCCCAAAAGGAGAAGAATCAGGGTTTCCCGGAACTGTTTCAGGAACCGCAGCCACAGTGGCTCTGGCTCTTCCTGGGGAAGTTCATTCGGTCCATCCCGTGCCAATCGAACCTCAGCTTCAGCTGGAGTGAGTCCATGTATAAGAGAAGTGTGTAAACGGTCGGCTGTTTGCTGTGGGTCTAGTAGGGAGTATATCGATGTGGAAGTCTGTCAGGTTATCCTCATTAGCTGTTGATCGACCGAAACATGCTGCGCTATTGAGAATAGAAACAGATATAGTATATATAATCACATGTACAATCGCTGGTGCCAACAACTCACCGATGGAGAAGCGTTGGAGCGCAAGCCCGCGGGCGCCGTGGACGGAGGCCTCGAAACGGGGACCTGCGCATTATGCAGAGGTAGCGCAGGTGTTGCGGACCTTGACATCTCTCATGCTATACCGGAACAGTAAAAAAAAAAGAAAGGAAGACTTGCTAAACCGAGCTCCCAACTGTTATCATCCCGCCAGGGCCGTGGAGGAGCACACAACAAAATAAAACAAGGTGAACGAGAAGCCACGTTCTTTAGACGCGATCTGGCCGCTGCATCGACTGGGGGCAGGCGGAGTCGGACAAAGGGGCTGAATGAGCTGAAATCAATTATATGCAATAAATGAGAAATGACATATAGCAGTGCAAGAAATCCCCAGCAGTGAATCACTGTGGAATGAAGGAATTGCCGAGATTCTGCTGTCTGACTCCTACGACGCTGCAACGTAGAATCGCTGACTGATGCCAGATGCCTGATGATGCTTTGCCCAATCCGGCTAGTTGGGCCGCCATGCGGAGGTACAGTTGATCCAGTGCTTATTGCCGGATAGGGGATAGGGCTGCAGATCAGGTGACCGTAAACGCTACCTAATAAATGACTAATACAATTTCTCCCACGTGACCCCAGCCACACGACTTCCGTGCTGGGCCCTGCATTCATTGGCTGCCTAAGGCCTCAGCCCACTCAATGCGCCGCAACGCGCCGACTTCTCTCTCGCCCTCCTCTCTTTCTCTCTTTCTCTCTTACAATCCAACCTCCCCCTCCTGGTTCTCCCCTTGATTTGCTCCCCTCGCTATCCCGCCTCTATCTTTTTAGGGAAGGGTATTTTTGATCGCATTCGTTTTTTGATATTACCGCCGCTTGCTGGAAGCACCTGATTATTCCTGCATACACACCGCCCGTTCGTCTGGGGGGTTAAGATCCGATCGGCGAATCTTTTGTTTTCTGGATACAGCGCGTCATCCCTCTTGGTTGCTAGGGCCTTGTCCACAACAAACCACCCCGCATTGGGCGGGCCTTCTGGGGATAAGCTCTTCCTACTTTGATTTGTATAGTATCCTTTCTTTTTTACGCCGTGAAGAACCATGTTCTACTCGGAAACACTCCTGTCGAAGACGGGGCCGTTGGCCCGCGTTTGGCTGTCTGCCAATTTGGAGCGCAAGCTTTCCAAGTCGCATATTTTGCAGTCGGACATTGAGAGCAGTGTTAGCGCTATTGTTGATCAGGGCCAAGCACCTATGGCCTTGCGATTGAGTGGTCAGTTGCTGTTGGGTGTGGTTCGAATCTACAGCCGAAAGGCGCGCTACCTCCTGGACGACTGCAACGAGGCCTTGATGAAGATTAAGATGGTATGTACTATGGAAAAGCTCTCTATTCCTGCTGTTGCTAACACAAATCCCTATTAGGCTTTCCGCTTGACCAATAACAATGATTTGACCACTACTGTTGTTGCTCCTGGCGGCATCACTTTACCCGATGTGTTGACTGAATCTGACCTGTTTATGAACCTGGACTCCTCTCTACTATTGCCTCAGACCCTCAACTTGGAACCAGAGGGCAAGCGACCCGGCTCTTCGATGGATTTCGGTAGTCAACTTCTTCCCGACAGCAGCTTCCGTCGCTCTGTTTCGCAGGAGCCTGCGCGCCTAGAGGACCATACCTTGGTTGACCTTGATTTGGGAGAGGACGACACCCCGCTCGGCCATGATTTCAGCGTTGAAATGGGTCGAGACGCCCCTGCACCTCGCCCTGTGGAAGAAGATCTTTTTAGCGATGCCGGCAAGGTTAACGATGTCGACCTGAATTTGGACCTTGGAGAAGATGACGCCCTCTTGGATAAGATGGACATGGGCAACGACGCCCCTGAAGACCACCTCAGCGCTTTGGGTCAGGATGATGCTATGGACATGGGTGGAGATGGCGAACTCGCGCTCGAAGGCGAGCAGAACAGAGCCGACCGCGAAGAAAGTGTTCTTACTGAGTGCCCCGACGAAACCATCCATGAGATGGGCGAGGAAGTTGAGCGACAAGGCTTCCTGAACCAGGACGAGACCGAGATCTACCAAGAAGACGCCGAGGAAGGGGAAGAGGAAGAGGATCTTGCGATTCAACAAGGGCAGCGCGCCAAGCGCAGGAGGGTCATGCCACTCGATGAGATTACCGATTTCCAGAACAGCCAGATCAAGGAACAGCAGGCCGACCGCTCAGGAATTTTACAGCCGACATCGTTCTTGCCCCGGGATCCCGTTTTGCTCACACTGATGAACATGCAGAAGAACGGTGACTTTGTGTCGAATGTGATGGGTGGTGGCCGCGAGCGTGGCTGGGCTCCCGAACTCCGCGGGCTGTTGTCGTTGGATGCTGTGAAGAAGGCTGGTGAACTGAAGAGGAAGCGCGACAGCGGAATCTCCGACATGGATGTGGAAGCCGCCACTGCCCCTGAACTGGAACTTGGTGAAGAAGAAGCCATTGCCCCCGTGGATGAGGGTGTGGGTCTCGACTCTACCCTTCACCAGCGATCGGATATTGAGTTCCCCGGTGACGAGGAGGAGCGGGAACTGCGTTTGAGCGATGACGAAGGAATGAACCAGCCACTGGACGACTTCGAAGACACCATCCAGCCCGCCGATAGTGGCCCCGTCTCTGTTGGCACTAAGCACGCAGTTCACATCTTGAGAGACTCCCTGGGCGAATCTGCAGCAGACCAGAAGACCAGCGTCAAGTTCCAAGACCTTTTGCCGGAGAAGAAGACAACCAAGGCGGATGCGACCAAGATGTTCTTCGAAGTCTTGGTTCTGGCTACCAAGGATGCCGTCAAGGTTGACCAGGGAACTGATGCCATTGGTGGTCCCCTGAAGATCCGTGGCAAGCGCGCTCTCTGGGGCTCGTGGGCTGAGGAAAACACTGGCGGCGAGCCTGCCAGCCAGCCCACCGAGGTTGCAGCCTAAGCATATCTTTTTCTTCCTGCTTTTGATAATGGTTTTTTAATGGGGAATATCGTTCGTGTACAGTGATGTGTTTTGCGTTCACTACTTGTTCATGTATTGGGGCTGGCCAGCCTTTTGGAATTTGGGTTTTCTATTCTTTATCTCTTGTTTCGAGTGCGGAGCATCGTTTTGATGACTTGATGGTGTTTGGGGTCTTCGTTTCTGGGCTGAAAGGGCGATTTTATTTCTCGATTGATTTGCTTTTTGACGAGCTGGGCTTGCAGCTCTGAGGGCTTTGGGCGAACGCCCGTGGATAGCGTTAGTGTTATAGAAACCACATAATCGAACACCATGAATGGATGCTTCAGAAATTCCCAGCTTATAATTAAAATAGACAGGCAATTCTGTGCAAAGAAGGTAGTAATTCTCGAAAATGGGTCTCCAGACAGTTTCGACCAGCGACTGTTTCAGGATGAGTTTCAGGACCGACCAAGCTGATGACTGGCGCGTAGGAGGTTTTCCAGCGCCTCAAACACTTCTTCAGCTTGATCGAAAGGCTTGATGACACCATCGATAGGCCCCATGCAGTTTGCTGGGAAATGAAAAGGACGAATGCATGACGATCACCAGCCCCATCCCTCGCGTTTAGAATCTTGCAAGTTACAGCCCAAAACGGACCGAGTTGGATAATCATGGGAGGCGATAATAATAACCGTGCTAACCAACCACTCCAGGATCGACGATTCTATTCTAAGAACACAACAAGATCGACGCGTCTGGGGAGATCATGGTCTGTGATAAAATGGTCGCTGGAACCTGCAACAGTTGGAGCGATTCCACACTCGTCGTCTCAGCCAGCTTTTGACCATGAATGATATCTACCAACGACTTCAATTCCACTGGGATAACACCCGCCAACGACTTATTGACAATGGCAATCCGCCTTGGTTGTTGAATAAAACGATATTTCGATTGACAACCGCCTTGATGGCGATAATCGGACTGGCACTCTTTGGCGCAGCGATCAAGCCATGGGGAGAGAATTTCGAGCATGTCAGAGGAACAGTGAAGGGAGACTGGCAGGACGCGCTGGCTTTGTGTTCGGTATGTATCTTTCTATCCTGATGGGCGATGTGGTTTCTTAACGAAAGAGACAGCTTCTACTCTCCTTTCTGTACAATACCCTCAGTATCCCATGGGTATTCTGGCATGCGCGACCTGTTCACCCTCTTCTCGACTGCAATGCAGATTTCACCGTTTGGATAACGCTGGGCGTTGGTGTGGTCTTCGCAGGCTGGGGAGGGGCGTTTAATCTCTGGCATTCGATAACATCCTCAGACGAGATACGCTGTGTGGGATGCTCTCCGGTGTTGTATGAGATTGGAAGATTGGAATTGGCAGGATTGTGTTTTGGAATTATTGTCTGGTGAGTTTTTATCTTGCATGTGTTGATGGAATGATGAAATGCTAACAGAACCAGGACAATGACTACTCTTCTCCTGATACATGGATGCGTCCAAGCAGTCCGTCTATATCGATATGGAACTGGCCCAGCTGGGTTTTTCAATCTCGAAGGAAACACTTATTTCATGGATGAGAAGGAATCGCAGCGGATGATGATGGAGGAATGGCTGCCATCGCAGCTGGATATGCCTCGACCTCCACCCAAGACGTGGTCAAAGTATCGCAGCATGCATAATGGTCGGATGGACTTTTATGATCTGAGATGATTGGATGTTGGATGATACGGATGTTTATGATGATGATTAGTGTCTATTGTCTAATTGTAATATGGAAGAGGTCAGATTAAGTGTACAAAAGCAAATATATCCGCTGTCATGACGGCTACTCTATCTACTCCATTCAGACTATCCACGGTTAAATAGACTGCCGATGGGGCAAAAGATCATCACGCACTAAAGAGTGCTTGATTCCTAAGCTTCGGTTTGGGAATTCCGAGATATTTTTTTGATTTCTTTTCTTTCTCTGGTTGTTGTGGGGAAATCACAGCCAGAACCAGAAATAATAATACTGGCTATTTTGACCCCGCTGGTTCAGTCTGAATTGATTGAATCGGTCTGAATCGGTCTGAATCGGTCTGCCTTTTGATTGCATTTCAATTATCTCAAAGTCTCAATTCATATCCATCTCGTATCTTGCTAGCACCGACTAGTTTAGTCTCTCCGTTTTTCCGACTGATTTTCTGTTTAATCTTAGACATCGAAACAAAAAACACTCGCATGTCATCGCTTCTGCCCCAATTCCGTTGCATTCACCATGTCTGCAGCAAAGGAAGAAATGATGGCATCCTCCGGTGAAAGCCAGAGCATGGATTATCCCAACCACTACAAGCAGAGCGATTATGGCGATTCATCTGACCAGGAGAAACCCGAGGAGGAGATGGACAGGACCTTTGCGCCTATCGCCACCAGCGAGGAACAGCACGATAGACGATTGCACAAGACGCACTCGAACGCATCCAGATCGATGGAACGGAGCTGGTCTTTGAATGATGGATACAGCTGTCATGCAGGCGATGAGCAGAAGGGCGAACCGGGCGACGAAGAGGCTCATGTCGCTAAAGCTGATGACCTGCCTGCGTTTACTGTTGGGTGGGATGAGGACGACCCGATGAATCCCCGGAATATGAGCACTGCCAGACGGTGGATGATTGTTAGTATTGTATCGCTGGGCTCGCTTTGCGTGTGAGTTTTATTATCATGTCGTCATCTGTTTAATATCAATAACTGATGCTATACAGGACTTGTACCTCGTCGATGTACACGGTCACTTATGACCAGTTGACCGTCGAATTCAATTGCTCCCGCTTGGTGGCAACGCTGGGACTGTCGTTCTTTATCTTTGGTCTTGGTGAGTTTAATAGCCATGTCTGTACGAAGCTGTTTGTTGACTCGCCTGTAGCTGTCGGTCCACTAGTCCTGGGTCCTCTATCAGAGGTTGGTGTCATCTTTCGATTCGGCTATTCTCAGCTAACTCTGTCAGTTTTATGGTCGACGATACATCTACATCGCCTCATTCTCTTTCTTCTTGATCTGGCTGATCCCATGTGCTGTGGCCAAGAACATCCAGACAATGATCATCTGTCGTTTCTTCGACGGTATCGCAGGGAGCGCATTTCTCAGCGTTGCTGGCGGCACTGTTGGTGATCTGTTTGCTCGCCACGAATTGGCTGCACCGATGATGCTCTATACTCTGAGTCCATTTGGTGGGCCTACCATAGGACCACTGTAGGTCTAATTCCTTGATTGAATACTTCAAATATCTTGATGGTGACTGATGATGATAGTGTTGGTGGATTCATCAACCAATATACAACATGGTAAGATTTAGGTTCCACGTATTCCAAGAAAAATGATAGGTAAAACTGATCATTCTATTAGGCGTTGGTCATTCTACGTGCTCCTCATATGGACGGGTATTCTATTAGTCTGCATGATCATACTTGTCCCAGAGACTTACCACCCAGTGTATGTGTTTCTGATATCAAATCCCGTCCGCTTTCACTGACATGAAACCAGAATTCTGAGACAAAAAGCACGCAAAATCCGCCAGGCCACAGGGGATGATCGCTGGAAAGCACCGATCGAGAAGCTGCATCGCTCAGTAGCGCGGACAGTCCTGCGGTCTACCTATCGACCCGTGCTGCTTCTGGTGCTGGAGCCCATGTGTCTCTGCCTCTGCATCTTCTCTGCGATCTTGTTGGGTATTCTCTATCTCTTCTTCGGTGCTTTTCAGCTGGTGTTCTCCAACGTCTATGGGTTCGAACTGTGGCAGCGCGGTTGCTGCTTTCTCGGTCTCTTAGTGGGCATGATCTTTGCCATTCTGTCGGACCCATTTTGGCGTCGTGTCTGCACCCGTCTGGAACGCAAGCATGAGCTGGCCGTGGGAAAGGCAGACGACTTCCAGCCAGAATGGCGACTACCCCCAGGTGAGTATGCTTCGTTGTGCGATGAGTGAGCCCGTCTATTGTCTAACCTGCCCCTGTGGATGCAGCAATCGCCGGAGGCCCTCTTGTCACCATAGGACTGTTCATCTTTGCCTGGACCATCTATCCTCAAGTTCACTGGATTGCGCCCATCATTGGCAGTGGTTTCTTTGGAGCTGGGTAAGTTTTCAATCTCGGTATTTGGAATTCCTGCGGCGGCTGCTGCATACTTGAAGCAATTGGCGCTCATGAAATCGTGTTGTACCACCCAGAACCATCCTCGTGTTCTCTGGAATCTTCACCTTCCAGGTCGATGCGTATCCGACATTTGCTGCAAGCGCTCTGGCAGCCAACAGCTTTACTCGGTCGACCTTTGCAGGAGTGTTTCCCCTTTTTGGAATCCAGAGTGAGTTCTCCTTTCCCACGTCTGAGACTCGGTGAGCAAATGGATATTTGCAGCCATCACCATGACGCATCTTGTCCCACCTCAGGCAGCTCTACTTGGATGGATCTGTCAACCAGCCTGACCGCCAGTTGCTAACTGTTGAACAATATAGTGTACAACAACCTGGGATACCATTGGGCGACCACCTTGTTGGCCTTTTTGACTCTGGTCATGACTCCATTCCCGTAAGTTGTCTTTTTGTCGCTTTCCTGCGACAAGTATATTCTATCACATATTTGTGCTCCTCTGCAAGCATGCAATTGTCCGAGTCGTTGGTAGAATTCACTCCCCCCATCCCTTGCATTATAGCTCTGCAGGTTGACAGCACCAGTATTCTTGTTCCTTGCTGCTTTGGGGGTTTGAATTTCTATTTCCATACTTTGATCGGGGGAGCTTTATTTTGCTAATGAGTTTGATAAAACAGGTACATATTTTTCCGATATGGCAGTAAAATACGGGCCAAGAGTCGGTTTGCCACACGATGAGTACTGTACTATATAGTAGGTACTATTCAAGACGATGGGATTGATGTTAATATCAACACGCGTGTGATGTATATATAATGTATTTGATCAACGCGTCACACCGAAATTGGTCAACTCGACAGGGGTTGCCTGTACATGAATTTTATATCACGACAAAAAGATACATCAACAACCTCGACAGCTGTGCAGTCTTTGATCAAAGAACCCTTGTACAGACCGACTATTGAGAACTGCGCAACCTAACCTGCATCGACAGCCAGTCCGATTTTAAAGCCCATCGGATCAAACCTGAATGGTCGAGTCTGAGAAATACGAGAGATTCAATTCTATGACTGATGATAACTTTGTAGAAGAAGGCTATGTAAATAACCGAGGCAATTACCGAATACGTAATAGGTTCATCCTCTCGGGACAAAACGGGAAGCGAGGGAAAAAAGCCCGGCAGAGCGTTTATTCAGCTTTTGCGAAATGGCTCATCTAGACCGTGATCAAGGGTGATGGCGATGGAAGAAAGTATAACTAGGAGGAGAGAGAAATGAGGGATTTGATGGCTGGCGATGGTGATGTTATATTACCCACTCCATACGGTATCTGTACACACACTGTACCACCTGCAGCAACAGGGATCATCTTTGCCTGACATCCATTCATCTCCATCTCTGCTGCTCGAGAGACCAGAATAGATGGCCCAAACTGTCAGATGCGATGAGCGACATTGAGTATCTGACTTGGCACACGTGGTGTATATTACCATACCATACAGTACCGTACAGACAGATTATCACAAGCTGCCAGTTGCAGCAGAGCCAAAGTCAGCATGTGAGGATCTTCATTGATATCATTTCTGGATTTCTGGATATCTGGATGGTACTATAGAAAATGATGAATGGAATAAAAATGAGACAGCCATGATCATGGATACAATCAACAAATACAATGGCATGCATATCTGACTCAAAGGATGATTCTTATTATCTAAATGTTATCCCGCCTCGTATTCCTCGTCTTAAGGCTGAAACCATCGCAAAACGGCTTCTCGCGTGGCCACCAACTCCCAAGACTTGGTAAAGAAACCAGGATAAACCAGGTTCTGTTCTGTGGGAGTCATAGAAGGATAATAATAATATAATAGTATTATTATTTATCAGAATCATATTCCAAAAAGCACGCGACTCAGTCTGTCCTGTTGGTTTTTTCCCCTCTGCAATTGGACTGCCTGTAATTTTTTTTCTTTTTTTTTTTTTCCTGCTATTTTTTACGCGGACAAAAAGCCGCATCGATCGCAATCTTTTTTTTCTTCTCATTTGCACACAGAATCGATTCCTTTCCGTTTTCCCTGTTTCTACTGCTTCTTTCTTCTCTTCTTCTTTTCCCTCTTTTCTCCCTCTCCTCTTCTTCCCCGCGTTGTCTCTTCGTGTTCCCCCCCCCCCTCACCTCGCTCTGCTCGCCTCGCCTCGCCTCTTCTTCTTTTCTATCTTCCTCTCAAGTGGCGTTGAATTCTTCCTCGGATCTTGGCCGCATCATCTGAACGCAGTCAAACCGTCTTTTTGTTTCCCCGCAGTCCCGGCAAGTCTTTCGCTCCACTCATACTTTCTGCCGCGCTACTTCTCCAATACCTTCAATCTCCTCTCATCCAAATCCAGCGCGTGATCAAATTACTCTTACTTTTGTTTTTTTATCTTCCTACTTTTTGACGACATTCTGCTTCTTTGGACTGCGTCAAATATCTATCTACTCGGTTACCGAACGGCGTCATAGCTTCCCTCTCCTTTGATCCGTGACTTCAGCCGAGTTCCAAGGTCCCTCCCGTCGCTCACGAGCTTGTTGTCGCTGAGGTGCCACTTTTATGTGTACCTTCTCGCTCAAATCGCGCGACCGGGTGCTTCTACTTTTACACGACTGACTACGCTCACATCACTCTGCAAGTCAGCCGTCAATCTGGATCAAATCCAGTGCGCGGGTTCACGGCGCGACGAGGCAGTTCCCTAAACCAAGACGACTAGGGTGGCCAGCGTGCAGCTGCGATTTCTCAGTCACACGACTCTTTTCCTTTCTCGGCCCGAATCAGTTTCGATCGGACGATTTAAACGAATAAGGTGGATCTCATGCCGATATGAAAATGGATGTTAAACACAACTCTTCTCCGCCTCCGTCGGGAGATCGCAGCGGAGGCGATCAAGATGTTGGAGATGTCGTGGAAACTCCGGATCGACTTGAACCTAAGAATAAGACCAACGGTGATGGGCCTGCGAACGGTCAGAAGGCCAACGCCAAAGACCCGTCGAGGCCGCGAAGGAAGAAAGCAAGGAGGGCCTGCTTTGCTTGCCAGCGGGCGCATCTGACATGCGGTACGCTACACTAACCAACCTGTTCTATTCAGCAACCCCCCTCTGTGTGTTTCTTAAGATTATTGCTTTTGCTTGGCGCTTAGTCTATCTCTGACATGGCCCATTTTGCGCGAGGACGTCAGTTTTGAGGGCCATGGCATGAAACTGATGGGATTTTTTTTGTTCTTAGGTGACGAAAGACCGTGTCAGCGGTGTATCAAACGTGGTCTTCAGGATGCGTGCCATGATGGCGTTCGCAAAAAGGCCAAATATCTCCATGACGCGCCCGACGGAGCGCTGATGCCCGGGGTCGGTGGGAACTTCTATAACAACAGTCCGATGCGGAACGAACTGCCCCTCTCCAGAAACGGTGCCAACGCAGTCAACACCACAGCGCAGCAACAAAGCGCCGGTCCTAATTTCTATCCTACGCCCCAGTCCAATTCCTTTAATGTTTACCAGGAGAACGCTATCAACCAAAGCCCTTTTCCCAACCAGTCGCCGGTTTCGCCGACCTTCACACAAAAAACAAATCCCAATGCCCGAACTCCCAGTCTATCGGCTCCGGTGAACCAGCAACCTTCCAACCCGGCTGTGTCAGGAGCAGGACAGGCGCAGAATCCGTTCGCAGGGCCTTTTTTCGATCCCAGTGATCCGGCGCTTTTCAACTTTGATCTTTCCAGCATGAATTTCGAGAATCGATACGGCGCATTGGAGTTTAGTATGCTAGGACATATGGCTACGGGGGCTGGTGATTCCCCCAGTGATTCAGCAACCCAAAGGGGCTCAATGGGACGCAGTGGTTCGGCTCAGTTTGCCACTACGCCCATCACTGGGACTGCGGGATTTGGAGAAAGTCCCGGAAGTCAGCAGCCTTTTATGTTCGGTGATCCTCTTCTGAATGAATGGTCTGGTCAGACCTCAGGCCCGCCGCATATGAATGTCGGTGGCGTGTATGCACAGTCTGGCCAGAACAGCATAATGCCTGGGCACCTTTCAAAAACCGATGCGCCACATGCATTTGCTATTGAAAGCGGACCGGTGAATTTTGCCAGCCCCAATGCAGCTTCCAGTCCTCACCTTCCGAGCGGTTTTGATGAAACACCATTCAACAATGCATTGTCAAACAAGTCGAATGGCCTGGCACCAAACGGACAGCGGCCGTCGATCTCGACGCCAAGCCTGAAGCCGCAGAACATGCAGGTCGGGATTAAACGGCGTCATCGGAATCCGTCTTCCATCTACGAGAGCGTCAAGGAGCCGTATGGTTATACCAGTGGCTTCCACAACTTGACTGCTTTTATTCAGCGGCGATTTTCTCCGCAGAAAACTCTTAGGATCGCAAAATCACTGGCATCTATTCGCCCATCCTTTATCGCTACTACCAAAACGCTAAACCGAGATGACCTGATTTTTATGGAAAAGTGTTTCCAGCGGACACTATGGGAATACGAAGATTTTATCAATGCTTGTGGCACCCCGACGATTGTCTGCAGACGTACTGGAGAAATCGCAGCTGTGGGAAAGGAATTTAGTATCCTTACCGGATGGAAAAAAGATGTGCTTTTGGGAAAGGAACCCAACTTGAACGTCAACACCGGAGGATCGTCGGTTCCCCAGTCAGGCACCACCTCGCGCGGCAGTTTTACACCCCGAAGCGCGACCTTGGAAAACATGCCCAGTGGACGCCCGCAACCAGTGTTCTTAGCCGAGCTTCTCGACGACGACAGCGTGGTCGATTTCTACGAAGATTTCGCCCGACTTGCGTTTGGGGATTCCCGTGGAAGTGTCATGACGACATCCAAGCTCCTGAAGTACAAGACCAAAGAGGACATGGAGCTTGCCACGACGGATGAAAACCAACGTTGGAACAACCATCTGCGCAAGGGCGGGATTGCTGGCGAGGCGGGCATGAACCAGTTGGGGTTCAAGGACGGCAAGGTCGAATGCGCATACTGCTGGACAGTCAAGAGAGACGTGTTTGACATTCCGATGCTGATTGTGATGAATGTATGGTTTTTGCTCCTTCGCTTTTATCCTGATGTCTGATAACTAACGATTGACATAGTTCTTGCCCTGCATTTGATTGATTTCCGAGCTGTGCAACGACAGCTGATGCGGAGTAATCTTCTTTTTGCTTTCTTCCTTGATTCGCTTCATACCCTTGGAATGATCCAAAATGTTCCTTTTCTTTCTTGACTGATTTCTGTTCTTCACTGGTACATAAGCCTTGGGCTATGGAAGTGTACGATTGTTCATCGTTTATGTTGAGCCATCCACCTTGATTGCCTAATATTCTTCCCTGTACCTGTTGTATTTATTGGAGCATTGCGCTTTGGAGTTTCTTTACTTCGTCATTTCTCTTTGATATCAGCACTTGGTTGTGTGGTTTTTATTTCTAGTACATATCCTGTTCTCTTTTTTCCCCTTTCTTATTTCCCAGCCCCTCACAAGGGATGTTGATATGGCTTCATTTTTCGGCGCATAAAACGGGGGCAAAATGTCATGAGGAACGTATCATGTATCCTCGAGGAATGCAATATTGTGTATTAGACCACTGGATTGGTGCAATACCAGGATGATCTTTTTCTTTTCCTTATTATATCCCTTTTAAAACTCGTATAGCTCGCGATGAAGCAATGCATGGAATATTCCATGAACATCGCGCGATTACCGTACCTGAAAGAAACCGGCGTAATATACAGCAGCTGACCAATCACAAGATTCTGAACTCGTCATTGACATACCCCGCATCCTCGGCTTATCGATAGCTGCAATCGAATCATTTCTTACGGCATGCGGTGACGAGCATCTTCTTCTACCTTCGACAACCCGCCGCACCCGGTGAATCATCCTCAGCCCAAAGATAGAGGCAAGAAAACAATATACATAATACCTTACCATTATACCCACACAAACAATGCGACCAAATGGCCCTCGCGATCCCGTAGCGGGACCTGACAATGGTCCAGAGCCACCATTTCCAATCCGACTATCGGGGCCGGTGATTAAAGGTTTTGGGCGGGGGAGTAAGGAGGTAAGGTCCCCCGTGTTTTCTTTCTTTTACTTTATCCCTATATAGAATAGAATGGGGGGAAGGGAGAGAAAAGAGAAAGAAAGAAAAAAAAAGGCTAATGCGGTGCGGTACAGCTCGGAATTCCCACGGCCAATATCCCCCCAGAAGGTCTAGCAGATTATCCTGATCTCGCTGTGGGCGTATATTATGGCGTGGTGGCATTAGATCCGACCCGGTTCGTTTATAATTCGGAAGAGTCGACGGCGGAGGTGCATGGGGATGGGGATGATAGGAAGGCATCGTGCAAGGCTACGGTGCTGCCGGCTGTGTTGAGTATCGGGTATAACCCGTTCTATAAGAATAAAACGCGATCGATTGTGTGTGCCCCCTCCCCATACTGAAGTGCTCTTGCCAAGGGTAATTTTACTGACGGGCTACTGAAGGAAATCCACGTTATGCCACCCCTCACATCCCCCTCTCCAACGGCGCCGGAGCAGACGGGCGAGAAGACATTCCACAAACTGCCTGATTTCTATGCAACACGGCTTAATCTATTGATTCTGGGCTACATACGGCCCGAATTCGACTATGTTTCGCTGGAGGCGTTGGTGGAGGACATCCGGACGGACTGTGAGGTTTCACGACAGAGTCTGATGCGAGGGGCGTATAGGTGTTACTTGCAGGAAGATGAGGAGGAGTCTCGACCGGACAAAGTGAGGGAGGAGAGAAAGTGGCTGAGGAGTTTTGATCCTATGGGGTCGTTATAAACTAGATTTCTCGGCATGGGTTGCATATAGGTAGATAGTGAGTAATTGCACGACTGTTAGTCACGATACACATGGATGTCAACCTGATGTCGTCTGCCTTACCGACCACGGATCGGATGTCTCGGAGACCATCAAGCAATGAAATGGGCTTCCTGATGCCTTCTGGACCCTTGGATGAACGAAGTGAGCCCTGCCAATACTCGTCGACGTCACTCCCAAGACTGCCCAGGAATGCGCGTGGGGAAGGGCAATTCTTCTGCTTCTTGTCATGGATTCCTTGGGAAACGATTCGCTTCTCGGCTTTCTTAACATACATCATTGGACATATTTAGTTGCGGTCGGGATAATAATGCTCGTATAAATGTGAGGTTGATTCCGTGACTTATTATCTGTAAGGGGGTCCCTGGATGTATATACTCTGCGGAGAAATGAGCTGATGAAAACCGAACCAAGAAAAACAAATTAAACACGAATACCCCAGAAAGCAAGATATACATAATACATATAAAAGCAAAAAGAGAAAGAAAAAGCAAAAGAAAGAAAAATGGAAAAAATCCGCCAACATCTCTCACGGCGTCGAAGCAGTAACTCCAGTGCCTCACTGCGATCTCCGACCTACTATGCCAGCACCAACGGAGACAAACGCAGCAAGAATTCCTCTCCCCGCCATCTCATCTTGACCTCCAACACGCTCGATTTCGACCAGAGCATCATCCGTCGTTTCCAGGCGGAGGGGTTCGATGTCGAGTACATTCCGTTCTTGGGAGGTAATGAGGATCCAGAGAGGGATCGCAAGGAACTGGAGAATCGCCTGCACGAGCGAGAGGATGATTTGGAACCGGGGGAGAGATATGCAGTCGTTGGTAAGTCATCCTCGTTGAATACCATCAGAGTCGATACATAGCTAACTTGACAAAGCATACAATCGTCCGGCATTTCTGCTTCTCGCATCCCATCATCAATCCACCACGACGACGAATCCATTTCCTCGACTCTGCGCCCTGGTGACCTACTACCCAGACAACCCCTTTGCAACAAAGGAATATGACCAGTCCAATCTTGCTCCATGTGTTCCTCCCGCGACAAACGGCACCTCATCATCCTCGACCTACTCCCCCCTCTCTCTCCTCCCCGTCCAAATCCACCTCGCAGACCACCAAAGCTCTTCCTTCTGGGACAACTACAGCAACAACCCTAACAAAAAGCGCCACCGCTGCCACGTCTTCTTCTACCCAGAATCCGAGGTGGGATTCGCCGAGCCCTCGGGGAAATACTACGACCGCATCAGCTCCCGACTTGCCTGGAGCCGGGCGTTGGATTGCGTGAAGCGTGGATTCGGGGCCGGGGGGTCGAGCTGGACCATCCCCGACATCGAGACCGTGTGGGAGGATTACTGGAGGAATTTACAGTTTGATAGCTCGAAGCAGGCCGATGCGGACCGTCATGCCGATCAGGCGTTGCAGATGATGGTCGGGAGTAGTGGGGAGCGGAGTTCGCATGATCAGCACGATGATCATAACGGGGCCCCGGTGGTTAATTGTGTTCCGACTATGGTTGGTGGTGAGTTTTTATCCATTTATAGGGCTGATACGTAGCATGTGGTTCCATTTCTACTCTACGTATCAGATTTGGTACTGCATATTTCGTACTAACGTTGAATTGCCAGGATCCGACCGCACCTCTCTCTCAACCTTCTACACAACCCATTTCTACCCATCCGGCCCCCCATCTCAGCATATCCGTCTTCTCTCTCGAACTGTAGGCCCAGACCGTATCGTTGACGAAGTCATCGTTTCATTCCGCCACACCGAAGAAATCCCCTGGATACTCCCCCACGTCCCACCAACCGATCGCGACGTGCGGGTACCGCTCGTCATGACGGCCAGCTTCTGCGCGGGTAAACTGGCTCAGCAGAATCTGTACTGGGATCAGGCGAGTGTGCTGGTGCAGGTTGGATTGTTGGATCCGATGCTCATTCCGGGTGGGTTCAAGGCTACGGGGAAGACGAGAGATGGGAGGGAGATGCCCGGGCGGTTACCGGTAATTGGAGTTGAGGGGGCAGAGAGGGTTTTGAATGGATAGATTGTTAGGTTTGGGTTTGATGTCTGATATCTAAAAAGATATTAATGATTGATGAATACTACTGTCCTTCGTACTTTGTACTCCGTAGACTCCACATGGCGTACTGCAGTACTGTAGATACCATAACACCACAACCAGATTGAACCACAAACCTGATCTTGATATATTCCATATATCAAGCCTCGTAAAGGATCTCAATTCATATATCATTGCATATCGACCAGAAACAAGGCCACGTGACGCATCCTGCCCTGCCTTCCCTATTAGGAAATCAAACAGATAAGCCATCATTATGTAGTTCCCCCAACAAACCCAGGGTGACTGATGCAGTGGTCTTGTCGCCGCTTCTGCCTAGACCGGCGACTTGCTTTGCACCGTCCAAACAGGAGTCCTGGGTTCGAATCCCGCCAGGGGGGCTGGGGGGTTTTACGCTCTCCGGGGGTTCGGGGGGTTCGTCGAATATCCCTTCTGCTGGGATTTCATAGCCCACCGTGCAGCTTCCACCTTAGAGGAAGGGGGCTGGTTCGCGGGTTTGGGATGAGCTTTTTGTGATTCTTTTTTTCTTTTTCTTTTTTATTACACTGCATACAGTCAACAGAACATGAGGTGTTACTCAAATTTGCAACGAATATTATGAACAGTCAGTCAGTAGTCAAATTGTTTTATACACACCAGCTTCACAAGCTATCCAAAGATTTGCGCAAGCTTATTATATCACTGCTGACACCCCCCGCACTCTTTAGAGTCCGCAAGCTCGCCTCCTGCGCAAGAGGGATGATATCCTCAACTTGTCTTGACTTTCCATCTCCTTTCGCCAGTCCAGCAACAACCACACCGAGTAGTGTGTCTCCCGCTCCATTCACGCTCACGATATCTTCATGAGCAAGCACCCCTGCTGGAGGAAACAGTCGCATATACACGCCTCCGATTACTTCGTCCGTCGGCGGAGCACGGGATAGGATATAAGGAGCCGTGTCTGGGGAAGTCAGACGAGGGTCGCCAGGGCGAAGGAGCTGGGTCACCAGCACTCCCTGCTCTCCAAGCTTGGTGATGATGCATGGGATAAAGGGAAGAAGCTGGATACTCTGTTGGGGGGTGCCTTCATCAACAAGAGTGGCATTCGTCATTGCGACAAGTCGTTCCCGAGAACCAGAAGAGGACATTCCCATCGCATCAATGATACGCCACCAGCCTTCCGAGTCGAACAGCCCGCTCTCACGTGCAGCCATATACATCGCAGTAAGCTCCATGCTGTTGGGAGCTGCAAGGCTGATGACATTCTTAGGAACACAATCTGCCGTTCCTACTGCTGCATTTGCCCTATTGAACAGTCTGCACGACTTCGCGGTAGATACGGGCTCAAAAGCAACGCGAGCCCCGTGCTTGTTAGCCACTTCGATCCACTTGGAAAGAACCTCTGGGCTCCAGTTTCCATCCACGACAACCCATCGAGGCTTGGTGCGGTTGATCATGGGTTCCCAGAAGCCATCAAAGTCTAACTTGTACTCTGGAAGTTCCATGATTCCCATGTCTGCCATGGCTACAAGAAGATCTTTCTTTGTGTCATTCACAGCAATATACTGAGCGGTTCTTGTTCCTGAAGAAGCCGGAAGAACCTGTATACCTACCGTGGCGAGGTTTTCTTTTTGGAGAGTAGACAGCGCGGCACTGCCACTCAAATCATCACCAACAACACTACAGAATAGAACAGAGCTACCCATGTGGCTAGCAGCGATAGCAACATTGTGGCCTACACCACCAAGACTTTGTCCGATGACCGCAGGATTCGAGGTATGTGGGATGGGTGTAGTATTGGACCTTTCATTAGCAAACGGAGCATAATCACACGATAGATCAATGGCGAGAGAGCCAGCCACAAGTAAATCTGCCTTGTCTATCTGCTCGGCAGGGCTTTCAGTAGTTGGTTTAGGAACCGACGCGGCTTCTGAAGTTGGTTGGTCAGCCCTAAGGTTCTTGGGAATCGCTGGCATGTGTCTGTACAGAAGATCATCTCCGAAATTAGGGACAAACCAAGCCTGCAATTCCTGAATCAAACTTACCGATCAGTAAGTCCTTTACCAGAATCCTCCAATTTGGCAAGCTCCACAGCCACTCTGGTTGCACGCTTCACGTTTGATTCGACCAAAGCCCGATTGGCGATTACGCTTTTTCCACCACTGAGTTCCTTGATCTTAGCCAGTACGAATGGTGTGTTGTCGCTTCCACGATACCCTTCGACTTCAGAAAGGCGGATTGCCTCTTCAATAATCGTATCCATTTCATCCTTTGGAACCGACTGTTCCAGTGGCACTGGGTTCGCGAAGTGTATTCCAGATGAGACGGGAAGCTGTGATTGGGCATCTTGTTGTTATTAGCTACAAGCCTATCCAAGACCACCAGTTTCAATGCCGGATACTTACAGACTATAGCAGCCGCCTCTGCCTCATCCTGGATAACCTTGGGGCTCTTAACCCCGCTATCCCTTGTAAAGAAAGCGGGGAAGTCCACAGACCCTTGTCTACCATCTGCGAATGTTCCAACACAGACTCCTTCTGTCTCAAGGTATTCGAGAGTTCGCGGGATATCCAGAAAGCTCTTGCAGCCCGAGCTAATGACAGTCACTGGGGTTCGGCCCAGCTCAGTGAGATCCGCTGTTGAAGATAAGTTAGTAATTAGAAGTAACTGGATCATTTGTGTATTGCTGTCATACGCACCGGACACATCCATAGATGTTTCTCCACCACGATGGACACCACCTAGGAAGTAAAATGTTAGTCAATAAGACAAGAGATATATAAAGGAGATTTTAGCGCGCACCAAGTCCGCCAGTCCCAAAAATCTTAATACCAGCCAAGTGAGCAAGCACCATTGTGCCCGAAATGGTTGTACCGCCATAAAGACGTTTTCCCGCCATACCCTGATGATTCTCAGCACGTATATCCAGAATGGTCAAGCCAGGAGTTCAATATACCAGGCCACAGATATAACCCAGGTCTCTGCGCGAGACCTTTAATGCATTCTTTTTCTCTGCAGTCGAGGCAAGTTCGATAAGTTCCTCGGTATTCAAACCGACCCGTGCCACGCCGTCGAGAATCCCAATAGTAGCAGGGACGCCACCATTTGATCGAACAACAGATTCTAGCAATGATGCAAGAGCAACGCTTTCGGGATATGGGAATCCTAACGTCCAATCAGCTAAATCCCTGTACTAGAAGCTAGCGAATCCTGATGCATACCGTGCGTATAGATCGTAGACTCCAGTGCCACAACAGGTTTCCCAGTGGCTACAGCATCTCGGACTTCTTCAGAGACCTTCAAAAACTTGTTCTGTGCGAGACCTTGATAGCTTCTACTGAGCCGAGGAGCTTTTGCTGCTAATCCTCTGGCTGGCCTGCAGCAGAGCCGGGCAGCAGCTCGTGAAGCGAGCATTCTCAATGAGAGACAAACGCACAATCAAAGAATAGAACAGCCCAGCAGAATCAATGACAACGGCGATGACGATGATGAAGCTGGAAGAGCAGAAGAAGTAGGAGCAGTTATCAGTCGATCGATAAGAAAGCGGAGCGCGTCTGATGGCCGCCGCGGCCGCCGTACAGTGTTTGGTTAGTGCAGCATCGGGACACCTCAGCATCAGAGGCCGATTACGTCCGCTCCCCTCTCCCCCATCACCTCCTTTTCACCTCATTTTTCTGTCTCTTCCTGAATTATTCTCCTGGTGAGACATTGTGTACTGCGGCGCGGTTTGTTGTAGGGCCGCCCTTCGTCACAATGAGGTTTTTTACCGCAGCCACTGCGCTCTGCGGGCTATTGCTTCCCAGCAGCTTAGTATGCGCCGAATCCACAAGTACGACGCGAGTCGCTCTGCCTCAGGATTTCAAGCCCCCTCAGGTGTTTAGACATGCCAACTTGGTCCGGAACACCAATCTGGAGAAAGGATATGTCCGGGAAACCGTAAATGTTGTGGTTGAGAACGTGAGCGAGAAGCCGCAAAGCGACTACTACCTGTCGTTCCCATCCGACGTCTATGACAAGATCGGAGGATTGGAAGTGAGACATAGCAAGGCTGCGTCGAAGGAAAAGTATGAGGTGGAAGCCACAGAAGTCGACTTGTCGAGGTGAGTCTTGTGTCGCTCTCAATTGCTGTTGGTGGTGATGACGACGATGCCACGGTTGCTTCAATTCATGGCCTGGATGCTCATACGAATCTCAACAATTGACAGAGATAACCAATACTTTATCGTTCACCTTTCCAAGCCACTCGAACCCTCGTCGCAGGTCACCCTCGGAGTGTCCTATTCTATCCTCTCGTCTCTCAGCCCGCGCCCTGCTACCATCGGCCAGGCGGATAAGCAGTTCCTTGAGTACTCTTTCTCTGCCTATGTCCCCTCGGCCTACACAACGGTTACACAGAAGACCAAGCTGAAGTTCCCATCTACCAATGTTCCCGACTACACCAAGACCTCCGGCATCAAATCTGGCTCGGGCTCCGACCCCGAGCGCCAGGGCACAACTTACACATATGGTCCCTATGACACAGCCAAGGTTACTCCTGGAACCAAGTACCCGATTACTGTTCGCTATGAATTCACCAAACCCGTTCTTACTGCGCATTTGCTGGAGCGAGACCTGGAGGTTTCCCACTGGGGTGGTAACCTGGCCACGGAAGAACGGTATTGGTTGCGCAACAATGGTTCCCAGCTCAGCAAACAATTCTCCCGCGTGGAGTGGACGATTACCAGCTACTCGCAAATGCCATCCTCTGCGCTCCGTGATCTCAAGTACCCGCTCAAGCCTGGCTCAGTGGATCCCTACTTCATCGATGATGTCGGCAATGTTTCTACCAGCCGTTTCCGCCCCGGTAAGGCCAACCGGGATGGACACCTAGAGCTTCGCCCTCGGTACCCTATCTTTGGTGGTTGGAACTACAGCTTCCGCATTGGCTGGAACAACGACCTCGCCTCTTTCTTGCGCCGAACAGTGACTGGCGCTGACTCTTACGTTCTGAAGGTGCCTTTCATCGAGGGACCCAAGATCCCTGAGGGAATTCAGTACGAGAATGTCGTTGTCCGCGTCGTCCTTCCCGAAGGTGCCAAGAATGTCAGATTCGAGACCATCGATGGAGCATCCAGCAATGGACTTCCTGGCCTTAGCCAGATCCAGTCCCACGTGTCTAACCACAAGACCTTCATGGACACTCTGGGCCGGACGACCTTGACCCTCACGGTGGAGAATCTCTCTGACGAAGCTCGTGATTCTCAATTAGTGGTAAGTTTATATTATTTACGGTTATATATGATATATACTGATTCCGACCCACAGATTACCTATGACTATACCCTCTGGGATGCTCTGCGTAAGCCCTTCACCATCACCGCAGGACTGTTGACTCTTTTCGCTTCCATCTGGGCTATTGGAAGCATTGATGTGAGTATCAAGAAGCGGTAAATCCGTATGAATGTATTATTTGTCTGTTATATTCCGTCTGCTTCATATCAATAAAATGTCAGGCAATACAATGCAAGCCAGATAAAGCAAGCAATGATAGTAAATAGCCGTATTCTTCTGGTCTAACCCCCAATATTTTGGACGAGCAAGAGTATTTTCATACTCTTTTCCAACTTAATTGACGCTGCACTCTGTAACTTTATCTATAAGTTTTTATCATGTAATTCACGTTCTGAGCAGTGTTGAACAATTATATAGTGCCATCTGATCAAATATAGACAGTATAGACATGCGACAGTCAACCAACTCCAAGAAAAGAAAGATTCTCATTTTACATAGAATAACAGAATTAGACACCTCCTTTCAATGTATGCTTGCCCTTCCTTTCCCCTTGCTCCTACCTTATCGTCGCAACGGCAGGTAATGCAATGAACGCCAAACACCTTGCAAACTCGACGAAACCCCCAATACCCAAAGAAATAAATGAAACAAACGAAGATGTAATTTTTCTGCGAGCTGAGATGGTGTTTTTTGCCTTCCTTTTTTCTTTTTTATTCCTCAAATTTCCTCTTGACCCCATTACCATTCATGCTGGGTGGCATCTGTCGTGGCCTCCCTTCCGTGGGTGGCTGTGCCTGTCGTTTCTTCCAAGCTGTTTTAATCACCGGAGCAATCCGGATGAGATCTTCCTCGGTGACGCGGTCCTCGATACTCTCCAGGACCTTCTCGACGGTCGAGATGTGGTTTGCATCCATTTTGTCATCACGGAGACGGTGATAGCGCCATCTGCCGGTTTCATCCTTGGCACATTCGACGATAGCATCGTCGAGCGGCACGCCAAGGGACTTGAGCTCCTCCCACTCGGACGGGGTGACGTGCATTTCACCAAAGGGACGATACTCATTGGCATTGAGCAAGACGAAGAGATGGAATATGGGCATTGCGTCGTAGTCTGCATACGGCTCCGTAACGCCATCAGCCTCGTCTTCCGAGTCAGGCTCAAGAATCGGAAACTCGAGGCGCATTCGGAAGTCGATGGTATTTTCAGATGGCGGCTTCCACTTGAGGATGTGCTCGTCGGTTCCAATCTTGTAGGGGGTGCTTCGGCAGGTGAAAATCAAACCATCATTCCCGTGTATCTTCTTCACCTTGGGAATGATCTCGCGGAACATCATCTCGATACCGTAGCTGAACTGCGTCGATTTGTCCTCCACCGCGAAAATGCGGTGTTCCTTCTCCTCGGGGAACCTCTGGTATAGTGCATTGTAGGGCTTTAGGACCTTCTCCTTAAAGTACGCCAGCCGCTTATCCAAAGTACGGTGCATCAGAGTCTGCCCATCGAGGACTAGACAGTCAAAGACGAGGAACTTGAGCTGTTGCGTCCCATCATCGTAGGTATCGTTTACCAGCTCACCATCCACCAGGGTATCGACGTGAAACGACTGGAAGGTGTTGTCATTCGGCAGGGGAAAATGCAAGCCCGGCACGAAGCGGTATTCATTTTTGCGGTCGATCAAGTAATGGACCTCAGGCAGGTCCGAGTCTGGATCCCCGCGCGCAAAGTACATGAGACATCGGATTCCGTCTGTTTTCTCACATACATAGTAGTCCGCCCGCTGAAGCTCGGTAAGATGCCTCGTCGAAAAACTGACTGGCTGTGCGCCTGGGAAGTTCAGGTTGTTGCGTCCCAGCAGGGTTGCGACCTCTCGGCGAAATTGGTCGGCTAGGTCTGGTTCCGCCTTGATGCCCACCGCATCCAGATCGGGAACAGAATTACTCATTGTGGGTGTTGCTGCAAATGGTGGTTGGGGTTATAGAGCTGGTGAAAGGAGCAGTTTTGTCGGGGGGCGTTGGGAGAAGCCAGCTCAGAGGTAAAGCGCATTAACGGGGGGTTGGGATTGGCGTCGGAGGGGAGAAGCTCTCGCCCGTAGGCGCAATGGGGAGAGAGCTTTCGCGGTTGAGGTGTATAGGCGAGGATGGGTGTAGGATAGATGGAGGGATGTCGAGATTGACAGGAGTAAGGCGCGTGGTTTGAAGCAGTGAAGATCGTCTTTCATCCCGCGATGGTTGGAGATGGAGTCGCGATGGCCTGAGGCAGAAATACACATGCCTCATTCGGCTGCATCGAATAATGACTTCACATTAGACACGCATGAGGTGGATTATTAATTTGCTCTCATTAAAAATTGAGGTTAGAGTCAATGGATGGACTCTAACCTCGATTATTATTCAAGGACATTTGGCATACAATGCCCATGAACACAGTGAATATAAGAGAAAAAGACTGTTCCAATTTACAAGTATCTATATCCATGCCTGAATTACAATCGACTCGGGGGTATCATATCATCACAATCAAATCGAAACAGAGCCTCGCCTCACAATAATGCAGTTTCTCCAATAAACGCCCAACACAAGCACCCAGACTCCTCATTAAAGCCAAGAGAGACCAAAGAAAGTAGCTAAAAAAAGGGTCGTCATACGTCGTCTGTTCATCATAAGAGATCCATACCAACCAGTAAATGATCTCATGAAGCTGCAGAAATCGAAGGCTTCTTGGGAGCTGGCACAGGTGTCTTATTAGACGAATCAGTTGGGGGTTCTGGTGCATCAGCAGCGTCTGTTGACGGCAAAGTCATGTCATCCACTGGTGCAAAAATATTCCCACCTGCTGACGGTGTAGTATCGCCGGTGGAAAAGAGACCACCACCTCGTGCACCTCCCAGGGCGTGGGATAGCATCTCCTTGATTCGCACATACTGATATCTCTTCTTGGTCGAAATGAGCGTATGGGAAGCAAGTGGCTGTGGATTAGAGCGAGTGATGGCAGCCATAACCGAGTCTTTCTCCTCATCCGAGTCTACAGGACCATTGTTGTCCAAGTCATCTTGGAGTGGAGCATTGGCATCAATGGCCGCCTCTGAATTGTGAGAAAAGAAACAATGGTCAGTTCTGCCCGGCGGATACCACACACTGTGAATAGAAACTTACTTTGCTGGCGAGCCTGGTTCTTTTTCTGATATGCCTGCAACAGCATATCATATGGCAAAGAACGCCCAGGTACCGCTCTCTTTGCCCCCATGGAGTGACTCTTACAGGTCAAGGACCTCGCACACTGAGCACCATTCGGCAGCGTAACACCACACTGTTTTTCAACGTCGACCGGCCCTTTGGGCTTGGGGACCTTGGCCTTGGGTTCCTCCTTTTTCTTCTTCTTCTTGGGCTCTTTGTCCTTGTCGTCTTCGTTTTCGGTCTTGCGTTTCTTGCCCTTTTTGTTTCCCTCATCCATACCCTTGACGGCGCTCTTCTTTGCACTCTTCTGTCCCTTCATCGAATCATCTCCATCTCCCTTGTCGCCGCCCGCGGCATCTTCGTCCCCGTCCTTCTCTACCTTCTCCTTGGCCCGGTTCGCATCCCGAGCCTCCTTCTTCTTCCGCGCTTTCTCCTGTTTGGCCTTGAGACAACCCCGGATATGCTCCACTGCGTTCTGCTTGAGGACCGGCCTCTTGCACGTCTTGCATATCACCGTTTCGAGATGGTCTTCTTCCCGGGGTTTTCCGGTGGGGAACGCTGCCATGGTCTTATCATCGATTTCGGGGAGAATGGGAGAGGAGCCTGGTGAGTCCGGCGGCACATCTGGTGTATGGGGTATTTGAATTAGCCTTTTCATTCTCCTTTCTTTTTTATGACATGTCAAAATGAGATTATATTATACCTTCTCCTTTCTTCGCTTTGGTAGTGGCCTTGGACTTCTTCAACTTAATCTTTCCGGGTTTGACATCCTTCTCGGAATACTTGTATCCAGATGCATCCACCAAGCTACCCGAAGCCGACGCGGCAGATAAAGCTATGAAATAGCCCTCCAAGTTAGCATATTCCGAGTTCCTTGATCACAATCATGATCATGTTGTGTTCCCCTTCCCCGGAAAAGGGTGTTCTCCCTGAGAACGTGTCCGGACGTACCTCTGCCGGTATCACCGTTGGCAGGCATGATCAACAAGTGCAGTTGAGCGACTCAGACTGCGTTAGAGATGTTCCGACCGTCCAATATAGAGCTGGTGGGCGTCGAAGCTGAGCTGCGGCGATGCTTCGGAGATCGAGTGCCAGAGTCCGGGGGCTGTCTTCCGCATCGGTGTGGTCACGTGGTTGTTTTGGACAAAGACCCATAACGCTTTATATTGATCTTGCTGTTATTTGCAGTTTGCGATTGTTTTCAATATTATAACACCAAAAAAATTATTCTATTATTCTCCAAAAGAGTCAATAAAAAGTTGTATTGACAGATTGGTTGTAGTATTGTACACAGGTATCCTTAAACAATAGTAACACAAACAGACGATCCACTAGGTGTATCTTGAGAAGCAGAGACTACTATTTGTCCCCCCAAATCCAAAACTATTCGTCAGAGCCACATTAACCTGCCGTTCCTGCGCATGGTTCGGTACATAATTGCAGTCGAATCCATCGGCAAGACGTTCCAGGTTGATGGTCGGAGGCATCACGTTCTAAAAACAGAGATCATCAGTAAACGTTTCTGCTAGCATCATCGGGATACAAACCTCTTGAATGGCGAGAACGCTGAATACAGCTTCAACTGCACCTGCGCCTCCAAGAAGATGACCCACGGCACCCTTAGTACTGCTGATATTCACATCTGCAGCTCTCTGCTTGCCTCCTGGTCCAAGAAGAAGTGATTTAATCGCAGCATTTTCGGCGGCATCTCCAACGACAGTTGAGGTAGCATGCGCGTTGACATAGTCCACTGCGGATGGCGGAAGTTGTGCACTTTTTAAAGCTTTTCTCATGGCCATAAACGCCCCTTCGCCGTTTTCTTTGGGTGAGGTCATATGGTGCGCATCGCCCGAGCAGCCGTAGCCCTTTAGCTCTGCATAGATGCGAGCACCTCGAGCCTTTGCATGCTCCAGCTCCTGGTGAGATGTCAGGTTAGTAAACATGATTGCCAAACATAGAAGCACAAACGGCATCGAACCTCTAATATGACTATCGCCGCACCTTCGCCGACCACAAAACCTTTACGATCCGCATCAAAGGGTCTCGATGCCTTTTCTGGGTCATTATTGAAGTCTATAGCTAGGCTTCGCGCACGAGCAAAGCCCCCAATTGCCAAAGGATGAATGCATGACTCTGCTCCACCGGCTACCATCACATCTGTATCTCCACACGCGATAAAACGAGCTGCATCTCCTATGGAATGCGCTCCTGTCGTGCATGCAGTGGTTGCCGCATGGTTGGCTCCCATGAACCCATACTTCATAGAAATATGACCGGCGCCGAGATTAATCAACAGTCTTGGTACGAACAAAGGAGACACCTTTCTGTAGCCCTGTTTCTAAAGTCAACGATGCCATCTTCATCCTGTAAATCTATTTCACCTACCCCTTTATCATATGCAACAACAGTATCATAAATCTCATCAAAGTTCCCAATACCTGATCCCAGGCAGATTCCCTAAGCAAGTCATTGGTTTCATCTCTCACCAGACAGGTTGCGCTTCACAGGAAATCATACTGTAGCTTCTCGTTGCTCAAATGTAGTAGGCTTCCAGCCCGCATCCTCAAGTGCTTCATCTGTAGCTGCCATGGCATACTGGGCAAATCGAGCCATCTTGCGCTCATCCTACAACACCATCAGTATCGCTGTCATTTGAAAAAGCTATAAGTGAACTTACATCTCTGCTCACCCATTCGGAAGCTTTCCATCCACCATCCTGCCTTGTACCAGGTGGAACAACCGCAGCGATTTGACATGGCAAATCCTTAAACCTGGAGTCGCGGTGGTTGACATTCACGATGCCGCAGTGACCATCCAGCAAACGTTTCCAAGTCCGACGAATGCCTACAAGGGAGCAAGAGCTTTAGCAACTGTTACATAATAGCAAATACGAGCTGAACGCAGCGGTAAAATGAGGGCGTTGATGAATCTCCAGCACCGTGTCCAACTGCCGTCCTGGGAATCTCCAAAGTCCACTGCAAAGACCTTCCCCTTCCGGAGAATCGGAAGTGGAGACGGGATGAAGATGAGGATGGGACTAGTTGAATGGCTTGACAACGACGAGGATAATCAACGCAAGAGACATGGAGAGATATGAATCATGATGCACGTTCATCTTCAAGGGGCGCAAGGAGCCAAAGGAATCAAGACTCACCCACCCCGAGAGGTGTCACTGCTCCTAGACCCGTCACGACAACACGACGCATGGCATTCTGATTTCCATCAATGGACTGATAATAACACAGCGATAACAATGACAATAAAAATAAAAGGACGAATGGTCTCCAAAAAACAAGCAGTGAAGTCCAACGGAAAGCAGCGAATGAGAACGATAAGCCTGGGTGGACGAGAAGGGAAAGTCTGCACGACGTCAAGGCGAGCAGCAGAAGAAGCCCACTTTTTTTGCTGGACCGTGGGTTCCTCCTCACTTAATCGACGCTCTCCACCAACAGCGTTTCTTCCCGCGCTCGAGATGCAATTATTCTGGAGACAAAAAGCAGCAGGAAAAAGAAACGAAGAGGTGGTGATGATCTGATTGGCGCTGTCGCCTTGATGCACTCTTTAGGAAGCTCGTTGGAGAATGGCGATGTTTCTTGTTCGGCGTTGTGATTCGGTGAAGTCGCCGTGATTCTTGCTTCTGTGCTGGGTTATATAATACCGCTCCATAGATACCATGGATTGAGGGTTTTCTTTCCTCTGATTTCCTCTTCATCCTCTTCTCTTCGCTTCACCTTCATACGATCCTAGAATCTGCCCTCATGCCTCACTGGAAGAGTGCGTTGGTCGGATTGCTGGCCGTTGCCGGCACCGCTTTCTCCCACGCCCACCATGACGATGGAGATGTCGTCCCCGAGCATTTGCGGGCTCAATTGTTGAAGAAGTGGGATCAGGAGGTATTTATCTTGTTGTTTTCGCTATCTTCCACATCTAACAATGCATTTAGTGGTCCTTTTCCGGAATTGCTAGCTTTGCCCACTTGAAGCCCGTCAAGTGCCTTATCGAGCCCGATGAGTTCTATGACATCGCCATTATCGGCGCACCATTCGACACCGCCGTCAGCTACAGACCAGGTAGGTTTGATGGACAAGCCATTTATACACCGTGCTAATCATTCTAAATAGGCGCTCGTTTCGGTCCCCGTGCTATTCGCGCCGCCAGCGCCCGCCAGATGGCCGCTACAAGCTACAACACCCGTGCGGGCATCAACCCTTACAGCTCCTGGGCCACCATTAAAGACTGCGGCGATATCCCCATTACCCCCTTCGACAACGGTGTCGCAGAGCGCCAAATGTACGAGGCCTTCCTGGAGCTCGGGTCGCGTCCGGCCGTGACAACCTCGGACTCCAAGTACGGCTCCAAGGGCATCTCCGCGGGCAAAGCGAAGCTGGTCACCCTGGGCGGCGACCACAGCGTTGCCCTCCCCGCGCTTCGCGCCCTGTACCAGATCTACCAGAAACCCATCACGGTGCTGCACTTTGACGCCCACCTCGACACCTGGAACCCCGTGCGCTACTCGGCATACTGGGTCTCGGAGCAATCGGCCTTCAACCATGGCAGTTTCTTCCACAAGGCCAGTCGCGAGGGCCTCATCTGCAACTCGACCTCGGCGCATGCGGGCCTGCGCACCCGTCTCACCGGCGTCACCGATAGCGATTACACCAACCCCGGCCCAGAGCAGGGCTTCATGCGCATCCACGCCGACGACATCGACGACCTCGGCCCCATGGGCGTCGTCGATAAGATCATCCAGCGCATCGGCCTCGACCCCGAACAACCCGTCTACCTCTCCGTCGACATCGATGTCCTGGACCCCGCCACCGCCCCGGGAACCGGCACCCCCGAGCCCGGTGGCTGGACGACCCGCGAGTTCATCCGCATGCTGCGCGGCATCGAGAAGCTGAACATTGTCGGCGCCGATATCGTCGAGGTCTCGCCTAGCTATGATAACAAGGGCGAGACTACCGCGTTGGCCGCGGCCCAGGTCGCCTTTGAGATTATCACTAGTATCGTCAAGGCCGGTGCTGGCGAGGAGTTGGGTGGATGGTACGGACTGAAAGAGGAGCAGGTCGAGTCTGCTAAGAAGGCGGGCAAGGATGAATTGTAAAGGAGTTGAGTTGGGTTTGAGGAGGGTTTATGGAGTTGCATGAAAGGAACCTGTACCTAGTATATAAGTCGCATGATATGGATAATGATGATATGAGAATGAGAGATTGACTGCACATCAGTTTATAAAATTTCCAATTCTGTTTTCATTCTGTTTTTATTAATTGCTCGTATGTTTCCACCTACAGGGTCCATTGAACTTGCCATCTCAGCTGAAGCTTATCACTTGTTTCATTGTGTCTTCTGCGCAATTCTAGTTCCAGTATGATTCGCCAGAAGTAAAGCGATAGAAGAAGAAAAGACTTAAAATGCGGATAGACAGACTAGGGTTGACAGATAGAGAAAAGTAAAAGGAGATAAATAAAAAAGATAAAAGAAAAAAAGCACAATGCCAACATCCAGCCAAAAAATAACATGACGCCCTGACAGCCAACGCCGGGTAAGACGATGAGAGGTGTAAGAACGGAAATGCGGAAAGGGGGGAAATCGGAAATGATTCAAATAAGTACGGGCAAGAGAGGGAATAATGGAAAGTGGGGGAACGATGAGAAAAAGGACGTAAAATAAGGAGAGATGACTATTTGAGAGAAATGGGGGGTAGTTAGGCAATCGTTGATCCGAAAGTTGTAAATCGACATGCGACCCCCAATCTCTCGAGGGCATGACGACATATGAATGGGATCGGAAGAAGAAAAAAGCTGCTGCGAAGGCGAGGCATTTCAAAACAGTCCGACTGAGACACGATATGACACGCATGCGACCAACAGGTAAGACGTAATGTAGATCGGCGATCGAGTGAGATGACGGCGTTGCAGTGAAAAAGAACGGCCCCGTGTGACTCCGTGAAATATTCTAGATCAAGATCGTTTCAATCCATAACCTTCCCCCCCAAAGACAAATTCATCCCGTGGTATCTGAGAGGAACCGTTAACGACCAGCTTCGGATTGTTCTGGCGTAGGTGTACGAACCTGACATAACTGAAATGCCTTTTCGGTAAACAAAAGAAATGAGAAAGAGCCTACAACAAGACGCATCTCTTGGGCTTCTTGGGTGCGGGCTCGAGAGCAGCAACGATGGCCTAGAACCGAGCGCGGTTAGCGCTTTGTGGCGAGCGTAGAGGAGAAAAAGACCTCCAACATACCTCATCGAAAACGTCCTTGAGCTTATACTGAGTCAAAGCAGAACATTCGACGTATTTCACGGCGCCAAGGTCCTTGGCCATGCGATCTCCATCCTCCTTGCGAATCGGGTGCATCTTCTGGCGGGAAAGCTTCTCACGGACACCGGGGTCGTCGCGCAAATCAGTCTGAGTACCGACGATAAGGCAGGGGACGCCGGGGCAGTGGTGGTGAACTTCGGGGAACCATTTCTCGCGAACGTTCTCAAAGGAGGCGGGCGAAGTAACGGAGAAGCAAACGAGGAAGACGTCTGTCTGAGGGTACGAGAGAGGACGGAGACGGTCATAATCTTCCTGCCCAGCAGTATCGAAAAGACCAAGAGTGTACGGTTCATCGCCGATCCTAGGAAGAAACGCATGTTAGTTGAGCGTATAATAGGTTGGTATGCAATGATAGTAAACGGTCAAGTTGGATCGATCCAATCTGCGACGCGTATCGATCGGAAGGTTTTCTGGGGGCGATCAAATGAGGGGAAGCTATTCGGAATAGCTCCCCTCCCAAGGTATAACAAGAACAAATGCCGGGTCACTTACATGACAGTCACGGCATAATTGTCAAAGACAGTCGGGACATATTCAGAAGGAAACTTGTTTGTTGTGTATGAAATCAAAAGACAGGTCTTTCCAACCGCACCATCACCGACGACGACACATCTATAGCAAAGCAAACAAGAGGTTAGTCAAGATTATCAAATGACAAAGGGACTGATGCCGAGAAAGGGGGGGGTAAGTAGTAGTGAAGGAGGGGGAATCAGAGGTCGGACGGTAGCTAATTGAGACGAGAGAGAGAGGGGGGAAATGAGGCCAAAAAGAGCAAAAGAAAATTGACGCACTTGATTGTAGCGACGACCATTTTGGAGAAATATAGGACGTTGTTGAGAAGGTTTTCGAGAGCAACAGCAGGATCTCGGAAAAGGTAGTCCTGTTGACCTCACCCGCAGATGGATGGGATGGACAAGCAAGCAAGCAGCAAGATGCGGTGTGAACGCGAATGGGGGGAAGAAGGGAGAATGGATGTGATAATTAGAAAAAAAAAAAAAAGAAGTCGATGAGAGAGGGGGGGTGGAAGAGTTGGAGAAAGGTAGGAGAGGAGGAGAAAGGAAGAGGAGAAAGAAGGATGACAGCAGGAGACCAAGGGGGCACAGAGAGCAGCTGGAGAGGTGACTATGGTGTGCGGTGAATGTCGTCTGTGAAAGGTTCCGTAGCGGCTGCGAGTGGGAGAGAAAGTGGAGGAGAAGAAGAGAGAGAAGAGAGAGGGAGGAAACGAGAGGGCCTAGGTAAGCTGCAATGGGGCAACCCGCACCGTTAGCTCGCGTTGGGCCTATTCTAGACATGCAGCCTGTATTACTTTGAATCGTCTTACTTTTGATATCAGTCTACGCTGGAGGTTAAATAAATAAATACATCAGGACTGGTATTCTTTTCAATTGAATACCCTGGATAAATAAATATCTAAGGGGAAGTCTTCAGGCTTAACGCACTCCGGATCCTCGAAAGGAGGGGGAGGGGGCGCCGCTATGGGCTAATACTATTTATTAGGTTTGGTACATTCACCATGGATTTATATTTATCATCGTCAGTGAAAAAGTATATTGAATTAGAATATCTTCTTCTTCTTCTTGAATATCGAATCTGGATATCGAATATTGTATCAAATCCAAGTCAGATAGATATACCTTGACGATGGAGACAGATAGGATTCTTCCTTATTTCCTTAAAATGACCCAATCTCCTTTAGCTGCGGGCGGAACAGCTTTTTAGTTTTTTCTTTTTCCCTTTTTTTTTTTTTTTTTTTTTACTGCCTTGGCTTTCCCCTATAAAACAACAAGCACCAAGTCTGGTTCGGAGTTCGGACAAGCATCTGATTCTGATTCTATTCGCTTTATTTGAGACATTTTCTCTCTCTCTATCTCCACAGTGTCAAGTGAATGCATTCATTCACCATCATATACAGGGTAGTGATATTGATATCAAGTCATTAACAATAGACTGAGCGGAGTAACTTAACGTCTACAGCTGATCCATCGCTGATCGACATTTTTTTATTTTTTTCTGGCGGCTTCTCTTTTTTTCTCGCCTTTCTTTGCTTTTTTTTTCGAATCAGATATCTACCTTAGTCTGGTCTTTGATGCCCATTGCCATCACTTGTGTCACCTCCCAATCAAGGTCACCCAGACATTCGACCCCCGTGATTCTTGCAATCGCCTAATTCGTCCTGTTTGTTTCTGACTATTAGAGTCAGTCTGACGGTAAACGGAGGTTGATGTAGTTAGTTGGAGTAGCCGGCCGAAACTGTCAAAATAAACTTCACTAATGATATATTAACCTCATTGAAATGATGCAAAGTCATCGAAAAATTATTCAGTTCTCTATACGTGATATTCTCTATATCTATCTATGTACATAGCTGGGAATGATGATTTCTTTAAACTTGGGTCTATCCGTGCCTGACAAATCTATCCATCTTGGCCGCACCTGTCAAACTCATTCATGGGGCTTTAGTTGAAGCTTCCAATAAAGCCAGCCCGCAGTAGGTTCAGTAATGACCCGAGTTGGAGGCACATGGCTGATCACTCCATAAACACCTCAGAGAATCGATTCCGCCTCTCTTTGCTGGAACTGCTCCTGTCGACCGCAGCCATTCAAATCTCAACAGCTGTCCTCCTGCTTGGTGTCAGCACGGGACAAGCCCGACAAGACCGCTGGGTGTTGGGTGCTGGGTGTTGGCAGTTTTCTTTTTTTCTTCTTTTTTTGCTTTTTTCCTTTTTTCCTGCAAATTTTCGGCGGCAACACGATTCCCAATGTAGAAAGTCTGAAGACGATGAATTTGTTGGCCTGAGGCCTTCTGCCCCACGACCTTACCCGTGGCTCGGTCGCTTTAGCGAGAATTATGTATGCAATAATGCCAGGGTGCAGTCCGTGTCTGTATGTACATTGCTGCAGGTGCCTGGGGTAACAATAATATATCTGTGCAAGAGCTGTCGGTCGTTCAAGTCTGCTTGGTGTGTTCCTGGACTTCGTCCTGGTTCTCAGTTGGTACCGGTTCTCGTTCGGTTTCGTGACTCATCTATTAAGATTAGTCCCGTCGCTTGTCATCTGGAGAATGGTTTCTCACTTTGTCCAGTTTGTAATTCGCCATCATCAGGCTCAATGGTATCAACGGGATGACTGCAATGAACGCCAGGACCAGCAGCTTGTTCATCGTCTCCTGGTAGGCCCGGTTAATGGCCATCCGCACAGGTGATCCTTGAGGATACGACAAGGCCGTCGTTAGTTTGCCAAAGATCTCGGCCGCATCGGCCTTGTGATCTTCTGGGAGATATTGAAGTAGCTTGTGTGGGATGCTATGGGTCCAAACCGCTCCGGAAATGGCTGCACCGACCGCCCCTCCCATCTCCATCGAGGTGAGGAACATGGCCGTCGCTGCGGCTACATCCTGGTGACTAGCGGATGCTTGCACGCCCAACTGGACTGGCACATTGAGCAGTCCTCCTCCCATACCGACCACAACCTGGGTTCCCAGGATCTGAACTAGCGAGTTGCCTTCATGGCGATAGAGCATCATCAACAGTAGCCCAACAATGTAAATTACACAACCGGCGGTCACGAAAACTCGATATCTTTTGGTGTACTTGATGAGAATCGAGACTCCGAATGCCGCAATTGTAGATGTGAATGCGAACGTCTGGGTCACCCGACCAGCGGTGGCGACGTCGTATCCCTGAACGACTTGCAGGTAAGAGTATAAGTAGGGTTGGACGGAGAAATAAAACGCCACTATGACATGTCAGTAAGATAGAGCTAAAACATGTCCTGTGAGGAACATACTGAAATAGAAAAACGCCAAACCACACCCGGCGAGAGCGGTCCGTTGTTTGAGAAGGTGCAGCGATAGAAGGGGTTTGGGTGCCAGTCTTTTGGAAGTTTCCCAGGCTGGTAGTATCAAAAGGCAAACCAACCCCAATGCCATCATCGCGATAATGCTCGGGCTTTTCCAGCCATTTTTGGCAGTGGCGGCTAGAGTCAGTGGCACCAAAAGTAGTGTGACTGCAGTAGACAACAGTACCAAGCCAAACACATCCAGATCGTACCAGGTGCGCCGTAGGACTTGACCGATACCACGGTGCTTGCGGGGGGTCGACTTGATCAGATTTAGTCTCCGAGCCTTGCGCTGATTCATTAGCAGCGATAGAGCCAAGGGAAGAAAAGAGGCGGGTAGAATGATTGTCCACATTCCATAACCCCAGCGCCATCCCGCGTGCTGGAGGACAGCATCGGCAATAGTCGGACCTATCCAGACCGTGATCAAGAACGGAAGTTCGGGCAGGAGAGCAAGAAGCGCTCGGTTAAGCAGGCTACTGCTATCAGCGATAAAAACTTGCTGGAGAATCTGCAGGCCCGTGGATCCGGCTGCATAAAATATTTGGGCAGATGCGTAAGCTTGAACGTTACTCGAAGCAGCCATTTGAATGTAGCCCAGAACATATATGAGGATGCTGAGACAGAATGCTTCGAAGCGGCCAAAGACATCTGCTATCTTGGCCATGGGGGGTTTGACCACGGCTGTTGAAGGGTTAGCAGACGCTAAACAAAAACACAAGCTAGGGAATATTCACCATTGACCACATTTTGGACAACTAGAACAGTCGATATTAAGGAATGCTTGCTGAATGCACTGGTCGCGTATGCTGATAACGACATGACGGTCTGGCCTTCCAGAGACGTACAGAACGCCATGAGAAAAATACTTCACTCAAGTCAGCACGTGGGACGGGTTCACAGAGCCAAATAAACCGCCAACGGACCTGATATAAGCTACAATCAAAGACCTCGTGGTCCATGTCATATTGATCGCTTCAATTTTCCGAACACCTTCCTGGACGGAGTCCAACGACTCTGTCTCACTATTGTTCCCACACTCATCATAACCACCCTCCAACAGCTGATCTCTTTCCTCTTCGTTTCGTCGCTCCATTTGGTCGAGTGTACCGTAAGATGGCCCTGAGCGATTATCGAGAAGGGGCATAGCGCAAGGTCAGTGAAAGGTCTCGATGGATTGTTCTGCTGCGGGCAGGGTCCATGTATAATCGGTTTGTCGGTAGTGTTCGCTTCAAGTAAACCATCAATCTAGCAGTGAGAGTCGAAGAAACAGTGTTGCTCTAGCGTGGAATCGAAGATCGTGATATAAGGCGTAGCGGAGCGTTTATCGTCAGAGAGGGAAGGCAAAAGTAATCAGAACAAAAAAGACTGGTCAACAGTGCAATACTTAAGCAGACAACAAGTCTATTGATCTGAACCAGCCAGATCCACTCGAACAAACGCGATATGCGACCAACAAAAAGGGGGTATCTTGTGGAGGAACGAAGGATTCAAAAAAGCAAACAGGGTAAGTAAAACGCTAGAGCGGATATGACTCGACGTCGGGTGAGGAAACCCATAAGTAAGAGGATCGAGAGATGATATGACGCGTGGATAGATCCGGTCGTGCAAGGGAGGGCAGCCTGAGAGGTCTTTGGAGGGGGTCAACAGATCACTTCCCAGAATCCAGGGCCTTGATTCGCAGTGCAGGACACGATCGACAGGCGCACTTATGCGAGTCGACAGCTAGCTCTGAGATGGGTGCGATGCCCGATGCCTAGAGTAGCAGTGTGACACCCGAGATGCTCCAGAGGATTGGGAATGCTGGGTACAACACCGAGTGAGATCGAAGTATCCCCCCCAGGCGGGCGTGAGTCGTCACTGAAGCTCCGAGTCCCTCGGGCGTGGGCGCCCGCAAGTGGTGGAACACCTGGCACACCGCAAACTTATTTTGAATTCTTTTTCTTTGCTGAATATTTTTCTATTTTTTTTTTAGTTAAAGTATTTGAATGAAGGTAAAGAACCACGACACCTGACAGGGAATTCGGGTCAGGGTCAGAGGATGAGAAAAAGATGCGGAGGGAGTGTGGCGAAGACGGACAAGGATTGTTTTCCGATTACGCAGTAGGCAGCATCAGATATGATAAGATCACCTGCTTCTCTCTTCCACGCACAACCGGATAGATCAGGAAGAGATGTAATGGCTGGTAAGGATTAATATGAACAGGAACCGTGGGTGTGGCTCAACACTCGGACAGCCGCTGTGACCTCCGTGGATATTCATTATTTAATCCATTGATCCCACTTTAGGGCCCCTGCGATGGTGGATTGGGGGCGGGGCAGCCTACAGTCAGTCACACATTCAGCTAAACTGCTAACAGTGCGAACTGCAGCCGCTGTTTTTTCTACAGTCGTTCTTCATCCCTTGCAGCCTTGCAGGCATTCTGCCTTTCTTCTGCTATTAAAATAGTACCAAATCATGGCTTGTAGTTATTCGGATGATGGAATGGGTGAATGTGTGTAAATTTGTCAGAATCTTACAATCCTCGACTGATCCACTCAATGACCACATCGCCGGTGGATTTGCACGCTGGCCAACTCCATGATTGGACTGCTGGACTGTGCTGTTTCTCGGGTACAACCGCTTGCTGAAGAATGAATCAAATCAAGTCTGTGTTTCACTGTTTCCCCCTCCATCGATCTTCAACTACTCCGAACTACCAACAAGACTAGTAGTCGTCCTAGGAATAATCATTCGACGATCGCGAATTAAATACATAATAAATAATATTGTTTTTCTCCAACCAAATTCAAAAGGCGCGATAACCGCCTTGTTTTTTGGTGCCCGCCTTGTCGCTATCCCCACTTACTCCGAATAGAAACCGACAGTCTCCCATTCCAGGTTGCTATCCTTGATCCATGATTCCGCGCGCCCGAGCCGCATATATAAAATGCCTCTGGTGACTCACGGGGATCTCTGTCTGAGTCCATGCGACGGGGTCTGGAGACTGACTCGATATAAGGCAGCAGAGCATGCACGAATGATGGGTCTTGGATTTGATCGCGAGAATGCCCACTGGGTGGTTGCTCATGTCTGAGCACTAGCAGAGATCCTAGGTAGGTGCCTACGAGGCATCCCCTCTTAGAGTACATGGACATGAAACAGTGGATTGCATAGCTTGCTCTGCCAGTATGCAGCCAACGTGGTTTAGACGCCAGGGAGGGGGGGGGGAAGAGATGAATAAATCACTACAGAATATACAGTGTATGGATGAGCATATCTAGCTTACACATGGAAGCCATAGAGGTTCCTGAGTTATTCTCGTACTACCCACCAAGCACTTTGTGGCTGACCTACAGAGTAGTTAAAAAGAACTACACTTCAGTTGATCACAGGTGCACTTTCACCCTTCTTGATGCAGTATGCACATTCTATCTTGGCATTATGTTGGTCGAGGGTGGTTCGATGGAGATAACCAAGGCATTTGATACACCCAGTTGCATTGGGATGTCGCTTTATCCAAGATGTAAGATGTAACATCCGACCATTTTATATCCAATCTTATTATAACACGTAGGTAACCTGTCCCTTTAATTTACTCATTCACGTCAATAATCAAATGTCCAAAGTTGACCACCAGGTCGTCCTTCTCGTTCGAGGGCTTTGCGGCGTATAGGCCAACCCAGCATTCCTCAACCCCATCCTCTTCAAATATCCAGGTGACCTCTCTCAGAGGATTCTTCTGAATGCCCTCGACCAGATAGATCCACAAACTGTTATCCGGTTCTTTGTTGATCTCAAGCGTCGCTGCTGGACCACCCGATGGAACAGGGAGCAGACTCCAGTCCGCCCATCGGTCCTTTGTCACAGTGCTGAGGTGCGGTCGACCATGGGTGAGCTCGATTCCGGTCTTTACCCACTTTCGACTTCCATCGGTGCAATTCAAGACGATTATGAGTCCGCCCTGGTCGTACTTGTGCTTCCAGTTGGCATTGAAGGACACCCTGGCTCTTTTGAAGGATCTCAACGGGACCGTCCGGTATAGAATAGGAGCGTTGAAGCTGACAGTATCAGGTGGTTTGGACCAGATATCCGTGGATGGAGGAGCCGTTATCGTGAATTCGGCGGGAAGGGCGCCATCCCCCGGAACCTTTGCAGACGAGTTGGCAAACATGAATTTGCTCATTATGACCGAAGGTATGCCCGTGGGTTTGGATAGATTTGGGTTTGGTCTTTTTATCTGTCACGTAGTTATGAGCCAGGTTTGTACTCCGCCCTGGGCATAGAAGAGAGGTATTAGAGAACAGTCAAGAAGAGACTGAAGGTACTGTTGACAAGAAGATTGGATTAGCGGAAGAAAAAGGTCAAATAGGATATGGGAAAGGATGGGAATGACATACGTCACAGGAGGAGTCCTCTTGTTCTGCGGTAGGCTATGACAGCCATGACTCCATCCAGGTGGGGTTACGGCGACTTCGGAAGTATGTATGTTGGGGTTGAGGGACATGATGGTTGTGTGCTTCGTTGCACCATTAGTAGACCTGCAGTTGATACTTCTGTCATGTCAACCACATTCCATCCCTTTGATCGAATCAAGATCTTCTCTCTTTTCTCTCATCACCATCTTACACAGCGTAGACAGAACTGGCCTGTCATCAACTGCCGCGCTGATCGTCAACGATCCCCAAACCTTTTTCTCCGCATGGAAAGCCAGAATCTCTTGGCGCAAGAGCCCATCGCTGACATAATCATGACCCTGCTGGCGGGACCTAAACACGATGATATCTGGCGAGATCGCAGCGTCCACAATCTGTTAATCATACCGATTGAGGAGGTCAAGACTTGAGTTGTTCGGATACCCATGTCTGTCTGTGACCGATTCCGCCATGTCTGCCCGCCTCCTCCACCCAGATGAGTACGAGCTTGGCACTCGATCATCCATCGACTCTCAGGGAACCTTTAATCTCGACGAAGCCGATTTCGAGTCGCAAACACCTCCGCGGGCTAGGCGCCTAACTCGCAGAGCGCCTTTCCTATCACGGCTATTTTCATCATCTTACTCCGGGTACCAACGCCTAAAACCCTCCCGACCTCTCTTCTCGGCGTCGGCCCGCCCTGGTTGTTATCGGCGTCTCCTATTCCGCCGCTCCTGCTTCTACCTCCATTTCGTTGGAGGTATCATACTCGCCCTCGTGGTGCTGACCTCTATATTCCGGCCGTCCTATACGCGACCACCGTCACATTATTCGTCACTGCGAAATTCCGTGTTACAATCGGCATCTCCCGGTAGAGGCAATCCTCGGAACGAAAAGGTCTTTATCGCTGCAAGCTTGTATGACCGTGATGGGGAACTCGCACGAGGGGAATGGGGCGCTAGAGTGTCTCAATTGATTGAGATGCTTGGAGGAGATAATGTGTTTCTGAGTATATATGAGAATGATAGCGGACCGGAAGGGGAGAGTGCGCTTCAAGATCTGGAGAAACAGATTTCGTGCAAAAAGTCTATCGTATTCGAAAGGCATTTAGACCCAGGACATCTGCCAACAGTCACTATACCGGGTGGATCGAACCGTATCAAGCGCATTGAATACCTGGCTGAGGTCCGGAATCGAGCCTTGCGACCCCTGGACGAACATCCCGAGACGCGTTACGACAAGCTTCTTTATTTGAATGATATTATATTCGATCCTATTGATGCCATCCAGCTTTTATTCTCCACGAATGCCGATGATAAGGGGGTTGCCCAATACCGGGCTGCCTGCGCCGTTGATTTTATTAATCCGTTCAAATTCTACGACACATATGCAACACGAGACCTCCAAGGCTACAGCATGGGACTCCCTTTCTTCCCTTGGTTTTCCACGGCCGGAAAGGGAGAAAGCCGTAAAGACGTTCTATCCGGAAAGGACGCTGTGCGTGTCCGTAGCTGCTGGGGTGGAATGGTGGCTTTTGATGCGAATTTCTTTCAGCGTGCCGTGAAGAAGAGAGCCTCACAGCGAGATACCAACCCCAGAGTTCTGGACATTGGGCAATCTCCGGTCCGTTTCCGTGCTTCCCATGACCTGTTCTGGGAAGCTTCAGAGTGCTGCCTCATTCACGCCGACATTCAAGAGCCTCAGTCGATTGTAGACGAGATCACAGATACCGGAATATATCTAAACCCGTACGTTCGGGTTGCGTATGACCGCTCTACCCTGTCCTGGCTTTGGACCACTCGTCGATTCGAGAAACTATACTCTGTCATTCATAATATAGGAAACCATCTCGTTGGCTTGCCTTGGTTCAATCCTCGCCGAACAGAGATCCCTGGCGAGAACGTACAGGAAACGGTCTGGGTTGCCATTGACAGACAAGATGGTGGCGGATCGTTCCAGAAGGTTGATCGCATTGCTAGCAACGATGGATATTGCGGACGTCGTGGTCTTCAAGTTATCGTCGAGCATCGAAAGGAGGGCCAAAAGGGGTGGGAAAACATCCCCGTTCCGCAATCTTGAGTTTTAGACTGGGCATTTGTACAAAACATGATGTTGCACAATCTGGCGTTTGGGGGCATGATTATTCTTTTCTTACTATCATCATGTATGATCTGATATCTTTCTCCAGAATGGGGGGGTACATAATTGAGTGAAACGACCACCTTTGAGAAATATTCCTACTTTGATATAACTTCACAATTAAGACTTCCATTATTTGATATCTCTCAGGGTTGTTTGGTAAAGATCAAAGGTCTTCCAAAGATCTTTCATCTTGTTCTGGTATATTTCTATGCAAGTTCCCGTTGTTGCTGTTAGTTGTCCGTTTTCAAAGGGATTTTATATCAACATCGATATCGATCAAAGAACTGGATTGCCCTTTCTGCCACTGTTTCCAGCACAACAGTTGACCATGGCTCTATCAGATTCTTCCTGTCCTTCTTTTTCCTCCCCTCCCCCCAACCTCTCCAAAAACACTTCCTCATCGACTTCCCCATCTTCCCACTCAACCACTATCGTGACCCGCTGTGACTGAAAGCCTTCCTTACCAGTGCCAGAGGCTTAAAGATGTCTGAAAGGCGAACCCCCTCTGGGGAAATGGACTTTGGTAGAAGGATTCAAGGCATCATCCAAGGTGTCATCACCACTTTTATGGACAAAGCGTCCTATGGACTGGAAGAGAGTAGACATGCCCCCAAAGAGAGCTGTCAACCAGGCACAGAAAGGAACTCCTCAGAGGTTTGTCCCCATCCTAAAATGCCCATCTTCTCTCGGCGTATCACCCTGTCTTACCTGTCACTGGCTGTGTTCCTTTTTGGTATTATTACTGCATGAAATTCTCTCGGCACAAGAGGGTCCTCTCTTGTTAGAGCCAGTGAAGCTGATTATGACGACTAATATTCTTCTCTCTCTTAGTGTGGCCACGGCGACAGAGAAAATTCTGCTGGATCTTCTTCTCACAAACCCTCCCCCTCAAAATCTCGCCCATCCCACTCTGAGCAGAGTTCTTCTGATACTTCTCACACCGAAAATAAATTAGAGACATCGAGAAAAATGGCTCCTGTCGCTGACATTGACGATACCGTTGGTTTTATGGCGGCTGCCCGCGCTCTTAGGGCTAGCCAGGCCTCAAACGCGTCTGAAGCGGCCGTCAAGGATTCTTCCAGTGCGCAGAACGATTTCTCTCAGCCCATCGGCGACTTTGCTGGTAGCTCTGCTCTTGATGACTTGGTTACGTCGGCTCCTGAGCACGCTGATTTCTCTGGTGAGTCTGCTGCCTCTTCAAGCCCTCTGATGGATAACAGCTCATGTCTTTCGTAGCGGAGGCCAACTCTCAGAAGGACAATGCCTTTGAAGATTTCGATGAGAAACCCATGATTTCCGACTTTAATGTCGAGACCAAGGCTTCTCAGGCTGCTGTTGTCGAGGATCTGATGATCGACCCTGATACTGAGCCCAAGGACGACGTACCTGCTTCTGGTGGCGCCCCTTCTCTCGTGTCTAACACCGTGAATGATAGCCCAGCTGCTATCGAAGAGGAAGACCGCGAGAATCTTACGACTTTCAAATCTTGGGGTACTCCAGCTGCGCGTGGCAAACCAGGTACTAAACCATTCTTTTTGATATTAACGACTGGTGCTAATATATATTTATCAGCTTCCCAAGTCAGGCGTATCATGATCAAAGGGCTCCCATCTACCTGGGTTGCTCCGGCCAAAGTTCTTTCTCTAGTCCATGGTGGTATCATCGAGAGCATCAACGTTTCTTCCTCAGGAACCGCCCATATTCTCTTCTGCGAACACGATGCCTGCAAGGCGTTCTATGACAAGTACCCCAACGGCATCGACCTTGACAGGGAGAAGAGACACACCGTGTTCGTGGAGATGGGCACTGAGGTGGATGTGATCAGCTCCCAGCTGTCTTTCAACCTTTCTGTCGGTGCTACTCGCGTCGTTCGTGCCGTGGGAGTGGACATGAACATCACCATGGGACAGCTTCTGAAGATGTCGGCCGGCAGCAACCGTAAGGTCGAAAAGATCATGGACCACTACACTCCTGGTGACGTAAGTTGTCAGCCTTCCCGAATACCACCTCCATGATACTGATGGCTTACTAGGCTCGCAACGTTCTCTTTCGCTTCTGTAACATTGAAGACGCTGTTCGTTTCCGTAGCATGATCGTCCGTGATGCTGATTGGGAGCATTGCAACATTCAATACGCGACTGACCCGTGGGTACTCCCTTACTGATGTCCGTTCCATCATTTCGGCTACTAACAAGTCATCTTGGAACAGTTGCGAGTTCGCTACCGGTCTGCACGTGGACTAAATCGATGCAGCTGTGTTGCCCAGCCTGTTCTGGTATACGTCGGCTAGGCGTCTTGGAGGCCACTGCTCGTCCGGCGTTGGTTTCTATCGAGATGCCACAATACGACATACAGTAAGGCTAATTGGTGGGATCTTTTGTGACATTTGAGCCTGTATCTCTTCTATCTTGTAACGGAAGTAGATGAAAGTGACAGAATGAGGAACGAAAAGGGCGAAAACCAAAAACGGAAAAAGAAAACAAAAAAAAAAAAAAAAAGCTCGCTATCTGACAGGCCGCTCATCAAATGTCTTGTATTTTAGCTCATCACTAGATTGATCTAGATTGAATGATGCCATGGAATATCTACTATTCAGTTCCCGCGCAGTATTAGAACTTGTATGCACATTGTAGCCGTATCCAGTCAGTACAAGCATGCCGTACTTTGGACTACTGACGCGGGATTTGAATCCATCCCAAAAGGGAAAAATGGTTTCCGAGTGGCAGGGGTGGCACTCAATTTTTGGACTCACCGAGGGGCTCCCTCTTTGTTTTCTAATTTACCCACCTTGGTAGGCATGAGAGACGAAATATCTCTCTGCCAGTCAACAATAAGTGTCTCAGTCTTCATCAGACATATCTTGGTATCCAAAGGAACCTCCAAACTACTCTACTCCAGACAGGGCACTCTCAGGGCATAATGGCCATCAGGCTACAACAAGAAACGGAATCTTTACAGGAAGCACTAACCTGGAACGTAGCATCAGACAGTGCCAATTGAGTGCCAACTGCTGCTTTGACAAACTCATGGGACCAGATTGACCAACTCCCAGCCTGTCCTCGAAATTTCACTCCTCCTAAGCAGACCACCATGCTTAATATCCTGCTGCAAAAGCAACCCTTTTCTCGTCTTACCAGGAAATGCCTCGCAGTAAGCAAGCTGTGAGTCCACTTACCCGCAGAGTGGTTGACTGTGTCTGTTCCTACCAATGTTTACCAGGAAATGAGCATTACTAACCGTTCTTTTCTCTTCCAGACTTCTTCCCCCTACTTACGTTAACCCTTCGATCGTCGATGCAACCTGCGGTTGGATATGTCGACTTGTTGATTTTGTTGGCAGGATCGTCCCACGAAAAGAACTCAGACACCTACAGATGGGACTTCGGCTTCAGCATGGTGATTCGTTCTGGCCCGGTGCTAGGATCTGCCACCATGGAGCATGTTGCATATCTTGGATGGGATCTGCCATTCCCTCCAGGAAACCAACAGCCAATGGTGCCTAGCTCATCTCGATCCCTGGTCATAATTGAGCAAGGCTCGTATGAAGTATAATGGTGAAGCATTGTCTGTTTAGAGCCATCACATAACAACTGGATATGCGTCATGCTGTGTACTATCTGGTAAGTGAGACTCGTGTAGTCTGTATACTCTAGCTGCTTTTACGTGAGAAGTTTGCAGGGATGGTTTGAGGGTGGAGGGAAGACATCAGACCCCGGGCTCTTCGATGGCTGGCTGAGCTTGCTGCACCGTATGATTAAGTCTTCCAGCATACATCTTCAAGATGGCCACTTCCACGCAATCCCCTTTCGCTCCGACCATTGGCCAAGGCATCTACTATCACGAACCTCCGGTACAGGATCATAGCACAGTCCCCTTACCTCTAGACCATCATCCTTTGTACATGACTTGAAGGCGCAACTCCTCGTCACATCAGTGAGTTATCACCGACCATCACCGACTCTTCCCCCAGGCGCACATTCTCCTCATCAGACCCACCATCGAGATTAGCATTCGCTGATTCCGCGCTGTTCTCGACTGACGTCTGCTCGTAATGTAATCGGTCGCATCGTCGTGTCCAGCTGTGTAGCAGAAACCACCCCCAGACCCAGAAGGCCCACGCCCTCCTGCACATATTGTCGCACAGCGTGTGCAACACCGCCATCCAACTCACATAAGCTATGCGAGAGGATGGAATCCATTTCGCCTCATCGCTCAAGGCAGTCATACTAGACTGATGTCCTGGCGATACCGCCTTCCAGCGCAGCTACAAGGTCGCCGCAGTCTCGCCCGTCCGGCCCCGGCCGGCGCAGTCAATTGGCCGAACCCCTTGTATCCCACTATGGGTGTTCTAGCCGGTCTTCAGCAAACGGGCTGATGAGCTCAGTGAAGGATCTACGGAAGGATCTGATGACCCACCAGTCTTTGGCACAGCCAGAAGACCGTATCCCTACTCCATACTCCAAGGCTGACCGACATGTGGTGAGGTGGCAGGCTGTGGAACTGCATAAGCAAGAGGCAGCGCGGATCGGGTATACAGTGGAAGGAGTCATGTTTCAAGAGAGCGCATTGCACCTTGATACAAGAGAATCGGGGGCGGTGTTAGAACGGCTGTCCAGCAGAGTTGGGGGCGGGATTCGTCCCATGCACGGAGTACTGTACAGAATAATGATTCTACGAGGCGAAGTAGTAAGATTTAAGGCTGTTCCAGCCACGGCTCCATAAAAAGGATTGTCTGATGGATGTAATATGTAATATGATTGATCCCCCTAACCTTCTAGGCAAAGAGGCACAGCAAGCACAGCAATCCTTCGGGGAGGAGGAAAGAAGCAGAAGAAGCAAAAATTAAGAATCCTTCAGGCGATTTTACTGTTTCAAACCCCGGTAAGCCTAGGATCTCGACAATCATACTGAATAATACTCCACCCACTCCATCGAGTCCACCCGAGTGTTGAAGAAGGATGCGACTGCGAACTGGAATCGTAGATCCTCCGCCTACTCAGCGGCAATCCATTCGTTAGGGGTCTATTTTGTCACGTCTACTCTTAACAACTCCGTAGCTAAGCCTCATACACAGCCCAGCCCGTCAGCCCTGAACAAAATCTGAGGAATTGCAAACTTCTGTATCTTTGAACATGTATATTCAAAACCATACGATACCTAAGATAGACAGACACTTCGCTGGCGTAAGATATTGGAAAATAGACAAACCTAAACATATTGAAGGATTGTCTAGTTCAACTACCCACCTGCATGTAATCAATCAGTCTATCCACCTACGCCTACGGAGTTCTTCGGGTTATACAGAGATAATACCGAGTACTGAGTGGATAATAGTAGAAGCAAAGAAAAGACAGTATCAATTATTTATATCACCAAAGTAGATATACATCTCGTACATAACATCCGTCCATATAGGGTATATGGACGTGACATGTGACATGACACGACATGACATGACGTCGATTACAAACCAGATAAAGAATGCGAAGTGAAAAATCAATATAAAAATACAAATACTTACCATCAAGCAAAGCAAGTAAGCACATGTCTCTAACCAATGCCCCGTACATTCACCATCCAATATATTTCGTAATTCCAACATACTCGAATCTATCCAATATATCATATCCCAGACCTACATGCAACCTACATACATACCAACAAAAGTACATACCTATACCACCTAGGTAGGTACATAAGGTACAGACAGACAGACAGAGCCAGACATGATACATGGAACAAATCAAATCCGCCCAGAAACCGCCCCTCTTGCCTAATCGGACGTAGTAAGTGCGAGAGGAATGAACTAGCTAACTTTAACCGCATGGGATGGGCGAATCAGAGTGCGGTGTACGGTATTTTTGGATTTCAGGTATGGTACTGTATGATACGTGATACTGTCGGTATAAGTGTTGGTATTGTGCGGTACGGTGTTCAGACACGGATGGAATGGACTCCGTCGGACGTAATTACTATACCATGAAGAAGTGATTATGGCTTATTTGGTTTGATTGATGATATCGTAAGGTAGAATGTAGTTGATTGTAATATTATGGGCATTATTCCCATAACCAGTATCCGGTGACCAAAGTTTTTGGCCTAGACAAAATGACCCAGGCTAACAGACCAATGTAAATGCAGTGTGCTAAATGATTCAGAAAGCCTCCCATGTAATGTAAGAATTAAAAAGAAAAAAGAAAAGAGAAGAAAAAAAGAAAGACAATAAGTATAGGAGGGGAAAAATTTCTCCGTCATGAATGTTGAAAATTCAAAGGTATCGTGCAGAAAGAAAAAGAAAAAAAATAGTAACGGCCGTAAAGAGTTGGTTTTTTAGGTTGGCATGAATGTGACTCTCACATTGTCATCCGCGGAGCATGTCTGAGAACTTGTTCTTTGCTCTCTCGCATCCATGGAAACCACACACCAGCCCATTCAACCACGCCGAATTTAGGCGCGTTACTCTCGACCAGATTTGTCGAGGGCTCGCGGAGGAATTCGCCGTCACGCATGCGCCGTTGTTCACGAAGCGTGGGACACTTCTTCTCCTTGATGAAGCGGTAGAATTTGCACTGGATTCCCTGGAAGCCACGACGTTGGCGACTGGGAAACTGGTGGTTGAAGCACTCGCGGACTTCCTTCCACTCCTGGCCGAGGTCGACCCGGTGGTACCAGATGAAGTACATCTCTTCCTCTTCGTACTTGGGACGCGGGGGTCGACGGCGCTCAGCGGCATTGCTGGAGCTGCTGGACACCGAGTCGTAGCGGTCCCGCGAGTACGGGTCCGGTGAGGAGTCGGTTGATCGTGGTCGATAGGAGAGATACATGTGGTCTTGAGGTGATGCCGCAGTACCCTCTGCATAAGAGTGGCGGTTATCTGGGTAGTGGGTGGTAGCAGTGGTGGTGTAATAGTAGTAGTGGCTAGGACTGGGGGGATAGTGAGGCGAGTATTGCGGTGGGTGCCGGACATCTTGCATCCGGGGTTTGGGCGACTCATTGCCATCTGAAGGGTTCAACAGAGAGTCGATAGCCATTCGGCTCCCACGAGAAGAACGCATGCTAGCCTGTTCTGGTTCAAGATACGGGCTCCGTTGTTGATACGGGTCTTGTTGGTAGTAGGCGTGGCTCATTTTTTATGAATTGAAATTGCCAAGTTGCCAAGAATGAGATAATTGAGATGATGGATGATGGATGATTGAATTGGAGATGGAAAGGTGAGAGGGTGGGTAGGTAGATATCCCCCGGAGAGTAGTTGACGAGAGAAGAGAAAGAAGAGAAATTTGGTATCCCCAACACCGGACGGGCCCTTGGGTTGGACTCTTAAATGAAAACCAGTTGGCCGCTAAGATCCTGTTAGGTGTGCTGAACCCATGCAGCGTACCGTACCCTTGGGATTCACGGCGGCGAGTGAAAGAGACCGACGGTGACTGCGCCCCCTGCTCTGGTGTGGAGTGGGATAGCTTCTGCGGCGGGTACGATGGGATGTTATAGGAATGAATCGATCACACAGGTCCCAGGGAAGAATGTGTAGCGCCAGCAGGGGGGGTAGGTGGTAGTGTAGCAGTAGTGGTGTTGGTTTGGTGTTGGGGTCGGTCAGGCTGGAGGAGGTGAAGAGATGATGGGGGAGAAGAAGCCAAAAAGGAAAAAAAAAGATGGTGTTGGATGGAAAAACGAATTTATATTGGGTGAGATGTTGATTTGATGTAGTGAAGCCGGCCGTTATTGCTTGGTTTCTTCTGGATGGGCCAACCCCAGTGGTACAACAGCTGTGTAATTTTTGTTTCGAGAGGGCGAAATAATGCAAGGATGGCTGTATCGACAGACAGACAGGGTTTGCCACTTTTTCTTTTTTTTTTTTCCTTTTCTTTTTTTAATTTATTTCTTTTTCTTTTTCCCTTTTTTTTTTTTTTTTTTTTTTTTCGATTTTTGATTTCTTTTTTTAATACTCCACGAGACAAATTTTCAAAGGTTGGACAGCATAAAAAGAAGTGGAGGTCACGTTGCCAGAAGAAGATGAAGAAGAGACAGAGCGACCAGAATGAGCTTGTTGTCTTTTCTTTTTTTATACTCGTAACTTCCCTTTTATACCTTTTTCACTGGGAGAATCTGGAATGAGCCAGATTTCCTCGTTTTTTTTTTTCGCTTTCTCTCCACCTGTCCAGGGGTCTCTAGTTTCATGCAAATCTGCGGATGTCGGCAAGGATATCAAAACCAGCAGTGACAAGAAAGAAAAGGGAAGGGGAAAAAAGTAATAAATGGAAAAGGAATTATTAAGACGATGTGACGGAGCCGCAAAAAGTTAATCAACGAAGATTTGAAATGGCCCAGATGAGATGAATTGGATCTCGGAGCGGAAATCGAGGCCAGACTACTGGCTATAAGGATAGATGAAAGAAAGAGTAAAAAGAGGATCCAACAGCTCCATTCAATGGTTCGAGGGGTTGAGGAAATAATTCTGAAGCTTAGGAGCCTAGATGACACAATCGAGGCGATGGACGGAGGTTTGGCCACGCGGGGGAAACACAAAAAGAGAAAGACCGGGGGGGCCAAAAGATGCCAATCCACTTCTTCTGCGGCTTTCTTTGTCTTGAATCTGGTCGATAAATTAATATATTTATCTTTTATAGAGAGAAGATGGAGACGCTGAGAATATCAGAAAAAGCCAAAACTATAATACCCATATTAAAATCAATTACAAATACATATACACAAAAGTTAACTCTGATTCTGAAGAATAATAGTGTCGATGATCGAACATGTCAATCATATTCAGTTTCTTCCACTGACAGGCAATGGATTTCCTCGGCTGAGCTCATATCATCAAAGGATCAACAAAAAAGAAAATAATATTAAAATTAACAATTAAAAAATAAATAAAAATCAGCGTAAGCGTAATACGGTAATATGGGGACTCTGCAGCCCTGCCGGTGCAGGGGCATCGGAGTGGACCTGCGGGCGGTGATTGGCTGCAACGGGGGCTGCCGGACGGGCTGAGCGAAACCGAGGCCGTAGCTTTGCAGGGTTCAGGTCAGTGCTTTTCCTTACCCGTACGAGCGATTACAGAACATCAGACAATGCCAAGTCTTCGCAATGGAGGATGGCCAATACTTAAATTAAATCACTAGTCCCGAGTAGAGTTAGATGCTAGTTGCCAGTATGATGGCGGATGGACCCATCTGTCTATGTCTGTAGCCTGGAGGTAGATACGAGGTTCTTTTTTTTTTTTTTTGGTCATGTCGGTGGTCTCAAAGCAAGGCCAATCGGTCGATCTCGGACTCTACAACCATGAAGAAGGGAACGCCAGGAAAAAGAGGCAAAGGTTTACTGCAGGTTCATCAGGTTTCGAGTGGGGGCAAAAGGGGGGAAGCCTGAAAGAGAGACTGGGAGTGAGCCTTGAAAGGCAACGAAAAGAAAAGAAAGAAAAAGGAAAAAGGAAAAAAAAAAAAATTGAAAAAAATTGAAAAACCAACAGAACTGACGGGATAGACGGGCGTCTATTGGGCGCGGAAGAGAAAGGCAGCAGCACAACCTGCAGTGGCTTTGCGAGGTGAACCGTGGTATTGGGACGGCCTGACCAATCAGCACGAGGCTCTAACGCTGTCTAGTTCATTTCGGTCTCAGATAGGGACACGAAAAAGGGTGGGGAGGAGGGGAAAATGCACGCAGCACAGAAGAGGGAAAAAAAAGACCAACTAGACTGAAAGCCTCACCACCACTTGCCGCGCGGACAAAAATAATCTGCAGATTAAGTACTGTGCCAACACATCTCTGCATCATCCCTATTGATTGTTTTCTTTTTTTTTTTCCCTTATGATCTCATGAGTATCTGCTGATATACATCTGCAGATACTTGAGTTTATTATTGTTTTTTATTTATTTATTTAATTGATTTTACCAATATTTTTATTATTTTTATCCTGATAGGGTATTTGGTTCTCTCAAGTCGAACAGTGATCAACTAGCTGTCTCCACTATGTGATAGGCTGACAGCCCCCAAATCTGGAGAATTTGTCCAATGGAGCTGACAAGTCGGCCAATCATCACACACCAGTGACGATCATGAGAAGGGGAGGTTGCTGTGAGAAAAAAAATGATTGCTTCTGATTCAGATTAGGATCCGGTTCTGTTTGTCCCTTGAACCTGTCAAAGCTTCCAGAGTGGATGCTGCTCCTGCTTCGGCCGTACCTGTGTCCTATTATTATGATTATGCTTTCTGGCCATGGACATTCTGTCTCCATCGTGAACCGTGGTCTTTGCTGCTTCGGGCGGCGGGAGAAGATCCGACTTTGCCAAACGCGAATTCCCAAAGAGGAAATGGATCGCATTCACCGGACCAGGAGATGAACTCCGTGGCTTCCAAGGGCTGTAAGGTATTGTGTGCATTTTTTTTTTTATGTAGTGCTTTTATGTAGAGCTGGACGAATGTTTATCAAGAAGACTGTATATCCGTCGACTGTTGATATGTTGTGTTCTGTATTGTGTTCTGAATACAGTCTATTGCACTAGCATCGTCGGACAAATCCGAATCAAGAGATACACAGCATAGTCTATCCTCGGAGCAGTTTAGATGCCCAGAAAGTTACTGTCGAGGCTGAAGAAAGCAAATGAAGGTCAGGAATGGCTGTTCCACCAGAACATGGCGACTATTTTGTCACACCGATCATTCAGGTCATCCTTCAGACTGTAAGGAATGTCTGCTGCATCGTGCATGCCCAATAGTCAAGCCATCCAGGGCCAACAACTCGACCTGCTAGAGTTACAGCACATGACCAGGCAAGAGGGGGTTGTACTCTCTCCGTGTGTGCGTCAGGTGTTTGGTTGCATTTCCATCTACTGCAAATTATGTTGTGTATCTACCCCCATCTCGCAGCATATTTCCAGGTTGAGAGATGAGAAGTGGCAATGATAGTCGTGTCATATTTCCATCGTCTGATTCTGATTCTGGCACCGAGTCGATCTCGCCCGTTGGACATTATTGCGGCACAGTCAGATTGCGCAAGCTTAAAACCCAAGATCACACGCGAAGGAATGGTTTATTGACTTGACTTAGATTGGCTTGGCTCTTGGCTGTCTGGGACTGGCTATATGGATAATAATGGATCAGATACTCCGTACATGATACATCGTTATTCAGTCTGTTATTTTTTTTTTTCCTGCATCTGCTGCGGCACTGGCCGTGGCTTGCATTCCATCTCGATACATTCACATCAAGACTCCGAGGAAAAAGCATCCCCTTGGGCAGCACTGGCTGAGGAGTCAAGGGATGATCATCCCTTTCTCTCCATCTTTGTTTCCATCGATAGATCTCACAGCATGAGCAAGATGACGCACATCTGTCTGTCTTTTCTTTTCTTTTCTTTTTTTTCGAGTTTAAAAAAACTAAAATACATTTCAACCTCGGCGGTCCAGCCACGTCGCCAATCGTAATTATCACACCCTTGTAGATCATGTTCATCCCGACACTTCTAGACTATCTATCCTCCTGCCACTTTGAGCTCGTCTTTGCATCGCCAGCCCTGTAAATCCTTCTTTTTCCTATTGAATCATCCCTGCTAGACCACGGAGACTGCTGGCTCAGCGCGCGTCCCCGCAGCCGCTGTCGGTCACGTGAGAGCCTCCTCTGCTGCCGAGTGGCGTGCCGCCAGGACGATCTGAAGATTATCTCCAGCAACGTCAAGAAGTAATAAGAATGATGAAAGAAATCCCTGTTACCGTACCAGTGCTATCCATCAATTTCTGACAGGGGCTCCCTGAATGGATACCACGTACTGACTCGCTACACCCGAATTCTGGTCTGGTCACACTCACACAGCCCTGAGGCTTAAGGGGCCAGCGCTATCGTGGGAGAACGTGTTGGAATACAACATTGCAACACCTGTTCATCAGAAGTCAGTGGTGGCGATGAGGGTTTGACATCAGACCAGGCGTTCCTGTCAGCCCAACAGTGTCCAAGTGCAATCCATATCCAGTTAACTGAATCCACCAGGCTATGCTGGACGACCCCAAATGCCAACGGCGTTATGACAGTTGAGGCTCAAGCTGTCGGAGAGTGTCGGGCTGGCTTAATTTCTGCCGCAGTCACTGTGCCGCCTGCTAACTGCTCCCTAACACTTAGCAGCAGGCAAAAAATTGGACCCTTCTCCACTGTCTCTGGCGACAAAAAAGAAAAAAAAAAAAAAAAAAAACGCAAGTTGACGGATTATTATTATCGATCCAAGCTGCAGCTCGCTGTGATGTCCGACTCATGGACAGAGGCAGTGAGGCTATTCTGGTCGATCTTGCCTCTGTTGGCCCAGTCCGTTTGTGTTGACTTGTTTCGGACCTCTCTTGGGTGAGCATCGTTGCTACCCCCCTGCTTGACAGTTGACACCAACAATTCGATGATTCGACGATTTGGTATTCCAAGAGACACAGACACAGACATTCTGCCACCCTCATTCCTACGGCTCGATTAACGCCATCTTTCTACCCACTAGAGCCAATTAGTTTGTGAGAGGTGATCAGGTCGAGACTGCAGAAGGTAATTGCATCTGCCTGGTCGTCTCGCAGTTCTCTTTGCCCCGTTCCAGAGAAATTGACCGAAATTCACACAGAGGGGTTTGAATCGCAGCCCGGTATCGGTGTACCGCCAAAGTGAATCCAAATCCCGTGGTGCTACTAAGCAAGAACTAATCATCCTGTCGGCAATAGTACTACGCAATAATGCAATTAAAAAAAATTGCAGCATATGTTGATGAGCTTCAAACCTACCAAAGCCATCCGAGTACGAATGATGGCGGAACGGACGGGAAGATCCCGCCCAGTCCGTCTTCCATACTACAGCCTTTTAGCGATAAACCACTCCACAATCCACATTGATCCCGTCATCTATCAAGAGTTAAAATCGGTGATACAACTGAAGGATGTATATCGAACGCTGCATATCTACCCTCGTGCATCCAGGGATTGGAATTCAGTGCAAAATGCCTCAGAATCAAAACCAACCCCATCTGCCGGATGGAAGGGGGGATAAGGCGAAAGGCTATCCCTGCTTCGTTGCATGGCAAATATTCTAGAAGCAGCCAAGGGGAACAAGCCTAACAGGGTATTTGGTCAGATTATCGTAGCAGATAACCACGGTTGCATCAAAGACAACATTGCTTAGCCCAGACATCGGTCCCACTGAGCCTCTGAAGCCGATGGACCGAGAGAGTCCTCTTGATGAGCCTTGTACAGCGTATGAATCATGAATATTACTGTGATAATTACCGGAGGGTCGACCGCCTTGCAAGAAATGAAAAAGACGCCACATTGTTGCTCTATTCCTTTTAGGGCAAATAATCACAATGTTGATCGTTTTCATTTGCCCAGCCTTGCTCCTTATACATCTGGACCACTTCCAGAACGGCGACTCGACATTGGCGGCATGCAGAGAACGTCATACAGACGACAAGTTTTTTTTGTTTGCCCATGTAGGCGATCTAACCAAGATGACACCTTGATCAGTGCGGGATGCCAGCTTTTGTGGTTTGCCCCTTTACGATTGAGACCGCCTATCGAGTCTCGTGGTAAACAGATCATGCAGAAATCGAGGGACTCTCCAGACCCCACTCTTTTCTGAGCCTTTGCGGCTTTGACTAAGTCATTCCTGCAGTTGAACGGTGGTTTAAATTATGTTTTTCTTCTTTTCTTTTCTTTCCCACCCCCTCTCACAAAGGGCAGGGAAGTGCGATATGCAGCCGAATGTACCATTGCTTCTCCGTACACCGGTTTAGAGCGGTCTTAGAGCGGTAACCGCAGTGTTTGGACGATCTTTGAATGGATGACACATCATGACAGGCGTGCTGCGACATTGCCTGTGATCGACTGTCTTGGGTTTCTTTTCTTCTGTGTGGTTTATTAGTTGTTACAGAGCATGTACATCCAGTCCCAGCCTTGTTGATAACGACCAATAGTGGGCACCGATCGGCCCCAAGTATCCAGGTTTTCCCTGACGTCCTGGAAGGATTTGGAATCCACACACACACACACACAGACGGATGAATCTTGAGAAGGGGGGCCAAATAATGGCTTGTACGGGAGTAGGACTATTCTGGCATCGATCGACGAACGACAGTGAGAGACAACGCACCGGGAAAAAAAGAAGAAAAAAGAAAAAAACGGGGAAGAAAATGAAGGCTATCCACCGCGGCGGGGGGCATTCCGGATCGAATCCTTCGTGTCGTTTGAACAAAACAGAGTCTCAGATGGCCTCGGACGCGACGATGCAAGCAGTAGACTATGCACCAGCGGCCCTCCTTGCGGATCTTCTTCACGTTCGGCCGCTATATGGCGTAGTGGCGTTTAAAACGCTACGCAAGCTGTCTTTGAGGAATGACACCGCTATTCACCAGTGCAGATGGAGTCGTCGAATCTACAACCGCTGCATGTCTGGCTGTCTGCAGCACCAGCAAATCCCGAATGTACGTAAGTACATATGATATGAGATGGAAGGACAAAGACCAATTGAGTTGGAGGTTTCGGACGATCTCGGTGGGTTGAAGGATTCTCATCTTCTCCATCATAACCATCCCCCGTCCGTGCGATGGGTGGAGGATTTCAAACCATTCGAATCAGGGGGTCCAGACTCTTGTTTCTCTCTTCTTTTTGCTGTTTCCAGTTAAACGTGGGTCAGCGAGAGAAATAATAATAATAATAATAATAATAGCAGGCAATATGATGATGAATCATGCATATTGGATAATATTGTGACTTGATGGAGGAAATTGCCGTTTGGGCTGGACAGCAAAGTTACTCCGAGATGCAACTTATCAGTGGATCCGCACTATGGAGGTGCCAGGAAATAGTAGCCCTTCCAATAGACGGCGCGAGACGAGGGCTAGTTAGGCAGTCCAGCATGTTTCCTTTTTGCGATTTGTCTGTTTGTGTTGCAATGGTGCTGTTCTTCACCCCCGACCGTTTCGATCGGCTTTTTCAGACGCTGAGCACAGAGCAGCAGCTAGCCTAATGTCTGAGATTGGATTCTGCTGTCACTTGTCGGATGTTTCGCCGAGATAGATTATCTACTTTATTCTCCTCTACATCATAACAATATAATAATATCATAATATAATTCTTAATAATTGTGATAATTATAATAAATCCCCTGGCACAATCGTATTATCGGTAATACAAATCATTCTGGGCACTGTTACTCTAGATTGGCGACTAATGCTCGACTATCACACCTCACCCAGACTGTCGGGTCCATTAGTGAGAAAAAAAAATGTGCATCTGAGCAGATTTTCTTTTTCACCCAGTTTCGTTCACACCTCTTTATTGCCGCAGGAGGTTGAGGTATCACCGAGAATGGTCCGATATTAGAATTATTATTTATGGTTATACTATCTATGCCATAGATTGAGGTACTATGTGGAAATAAATCCTTTGTTTCATTTCGATTTCCACCCTTCCACCGGGCATCTCCGTAGACCGAGACTAAACTGTACTTTAGTTGATAGTTGAACCAAACTTTGAAGAGGTCATTCGTTCATGTTGATTTTTATTTTATTCTATTTTATTTGTTTTATTCCTTCTACTTACGACATTCTGCATATTGTGGAGACGTATGGAGTTGTACTTTTTTGCGTGGGGGTTGGGAATTGCGATGATGCGATATTGTCATGTGATTGGTATTGTTTGCTACTGTGTATGACTTTGATCGATGCGGAAGGTAAATATGAATGCCGAGACGATGTGATATGACATGAGATAATTGATTATCAATTTGTCAGATTATCATATTGATATTGATATTGATTGAGTAGGACAGAGCAAGGCCGAAGAACGTGACGAGGAGGAATGTTGATGTATTATTGTATTGGTATGTATCATACTATGTATTACATATAACATACAGCATACAACAATACACCATACCTACATTTACATCTGTCATGTATAACCAACTCATCAATAGACAATATAATATAATAGTATAGATGAGATAAAAAAAAAATTACAAACCAGAAACAGGCAACCGAGTTCTAATCATCTTCACATTTCTTCAGGTCAACTGACAGTCAATCATCGAGCCATCTGCAACGCCCTCCAAGGCTCAAATCTCACCGAAGGATCCTCATCCCTTCCTAGTCGCAATTCCAGATTCGAATCGTCTGTCTTGGAGTGCTGTATGTGTCTCTTTCTGTCTTGTATCTGCTTCTTCTTATTTGCTTCTTGTGCTGTCCAGTCATCTTGTCATGTTTATTCAAAACCCCGCACTTCTGACGTGGGATTTTTTTTTGCTTTTCTTTTTCCGCCTCTGCCCTCGTCTTTTTCTTTTTCTTTTCTTTTTTCGAGAATGTGTCTAGTGTTTACCATGTACCTACGTACGACGAGGACGGCTAGTATGTACTACCATTGAAGAGAATGGTTGGCTGCGGATGATTTGTTCTCGATGATCCTTCTGAGTTGTTTGTTTTATCGTAGTCGAGTCACCGGATCGTTTCCCTTCAACGATAGGATAGGATAGGATAGTCTGCACACTTTGCTGCTGCAGAATTGAAGGATGCAGCCACCCGGGTCAGTTCAATTAGGTAGTTGGGCTAGTTAGTTAACTGACTAGCTACTCTTCACCATCCTCCCTCCTCATCCGAATCCACGTGCATGTCAAGCCCGTTTCTAAATCTAAACCGTCTTGCACCGTTGTCTTCACTAGCTGAGTCTGCAAAGTCGAATTCTTCGTCGTCTGATGCGCCGTGACGTCGATATTTGCTGTAGATTGCCGACGGGTCGTCATCTTCGTCTGACCATGATAATTCCTCGTCTGGATAGTCATTTGCGGGATTATTTTCGGCTGTTTCTCCCCGATCGTCGCCGTTAGCATATATTCCTTCCAAGTTTTATTTTTCTTATTCATGGTTGGCGGCTTACCGTTCGAGTCTGCATCTTCACTATCCCATTCTTCTTCATCGTCGTCTTCTGCAAAATTCTCCCAATACTCCTCATCCTCGGGTGTGATGACTATCACTCCTATGTCTTGCCGACTGGCATCAATTCCATGCTGCCGAAGCCAACCGGCTTGGTCGCGCTCCAGCTCGACAAGTGGGTTCGTAAGCTGTCCATTCTCCAGTGGTCGGCGAATGTATGTATCGTAGACATACTCCCCATCGCTTTCGTCCGCTTCAGCCTCTGCTGCTCCTGATGGTGGAGTGGGTTTCCCAGACGCTTCTGCAGCCGGTCGAGGTTTATTCGGCTGACGGGGTTGGAATTTCAGAGCAGGCTTTGGCAGCGCATGTCGGGACGGAGAAGGTTGCTGTTGCTGTGACTTGTCTGGCAATGCCTCCATGCGATGATCATCATCCCCATCCAACTCCAGAGCAATGTGCTCAAACTCGCGAGCGAGCCGTTCCGACTCATCGTCCCAGCTACTCTGGTGCTGAGTTTGGGCCTCCTTGTCCAAGACATGTGAAATGTGCTGTTTGGCAGCAGATATGGCCGTCTTACGCTCCTCCCGCCACCGCTTCTCTGCCTGATTCACCACTGGCCGTTTCCTAGGACGAGCCGGCGCTTCTTCAGAGCCCACCGAGCCATCCAGGGATGCCACACTCAAGCTGCTCCCATCGTCCGCCTTCCTGGCCAAGTCCGCCACCATCGACGCCTGTCTCGAGTGCGGCTTGCGCCGGAGTTGCTCAACTAGAACCGCCACCCCGTCTCCTCGCCGTTTCTGCACTCCACTTCCTGTACTCCTGTGTAGACTCCCACCACCCACTGGTGTGCTGGATCGCGAGATTTGAAACTTACGCACAGACAAAGGACCCGGTGACGAAGCCGGACTACCTCTCCCACTGGAAGCGGCTGAGATCACGCCGCTCCCAGGCCTTGGCGATGCAGGCGAAGAATGCAATGCTCTCTTCAGCTTTTCTTCATTCTCTCTCCGCGCCGCTGCTAATCGCTTCTCGTCACGAAACTCGGCCCCGGGAGACGTAGCCCTCACCATGGGAACCCTGCCCCCTGTGCTGGCGCTGCGCGCATGCGCTGCTGATGGGGAAAGCAAGCTGCTCACCGACCTGGGGCTGCGAAGGTGTCGCTTCGCAGCTAGCCCGGCTGCTGCCGATGGGGTCGGACTGGACGATTCGCTGCTACGCCCATCGCCTCCAACCTTGACCTGGACTCTTTGAAACACAAAGTCTGTGAACCGACGTTTTGTCTGGTGCAGTTCAGACTGGATATCTATGATAAAATATTAGTTATAATTGAAAAGGAACATGAACATGTAGCGGTTTGGTGGGTCTATCCAAATTCCAAAACCCGGGGGGTGACTAAACAGGTTCTGGCGGGCGTGCAAAAGAACAAGGGGAGTTTTTCTTACATAGAGTATCCACGGGCTCCTCCTCTCGACGACGCTTGATGTTGATCTGCTCTGGAGGCAAAGACATTTTGAATAAAGTATAGACACAGAGTTGAACTGTCTGAGATTTTGATGCGTGTGGGGTGTTAAAATGTTGGATACCTCGAGATGTCGACGTTGTTTCTTAGGCGCCATGAAGACTGCCCAAAACGGACTAGGGCGAACCATATAGTGTCACGTGACAAAAAAGTGACTGACAACACAATCTTGGATATCTTCAATATCTACGGAATACAGAGTCAAATTGGAATATTGAACATTTCATATCTTTGTTTTATTGTGCTTTTCAATGGCTCAAATCGCCTTTCCCATCATGACCCGATTATCTCTGCAGCTATATAGACCCTCCGTCGTCATCCAAGATGCAAAAAAGGAGCAGTATGCCCCGAATTAAATCCATCGAAATGGCATCACAAATGCAAGTAAACAAAACGAATAGGACATCGAAGAACAGACCAGAGCCAACCAATCTAGGGTATAGCCAACATCTCACTCTCCCTCATAGCCAACTGGAAATGCCAGGCTGTAAACAGCCAACAGGAAAACAAAACTCATACCCAGCTAGCAATACAATGTGATGATAGAAGAAAAGGTATTAAAAGGCAGTAAGACCCGTTGGCTGAGAACGGAAGTTTGGACAGAAAAATTAATAAAAAAGATGAGGAAAGTTGAAAAAAAAAATCAAGAATTAACCAAACCAGTACAAGAAAGAAAATGTTGAATGATGACAAAAGATGAAAGATAAAAGTTATAAGAAAAGAAAAGAGAAGGGGAGAAAAAAAAAAGAAGAAAAAAGTATCGAAAAATAAAAAATAATAAAAAATAATAAAAAATGCACCCTGGGACTGACTGCACAAGGAGACTCTTCTGAGTAGATTATTATGATTATTTCATTATTTTGCTCCGATCTCCTCTTCTGCCCATCCGGGAAGAGAGTTTTCGTTCTGAATAGCTAGTCCAAAGCCGGAGTGGTTGAGTCCTCCGAGGGCTGAGGTGAAGCTAGAGAAGCTGCCTTGAGGCTGGTGTGCCATACCTGAACGACCGTGACCGGGCTGGGAGACAGGACCAAATGGCTCCTGTGAGAAAGAGGGCAAGCTGACCGCCCGCGAGTGCTGAGCACGTGGAACGTTCAAGCTGCTGGTGCTGGCGGTAGCGTGGTGACCTGGCCCGGAGCCGTTGACATTTAGGAAGCCATTCGTTGATGGCTTGTGCTGATGCAACGGCGGCTCGATGCTGCCATTGGTGAGGTCGCTGGGACTAGTACCGTTGTACAGAGGCTGCTGCTGGTGCTGGGGCTGCGAATGTTGCTGCAGAGCAGCCAGGGCAATAGGATCGTTCAGGTGGTTCTCCTGTTCCTGGGTCTGCTGAGCGGACATTTGGTTCAGGTACATGGTCAAGGGGTTGTTGGCTCCCACATTCAACACGCCGGATGGAGAAGAGACGTTCTGCAGTGGGTGTCGGCTTTGTTGTCCGTTTTGGGACCCGGTCGATCCAGGAGCAGGTGAAAGAGCGGGACGAGTCGGGCTGGGCTGAGAACCGGACTGACTTAGACTCGGCTGGAAGCCATTGAGTGCAGATGGTGACTGCTGCTCATCCAGCCCGGCACCGTTGCGGTTTTGCTGGGAGTTGTTGCCCCCTTGGCGAGGGGGGTTTCCGCAACGATCCTTGCCAAAGTTGATCTTGAATCGTCGATATTCCTCGCGGTTTCGCATGCCCTCAATGGCCTTGATGGCATTGGCGATGTTTGTAAAGTTGACAAAAGCACAGCTCTTCTCGCGTAATGTGTTCACAAGCTCAATCTCACCATACTCGGAAAAGTCCTGTCGCAGGCGATCCTCGGGCCAGGTTTCATCCAAGTTGCCGACGTAGACGTTCCGGGAAGCACCACCGCTCACTGCCAGTGCAATGGCAGGAGGAAGAGGACCGGAGTGCTTACCCCAGCCGATCTTCAACCGACGGTTATGGATCATGAGACCCTGGAGGTTACTCAGGGCATAAAAGGAGGCTGCTGATGTGGGATCAATAAATGTGACGAAGCAAATGTGCTTGTCGGGTATATAGCGAATGTGGTGCAGTAGACCGCCACGGACAACATTACAGATTTCCTCGATGGTGGTTTCGGGGTGGATGTTTCCAAGATAAATCGTCCGGTTGCCCAGGTTGTTGACGCCCCCGGCGGTGGTGGCCACGGCCGCAGCGGCGACGGACTGCTGGGCCAAGGCATTAGTGATCAGATCCCGGTCGGCAGAGTTGAGGATGTGCGCATATCCCGGCGCAATCCCCAAAAACTGAGCCGCATTCTGTTGCTGAGTCTTGGAAACATACGCGCACCGGTCCTTGCCGTAGAAAACGCGCTTGGGAGCCTGCCACTTGGCCTCCTGGGGGAGTTGTGTGACAGCCTTCATCGCGTTGCTGATGGACAGGTAGTGCACGAAACCAATTGCCTTCTCCTTCACAATCTTCACCGTGTCAATCGGGCCGAATCTTCCCAGCTCTTCGCGTAGTTCATCCTCCATCATTTCCTCGGGCAGATTTCCTAGGTAAACGTTCCGTGACGCGCCCGACTGCTGCACTGCAAGAGCCACGGATGTAGGAACTTGAGATGGCTTACCCCATCCTACCTTGATGTCGTTTCCCTTGATAGCTAGCTTCTTCAGAATGGCGTCCGAGTGGAAATGAGTGGCAGAGTTGCTATCCAAAAAGGAGATGAAGGCACAGTTCTTATCGGGCAGCAGACGGACCGACTCGATCTGACCGCTCCGTACGTGGTTGAGGATCTCTTCCGCTGACGTTTCCGCCGGGATGTTACCCAGGTACACGGTACGGCTTGTGCCTGACAGGAGACCAGGGGTCACGGAGGCAGCGGGACTTCCGAACGCCGCATTACCCAGGCCTCCCAAACCACCAATGGGAGATTGTGGACCGCCCATCATCTGAGAGTTTCCCATTCCATCCGCCATCATTCCCGAGTACAGACCGGCATTCTGCGGAGCTTGGGTGGGACTACCCAGCTGGTTCTGAGTGTTCTGGGCATGTGCGGAGCCATTGGCCTGCGAGAAACCACCGTAGTTTGTGAATTGGGGCGAGGTAAAGGCAGAGGGGGTTCCGGGCTGGAAGGGGCTGCCAAGGAGCAGCTGGGAGGGGAGGAGGGGGGTGAAGTTCATATCGAAGGCAGTTCCGGAGGTGGCCATATCGGCGGTGTTTGGGGCGGGAGTGGTGGTATTGATGGCAGGGATATTAGCACGACGAGCGTTCCGATCCGTATAGCCTTGGAGGGAGAGGTTCGAATTGTACGCCCCGTGGGAAAACCCCGTGTTGTCCGCGTTCAAGTGGGAGAATTTGGAAGGGATCGGATGAGAACTATTCGGGAGACTCGACGCATCCGAGGTTTGCATGGCGATGAGGGAGCAGAAGCAGGACACAATTGTCCCCTAGTAAGACAGAGGGAACCACTGTCTATGCGGAGAGAATTGCTATCGCACGGGGAGAAAGGTGAGAAAGGGAAAAAAACGAAGCAATCCACACCGTAGGAATGGTCAGGAGAGCAAGGACCCCGAAAAAAAACCCCGGGCCGAGGATCCCCCTAAAAAAAGAAAGGAAGAGGGAGAAGAACAACAAAGAGAAATAATAAAAAGAATAAAAAAAAGATTAAAGACGAGACAGAAGAAGATAATGAAAAGAAAGAGAGAAGAGGGAGAAGAAGAAAAGGGAAAGGAAAGAAAGGAAAAAGGAAAAGAAGAAAGATCAGCGTCTGGAGACGTGTCTAATCCCAATGGTCAATGGATTGGAATGTTGTGCATGGAGAGAGGGAGAACGGGCGAACTGAACACACACCGTCTGGCCAGGGGGAAGAAAGAGACTATGGAGAATGTCCACGGATGAATAATAAAGAAGACAATAAAAATAATACTAAATAGTAACAACAAGAAGAAGAAAAGAAAAGGGAAGGGTGGGAGGGGATTCTGAAGGTCGAAGGAGAGAAAGGGAGATCCCCAGAATAATGGAGATTGAAGTCTCAGGCGAGCACAAATTATTAGTCAAGCTGTAAAGGGATAAGTGGAAGAGACATCGAATAATACGATAATAATAATAAAAATATAATAATAACAGAAGATCTTGTTAGTTTGGGAGTTGGGATAGACGGAAAAAGAAAAAAAGAGGGCCCGGCTGAAAAAGGGGTTCGTGAGGATGGAATAACAGTATGTACTAGCAAAGGAACGACGTTTTCTTTTCTTTTTTTTCTGGGCCAGTACAGATTAATTAGAGATGAAGATAAAATCAGAAACTAAAGAATAGAATAATAAAATATGAATGTAGTATGAAAAAAGCATGTAAGGACTGAATGTAGATGCTCCAGGGGGCAAAGACGAGGAAAAGGGGTGGAGAATGGGAGAATAGGGGGGGGGTTTAGAATATTATCTTCTGGATAACTCGATGTTGGTTAGTACACTTTGTTAGTTAGTGACTTTCCCACTGGCAAGACAAGCCATTTTGGCTCTGTCAATCATCATTTCTGCTGTTTCTTTCTTTCCCTTCTTCTTCTTCAGCTCGTCTTGGCTGTCTGGAGCTCTTCCATGGTGATGTCGTCGCTGAGCTGACAGACGACATGACAGATCTGGTGATGCTGCATGAGCGGATATCATCTTGTCATCGTCGATCAGAGGGTCTCTGGTGTTTTCTTTTTCCCGTCCCTTGACGATGGAGTTCATACATCATTTTCAGACAGGGAAGAGGCCAGAGAGAATCCCATAATTCGCTGCCAGAAGATCGGGACTAGAAAGTGGATGCCAGAAGAAAAGTGGGAGAGTCTGACACGCAGAGCCTCCACTGCGGGGGATTGATGTTCCGACTGAGTAAGCTATCTTCATCTTCTTATACAGCAACATGGAGTATTCAATATTTGATATTTATACTTATATTTATATTGGATGTAGATACTAGGTGTTCTTAAAACACATTGGAGAATAGATCTGGAGAATATATCTTATCGTGATATCCTCAATAGCCAACAGTCTACAGTCACGATATCATATAAGTAGAAAAAGACCACAGGAATAAGAAATCAATATAATCCATTTATATCTGTCGTACTATGCATCTATCATATTATCGAAGAGAGAGTATTATCTCCTACAGAGTACCTTACTTGGGTAGTACTAACACTATTGTTGCCTCAGGCATCTGTGGGGATCCCGCATTATCAGTGCAATCAAAATTTACCCCTCCACCAAAGATTAACCCTGTGTGACTCTTCTTGCTCTCTCCCATTCCCTCTCGACGTCCCTGCAAGATCTCTCCTGGTTGGACTGGACCTGTCATTCCGTAAGTGCCATTCCTTTCCTATCTAAGTCATTGGCTATTTTTTTGTCCGCCTATGACTCATGGGAATTCGATAAATTCACCTCCCCTCCAAAGATCATCCATTCTGACATTTTCTTATCCCACAGAAACCCGTGAAAATGGCGTCGATCTACATTGATGAGGACGTCGGAAGAGACGAGCCCACCGCGACCGGTTCCGAATCCGCTCCTTACAAGACTCTCGTCCACGCTTTCTTGCAGCACCCCCCCACCGAGGGTACCCAATATCTGACGCGCAAGTCCCAGACTGAGCCTACCGAAGAGGGTGCCGACAAGTTGCAATGGAAGCCTGCCACCAAGTCCGCCATCAAGAAGGCCACCAGCATCTTCGACCAGCGCAAGAAGAAGGCCGCCAAGGAGCAGGAATTGGCCATCCGTGAGAGGCAGGAGGCGGACAAGCGTCAACAGGTCCTGGAGGAGGCTAAGAAGGTTGTCATCAAGGAGGATACCTCGCTCCCAAAGCCCACCAAGATTCGCTTGGATGAGACCGACCCAGCTGTCATCAAACTGGGATCTCCCGAGTCCGAGACCCCGGGAACCCGCGTTCGCGTGGTGGGACGAGTCCACCGTTTGCGCGCCCAGAAGGGTGTCGTTTTCCTCACCTTGGGAGATGGATACGGCTACTTGCAGTGCATCTTGACCGGTGACTTGGCCAAGACCTACGATATTATGACTCTCACCCTGGAGACCTCCCTCTCCATCCACGGTGAGATGCGTGCCGTGCCCCCCAAGCAGCACGCTCCCAACGACCGTGAGCTCCACGCCGACTTCTTCACTATCATCGGCCGTGCTGCCGGTGACAAGGAAGCTATCACCACCCGTGTGGCCAAGGATGCCGACCCCCAGACCCTCTACGACAACCGTCACTTGGTTCTCCGTGGTGAGACCTCCTCTGCCGTCATGAAGGTGCGCGCCGCCACTCTCCGTGCCTTCCGCCAGGCTTTCGAGGAGAACCGTATGCTGGAGGTCACTCCTCCCGCCATGGTGCAGACCCAGGTCGAGGGTGGCAGCACCCTGTTCGGATTCGACTACTACGGCGAGAACGCCTACCTCACCCAGTCCTCCCAGCTGTACCTGGAAACCTGCCTTCCATCCCTGGGTGATGTCTTCTGTGTCTGCCCATCCTTCCGTGCGGAGAAGTCCCTCACCCGCCGCCACCTGTCCGAGTACACCCACATCGAAGCCGAGCTGGACTTTATCACATTCAACGACCTCCTCGACCACCTCGAAGCCGTCATCTGCCGCGTTATCGAGCTCACCCTGGCCGACTCCGCAACAGCCACCCACATCAAGCAGCTCAACCCCGACTTCAAGCCCCCCAGCCGTCCCTTCAGACGCATGAAGTACTCCGACGCCATCGACTGGCTGCGCGAGCACGACATCCCCAACGAAGAGGGCAAGCCCCACGAGTTCGGCGATGACATCGCCGAGGCCGCTGAGCGCAAGATGACCGACATCATCAACCAGCCCATCTTCCTCACTCACTTCCCCGCCGAGATCAAGGCTTTCTACATGAAGAAGGACATCGAGGACCGCCGCGTCACCGAGAGTGTCGACGTGCTGATGCCCGGCGTCGGTGAAATCGTCGGTGGCAGTATGAGAATGGACGACTGGGATGAGTTGATGACAGCATACAAGAAAGAGGGCATGGACCCGTCCCCTTACTACTGGTACACTGACCAGCGCAAGTAAGTTTTCTCCTTATCCTACTCACTTATCTGCTTTGCAGTACTAACTATGTTTTTTAATAGGTACGGTACTTCCCCCCACGGTGGTTACGGTCTTGGTCTCGAGCGTTTCTTGGCTTGGTTGTGTGCTAGATACACTGTGAGAGATTGCTCCTTGTATCCTCGCTACACCGGCCGTTGTACCCCTTAGACGATTATGCATGCATGAGTTACTATAGATACAATGAGATGAGATATCTGATTCAACCACGAGTCCATTATACTCCTGTATTCAAGAATTACAAAATGGATAGACTTCGTTATGCAATACTACTAATATACACCAGTATATAGTATATAGATAACTTCAATTAACGTATACTATCATCATTCCTCTCCTCAATCCCCCCATCATCAACACCAACTTCCCTCCCAACAGCATCAAATTGCACCACGACCTGCGTCGTCTTCCGAATCGCCCCCCTCCCTTCATCCGATAAATCAACAATTTTAACTTCTTCCCCATCTTCCGGCCTCTCACTATCAGCATGGTAAACAGTGTCACTCAGACTGAACTCCTCCAACACATTCCACCCACCCACCATCTTAGACTCGCGCCGTTTCGATACCGTCTCGCGCGATCTCGGCTCGCTCTTTTGCGCCGCGTATGACGATCTGTGGATTTTGCCAAAGAGGCGGGGGAAGAGGAGGCCAAGGGGTCTCCGGAGGGCGGGGAGGCAGGCACAGATGATTCCAAGGTTTGATTCGATTACTGTCCACATCGAGGAGCCGATGCTGTTCCATGTTGTGTCTAAGTGGGTGGTTGCGATGTTTAAGGTGGTGATGCGGAGAATGGAGGTGATGCAGACGCTGCCGGAGTTAGTTTCTTGGATCAGAAAAGGGGGGGAAGTGGTTATGCTTACAAGATACCCACTGCGAAGAGGCCGCAGAGTGCAATTTTGGACTTCAATGGAAGCTGGAGCTTGCTTATGATTGGGACGGGAAGGGCGATGATAACGAAGTCACTAAGGATATTGAACGCTGCATTGGCATACCAGAATGCAGTAAGGTTGAGACAAGTTCCTGCTCCAGGGATTGACTTGTTAAAAGCATACTGCACCGGAGTGCATTGGAAGATACTGGAAAACACCGTGCCTACAGTGAATGCCACGACGATGCCAACCCATGTCCAGCATGTGATGACAAACCAACGGCGGATGAATAGTCTGATGTATAATAGGAGAATGCTAATCTTGGTCAGGCCGATGTTGATCTTGTAGAGAATCTGAGCGACGAAGTAGAGCTGGGGACATCGTCAATGGATTGCTGGGTATGTCTTGTAGACTATGAGGCTAACCAACCTTCAAAGTCTTTATCATTAAGTCATTATTAGAAAGGTCACTAGCATGTTTCCCGAATGCCCATTCGCAAACTGAATACGAAATCATATCAGTAAGAAAGCGCGTTTCATTCCAGTGGTCTTCTAACTCTTACCAATTATCATTTGGATCGATACTGTTTCTGCAAAAACCTAAGAATAGACTATTGTTAGCGTAATTGTCAGATCTCTATTGGAATATCCCCCAGAGCTTCTCAATAACATACGCAAGAGGCGAGAATTGTCCAATCATCCGCTCCAATATGCCCAGAGAGGAATTGACGACTCAGCAGTCTTGCAAACACAACAATAGGTGTTATAATCGCAAAGACGAGCGCTGGAGAGGAGAGCGCCGAAGAGTTGTCTGGAAGATCTCCATAGTGACTGAATAATGGCATGATTTGCTAGCTGTATGAGCACACGCACATTTCCAGCCGATGGATAGATGATCGAGAGAACTGGTAGCTTAATGATAATTTCACCATATAAACTCGTCATCAGAAAGAACAACAGAAGATGTGCATTATATCAAACATGTGCAAATCTCGATCAGTCTGGAGGATTTCTCGACGGAATAATCGGCCGTCCAAGGTTACATGGACTCGCACGTATTTCTTCCACTTTGCGCCCCCCTGCTATGTTGTACAAGACTCTCCGGCAATATAGTATGCTTTCATTATTATTACTTTTGTCGCTATTTCGGACCTGCTGTTTTACACTCAGTTGAGACAGTTTCTCCGGATGTTTTCCTAAGATAAGTGGCGCTCAACGGAGAATAAGTAACAGTCTGCTGATAATCTTCTTATGAAAAAGAAAAATTGCCAGGATATCACATTATTGGGACCCATGTATGGCCTGTGCGAAATAATTCTGGCCAGTTCGTTCCCAAGGATAAGGATCCTTCAGTCCATTGCCACCACGTATGACTTGCAGGTAGTTGGTATTAGTAGTATCCCAGGATTCAACCCGTGCCCGCATTGATCCCTGATAGTCCGCACTTAGGCATTGCCTTGGTGGTTTGCTCACTCCAAGTAATGTTTATGATTGAAGCAAACACCGCGAAAGAGCAAGGATCATGCATAGTTCGGCGGAACATGCCGGTCCCTCCCCCAAGGAGCTTTTCGATTGCTTGTCAGCACACCCTTTTGTGTTTCCTTACTAGCATGTTGTACATTAATGAGGCCACGCATCAAGAAATTATACTAGCAAAGCCCTCGTGTTTTCGCAATGCAGCCTGCCGCAGGAGGCCTTTTTGCTTTTGCCCCTCATCTCCGGCGGGGGATTAGGCTCACAGATAGAGGCCCATGTCTGTCAGAAGTTAGAAAATTTTGGATTCATTATGATTTGAATTTGAAAATAGAGAAAGACAACTTCACTGAATAAAGTATTTCTTGACTGCATACCTCTTATCTCGTAAGCTCCCGCGGATAGAATTATTATTATTGTGCTCGTAAGATAGGGTTGTTGTCATCCCTGCCATTCAAATTAGTATGTCTACCCTTTCAACCTAAACAACACCATCGCTTGTTTAGGTTGGTACCCCGAATTTAATGCAAACTCATTTAGGATATAGTGATTCTGGCTTGATAGTGGTATGGCCGAATAATATGTAACAGTCGTCTAGAATGCCATAGAAAAGACGGGTAGTGCTAGCCAATTTCCCCGGTTAGTTTTTATTGATGTTGCATCAAGCTACTGTTAGTTGTCTCTATCTTCCTCTCGCTATTTCTTCTTGATTACCACACCTTCTGAATTTTCTTCGGAGTCCTCCAAACTCTTACCGTATGTTTTCGCCATCTAGTTGTTGAGCCTGAGAATATCATACGGTGGGAACGTCATTTTTTCTGTATTCTTCGTTTGCTCGACCCGACGATATACAAAGTCGTGTGAACCACAATGGAAAAACGGCCGCAACAAGAGGTCAGCGGGACTGAGGGCAGTCTGGAAGGAGGCTATTCCGATGTTGATAAGAAGCGGGAAAAGAAGCTTCTGCGCAAGATTGATTTGCACCTGATGGTCCCTCTCTGGGTTATTTTTGTATTCGGTTTTCTAGATCGAATAAACCTAGGCAATGTCAGTGTCTTGGGGATCCTCCAAGAATTGCACATGACAGGGACAGACATGAGCATTGCCATGCAAATCTTCTTTGTCCCTTACATTCTATTGGATATTCCAAGCAACATTATCCTCAAGAGATTTGCACCATCAACATGGATTTCTATATTGACTTTCTTTTGGGGTACGTTGTATCCTTTCCAGTTTCCAGTTGCCATCCAATCTGACGTTAATTCATGGCAGGGGTCACTTGCATGTGTCAAGGAGTTGTCAAGAATACATCTGGTCTGATTGCTTGTCGTTTCTTTATGGGAGCAATGGAGGCCGGTTTCGTACCTGGTTGTGCATATCTCATGGCCATGTATTACGAGAGACATGAGTTTCAGAAGCGCTTTTCGCTATTCTGGGTTGCTGGTCTCGTGGCGGGAGCCTTTGGTGGTCTCCTTGCTTATGCTCTTTATCACATGCACGGGCTGGGAGGTTATTCTGGATGGCGTTGGATCTTCATCATCGAAGGTCTCCTGTCCATTGTATGTGCAATACCAGCCAAGTTTCTGATTGCAGACTGGCCCGATCAGGCCAAGTTCTTAAGTTTGGAAGAAAAGCAACTGCTCAAGCAACGGAAAGCCCACGATGTTGGAGACGGAGCAAGAATGGATCGTCTCGATGCCTCTGCTTGGAAGCGTATCATGTCCGATTGGAAAATATATGTTGGAAGCATGATCTATATTGGCATAACTGTCTCGGGATATGCGACCTCGCTGTTCATTCCATCGATAGTGAAGTCACTTGGATATTCTGGTATACAGAGTCAGATCCACAGCATCCCAGTTTGGGTCGTTGCTGCAGTTGTCACGTTGATTGTGTCATACCTGACCGATCGTTTGAAGCATAGGTATGGTTTTATGATGTTTGGAATTGTCTTTGCTAGCATTGGATACATAATCTTGCTGTGCCAAGGTCCACTATCTGGTGGTTTGAATGTGCATGTTCGGTACATGGCAGTGTTCTTCGTGACCACCGGTTGCTATATTGTCCAGCCCGTGGCAATCGTTTGGATGGCAAACAATTTGGCTGGTCATTATAAACTTGCCATCGGCCTAGCTATTCAAATTGGGTTCGGCAACATTGGCGGTATTATCGCGAGTAATATTTTCAACTCCGATGATTCCCCTCGATACTTTGTCGGATATGGTGTCTCACTGGCCATGATGGTGTTCTGTGGAATTATGAGCACTATCTTTGCCGCTGGTTTGATGATTGAGAATAAGAAGAGAGACGAGGGAAAGCGCGATGATCGACTGCAACTAGATAAAAATGTTCTCGATAACCTTGGTGATGATGACCCAAGATTTCGGTTCAGTCTGTAGTCCTGGAAATGGGGATATTTTGTCAGACAGGTCTTCGAAGCCAATGTTGTATCTTAATAAACAAAAAAAGACGAAGAAAACTGAATACTTACCTGAAAGGTCATTTGAGCGAGAATTTTGCTAAATAATATATATACAACCAATTCAGTTCTATATAAACGTAATTGCGAATCAGTCTCAAAGTCACGTAGGTATCAATGGACCTCAGCACTGAAATCACAGACTCCGGTATGACCATGGAAGGAATCCAGTTCTACCTTTAGGGAGCAGTGTAGGTCCTGGTTGATTTATAGGAAGTCGACTTTGATCCTACCAACAGAAGGACCATCAACTGATAATTGCTAAGGAACAAGGAGCAGCCGTATATGCTAGAATCAAGACCTTGGGAGGATGTAGAGATGGACAAGTGATAAAAATGATTATAGGAATGTGTGCAGGAAGAAAGAAAGCGAGAGAGAAAGAGAGAGAGAGAGAGAGAGAGAGAGAGAGAGAGAGAGAGAGAGACAGAGAGAGAGAAAGCGAGCGTGACTTGCAGGTGGGCTTGAGGGTTAACCTATTTTGGACGTCAGCGAGACACCTCTCCTTCTCTCTTCTCTAACAACACAATTCCTTCTCTCCAAGGAGCATCCACTATTCTCGAATATCATTCCACCAGGCCTCTTTCTTGCAGATGCCAGCTTCAATTGGATTCTAAGTGCGGGATATCCAACCAACCCTAACCAGCTGCTTGCTATCGTTTTCTCGAAGTACCTGGAGAAGCCCATCTCCCTACACCTTTCTCGAGTACGGGCCCATTCACCAATATTCTTTATATTATTCAGATATTCCTAGTCATTCAAAGACTACAGGCGTTAAAAAGGTACATAAACGTATAAAGATGCTGCTGTATGGAGTAAGTTGCTTCATGCCGGTGGTTCAATTAGCCCTCTTTGATTGACAAAAGCTGATCGGGCATCCTCATTTTCTTTAGCAATCATCAAGTTGCATCTTGGAATACAATAAGTTATAGCTTCATCGGACAATGAGGACTGTCATGCACTTTCTCAGCTCCTGGCATTTGCCGCAAAAATAAACAGCCAAAACCCATCAAGTCCAGAAAGCTTCACGACATTTTCTGTATACCAAGCGATTATGACGGTGGCTATCATTTCACCAGGGCGATGGCAGTTTTCCTCGTCCATAGCCGGGGTAACTTATAACCAGCACATTTTGCCGGGCCGTCATCCTGAAAGACTCGCTCTTTTCTTTTCTGTTTTATAGGCACTGCAAGACACGCAACTAGCGAACAAAACAACACTTTCACCCCACGCGATGAAGTCATTCGCTCATTTCCGGTCATTGACTAACGAGAACTAGGTAGAAGAGCTCGAGAGAAAACAAAGCAAATGATATCGCGAATTTTCGTCGTGACGTGGAGTCGGCGTAGGTAGGCATAATCGGATACCACTGGGGTCAACTCGAACACCTCTTCCCACAAGAAAATGTTCCTCAATACCGCAGACCAACAGGATTGTTTCCCTTAGCTCGAGAGGAGCGAGCCATCGAGTTTTGCAGTGCTTATTCCGTTCGATTTTCACCTTCTGATCCCCTGTTCTCTCCTTGACCAGATCGACCATTTCCCTCAGACACGCGGGACATGGCCGCGAGAATATCTTCATGCGAGGCACCAGAGCGTATGACGTTGACCATTTGATTGACCGTATCCTGATCTCCGTTGCAGACCAAGTCTAGGAGTTGGTTGAGGAAACTTCGATAGTATTGTAATTCGTCGTGGCCAAGTCCATCGGGGACTCGAGAGGTTGCGCTGACAGTTTGGTATCCGGAGCTTTGATTTCTATGGTCGGTTCCATGATGACTGGGTCTGTACTCAGTTATCTATCCTGTAAAAGGAGATTCTAGTTCTTGACAGAGGGGTGGACCATCAAGTTACTGGATTGCAAGCCACCTACCTTGACTCTCCGTTCTGCAACACATCATGATCCCGCTGATCCTTTGCCCCCTGATCCATTGCCTTTGCTGCTTCGTTATTCGAAGGAATGATTGCTAATGAGTGTTTCGCTTTTTTCCTTTCGATTAGGCCGTGATTCGGGATGAAATGTGCCTCTATCCTCGCTAAACGCCCTGAATGGCAAGATGCAAGGTGCAGTAGAAGTAAAGGGAGAAATCGAGTATGGCTCAGGATCTTGATCGGAACAAAAGTAAATCTCACAATATAGACACCGTCGGGTATTCCTGATGAGAGGTGTTAATGTGAAACTGTCAGTTCCTAAGTGATGATGCACCTGGTTAGTGGGCGTAATGCAAAGCCCAAATGGACAGCGCTCAACCACGCACTAGAAACGCTACACAACGATCAGCCCAAGGGCCTTTGCTTTTTGGCACTGAGGCTTTGTCGGCGAATGGAAGAGTAGTCGGGGTGCTGTTAAGGCGCGAGAGTACCCAACTGAGGTATTATGAACTGGGAAGGTCGAGGCATCGGGTCCCAATGCTACGATGTGGGATGCGAATAGTCGAAGACGGGTCTGCAGAGCGCCAGAGCCTATCCGAGGAGTCATTCCCTGCCCCTCATAGATCGCACGACGAATTATCATGAAGATAAGGGTCAAAGTACGCCGGCATTGTACCGGTCGTTGTTTCTGACTCTCTGACTGGCCGCGGCTGCTCACGATCGCTCGCCAGATGTTCGATCCGGCTCCGCCAAATCATCCGGCATGCTACTCCAACCCCTTCAAGGCGCTTCGCTCGACCAGACTTGGACCAAAAGAGTATCTGGTCAAGAGTTTGAATCGTGTTTCGAAGAGCTCTATTGAAAAACCCGAGCCAACATCGTTTGCCAACCTCCACTCTACCGAGTAGGGACGGGCCCGGAAAAAACTGCCAACCAATCCCATTCCTCGATGTTGCCCCCCAAGGGCGGAAGAACGTCGCTCGCCAATACAACCTATGTCTCCATTGATCACACTCTTTGGAATCAATTTGCAATTCAAAGAATGGTCAGATGCGCTTTTACGCTGTCGTATCAGTTGGTGGATGCAAGAATCGATCATTTGGGGGGATTGCCTTACCTGTTCAGGCCCAAACACGGCAGGAAATTGATTCCGTGTCGTTCTATTCGTGAGATTGGTTAACTCATATCTACAGAGTGGGTGCCATAAAGAAAGGTGCTGTTGACTTCCTAAAGACAAGAATGTCTTCAAGATGAATAGTCGATCGAAATTTCGAAGCCCTCCTCTTTACGCCTGCTCGACGAATTCCTACTCCATTTCCTTCCCCCATGACCGCGAATCGAAATTGCAAGCATTGCCCGGTGGCAAACAAAGGCTTCATCACATCGCAAGGAAGTGTGTCTAAACGTACTTGCTTCCTATGCTTCTTCCATGAGATTATTTGCTGTCACGAAAGCAATAGCAACTTTCAGCGTATCACTCAAGCCAGAAAGTGTTCCAGAGCGAAACGTAATGCCATCACCAAGGCCACCTCGTTTCAACTGTCAACGACCGTGGTGCAAGACAGAATGGGAAATAACATGATTTTTTGGAGAAGAAAAATGAATGCTGTGGAGCTAGCAAATTGATATAATTCTTTTTGTTCTCTTCCAGGCTGTTGAGTGAGGCCACTAGGACGATGAATTAAATGGAGAGCACATAAAGAAGTGCCCAAAGACAATTTGGTTTGCTATCCCCCTGCTAAAGAACTTTTCAGTCTGTTGAATTGATCCTTGGAGTTGGCAAGAATTTGATGCTGAGTACTCTCTTTTATTGACGCCTTTTATCTCCCTTCTAGTTCTCTGGGCCGAAATATAGGCGCACGCCAGACCCGAGACTGAATAGCTCGGATGCAACAAATCAACAATGATCATCGGTGGTCGAGACACTGCTGGGCGCCTCATTACCCGCGAAGAAACCAAGAAGAGTGTTGTCGAACTGCTGCATCTCGTCAATGACAGACGACTAGCGCTCGTACGGTCAGCCTCCCACGCCGGGTCGAACGTCGATGGACTGCGATATAGCTGGCACATAAACCAAGCAATGGGATATCAAAAACATTGTCTTTTTGCTGCAATGTTTCCCGTTGCTAATCTCAGTTTCAAAGAAAGGTGGCCTCAAGCGTTATTTTCTGCCCAGTGGAAGCAGATATTCCGAAAAGCGTGGTGAATCGGCTTGGTGTGGGAAATGCTCGTTTATTAATACCATCTCAGTATTTTTTTGGATGTTTTCGAAAGGGACTAGGAGTACAGGGGGTCGGGCCCATATCTTTCTGGGGCCATAAAGGATGGAGATGGAGCACTGTGAACTGAATACCGATCGGGGGTATGTGATACGCATATGAGTATAGTCCGTCACACTTGTCTGTGGCTCTCTGTCGGACCAGTCCTGAATATGGCGTATGCCTAACCAATGCTGCGCACACCTAGTGTCAGCTCGGTCATATGCACGACGACGAACTGCCATGCCAGGAACACAACAAAACAATTCGCGTTTTCAACCGTGTTGGTCGTGATGTCTCGCTTGGAATAGAACTCTGTTCTAGATGAAATAAGTGATGTTGGGAAGGCGTCGCTGAGGTTTGGTTAACCGAACAATAAGAACACGAGCAAGTCCTGGCATGGTGATGCTTTGGACTGTCTGGGGGTTTCTTACTGATTAGTGAAACGCCCTTGGATTGAAATATTGCAGCTTACTCTTGGGGACTCACCTTCATCAGGATTGGGCGGCAACCAGCCAGTCCCTTTTCTCTTGATTTACACCGACCAGAAACTACCACCACTACCCTCCAAGATCGGGTCAGCAGGAAGTCTTTCTAACCTGACCTCGTCAGCTCATCCCGGTATGAGTTAAGATCCATTTTCGCGTCCTGGTCAAGGGGCTGGGTCGATATCGATGTGGTGCTTTCAAGGCCAGAGGAGCAGGTGTTGACATATGGCAATCTGGTCGATCACGAACCCGCTAGTCTTTGTTGCAGTGGGTAGTTCTTTTTGTGAGACACGAGGTGCAGCTGTTTGGTGGACAACAACATAATGCCTCCATTCAAGCTGGCCGATGGACCCTTGTGTCAGAAATTTTCGCCGTGCAAGGGTGTGGGATAATCGAGGTGACAGTGTGAGTCTCAACAGCCAACGATCATCGTTTCCCGCGACAGATCGAAACAGTTGCCATCATACAGCAATGCTGCTGGCTGTCTCCAACCTACCAGCCAAATGAAAAGAGATTGCGTGAGAGTATTGTTCCCGTGCGAAAGAAAGGCCAACGCAGAAGAGCAAGATACAACCTAGGGCCTAGTCCGGGTGTGGCGCCAATCGGAACTCTCAATAGAGAGGGAAAATACATCCTTGAGATTTAGAGACTTCATTGGGGCAGCTCCACTCAACTCCTGCCGAAAATGGGGGAAAAACAGGGTCAGTAGGCAGGTAAGCTGGCTAGCGGGCAGGCAAGGTATCCAGAGGGCCATGCCTAGCATATTAAAGAAAGCCGAATCGGAAGCAGGTAACGCGTTACAGACCCTGCTTCTGTCGAGTAATGAGGACACCGTTTGTCCGACGATGATGCCTCAACATCCTGCGGACGCGGGATTGATGACGACGTGGCGCCTGTGAAGCACTTCTGGACTCGATAGCCAATAATAGCACCTGGCTAGAATCCCCTCTTTGGTTGGACATGATAATGAGAGCAATATTCTTCTACAGTAGTATCTGAAATTTGGCCCCGGGGCTCAGTAGCGGTAAGTATTACATTGTCTGGCAAGCGGTGGCAGCTTGACAGGAACAAAGCTCCGCTTTGATAAAGGCAACGAAAGGGCACTTAAAGCTCCGATGCTACACAGGATGACCTGCCGTTGCATAATGCTTGTTCTGGCCTGTGGTTTATGATTGAGATACTGACCTTGTGTTGGAAGCTAATAATAAAAGCAGCTGCGACGGCTGATATAACCTAACGCGCTTTCCAAGCGTCAAGTCAAAGAGCCTCTCATGGATTAAACAAGACAGCCGGGCCTTAGTGCCCTCCCTGGCCAGACCGAAGAAATTGCGCCCAAAGCTTGTTGAAAACAGCCTGACGGTGTCATCTGTCACCAGGCCATCGCCGTGCAGTCCACGAGGGTTGACATCTGTTGTTCTCCTGAAGACCCTAAATTTCTGCCGAATTTGCCAGCGTGCCCGTTTCCCGGCAGCGGCTAGAAGGATAGATGGAATCCGTCTAGAATTTCCTATCATGTCGACCAAGTCTTTGATTCGCTCGCTTGGAAACAATATCCGGCGGTGGAGTTTGTAGCACCAGTCCACGGTGGCTATTGAACTGGCCGTTGACGATGATCCAACCAGAGGTCAAAGCCCCAGGGGCTGCCAATGCCATTATTAATATGAATTACTTGCTTGATGCATGACATGCAGTTGCGATTTGAAGAATTGCCATGTTGGGACGAAATAGACTCAAAATATTGGCATCATACAAATCAACCCTTGGTACCATGGATTCAGGCACGTCACTTGATCAATGGACGGGAAACTGATCTTCCAGCGATATAAGATTGAGATAATTCATCTGCTGTCTAGAAGAAATGAAGAAATACATTTGGTATATGCTGATTTCGTGATGACGCTGTCATTGACAGGTTGGATCAGGCATAATATACGCACGTGCCGATTGTTCTTTGATTGAGCCCCCTATTTTGGACCTGAAGAATCTTCATAGCCACGTTGAATAGATTTTTGTTTCATATATTATCTTTATCGTAGCAGTGTCTTGAGGTATGCTCTGAAGGATACAGGTAGCTGCCACACTAGGCATGAATACTGGGTTTATTTGGCTAAAACACATAATACTATGTCCAGTCTGTTCTTGAACCACAATGCAGCCCTTTACCCCCTCATATTTCCCCTGTGTATCCCTAGATTACCCGACGCGATGGTATATGCCTTGAACATCTATCATTATTAGATCAACACCAAGTACGACGAGTATACTTAGTTTATATAGCAGACATATTGTAATCAACCATCTTAAATTAAAGACGAGAAAAAAACACCTCAAAACGCCAGACCACATACCAGACCCGACACCCAAATTCCAACGCCAACAGATCTTCAGGGACCGTCGCATTCTCGAGCCTTCAACCACCTTGATTGGAGCCCTTTAATGTTCCCCAGAATGTCGCTTTGGTCCCTTGCATGCGACGCGAGTCGAGATATAAGAAAGAAAACATTATCGTGTTGATGGTGTGATTGACATCCTCCCATCCCGCCCATCTATCTTCTATCACCTATATCTACACCTACAGCTACAACAAAGATAAAATGCAGTTAACCGGCCTCTTCATCGCCTCCATCGCCCTCTTTGTCTCTTACGCTCACGCCGTTGGTGTCGACGAGGGAAATGCGTTTTGTATAGGGACGTGTGCGCGCCGGCCGGAGGGATTGCCTTGTGGGAAGTTATACGTAAGTACCGCCTCATCTATATTGGACCTGGGTATAGAGACTAATGCGATGAATAGACTCCCAAGTATCAGAAACAATTAGGATGCTACATGTGCTGCATTACGGATCAGGATGATAGTGACATTATTAAGGGTGGGTACTTCCACGGTATATCATGATGGACGTGGTTAACAAATGATAGATTGAGATGTATCAATTGAGATCAAGATGAGATGGAATTGAATTGAATTGGATGATCTCGGAATCAACCGCCAGAAACAAGTTTAATGCTACTTTAATCTATGAAAGAAATGGAATTCTTGTTGTCTGATCAAAGACTAAAATCTGACAGTCTAATTTAGTTCCACCTTTTTTTCTTTTTTCTTTTCTTTTTTCTTTCTTAGCCCTAATGATGCGATATCGGTTGACTCATTCTACTTTCTTATTTATACTCATCTATTGGGTCAATTACAGCAATTGTATAATCAATATTGAGAAAGAAGAAAAATAAAAGAAAAAAGAAGATGATATACACCCATCCAACCCCCCAATCCACCCTCCTCCCAATCCTCCACTGCCATCTCCCAAATTGCATCCCTCTCTATCGACGCATCCAACATGCTCTCGTCCACGATAATCCCTCCCACTCCTTCTCTCTAGCTACCTTTCCCCCTTCATCACCTCCATCTTCTTCATCTCCCTGGCTAGCAGCACACGTCAACCTCTACCGCGGCCGGGAAACCCAACTCTTCCTGTACTCCAGTCTCGAGCAGCAATCGTCGACAGTGCCAGTTCTAGCCCTGCATGATGGGACATACACCGCAGAACTGACGGCCTCAGACGCGGAAAAGGATGTCGGCCGCACCCAACTCCTCGCGTTGCTGGGCTATCTCAAAACCAACCTCCTCCCGGTCTATCTCTCCTTCTTGGAAGAGCAGCAGCAGGCAGCGACGAATGTTGAAGAAAAGGGGGTAGCCAAAATCGCCCCGCCGCCTTCTACAGCTTTCTTAGTTGGCAGTCTGCATACGGGTGTTTTGGCTCTTCTGACCAAGTCCGGGGCGTATCTTGATGAGGAAGGGTATGACGGTGTGCGAATCATCAGACGCGATTATCCGGCCCATGGGAAGTTTGTTATCGCCCAGGAGGCGTTTGCTGGTACGCCGGCTGAGTTGAGGGAGGAGTCGAGTGGGTTGGAGTCGAGCGTTTCCAGCCTCAGTGGGAATAGTGTCAGCTCCAGCATCAGCAACGAGAGCATCACTGCAAGTGGGAACGAACTTGAACATGAACATGAACATCCCCTCCCACCAGGCTACTTCTACCACGACCGGCACGGCAAATCCGGCATCCAGCCAAAAGACTACAGTCTCGTCGCGAGTCGGACGAAAATCCCCCGTTCACCAGAAAGTCTATCCAAGATGTTCGGGATGGCTATCTACCATCGTCCTGTTGCCACTGAGGCAGTTGATGAACCAGAGTCAGAATCAGAATCACCCGTCGCGTGGGCCTTTCTGGGCTATGAAGGTGCCCTGGCTACCCTGCATGTGGAGCCTGAGCATAGAGGACAGGGACTAGCGATTCAGCTCGTCAAGGAGACGTTGCGGCGTGGTTTGAGAGATGATGGGGTGTTTGGGGAGGAGAGCAAGTATACATGGGCTCATGTTGATGTGACCCTGTCTAATGCTGCGAGTCGGAGAGTTATGGAGAAGGTCGGGGGCAAGATGTCTTGGACCGATACGTGGGCGATTGTTGAACTGCTATAAATAGTGAGACATGTTCAGCCACTGCATATACTTCAATCTATATACTGCATACTTGCATACTGTGCATACTTAATGATACCAGAACTCAGTCAGATGAATTAGAACGTTGATTCACCAAATCTATCTAGTTGCCTATTCGCCAATGCATATCATAATCCCTGTGGTATTAAAAATCTATCCGTTCAAACGCTGGAAAAATAATAAGAAAACAACACCATTTCCATCCGTCACTTCGTAATCCGCATGTTTTTGACGTCTATTTTCTCCGCTCATAATGTAGAAATAATAGAAACAAGGCCTGCGTCCTTTTAATCAACCAAAGCATATCTCATTCCTACAGAGCCTTGGAAACAGGAATAGCCGCCACAGTCGGGGTAGGCGTCTTCTCGTTGGAGCTGTCCCTCCAGATGGCACTGCTGGCAGGAAAGATAGATCCGCTGTCCGACATGTCGACCGTGGTGTCCTCAGCAGGAGTCTCCACATGAGGCATCACAAGCTCGACTCCCTTGGAACTGGAGCAGCTGGGAAAGTAGGGGTTGTGTCGCGGAGGCAGAGGGCGATGTGCGGGCTCGTGCATGTAGCTCATGTAGTCCGAGGCACTGCTGCTAACCGACGATGCCACAGTGGACGGGGTGTGAGACAGCGAAGGAAGAGGAGCATTGGCGCTCATCAAGGTCGACAGACTGGCCGAACTGCGGTGGCCGGCACCAGGACGGCGGGTAGGCACCATAACTCCGTTGCCATGGAATTGGGCCAGATAGTTCCAGGCTTCCGAGGAGGCCAACGGAGTGGAGCTGCCGCTACCAGCATCTATTACTGGCTTCCATTCGGTCGGGTCGATATCTGAACCAGCTTCAGGAGCGTCGTTGTGTATCCTGAGAGATGGGATTGCCATGGGGTCTTTTGTGGGAATCATAGGAGGGACAATGGTTCGAGGAGACATGGGAGGTGATGTAGGAGGGGTGGTTGAATGGGACATGGAGTTATTGGCAGGAGTAGATGCCGAGAGAGGCTTGCAAGAGTCCTTGCGACGGCAGCTGTAGAAGAAGAAAACATGAGCAGATGTTCGTCTTTATATATGGAAGGAGAGGGCATAGCGGTCAGGGAGATAAGAGATAGCTGATAAGGATAATCCATACATTTCACTGCAGTATAAAAGAGAGTTGTTGGGCACAGTAATCTGTCGTTCGCACATGGCGCTGCAAAAATAAGTTAGTCAAGAATTTTTGACGTGTACACAGGTACAGAGACAATGAAGCATGCAAGGTGTGTAACTGCCAAGTAACCAGGGGGACAGATATAGATAAGGAGAGGCGATGAAAGGGTAAGACCCGTCGATATGATAGATCAGCACATACCAAAAGTTCAAAAAACTGGCGGCCATCTCGAATTGGCGGTCGTCTTCCTTGTCGATGGAAGGTCTCGCGTTGCCTGAGCCCAGTTTCGAGATGGAGTGGTTCACAAAAGATGTACCTTTCCGATGCAGAGCAGGCCGGGAAGTTCTGACTTTGGAGGCATTGGAGGAAGAGGGAGTGCGGCGGTGATGAAGGGAATGGGAAGGGGGATTTGATTGAGTCATGGATGGCGGTGAGGATGATATAATTTTGGCATCCAAGGTGTTCTATCTGGAGAATAATAGTTTGACAATTTGGTACCTTGCTGGAGCAGGGTGTGGATCACGATAGCTTTCCCCTTTAGGGGGCGACTATGAGGGATTTGCAACCGGATGAGAGATTTGTTTCAGCCCGTTGCACCAGTCGACTGATCGAAGCTGCGGCTTTTTTTTAAAAAAAAATTTTTTTTCTTTATTTTGGGTGTTTCTTTTTTTTTTTTTTTTTCGCACGACCAGAATAAATGACGCCAGCCGGGTTGATGCAGAAACAGTGCAGGACAGGGCAGATTCTGAGGGGATACAAAAAGCCCTGCGTGGAGGCGAATATGTACGGGGGAAAGAGGAAGAAGCAGCGAGATAGTGGCGGAGATAAGGTTGAAGAGGATCCACGACGAGAATTTAGGCGTGTAACTATCGTGAGACGGTCATTAGCTGGCGTTGGACAGGATAAAAGGGCGTTATCAATGGTCTGTGAGTGGGGAAAGATAAGGATGGATCATGGATGAGAGCACAGAATGACTGTAACCTCACATACCAGCAGGTTTCTTTTTGAATCAGAAGCACGTGGAAGAGAAAAAGAGAGAGAGAGAGAGAGAGAAAGTAAGGGGAAAAGACGGAAATAATAAATCGCTCAACGAGAGACGGAAAGGGATATCCGTATAAAGATAAATATAGTAAAATGGTCAATGTCGAATGGGAATGGAATGAAACGACGGTAGATGGGAGGAGATGAGGTGATTGATGAGGAAGAAGGAATTCAAATATGTTGAAACTGTGGAGAGACGACGAGTCGAGCTGTTGAAGAAAGCATGATCAACGAGGGTCCTTTCTGGATAGTGACGCCAAAGCACGTCAGGAGATCTAGACTTACTTATTTTTGTTCACTATACAGAGTCAAAATAATAATGGAAAACAAATCCACAGAGCACTTGGATGCTTTTATCACTTGATTCCAGTCTATTTTGAATTCTTCTCGTCTTTCTTTATTCTTTTCTTCTCTTATCATCGCCAATCACCATCGCCATCGATGACATGTCGTCTTGGCCAGACTTCCAACGCGGGGCTGCCACACACCCTCACTCTCACCCTCATTCGGGCATCCATTTTGCTCCATCCGGACTACTCCATAAGTATCGCTTTGTCCCTGGCGGTCAGCTCTTCTCCTCCACCATTCTGGATCATCGCCAGTCTAGACTAGAGTCATCGAGGAACGTGCACAGCACCTGCTGGACGAGGTTTAGTCTATCCCCAGGGGGTAGAAGACGTGCATGCAACAGATCATCGCCTGATTCTTCACATATTCTCTCTAGGTATCCTCGGTTTTCTCAGAGGCAACTGAATCACTATTACTTACTGTCTTCCAATTAAAAAAAACAACGATAAAATAAAATAAGAATAGAAGGAGAAATAAAAATAACAGGACTCGTAATGCGATCTGCTTTCGACCAAAGTCCAGACAAAGAGGGGCAACTCGGTGGGGAACAAAACGACAGAAAATCACCACCAAAAATAACCCTAAGCCGATATGACACGTCGTGATCGAGATTTTCCGGTATACAGTCACAGTCAGACAGGCGGGTAAAGATTCAATTTGATCGTTTTCGTCATGCCAACCGTTGATCTTGTTTCAGCTTTGCTTTCTTCTTACTCAATCCTATATCGTTATCCTCTTATTCATCCAGTCCAGACTTGATCATCCATGGCCAGAAGTTACCCATGACAGCCTCACTGCATGTCACAGTCACACAGCAGGTGTTATTCTCATTAGTATTCTCATTCTCATTATTATTATGTAGTACTGCTACTCTGCATGATGATTCCATCCCCATCCATCCTCCCCTTCAACGTGGTGGACGCTCCACAGACCCGTCATCCTGCATTTTCTTTCTCTCTGCAGGAGGTGCAGGTACCCTGTTCTTCCCTGGTCACAAGTAGTACAGCCCAAGAGATGGTGATAGCCAGATAGATAGACAGATACTGCACATCACATGTAATGTTGCCCAACCTCGAATGCAATAATCTTATTCGACATAAACTCATCTCATCCATCACACAACCAGTTCGCAGAATGCAACACTATAGCCCCTCAAGGCTACACAAAACAACCTCCCGCCATCTTCCGCTCTTCCAGACCGGATGGTGATCCACGGAATGGAATCTCTTCTATTCCAATTGGCTTTAGGGCTGGGAAATGAAGAAAACAATGGATGGATCCGGATTTGTGGGTACTGTTGCTTTTTCTGTTTTTCACTTTTTTTTTTTTTTTTTTTTTTCCCATTCCTCTTGCGTCAGTGTGGTGATGCTGTCCATGTTGGGGAATGAGGTCATTATCGTGATTGGCCTAGACATCATCCTCTGCGATTCTGGAATATCGTCGATTGAGCGGTCTAGAAATGCTAATGATGTGTTTGTTTGTTGTGCGTGTGAAAAAAATTTTCATCGCTATGGGGTCATTCTGACTGGGAATTTGCTCATTACTGGATGGCATCAGTATTCCAGAACATTGCGTTTTCTGCTGACTACCTCACTCTTTGGATACATCAATCATTATTCAAATCTACTCGACTCGACTCGTTCTTGTTAATACATCATTATTCAGTTGGGTATCCTAGTTATAATACAAATACTATGCAATGCACTTCTCACGCTGCATCAACCTCCATTGGATCGCCGCCTCCGCCTGCTACAGGGGTTGGTGTAGCTGCGACAGGCGTAGCTGCTACCGATGGAGCTGACCCTGCTGCTGGTGTAGCTGGTGTAGGTGTAGAAGCAGCAGCAGGCACTGCCTTTTTCTCCCCTTCTTTCTTGACCCCCTCCTTATCCCCCTCCTTTTCTGCAGAATCTGTATGACTGCCAGCTTCCTCTCCACCCTCCTTGCCATTCTCCTCGGCCTGATCCCCTCCCAGGAACCTCGCTGGTACTCCACGCGCTGCGACCCCGACCGGCCCAACGTAGCAGCCTAGCATTGGACTCCAGGCTGAACGCTGTGACGCAGTCCGTTGGATTTCGCGGTGTGCATAAGCATTCGCAAATGGGAGAGACGTGTCGGGGTCTCGATAACGCGAGGGAAGGGATGTGATGACACACAGTGATGATGAAATTTCTGTTGTAGTTCATTAGCTCGAAAATCCATCGAATCAAGGTCAAAGTGGGTCCCATACTGGTAAGTCGAGGAGGTTTCTTTGCATTAAAGTAAATGCTAAACTCGCGGCTCTGTGCTGTCTTGTCATCAAAATTCTCGAGGATGGTGAGATTTCGTCCGGTTTGTTCAATCACTGGAGGGGGTGGCGGCACTTCGGGTTGTGCTGCGCTCTCATTCGTACCAGCTGGCTGGTCGATATCCATCTGCATCTCAGACGTCGCGGGTTCTTGTGGTGTCGGTGTCGGTGCTGGGGGTTCCCCTTGCTGAGTGGTTGGAATAGCAGCAGTTGGCGCGACAGGAGTCGTTGTTTTAGGATCTGGGACAGCATCAGGCCCTGGCTGAGCTGTTGTGGATGGTTCAGCCTCTGGCTGTTTGGGACCTGCATCTTCTTTCTGCTCTGTTGGCAACTCGGTTTTCTGCTGCTCGGGCGCTGGCTGTGGCGTTTCTTTGTGTGCTTCTGGTGCTTCTTGTGTCTGCGGTGCATCTAGAGCTGCATCTGCCGATGGTGCTTTGGAGTTTTCATCACCAGCCGCAGTTTCTGTTGCTGCTGCTGCCGTCCCTTTTTCACCTTCTTTTTCTTCCTTTGGAGCTTCATCTGCTGCTTTACTCTCAGTTGTCATCGTCTCATTTTTTGTCCCCACTGTAGGGGGAGGCACCGAGTCAGATGTTTTTGTATCTGGTGCAGCACCGGCTGCAGTGGTAGATGGTTCAGCCGCAGCAGGAAGAGTCGGTGCCTCTTTTGCCGGAGTAGTTGAGTTATCTGGGACGGTCTTGGTGTTTTCGCCTTCAGTAGAACTCTTTTCATTCTCTTGAGTAGAGGGCTGGTTGCCAGGCTCAGGATTTTCTATCTTGGCTTCTGCTGTCTCTGGTTGGCCCTGTTTTTGCGTAGTTTCTCCTTCCCCAGACACTGCTGGTGCTGTGGTATTTTCCGAGGTACCTGTGGGAACCGCCTGCGAAGCAACAGGATCACCGGCAGCAGGTTCAGTAGCAGGCTTCTGTTCCGTCACAGTCTTGTCTTTGTCCTCCTTTTCAACTTTCTTGCTTTTCCTCCGCGTGTTCTCTTCCTTCTCCGGCTTCTGTGTAATGTCGACTTTCCCAACGCGCGTCAAACGACCATTGGTCCATGTAGCAAGGCCACTCCAATAGGACATAACCGGCCCTTCAAGACGGCGATTTTGAAGCGCTTCGATTTTGGCTTTTCTTTCCTCTGCCTTTCTCTTCTCCATCTCTTCCCATCGATTCAAACTCTTGCTATTATGTTTTTCCACCCTCTCGGCTTCGGCAAGACGCTCGGCCTGAGTCATCTCTTTCGGTTTAAGACGTGCCTTTCTCTTAGCTGCTGCCTCCATAGTTGCAATAAGTCGAATACGCTTCTCTTCACTATCTTTGAGCTTGGCATGTGTGACCTCCTTGTTCTGCATCGTCTGGCGACGAGACGAAGACCGCGTAGGACCGTCTTCGACTGTAGGGATCCACGAGATACGCTCTGATTTCTTCTTCGGTCGAGGGGCAGATTCTGCGGGCACAGCGGTTGGATCGATCTTGACCTTTTTGCGAAACGTCTTCATCCGTAGATCCTCATGAGCCCTCCGCTTCTTGCGTTCGGCCACAGCTTCCTTCTTTAGTTCATCCTCTCCTTCCTCGTTGTCATCCTGCGCATTTGGCCCTTGATCATCGTCATCGGAAGAGCTGTCAAGCCTCTCATCATCTTCCCCGCCGTCTTCCTCCGCATCCACGGAGAAGTCGTTGTCATCTTCAATTTCTTCGAAAAGAAGCGCAAGGTCGTCATCTGCTTCCGCGTCTAACAGAGCAGACATATGACGCCCTGCCGTACTTCGTTTCGCGCGTCCTTGAATGAGCGACTCCCCCGCCACATCTTCTGCTATGGGTTGATCCTCTGCCATGTTGTCTGATTTAATCCCTCGCCCTGTATTTTCCTATTGTAATCCGTCGTATTATTCAGTTGAAAAGTGGGGTTTCGTTGAATCGCGAAAAGGTGGTATGTCACGACACGAGGCGATTCGATTCGGCGTAACGAGTTATCGGCTCGACCAGGCGATATCACGCGGTTTCTCTGGAGATGTCATGCGTTGGATGCCCTTTTTGTCTCGAAGGGCAAGGGATTATGTTCACTTGGCTTGAAAAATTCCCAAGAGCGAATAAAGTAGAGAAGGAAATTGTTGTTGTACGATGCGTATCGGAGGAGCAATCAGAGACTCTGTGGCTTGGTAGAGAGGCGGTGCGGATGTAGTGGCGGTGATTTAGCCTCAGGCATGAAGAGGCAAGAGGCGATTTCAACATTCTTCAACGACGACGAATATTATTTGTTGAACTATATAGAGGACAGGACTGTATCTTCTTTGTATCTACGGGGTAATGGAGCTCAATATGAAATATTATTTCAATGATATGTGGTGATATCTTCTACTAAACAGTACCTACAGCTTCATCTCGAACTCATAGTGTAGACATGGCTCAACGTATGGGCCAATACCCTTTGCTATGGAAGACCAAGACAAATACAATTCCAATGACTGCCGAATAGAATTTCAGCCAGTTTCATCAAGAAATCCATTGTCACCCAGACAAAAACCGACAACCTGATAGACTCGACATTCTTCAGACCGGATTGGCCATTCATAAGCGCTGGCAAATGATCTCAGTTTCAGGTTTCAGGGGCAATTCCCATCATCGATTGATTTTCTGAATCAACTGTTGCCAAGACAAGAAAATGATATTGCAGATCTTGAATATTATCGTTGCGATGCTGGTTCGACTCGTCATTTTCTGACAAAAAGGGTCTCGGTTTCCAATACTTATCCAAGTAACCAAGTGCTGCATTTCATCATAGATTCATAATAAGGAGTAGCCACTGCCAGGTACAGAGTGCAGCATGTGCCTTGAGACCCATCCCTTGATATTCCAACCATAATCTGACCTGGTGTTTAGAGGTTGTCCCCTTGCATGAGCGTCATCTTGGAAAAAAAAGGGGGGGCGATTCCCCCTGGGGCTGCATGGCTTAGATAGTTACAGTATCACTGTATCTGTGAAACATCAAATCTCGTTGTTTGAATCTTTCATTCTTCAATCATGGTGCATGGGGTATGTTTGCGGATTGTTCAATCCCACGATGGAACATAACGTCAAGAGCATGACGGATCGCTGGAATGCGGGGTCTAGGTCGTGTCAATCAGACTCGAACAGTTTAATTTTGGGATGATTTGGTCGACAGTACCAGTTCACGGATCCGGGCTGTGACCAAATGGGGCGGGAATCCAGAGAGAACAGCCCTGTGGAGGATACATAGTGTGCTTATGGTTAGTATCACTATCTATAGCATATAGCATGGATAATTATACAGAGTAAGTGAGCCCCCAAATGCCTAGTTTAATGGGCGGTACTACGAACAGCCAATTGACTGCATATTCAACGGTTTCTACGGCGTACTCCGTGCACTGCTGAAACCTGGGTCGAATGTTCATCGGGATCAACATGAGTCCAAACTCATCGACCTGCCAATCTGGTCAGTCATTTGATCACATCCCTGGGGCAGAACAAGAGGGATCTGAGGGGCTGAACGGATGGTTCTTACTCACAATCATGAATTCGTTAGTATCTGAGCATGCAGACATTCGAGCTGGAGGAGTTGAGCAGAGTACAGAGTACAGACACCCATTCTATTTATTATCCACCATCAACCTCAGATAGTCAAAAGTATTAAAAGACAAGTGGTTACCATCACGAATGAATATTAAAAACAAACTTGAATCTGATGTCTAGATAGTGAAGCCTGAGTGGAAGTGAATACCATGTCATCCCCGGGATCCGGCAAGCTGCGCCCGCACCCGCAGAGGGCCTAAGGCAAGTTCCTTCGTCCACCACTCGAAGGCTTTTCCTCTTTTCCTCCCCATCTCAGCTCTTTCGCATCTCAATCCATCCCCATCCCATCCACCTCCCCCCTTCTTCCTTTCTTCTCATTTTGTGTCGAATCTGTTATTCTTCTCTTCTCGAATAATTTTTTTTCTTATCAATTTACCTTTTCTTTCTTGTGACGTTCGTCTCCGGCCTATTTTTTTTTTTATTTTTTTGCCTCTCCCCGGAGCCGCGCAATTCATTTCCAGCCACATCGATCCTTTTTTTTTTTTTTCTGATCCGTATTGATTGTCGCTTTCGTTTATCTAGCCCATTCGCTCGGTCATTCTCATCTCAACAACACCTTTTCGCCTCCTTCACGGTCTCTTGAGCTGTATTGAGCGACTTGGTGATCGATTTTCATACCGAGATCTTGTTACGAGTGGATCGTGGCGGCCATTTCTGGACTTCACCCCCAGGCACCTCTTTTATCCGGTGTGACCATCATTTATGCATAGCGGACGAATTGCTCCTTGTTGATATCGCTCTTCTCACTTCCGGATATCGGTTTCTTTGCTCGAGTCCATATATTCCTCTTTTCACCACACCATCCGGTAGACCCCGCCACGGACACTCTGGACACTCTGGCTGGACGTTCGGGATAACTGCTGAAGAGTATCACACAGTCCAATCGAAGGATATCCATTCCTGATTGGAATTTAATATTCCGAGAATACATATTGTTCCCGAGTGCTTGAATTGTGCCACATGGTTGTCTCGAGGCCGATCTCCGATTGAGCAGGACACCTATCTCAACAGACATCGTCATCATCCGATTTTTTATCTCATAAGGAATTATAGACTGGGAATATTAGAGTTCTGCCCTTCATCGAGGCAGAGGGATATAATTCATAATGTTACCGGTTTCACGATCTGATGGTCATATGAACCTCAACTACATCCCGACCACTCAACCAATGTCCGGAACGTCAACAGGCCGCAGCTCTCCGAGCGACTTATCTGCCTCGGGTGCTGGTAAATCGCCTTTCGGTCCCCCCAATGGACTGAGCAACGCTGCAGGATCTATTGGAAGTGCACGGTTAGGGGCTGGATCCCCTTCTCACGAACTGGGGGCTCGTTTGTATTCGAAACGGTAGGCGACCTCATTATCATGAATGCCTTGCAATAGGTTGGATGTCTGTCTGCTGACACCTGGTCTCTTTCTCCCCAGGGCACGAGAAATTCAAGCACAGGAAGGTGTGTCTCCAAGTATCTGGGGCCCTCCTACCAGTGGCCATTCAACCCCGTTGCGTGAAAACATACCCGAGTCTCCAAGCCAAGATGGCTTTCCGGATCTGATGCCTCCCCCCAGTAACACAATCAATAGTCCTGGTCGCAGAGCCAGAGCTGGCACCGTTCCCTCTCGGTTTTCGCCTGTCGGTACGCTCAACGACGTAAATGTTCAGCAGCCTTTTATGTCTCAATCTTCCCGCCCCACGCCATCCACAAGCCCTTTCCGTCCTCCGGGTGTGTCCGGAATTGATACTGGTGCTAAACCTGCGACCGCAGCTGGCAGCGGTAGTACGGGTAATATGTCGCGCCTTCGGGCGGGCTCAATGCCACAGCGAACCAACTACCTAGGAAGCTCGAGCCCCTTCGGTCCTTCCCTATTCTCGACTGCCTGGTCAACTGGACGGGATCGAGCATCGACCCTTACTAGTATTCGGTCTTCCGAAGGTCCTGCCTCCCCAAGCCAATCTTCATTCTCAAGAGATGGACTTGCGGACACGGACGTGAAGACCTTGGACTATTTGGGTTTGGCCGAAACCCCTCAGCAAGCACGAGCCACTCTTGTGCGACCATCTGTCGATGTTCTCCTTCAACAGCAGCAGCAACAGCAGCAACAGCAACAGCAAGCTTCTGCGCTTCCCCCGCTGTTGGCTGAACTGGCAATGATGAAGAACAACAACAGATTCCGGTCGTACTCTGTCAATGCCAAGGAAAAGTATGCGGATGATGAGGATCTGGAATACGAGAACCGCTACTCCCAGGTTCCTTCAGGCGCAGCTACACCTTCAGCGGCTGCAACGGCAGCTCAACTCGCTGCCACCCAGGCCCAGATCCATCAACACAATCTCGCTGTGCAAGCCTTTGCTAACCACGCATCCGTCAGCCGGCCTCGAGCTAGGACTGCTGGTATTCTGGAGGCACCTCCTCAGCGATCTTCGATTCGCAATTACCTCGCCACCCCTTCACGGCTCGACAACAGCTTCAGTGCAGCTGATCTTCACATTGCGGAAAATGGAGAATATGATGAGCTCTCTGAAGCCGTGCAAATGATGCACCTTGGTGGAGCTGCCGCTCCAAATATGGGTATCCGGTCAACTGGTGAGATAGCCGATGAAAACAACCAAGACGGCCCAACTCGAGCATTGTGGATTGGTAGCATCCCTGTGTCTACGACTGTCACTTCTCTCGAGGCCATCTTTGGCATGTATGGCAAAATTGAATCGACCCGTGTGTTGACCCACAAGAATTGCGGATTTGTCAACTTTGAGCGCATTGAGAGTGCCGTGCAGGCTAAATCCTTGCTCAACGGCAAGGAAATTTTCCCCGGTGCAGGACCTGTGCGAATTGGCTATGCCAAGGTTCCAGGAACATCTGCATCTGGAACACCCGGAGCCAATGGAATCCAGTCCTCGCCAACTCCTGACCCGAACTTCAAGTCCAACGCTGCTGGTGATGGCTCTGACAGGAGCGACGCCCTCGGTGTGAATGTTCCGCAAATACCAGCTCTCCCTGACCTTCAACCGGAAATGGCACAGATTGTTAAGGAATTTGGTGCCACCGATGATGAGTCTGTCAACATCACTGCGAGCATCCAGCGGGCAATCAACTTCCAGGCATTTGAAGATGAAATCCCCTCGGTTCCTGAACCTAGCCAGACCAGAATGTTTGACGCGCCGCGCCTTCGTGACATCCGAAAGAGGATTGACAATGGAGCTTGCTCGATTCAAGAAATCGAGGAGACAGCCGGTGCCATGCTCCCGGAAATTGCGGAGCTGGCTTCGGACTACTTGGGTAACACCGTTGTTCAGAAACTCTTCGAATACTGCTCTGAACAAACAAAGGAGCAGATGCTCATCCCAATTGCACCCCACCTTGGCGAAATTGGTGTTCACAAGAACGGAACTTGGGCTGCTCAGAAGATTATCGATGTCACCAAGACGCCATCCCAAATGAACATCATTGCCGATGCTTTGCGACCTTACACCGTCCCTCTGTTCTTGGACCAATACGGAAACTACGTCTTGCAATGTTGCCTGCGTTTTGGCAGTCCTTACAACGACTTTATTTTCGAAACTATGCTTAGCCGCATGTGGGAGGTCGCTCAGGGACGCTTTGGTGCCCGGGCCATGCGTGCCTGTCTCGAAAGCCACCACGCTTCGAAAGACCAGCAACGCATGCTTGCATCTGCCATTGCTCTCCACAGTGTGCAGCTCGCAACGAATGCCAACGGTGCTCTCCTTCTGACCTGGTTCTTGGACACTTGCACCTTCCCTCGACGTCGAACTGTACTGGCCCCAAGGCTAGTCCCTCATCTGGTGCACCTTTGCACTCACAAGGTTGCTTATTTGACTGTCCTCAAGGTCATCAACCAGCGGAACGAGCCCGAGGCCCGCGAAATTGTACTGAAGGCTCTGTTTTTCAGCCCCGGTGACGAAGTCTTGGAGAAAATCTTGAGTGACCAGACCTCAGGAGCTACATTGATTTTCAAGGTCCTGACCACTCCTTTCTTTGACGAGTCCATGCGTGCCGAGGTTGTGAAGAATGTTTCGAAGGTCCTTACCAAGCTCAAGGCTACTCCAAGCCAAGGGTACAAGCGCTTGATGGATGAGGTTGGTCTTTCTTCTCGCGGCGGTGCACGAGACCATCACCATGGACGGGAACACAACACGTCCAACTCTGAGAAACAGCAGCATCGCCCCACATCGAGGCAAACAAACCCGAACTACCCGTCACAGCCTGCTTTGGAGAGACAATATAGTGGACAGTTTGCTCCCAACATGCTGGACAGCACAAGGCCTATTCCCGCTGAGCAACCACCAGCTGCCTCGCCCTTTGATCCTTATGCAGTCAATGGACTCGGCCCAGCAGGTGCGATGAATCCATTGAACGGCCTCGGTGGAGCCAACGGTGCACCATTCAACCAGGATCCCATGAGCCAGCAGCAGCTTCAATACCAGGCCTATTTGGCCGCGCAGTCCCGGGGTGTCTCGCCTGCTGGTCTTTATCCGCCCCTGGGTAACTCCAACTTTGGATACCCGGGTGGATCGCCTTCTGTGGATAACCTTCGCCAACACGCTCCTCTTTCCACAGCTCCTAGTCAGATGAGTCCTGGCTCTATGCTCAACCAGCAAGCTTTTGCGCCCCAGCAATACAGCCCTGTCCTGAACACGGCTCAGATGTATCAGTATCCTCCTCAGTTCTATTCTCAGACGCAGCCTGTACCAGGGCAGCCTGCTGGAGGACGGCGTGGACGTGTGAGTCATTCCTAGAACTTTCGAAATTTGTTGTGCCCTGAAGAGGCTAATCTTTCTTATCCTCCAGCGTTGAGGCCCCCGTATGAATTTTAATTCGCCTCTTGACTTCATTTTACGTGTATAAAGTTTTTCTTTTCTTTTCTTTTACTTCTGGAATACAAGAGGATAGTCTGGCTATTTGCGTGAAACGACCATATAACCTGGACCGACGCTGGATCGTCTCGGAAAAGGGAAAAGAAAGAAATGGATAGTGGGAAAAAAGTATTGCAGCTTATGTTTGCTCGGTGGCACTATGGTTTATATCTATAACGAGGGGTTCTCGAGTGATTTAAACCACAATCAACCCGTGATTGACCGTTCTTGGTCATTATCTACGATTTTGTTGGATATGTTAGCAATGGTTATTTGAATTTTTTTTTTTTACTTGCTTGAGAAATTTTTATTCTTTGTATTACTGTCTGGGGCTTCGTGCGGGTTTGGCGTAACCATGCATATGTAACGAATCTCTTTCCACACTGATAAAGCGAAGCCTTTTTTTCTACAATAACGCCAGTCGTTTTTGTCAATTGTTGCTATGGATGCCAGTCAAAATATATCAAAAACCGGTATTAGATGCTATTGATGAATCGAGTTAGGCAAGTCCTCATGGTGATGAATAGTAGTTTGTTTTATAAATTTACTTGAATTACTATAATTATAAGTACCCTTCTTAACTCGTGCATAATCCAATACCGACGTTGTTTGTTTTCGTCACTCTTCTTGTGCTCATCCCACCAAGCAAAGTCAACCTCGGCCTTTCCTCAAAACCCACCACCATCATGCATCAACACATCCACGAACACTGTGGGAAACATCCAACAAATGACTGCAATGGAGGAAACTGCCATCCTTTATCATAACAATGAGAGAACGGCTTTTCTAATCGACATCCCCGCTTCAATCGCACTCGCACAGGAACTTTCCCCCGTGCAGCGACATTCTCACAATGCAGACTCAACAACTGCAGGCCCTACTGCAGCCAAACGAAGCCACAAAGGGCATATTCTATCTTCACCGCCATTGGAAAAACCTTATCCATCGACAACAGAGCCCAAGACAGATTCTGCGCGGGCGAAAGTGCTAGAGAGAATCCCCGTCGCTGAGCAGGTCTTCCACGCTGGGATTGAGTCCCTGGTTCAGGATGGACTGAGAACAATCCACGAAGGGTACCAGGATGGTTCGTACTGGTGTTTACCCAGGCATGAACAGCAACTTGATGAAAGTCGATGGGTAGACTCACAGCCTGGTGAGGTGTCTCCCAAGAAGAGGAAATGGGCTCAGGGGCAGCTTCAGAGGGGCAAGGCACCGATTTCTAGCGAGCCTCAATCTTTTCTTCCAGGGGATTATTTGAATTCGCAGAATCTATCTCATGGTCCACCTGTGATATTGTCGCCGACATGTCTGAATGTATTTGAATCCATGACGGAGCTTCATGACGTTGTCGTGAAAAACACATCACCCAAAGCGGCAACCTTGAGCATACGCTGCTCCGCTATGTCTGGTCAAAGCAGTCATCGCTCTTTCAGTGTACCGCCGTTATCCAATCTCTCATTGTGCACATTGCCGATGTCAAACCCAGACACTACCTTGCCGAATCCAGTCCCTGGGTTACCTCGAAATCAGAAATTCAACCTCATATTGATGGATCCGCCTTGGTCCAACCGATCTGTTCGTCGAAGTCGCAATTACCAAACACATCCATACTTCGATATGGAGGCGTTCACAGAACGGATTCGGGATATTCTTCGAGTGCATCTGTATGATAATCATATAAGCCGACCTAATGATGCTCCGGAGGCTATTCCAGGCCAGAATGGAATCGATAAACAGAGTAAAGAATCTATAGCAGCTATCTGGGTTACCAATTCGGCAAAAGCACGAAAAGCTGCTTATGATGCCATTCAGGGCGCAGGGCTTGATGTTTGTGAAGAATGGGCGTGGATCAAGACCACTTCAAATGGAGAACCAATAGCACTACTCAATGGTATTTGGCGAAAACCATATGAAATCGTTGTTATTGGGAGGAAACGCCAACATAATCAAGGGGAAAGCTTCGACAATATCACCAGAAGAGTCATTGCAGCCGTACCTGACATTCATTCACGAAAACCGAATCTGAGAGAAATATTTGAAAAAGTATTCTTCACATCTTGCTCGATGTCCAACGATGATGCTTCTAGTGTCGGTGTGCCCTACTCTACTTTGGAAGTGTTTGCGCGTAACTTGACCGCTGGATGGTGGGCCTGTGGCAACGAAGTGCTCAAGTTCAACTCGGAGGAATGGTGGACTAAGGGCTAAAGAAGATCATATTCAATGATTGATGCCAGAAATTACGTGTCGACGGCCCCTCCCCTGTCCCTCTTCACCAATAATGGCCAGATATTCAGGTGTCCATTGTAAGAGGTACAGCTCTCTCTATTTCGGGATCTTGCGCCCAGATTTGCGTCATAATGGACAGGTAATATGCCTTTTGACAAGTGATGGCGATGTATATTACAACTGAATATGTTGTGGACCTGTGGACCTCAAAACTACTATGATCTTCACTCTGGATTACTGGAATGCTCTGCGTAACTAGGGGCCCTAACCCTGGTTATATCACATGTGCTTTCTCACATGTTCCATTGTCATTTGTGTTGAGCGGATGCCGCGCTAATACTCTCTTTTCAGATTCTTTTTGTGATCATTCACTTAAATCTGAGACTGTCCTTGGAATTTTCCACGGCCGGGTCATCAAGTGGAAGATCCACTGTTAATTCGGAGAAAAAGTGACCTACTGTAAAAAGTGGCCTGCCAACATGGCAGCCGACCTAAGCAAGCCCCTTGCGTGGTAGCTTGGGCTAGCTCTACATGGAGTAGTGAGCTCCTTGGGGGTGTCATTGGTATCATCATGGGGAATTGATCCCAATTTCTACCACCTTTTTATCCAACTGCATGGAATCAAAAGAATAAACATTTTTGAGATATGACTCGCGAGCCAAAGCCTTACAACGATCAAGAAAAGACGCTACAGTCTACTATCTCTCCTGATGATGAATTGAACTATGCTGGTCGTCCACCATGTTTCTGCAACACTCTCCACGAATGTCTGTTCGTGTTAACAGTCACGATGGCAATAGGACAGACTGCCTTCTTTTCTGGTGCTACCATTGGAATTACTGCATCGATTGGAGATGATTTGAACATGAATTCTGCTGAAATAACCTGGATTACGGCTGGCGCTGCGTACGTATCATCTGAATATACTTTGTAATGGAAGAGGTCTATTTGAATGGCACTAATATCAAAAGCTACATAGACTGACCAGTGGTGCCTTCATATTGACATTTGGTAAACTTGCTGACATGTTTGGTCGCAAGAAACTGTTCATTGGAGCCATGTCTGGTTTTACTTGCGCAGCATTGATCGCGGGATTTGCCAGCAATGCAATATTCATGGATGTGTTCTCCGGCATATTGGGCATATTCTCTGCGGCCATTGTACCCCCAGCCGTAGGACAACTGGGTGTGGTCTATGAGAAGCCTTCAAAACGAAAGAATCGCGCGTTTGCATGCTTCAGTGCCGGGAATCCCCTGGGCTATGTCGCAGGTATGATTGTGTCAGGAATCGCCTCCTACGCATACAACTGGCGTGCCTCGTTCTGGACATTGGCTGTCATATACCTCATCTTCACCGTGCTCTCTTTCTGGGTGTTTCCGGAGGACAACTTGAGGCATATTCCAGTCGACAGGGAATTACTCAAAAAGTTTGACTACCTAGGAACATTTCTGGTTATTGTTGGATTTGCTAGCTTTTCGGGCTCGTTTTCGTCAGTTTACTTCCTTTTCCTTGAATCCATGCCATTGCTTCAACATATTTTATACGATTGACTGTATAAAAGCTTTTCTGAACATTTGCTAATATGTATAATACAGACTCGTCGGCGATGCACCCCATGGCTGGAAGACAGACTACGTGATTGCACTCCTTGTCATCGGTATCGTTTTGCTCACATGTTTTCTCTACTGGCAATCTTTGACGGCGTACCCTTTGATGCCTCTGTATGTATGGCGAGACCGGAACTTTTCCTTGGTATGTTGTCGTTCTCAACGTGCTTTCCCGCATTGCTAAAAAGCAATCTACTCTCGCAAACCATTGTAGTTGAATCGTGAATGCTAATAACACTTATCTAACAGTTGATGTGCATCTTCGGTCTTGGATGCATTGGGTTCGCGGGTGTGACCTTCTGGCTTGCTCTATATTTGCAAACTGTCAAGCATGAATCTGCATTGCAAATTGCAGCTCAATTCCTTCCTCTAGTAGTAGCAGGGGTTCTGATGAACGTCATCTGCGGACTCGTCCTGCACAAAGTGAGCAACAAGCTGCTGATGGGCATTGGAGCAGTGGCATTCACTGCGTGCTTTCTCATTCTAAGCTTCATGGATGATAATTATTCTTACTGGGCGTTTATATTCCCAGCCTTTATTTTACTGGTAATCGGTTCTGATGTCCAATACAACGTGACCAATGTGAGTACTATCAACTGAATCGCCAGCATTGCCAACTTCGAGCTAATACGATGCTATTGCAGATGTATGTCATGTCGTATCTTCCTCCTGACGACCAATCCATGGCCGGTGGCATCCTCAACACCGTCAACAAACTAGGCAACAACATCGCCCTGGGTATCACGACTTACATCCACACATCTGTCAGGAACCAAACAAGCTCTGATTCTATCAAGCCCTACCTTTCAGTTTATTGGTTTTCTGCCGCTGCTACTGGGATAACCATATTCATGGTTCCATTTTTGACGATCAAGACGCAGGGCGTTGTCGAAAGGAGCGATTTGGAAAGTTCGCAGACGAAATGAGTTTAGAGTGTGAGGATGTGTCGCCACATGTGTATCTGGTATACTGCATATAGATTCCAGGGAGATACTTCTATAATAAATGGTCTTTTCCGGAGATGTTATCATATGTAAAGAGAAGTGTGAACACGGAAAGCCTGCAGCATCTCTAGTCACTCAAGACGAATTGAAGTTGCAATTTCAACTATATAGCCCAAACGCCATATCTATCTGATGGATGTTTTAACTCCGACTCCCTAGGCTCAGGCGTGTTGCAATTAATATGACCAAGCAGCGATATATCACATTTATAGACCGCACCAAAGACCAAATGTCGTACAGTGGAAGAAATGGCCAGTCACAAGAAAAGACGAGATTAGTCAAACAAAGGGCCCAAACTAAGAAGGCTGAACCGTAAATCCGGGTTCCCACCGGCACTCTCAGTCTGCAAGAACCTCCTCACACCCAGACCGAGGGCCTTCTCACTCAACGCATCCTCATCTTCGGCCAATTGTCCTCTGTCCAACGGTCCCTTCCTTCGTCCATCCAACTCCCACAACCGCCCATCTAGTCCCTTTACAAACGCCACAAAATGCAAGTCCACATTGTCTTCTGCCTGCGGCGCCGCGGTATCACCCAACTTCGCTGCATCTGCATGGGCACTCTCGAGCGCCTTGCTCTCGTATAGCAGATCTGCGCGCTGGATGGGAGCAAGAGGCTCGGCTTCGCAGAGGAGTGTATCGAGATCTGAACCGGGGAGGACATTTTTGCGGGGCTCGCCGTTGGAAACGGCATGGAGGAGGCCGATGAGTCCGCATGCGTTTCGGATGGTTTGTTTGAACCACATGACGGGCTCGGAGGGGCCGGAGCCTGTGTATTCGGAGAGGGTACTGTCTTCTTTCACGCGGGAGGATTCGTAGGTAGGGGAGACGGGGAAAACGAGGAGGAGGGCGTGGGAGGGACGGGGGACGAAGGCTATGAGGTCGGGCTCGTCGATCGAGAAGACGTCTGTGAAGCCGATGGTTGGGGGAAGACCAAGTTGGTGGATAAGGTGGGTCATCACTTCAGGGTTATTTTCTAAAATAGGTCAACCATATTCTATAGATTGGAACGATTATCAAGAAGAGGGGAAGCATACCAAGAGGCACGAAAGCCTTGTTCGTGTTGGGGGCATCTGCATGGTCTGCCATGGTAGTGGATTTGTGGCTGAATATTGATACGAATATGGAATATAAATACAGAGATGTCTGATAGTTAGATATTATGCGATAAAGGGCTTAATCCCGAGAAACCAGCAGTGGTCAATAGAGTGATGGAGTGTTGCAAGCTGATGGTTGGATCTCCGCCGCTGGTGAGGGGTTATGTTTGGTCCCGCGGGGTAAAAGCAGCAGTTCTTCCGCTTGACGAATAGCGAGGGATAATACGTAGCAAAAGCACAACATAATTAATCAATAGTGTGGTTTGGATTGATAAATAGTTATAATGTATTATATGGTTTATGGTTTATTGTACTCACAGTGGTTGTCAGTAATGATAAAGCAACTCTAGTGGATATAAAAGCTTTCATTCATTGTCACCGTAAATCATCTCCACTCTAGCTTGCTCTATGAAGCTCAAATACTCTAAGCTTTATACATGTGTATATGATTATTTCTCAAGAGCTGGTTTAGTTCCTTGCTTCAAGGGCCCGTAAATGTTGGTCCATAACTCATTGGCCTCACCCAGGAAGTAGGTAAGACTGACATCTGCCATGCTCGCGTCATCATCTCCGTCGATGGTCTCCAGCTGAGAGATGAGATTCTCCAAGCCAAACGCTTTCCCTGTAGCCTGTGTGGCGCCCGCCTCGAGCATCACGTTGACAATGTGAATATGGAAATGATAATAGGTTGGCTGGTCTGTAATCATTATAGATTCCGGCATCAGTGTTTTTTTCAGAACGCAGATGATGGACTGCCACTTACAATGCACGTAAAGTTTAAGCTGGTCTTGCTCTAGGTCCGGGTACATTTTCACTGTTCCCTCAAGTAGCCGTTGTCGAAGATAACGCAACCAGGGGATATGTCTCTTCTTCAAATCACGGAGACTCCAAATATCGCGGCGCTCGACAAGGGCCAACAGATGCAGCGACCCCATAGTCTTTCGATCCCAGTTGAGATCAGGAAGCATCAAGAATCCATCCTCTGGCCCATGTCCCGCATCTCGGAGAATCACGTCTTCTTGTTCAGTGCGGCCTTCAAGAATATTGAACACCCAGTTCAGTCTACCTTCCTCCCTTTTGGCACTCATGTATGGCCGAATGTAGTCACGGTAAATCTGCGGTGTTTCGGTGACCATCCGGACTACTTGATCGGAATATTTCTTGATGTGTTGCTCAGTGCACGGCCAAATGAGGTTCAGTTTGAGGTCAGCCGATTGTTCTCCTCTCTCGTCTACCCCAGACGATGCCAGGTACCACCGGTAAATGTCATTGTCACCCAGATTGTTCACTCGAGTAATTGCTGCACGGAATGCCCTCAGAACCTCAAGGGATTCTGTTGCGAAAGCAGCTCGTTCGGCGATGAGGATACCCTGTTTCCCATCGATTGATCCTAGCATAGCAATACGGCGACCAGTCTGATCTAAAAATATCCATTAGAACATGTCATCCAAGACAAGATATAAAAAGAAAAGAGAAAAAAATGATCCTCGAGATCATTGCTTGCAATCAAGGGAAGCGGGGTCTAACCTTGTCTCAGTAACTTGCCGACCTCGAACTTTGAGATCAGTGCCTCGGGGGCAATTTTCTCATCATGGCTAAGATCCTGCATAATGAAAGTAGATCTCCAGAAGACAATGATAAGGATCACTATGAGAGATCAAGAGTGTTGGTTTTTACCCCAGATGTCCAGTTTCCTCGGCAGAATATTTTGGGCGGTCAAGGCCTTATCAGTTCATAGCCCCTCCTACTCCTGTATATCAATTCAAATAATGACAGTATGGGCTCTTAGGATTGGGTTTGTTTGTCTAAAGCATTGATTCAAGTTCGTGTGGTAGCTATATATGAAAAAAGGTATGCATTGGGCCGGTTCTCCTCTAGATATCCAAGAATTATCCGTATGCTGTTGTAGCAGTTTGTCATGGAAATCTTCTTTGGTAGATACTGGGAACATGGACTGATTTCCTTGTTTTTTGGCGGTATCCATCGTCTTGGGCAAATCTGTATAGCTCTGTTTTTCCACTCTTGCCCATCTCTTTGAGATGTGCTGCCTCAGTCACAGAAATCAAAAACATCCCCCATTGACTGGGATTCAACCATCAAAGTATATCGAATCTGATTTCCGGTATTTACTTGGTCCATTTGTCAGGGGAGCCCGGGTATCTCTTCGGTATAGGTTTTAGGGGAATAATGCATAGTTCCCCATGGTCCGGCAAACGTGGCCCTCAGTCAATCCCCAGACCAAGACTAGACAAGAAGCTAATCATAACTCATCGTGTTTTCAGCAGCTTCAAGTCGACGCTTTCTTTTCGCTGGCTTCGGCAGGGGCTTGGTTCGAATGTATCTAGAGCACGTTGTCAGCCTTGGATAACAGGTCAAGCAGCAATTTACATACAGCTTCAGCCAACTTGATCCACTCCTCCACTCCTTTGACGAAGCGGTCATCAGCAGCAGGCGCTACTTCATGACCCCAGACCACAAAATCATCAAAGCTAGCTTGTTGCTCCAGAATCTTAACGGGTTCTTCTGGCTCAACTTCGACGACATCGTCTGTCGATAAATCATTGTTTTTCTGCGATGATGGCAGTAGACATTCTGTTGGTGTTGCGATGATACCTAGAATGATGGTGGCATGTGGTTAGCTAGGATTGTAATATGGGAGATAAAATTGACCATGCACTTACCCTTATATCCTTCCGGGATTGCTACACGTCTACCCCGTAATCTGCGACCTCTAAAGTGCGAAGTATGCACATCACCATCTATATTTGTGTGTCAGCACCTGGCATGCTCAAAATTAGAGCAATTGGTGTCTCTCCAATCGTGGTGCTTCTACCTTTCTCGTCAGATTTAGGAGTCCAATGACGCTCGAGCGATTCGACTGGACCATCGTAATGAATTCGACAAGGGAGGATATTGGGGGTGCAACAATTTGTGGATGCATTGTCGTCAGTCCCAGAAGACTGCGTTGGTGATGGCTGAATGGCGAACATGACTGGGAATCTGCGTATGCGATTCGGGCTTTCGAGAGGACAGTATGCTTTCTGCAAACTTGTGCAATGAGAATTTCGTTTTATAATATGATAAACTGGCAGCGGAGGTTCACAATTTTGCGAATGAATAGAATATTGTCTTGGTTTTCTTGATCAAGGGGTGAGCACAATATGTCCAAGCCTTTGGTGTGGTAGTCCGGAGAAGACGCGACGCGTTGGCCGCGTAAAGTGGAAGAAAAGCGATCATCCCGCAGTCGCTCTTTTAGTTTCATTCTAATGTCTCTCCGAACTTTTTTATGATGCTGAAGCAAAACGATTTATTACCTTGTTAAAAACGTATGCAAGATTGAACATGTATCTCGTGATTTGGCTGTCTATAATTTTGTGTGGTGTTCAGAAAATCTCAACACGAAAGATGTACATACAAGCTGGACATGAATTTTTGGGTATATCTAAGTAGCAACTGAAAAGGCCATATCACCTCTTACGGGTCTTCTTCTTCTTCTTTTTATTTTTCTTCTTTTCTTCTCCATCCTCGGTTCTCTCGACAATAACTCGCACCGGCCATTTCTTTGCATGCTCCCGCTCAAAGGCCTCCTTTTCTCGTCGATATAAGAGCATCGTAGCCCTAGCATCTTCTGCACTGGAATGTGAGCCTTCTTGAATAGTCAATCCTAGATACTCTGCAGCAAGCATCTTCAAACGAGGAGAGCCACCGCCTGCGATCTTCCGATACGGGGGGTGTTTGCTTGTGTCTCTGATATCACGCTTGGGATGACCTAGAAGAAGAGCATCCAGATCATTACTGACTGCATGTCCAACAAGTATTCGTCCTTCGAGGATCTCCGCGACATCTTTCTGGGCCTGTTCGAGGGACCGGGCTTCCACCATATGCTTCGGGGCGATACCGCTCACATGTGTCCGCCAATCGGTAACCATTTCCTTGGGTCTGACAAAGGAGTCGTATACTTGTTCGCCGTTGAAGTTGACAATACTGACACGCGCAAGAGCTGAGTCGTTATCAGGGTTTGGGCCGACCCCTACCATTTCGCAGTCTATCGCAACATATTTGCCTAATTCCGCGCTGTAAAATTGTTAGAGGCAAATGACAAACAAGAAGTAAATTCAAGAAAAAGACAGAGGGTGAGATAGCTTCACTAACGTTTTGGAACGGCCCTCATTGACTTTCGCATCTCGTGATTGTACAGGGACCGGAGCCAGAGAATTTCTCCGCGAGCTGGATTTAACGGACTCCTGGGCAGCCTTTTCCTCTCCATTTTTGGATGCTTCAGACATCTTTTTCCTCTTGAGTGATCCTCGGTTTCGGTCGAATTTCTTCTTGTCGTCTGTTCCCTCCGGTTTCCTCTTCTTCACTTGCCCATTCTGGGGTTCGCGATCGGATGCCTTGCGTTTGGTAGAGGTGGAGGTGGAGACGTCGTTCTTTTTCAACGTCTCCTGGAGTTTTTTCCAATTGCTTGAAAGGCCTTTGAGTTCCATCCCAACGAAAAAATAGCTATCGTATCATCCTGGGGCTCTGCGAATTCGAGTGGAAAATATGATGCAGAGGAAGACGGGCAAACGGTTTGTCAAGCAAATATCCGATGCCTGCGCTAAAATTTCGGACAACTTAAATGGACCGACCCACTTGCGAGTCAGTCTCGAACATAGAAGTATGCATTCGATATGAAATATGAAGTATATTGGCTCATGAAAGATGAAAGAAGATGCAATATTTCTACTCTTTACATTCAAGAATATTAATAATCATTTCTATAGAATTAATTCTTCTTGGTTGAGTTAACATTTCGAGACAGTAACCATGTATGTACTCCGCACTGTCATCTCCCTTAAATGCTGAAGGGATTTGAGATCTAACAATTAATCGTTTCATAATTTCAGGCATGAAAAGAAAATTTTATGTTCTAGACCAACCATATTACATGAAAGACGCCTTTGGGGAAGATAACCAGGGAATATGAATTGAAAAGCAACCAACTTTATGCGCCTGGGACCTTGAAGTCCTTGTAAGTCCACTTCTCTGTAGCCTTTCTTTTAGCCTTTTTGGCCTGTGAGACTGGCTTGCGAGACTCTAGCTTTCCTTGCACCATCAATGTTCTGAACCGGTCGTCTAGAAGATTGCCCTCAGGCTTGAGCAAGCGCAATGAGTCTTGAAGCTCATCCGGCAGAACAACCTCGAGCGGCTTCTCGGGGACCCTATTGTCAAATTAGAAAAGCACATATTAAGGATGGGCGCAAAGAACTTACGATAGCTTGCCTCCCAAAGGTCTCCGACGTAAAACTGTATCATCACCTTCATCAGAAGAATTGTTTTGAGGGTTCTGTGCACGTTCCAGTTCTATCTCGTCGGCTCTCTCAGCAATTGTTTGTGCTTGGTCGGCTTGGTCTTCCTTTTTCTTCATTTGTGCCTCCCACTTGGCTTGCCTTTCAGCTTCCTTGCGTCTCTTGATTTTGTTTCTTTGTGTCTTTGTCTTCCGCTCTGGTCGTTTCTTGTTCAGCCATTCCGGCTTTTCATACTCGCTTTCAAACCCTTCCCACGCGCTCTCGTCATCCGATTTCACCATTCCATCATCATCCTTAGCCTCAGCGACCAGGCGTCTTCTCTCTTCCTCCTTGCGCTCCTCTTCCAGACGCTTCTTTTCGGCTGCGACTGCTTTCTCTCCCTCCTCTTGCAAGAGGTGATCCCAGTCTTCGAATGCTGGATTGTAACTTATGCCAGCCTTAGGAGTGGTGACTGATGGAATCGGTTTACCATTGGCGGCTAAAGAAATAGGCGCTCTTCTCAATGTATCAGGCGCAACCTTCGGCTTAGGCTTTTCCAGGTAATCGAACTTGGGGTCGTCCAGTGGTGTTGGGTCTTCTGCATCGGCCCAGGGATCGTAAAGATCACCCTCCCCGACCTTTTTGGCAGGTGTCCCATCCTTAGCCACTTGCTTCAAGCGCAACCAGTCTTTGCGGCTGACCCAATCGCTCTTATGCTTTTTGGTCTTCGGTTCGATGACACCATCCGTGACGTTGGGGTTTCCTCGTTTGCGAGTATCCACGCCTGGAATAGCAGACCTTTGTGCCAGAATCTCATCTGCCTTCAAGGGCTTATGCTTCTTCTGATATGCCTTCCGAATCTCGGGTGCGCCCGTTGTATCGATTGTGAACAGTTCGTCTGATGGCTTTTCGGCCACAACACCACTAAAGCACACAAAAGTAAGCAAGTTATCGCAAATTATAATGTGTTAAATATGAACAACGGGCAATTACCCTTTGATTTCTTCATCCTTCAAGAGACGGAGACCTTCTTGGACTTCCGTTACGTCCACATTTTTTCTCCAGGCCTTCTTGCCTTTACGGGAAGGTTGGTTGAATTGTTTCGGTGCCTCGATCGTTGAAGACATTTTGCAGACTGTTTTGTGAAATCCCAACTTTGAGCTGGAAACTTGGGTTTCACTTTTTTTTTCTTTTGCGCCGATAACAATTTGAAGATTTCCGCAGCTAATCAAATTCTGGACCCGCTTACCTAACTTAGCGGAGCGATAATATGGCGGCTATCGCGCTAGAATTTTGCGGCTATCGCGACAGACCAGGGAACGCCGCATCAAGACTCTCCGTCTGTGAGCTCAATCTTCACTCATGTCAAGCCGAGGTCGACGTTCGCCTCTGGAATTTAACACGCATCAGCAGTATACTTCCTTCCTGCCCAAATAATTAAATCAGACTTAAGGGGCCAATTTAATATTGCGAGAAGCAGGGTCGCGTTGAATCACGCGCCATGCCCGTGGTCAAAGGAGGTGTTTGGTAAGAGCTTCAGCGACTTTCGGTATTCGCAATTGCTTACATACTGATTGATGTACAGGACGAACATCGAGGATGAGGTGCTTCGTGCAGCGGTAAGTTTCAAGGCTTTCAGGCAGAGTTTTCTTGGTCATGATATGTGCTGATGAACATTTATATAGGTTTCCAAATATGGTCTGAACCAGTGGGCGCGAGTCTCCTCGCTTTTAGCGAGAAAGACCCCAAAACAGTGCAAGGCGCGATGGGTAGAATGGCTTGATCCCGGCATCCGCAAGGTCGAATGGTCGAGAGAGGAGGATGAAAAGCTGTTGCACCTGGCAAAATTGATGCCAACACAATGGCGCACAATTGCCCCCATCGTGGGAAGGACCGCAACACAGTGCCTGGAGAGATATCAGAAACTACTAGATGAAGCCGAAGCTCGTGAAAACGATGAGCTGGGACTGGGAGGTCCTGAAGGTGGAGAGACGGCCGCGCCGAGTGCAGACGACGTCAGACGGTTAAGGTATGCCGTTGAAACTAGGTCTGCAAATACTCTTACTAAAAGCTATATAGACCTGGTGAATTAGACCCTGATCCTGAATCGAAGCCAGCTCGCCCCGACACTATCGACCTCGATGAAGATGAGAAGGAAATGTTGAGCGAGGCACGTGCACGTTTGGCAAACACCCAAGGAAAGAAGGCGAAGCGCAAGGCTAGAGAACGACAGTTGGAGGAATCGCGCCGGCTTGCAGTCCTCCAAAAACGCCGTGAATTGAAAAATGCCGGCATCAACATCAAAGTTGTTACTCGCAAACAGGGTGAAATGGATTACAACGCCGACATTCCTTTCGAGAAACCGGCAGCGCCTGGGTTTTATGACACCATGGATGAGGAAGCTCGGAATGAACGACAACGTGAAATGTTTGATCCTCGGAAACAACAACTTGCAAATAAACGAAAAGGAGATCAGGATGATGATGCTGAGCGAAAGAAGAGAAAAGGCGATAAAAATGGCAATGCCGCTGCATCTGCTGCTGCTGCGAGAGCTGGTCAAATGCAAAAAATCCGTGAAGCAGAGCAGAGCAGCAAACGGCGCGCACTTGTCTTGCCATCCCCGCAAGTCAGTGAAGGTGAAATGGAAGATATCATCAAAATGGGGATGGCTGGCGACAAGGCTAGCAAGCTTTCTGGGGACGAAGAAACTACACGAGGTTTGATTGGAAACTACACTTCTATGGTGGGTGGGACACCGATCAGAACACCTCGAGCTCCCCCAGAAGAGGATCACATTGCAAATGAAATCCGGAACATCAGAGCTTTGACTGAAACTCAATCATCATTGCTTGGAGGAGAAAACACCCCTCTTCATGAGGGAGGCTCATCTACCGGATTCGACGGTATCGCACCTCGACGGCAGCAAATCGTTACACCTAATCCCATGGCTACCCCCTTTCGACAGGCCAACGGTGTAGGTGCAACACCGATGCGAGGTGCTGGACCTGGAGAAACCCCTCTTCGTACCCCTCGTGATCATTTCGCTTTGAATAAGGATATGGAAGGCCAGCTCATTGGGGCCACGCCAAGAGATATTAAAATACATGAGAAGTCTATGCGCCAGGACATTCGCAGCAAGCTTTCTGCGCTTCCAAAGCCCAAAGAAACTGAATGGGAACTGGAGGAGCTTCCCTCGGAAACTGCAGAGCCAACTTTATCTACGGAGATCACGGAAGAGGATGCGGCCGAGCGTGATAGAAGGGAAAACGAGGCGCGGGAAAAAGCTGCTCAGGCTGAACTCAAACGGCAATCTCAAGTCTACCAACGGGCATTGCCCAGGCCAAGTGTCCTTGATCTCAACGAGCTGATGCAACGGGCCTCCCAAGTCATGGATCCTATTGGTGGCATCATTGCCAAAGAGGCCGCACTCCTCATTGCTCATGATGCCCGGAAGTTTCCTATTCAGGGTGCCAAGGTCGAAGGAAAGGCACGGAAACTAGATCGGCTTGATGATGGACTGCTTGAAGCAGCCCGTGCAGCCATTGCGACCGAGGCTTCGGGTGCTTCTGACAAACAGAAAGAGTGGCAAGAACTTTTTGACACTTGCTGGTCTTCAACCCGCACCGACTCGTTGCCAGGTCTTTCCAATTATGTTGATGATGAGGAAGAGGATGCTTATCAACAAGAACAGCGCATGGTCGGCGCGTTTGACAATGTGCAGGCCTCTTTGCTGGCTACGGCCGAACGCGGTAACAAGCTTGAGAAGAAGCTTGCCCTACATTATGGTGGTTATCAGAACCGTGCAAAGATGCTTCGAAATAAGATCATTGAGGCCAGCACTGCTCTAGAAAAGTCCAAGGATGAGTTGGATGCTTTCCGTACCCTTCAGATCTCCGAGGAATCGGCGGTTTCCAGAAGGCTTGAGAAACTGCGGGACGATGTGGCTTTTGTTTCGAGAAGGGAACGTGAGGCCCAGGAAGTCTATAGAGGCCGAAAGGACGAGCTCGATGAGCTTGTTTCTGGGATGGGCGCAATAGTTAATGGGTGGCATTGAAGCCACACGGCCTAAGGCCCGGTTTCATTTTTCCAAATCATGTTAATATCCCCATTTCTTTTTATGTTACTTTTGACAAGCGCCCATTTCAAGATTGATTGACTCCGGTTGTTTTCTTTCCAATGTTGTACAACTAAATATTTTCTGAATTTGTTGGAGACGAACTACAGAACATTACAATGAACCTGCGAGTGCTGCATGAGTTATGCCAATTGTCCAGTAGAGTTGAAATTACATTTGAGTATCATTGACGTAGAAATATTGAGATGCTGATTGATGATGTCGTGAATGAATGCCAACGGGAAACGCTGGGGATATGGCCAAAAGCGGATGGCAAAAAAAAGTTTCAACCTCCAAAGGCGGTCGCTGGAAGACTCCCTCCTTCATCAACCACCGCGTCCAAGGCTTACAAAATTCTGTCGCATATATCGACAACTCCATCTTTTTCATCATCAAAAATCAAGCAGACTCATAGAGAATCGATTTTCAAACACCATGGGCGTCCGGGATGCTCACGGGGAGGCCACGGGGACGCCAGACCCCGTTGAAAAGGGCTTCGCCACCCTCAATACCATAAGGTGAGTCGTAGAAAATCTGCGAAAAATTATTTTTGACGTCGCGAAGTCAGGTTTTATCGGTCGCGTGTACTAATTATGATGATAGGATCGGTGTCAAGGCCATGGTGCAGAAGGTCAGTTGTTCAGCGGCCTGTTCAAGGCGAGGGCCTGTTGATATAGAATCACGTGATTGTATAGCATGGCGACGATGGAGACTAACAAGCCGTTTATTTATTAGGATGGTGAACTACGAAAAGCAGAAATATTGTCTATAAAACAACGCAAGGATGGGCCCGCTTTTTAGTAAGTTTTTGGCTCTTCTCTGTTCCGAGTATATGTACTTCATACTAATCGTTTCTTCAGCGTCCATTATGTCGACTTCAACAAACGTCTTGATGGTATATCATGCTCTACTTTTCTTCCCAGTATAAGGATGCTAATGATTTTTTTCAGAGTGGGTTGCCGCAGCAAGAATTGATTTATCTCACGAGGTTGAATGGCCTCAGCCCGAGAAGCCTGAGAAAAAGAAGACTGGCGCTGGTAACAAAGCACCTAGCAAGAATACCCAAAAGCGACCAAGAGCCGACAGTCGTGATGTTTCGGCAACACCAGATCTCCTCACAGGCAAAAATGTGAATATTGGAAAGGCGCAACGTCCATCGAAAGCAGGTGGGAAAGAAAACCGTGGCGATGATACCCCTGTGAACCTGTCTATGATAGGCTCCGAAGTTGTCTCTGTAGATGGTACTCCCAAGCCAGAATCTGAAGATGTCGACATGATTGACGCCACTATATCTGAGGCAAAGGCCATTAAAGAGGAAGAAAAGGCCCAGGGGCTCATGTCACGAGAAGAGGAAATCGAGAGGCTGCGTACAAGTGGCAGTATGACACAAAACCCGACAGAGATTCACCGCGTGCGTAACCTGAACCGTCTACAAATGGGCAAATTTGATATCGAGCCGTGGTACTTCTCGCCATACCCTGCATCGTACTCTGACGTGGATATGGTGTACATTGATGAATTCTGTTTGAGCTATTTCGACAATAAGCGTGCTTTTGAGCGACACCGTGCTAAGTGCACCCTGGTTCACCCTCCGGGAAACGAGATCTATCGTGATGACTACATATCCTTTTTTGAAGTCGATGGTCGACGTCAAAGAACCTGGTGTCGTAATCTGTGTCTTCTGAGCAAATTGTTCCTGGATCACAAGACTCTCTACTACGATGTCGACCCTTTCCTTTTCTACTGCATGTGCACACGAGATGAAACTGGCTGCCATCTGGTTGGCTACTTTTCTAAAGAAAAGGACTCCGCGGAAGGCTATAACTTGGCCTGTATTCTAACACTCCCTCAGTACCAACGCCGCGGCTTCGGACGGTTGCTTATCTCTTTCAGTTATGAACTAAGCAAGCGAGAGGGCAAGCTTGGCTCTCCAGAGAAGCCGCTCAGTGATCTTGGGCTGTTGGGTTACCGGCAATACTGGCGAGAAACTCTCGTGGAGTTGCTCGTGGAACCAGGACGCGAGTCAATGAGCGAAAATGAACTTGCTATCTTGACATCAATGACAGAAAAAGACGTTCATGAAACTTTGGTCGTCTTTAATATGCTCAGATATCATGTATGTTGCACCACCCTGAACTCTGACATCCTCTTGTTATCAATCACATTAGCTCCGTGTTCGTAAAATGTCGCTAACAGCTTCACAGAAAGGAAACTGGGTCATCGTGTTGACCGATTATGCCATCGAGGACCGTAACAAACGATTAGAGAAGGAAAGAGTCAAAGGCTCACGCAAAATCGACCCCGCACGCCTTCAGTGGAAGCCACCCGTTTTCACTGCATCTAGCCGGACATGGAACTGGTGAGAAGTGCATCTGTCCATCAGTGTATGGAGGCCGGTTTTACTTTTAGCTCTCTTGTGCTCACTTGTTTTCGCGTGTGGAGTTCTGGTTGATTTTACCACTTACCACGGTGTTTGGTTTTCTTCCCGCTTTAGGTTATGTATACATTGGTCTCTTTTAAGATATCAGCATGGGCGAGGAGCGGTGTTCTTGTCATTTCCTTCTTCTTCTTTCTGGCTGCATTGGGTTGGGCCGGAGTTCTTGTTAAGCAATACCTGTACTGCGGATGAAAAGCATGCAATGCAGACCAGGATACCAGGCTTTATCATATTTACTTTTATTTCTCAACTTCATAACCATATGCTGCTGATTCCTCGGGGTCCCTTCTGCAATAGCTTGCAAATTTTATTTAAAGAATCCATAGAGGTTACCTAGCTTCGAATTTTTCATTTTATTTTATTTCAAAAGAAAAAAGAAAAACACATTACCTCTGAACACTTCAACTACCAAGAATAAATTTTTTCAGGTAAACAGCGCTAGTGCCTTTCTATCTTTACCGGTATTTAGTAATATTGCACGTTAATAGGTGGTTTGAAATGATTTAAATCTGGAATTGAACGCGTACTGTGCGCAAAGAAGCTAGATACACGCATACGGCGTAAAAGCACTGCTTTGCGCTTTGGCTTCCCTTCTCTCGAAGCTTTGATTCCTTGTGGGGGATGAGAGGATATCAATAACTGGGTACAAGAGAGCAAGATGTAGGGATAATGGGATAGTAGTTAGGTAGAAACGGATGCCAGCAAAGACCAGGTACCATAAAAGCCAGTCTCGGAGCGAGAGCGAAAGGGTAAGGAAGCACAGGAGAAACGTGCCTCACATCTCGACAAATGTCATCTTCAGAGAACAATGCCGATGCAGTAATGCGTTAAACCATCCCTCAACATAACAATGTTACTTAAAAGTAAAAAAAGCAGAAGTTGGGAATATTGTACGATGAAAGGCATTAATAGGAGCATGGAAAGAAAAAAATAAAAGAGAAATCAAATCCCAACAATAACCCGCAATCCCCTGAAGGCATAGCTCATCAATACCGAAATGAACGCTCAACAAATGTGAAAATCGGGGACAGGAAGTTCCAAATGAAAAATCATGACCCAGGAGATAATACATGCCCAGATCGTAGAGTGAACTACTCACTCAATCGGCCTAACGAGACCCACTAAATGTACGTGGACCCCAGGATGCATTCTTGGACTGGCTTCGAGAAGAGCCGCCCGCACTGGCTTGCTGAGACGAAGCTTGTTTCTTGGTGTTCGAGCTTCCAGGTCCTTCCCGAGGTTTTGTGCTTTTGCGAGGCTTGAAACTGGAAGTACCCCGCGGTCGAGGGTTGTGGATTCCAGGCTTCTTAGGAAGGATCACGGTCTTTGCAATTATTGCCCCCGGAAGGCGGATTGAAATCTGAATACTGCCAGAAGCGTCTTTATCATAGAATCCAAACGTATATGGCTCAATACTGTGAACCTGCATTGGTTTCAGATTTTTAGACCGTAGTCGAGATTGCGAAGGCGGCGGCGCAGCACGCCAAGCTGCTGGAGGAGCCATGTTGGGTACTCTGACAACAGGCAAAGATCCCACTTCGCGATCTTCAAACATTTCCTCCGCTTCTTCAACCTGCTTAGCGGTCACCTCCCCGTCTCCGATATGAACATCGCTGCCCTCAATACACTCAATGCCCTCAATATTGTGAGGCAGAGAGACTGAAACAGCGGCAATATGTAACGGAACGTCAAGAGGCTCTTTGGAAGCAGGTAAAACCTCTAGAGCATTCTTTTTTTGGGGCACTGTCTTCTTGCCGAAGAGTCCGTTAAATTTTTCTTGCCAGGAAAGAGGCTGTGCAGCAGGACGTGGAGGTGCAGCGGCCATAGAAGCAAAGGTAGGCGGCGGCGGTGGTGGAGCCACAACCTTCGGGGGGAGTTTAACAACGGGTTTGGGGGCAGGAAGATGGACCAAAGGCCTATTCGAGTCACCAGTAAACACGGGATGACTAGAAACTTCCTCTGGCGGTGGTGGCGAAGGACTTCGTACATAATCTCCTTCCTCGGCCGTGGGCTTCTTGGAGTGTTCTGTTGCATGAGGGAAGAATCGCGAACTACGAACAGGAACACTACCAAGAGGGCGTGAATGACTTTCTGAGAAAGGAAGACTGGAAGCAGGATGGTCGAGACCAGTGAGAGGGTTTGATGCCGGTGCATTCCCTTCCCCTCTAGAGATACCAACAACCTGCCTCTGGCCAGACTGGTCTCCAGTTCGAACTTGCCGCCAGGTTTCATTGAAGGTGACCTGTAGTGACGATGGGCCATCGCGGATCATCTCATTGCGAAGCTTCTCGCTCTCTTCTGCTTCACGCTTGGCTGCAACAGCGTGGAAGTTGTTCCATGCTGCGGTTCCGGTAACACGAGATTCCGGCTGCCACTGAGGTTGCTGCGAGCTTGGGGGTCCAATTGGCCCAGGGCGCACGATGGGACTCACGGAGTCGTATGGTGCAAGTCTGACTTCAGGAGATGGCAAGGTTGGTATCGTCGTATTTTCCTGCGGTGATCGTGAAGGGGCAGAGAATGCCTGTGGGCCCGGGGCAATAGGCGGCTGGTCTAGAGCCAGATGGGTACGGAGGGGAAGATCCCTAGCTGGAAAGCCACCCAGGCTCTGTTCAAATATACCATTGCCCAAGGTTCTGTCATTACTGAGAGGTTTCCAGGGGTTTGCAATGGAAGATGATCCAACAAGCTTGGTGTTTGGAGACCATGTAGAATATGAGCTCGAGACATTTAGACTGTTCCGCCACTGGGGGCCTTGCTCATCAACCTTTGGTTCGGGATACTTGCCAGGAACCTGTTTTGTTTGAGATTCAGCCGGGTGTTGGAATCCATTTGTAATTGCAGCATCAGGCTGAGGTTCACGGGATGGCGAAGGGATGCGCCGGGGGGGCGGCACAGGTTTTTCAGCAGCCCTATCTCTTTCATTCGCAGCAACAAGCCTTCTCACGGTGTCAGGATGATGTACCTTCATCATTCCATATTGCTTAGGCTCTCCAGTGGGCTCAGGAACAGGTGGCTTAGGGGGCGAATGAGAGGTCATTGCAGTATTGGTGGGAGCAGGAGCTTCAGGCTTATTGCTTTCTGAAGAATCCTTAGGGTGAGTCTGCGATTTTTCAGGCGGCGGCCCCAAAGCTTCGAGCTTCTGCCGAATCCGTTCTCTTTTCGCAGCCTCTTCCTTTTCCTCTTGTTCAATTCTACGCTGCCGTGCTTCCATTCTCTTCTCTTTCATTATACGCTCCTGCATCGCAACCGGGTCTTCTTGGCCCGTTGGTGGTGCCGGAACGAGTTCTTCTGGTGCGGCGGGTGCAGTGGGTGCAGTGGGTGCAGATGGGTGAGTCGCCCCGCTAGGCGCACCGGAAATCGGGTCGTTCATATTCACTGAAGTGCGTCGTGGCCAGGCTGGACCTTGAGCTTGCCGAACCGGCGGAAACTCCTGCAAGGATGCTTCATTTGAAGACAGCATCTCATGAGATGAAATCGACGGATCGACAATTCCATTCACCTGAGATCCCCTTTTAGTCTCAAAACTTCTCTGGCCTACTTCAGGCCGGCCAATCGACATCCGACGACCAAAACTTCCACTTCCTCCGCTCACATTAGATGAGGTGCGGCGACGAGTCCAGTGTCCACCATCTGGGCCACTTGACCGGTGTGTTTGGAACGCTGGAGAAGGCTCTGCAGGTCCTACTTGCTCGCCCATCATAGGTCGCTGCAAGACAGACGGAGCACGAAGGCTTTGCTCGTTCCGCCAAGCTCCCTTTCTTGTTTCAGATACAGGCTCATAGCGACCCGATCTGGAATTGTAGAGCTCTCGGGGGGTTCCAGATTGAATTTCCTTCCATGATCGGTTAAAATCATCCGCTTCAATCTCTTTCGGTGGAAGAGGGGCGCTATATCCATCGTTCACAGGAAGTTCTCTAACAGGGGGGCGTGGTGGAGGCTGGGCTTGGACTGGGTGAATGATGGGAGACGCTCTCTCGACGGGGGGCAAAGGTGCCCAAGGTGATTTGGCCGGGGGAGGTGCTGGACTTGTGGATGCTGATGACTTGTCGTTTATTCCCTTGGAGGAGATGCTAGCGTTCTTTGCTTGTCTTTCTGCGTTTGCCCCCAGTCTGAGAACAGTAGGATTCGGTCCAATGGATGTCGTAGGCTTGGGAGTAAATTTCGCTGTCTCGCTGACAGCAGGGGCTTGTTCTGCTGGAGGGGGGACATTCTGCGGCTCTACTGGTGCTGGAGGGTTGTCAGGTTGTTGTCCAACGGGTTGTGCGCTCTCTGATTGCGTGAGATTAGTCTTTGTCCCATCAGTCCATTCAATTGTCTCCGGAGCCCAGTCATCTTCATCGTCCTCGATGTCGGCCCATTTTCCTTCGGTGCCACCACCGTCTTCTTGAATACGAGACGTCATGTGAATTCCGTACTGCTGCTTCAGTTCTTCGTCGGTCAAATGTTTTGGTGGTGTTGGTTGAGCCGCTTTTCGTAAAGAATGGTCAGCATTCCTTTTCAAAACAGACTAGACAAGGTATTTTATCGTACGTCGATTCTTGTTCCAAACTTGATTCGGATCAGGTCCACTACCACCTGGCTTGGCTGCACTTGTTCCCGTCTTGGATAAAGAGTCACGTAAGCTTCCTGTTGTCTTAGCGACTAATCGTGGCCGTGAGCTTTGCGGCGGTACACCTAGGGGCGTTGTAGAGGACAAGGGCACTAGATTGTATTGTTGGTGAGATTCTTTATCGTTGCCTGTAAACAAAGGATTCCAAATACCTTTATCAGAAGGTTTGGTTGCGGCGGGCGTCCCGGGGGCTTTTGGAACCGAAAACTTGGCAAACGAGACTGGTTTGAATGATGCTGGTTTCTTCACTGACCCAGCACGCCCGGGATGCCTGCTATCTGTTCGACTGGCGTCGGATTCTGAACCACCCTGCGAAGCTGTGTCGTCTCCACCATCCGACGAAAAGCCTACCCCATTCATTTCCAATGCTCGTGTCGCAACAGATCCTGGTCCATTCCTGGAGATGTCCTGTGTATGATTCAGTGGGGATTCTCGGCCTTCCGCATTTGTGACACTCACGGTCGACGAGCTTCGAGTGTCCTTCCCTGTATCATTCCCTCCTGATAATTCGGTGGGGTCCATCCTTCCTCCACTTTTCTCAGCGTTCGCGTTCGTTTCTTCGGTGTGTGTTGATGTTGCGGTATTTTTGGTCTCCCCCACGTCCCCTCCAGCAGGTGTCTTGTCGTTGGTGCTCGCAGGAACGTCGGAAGGCGAAGGGTCGCCGCCCGACAGGGTTTGATTTACCACATCGTGGCTGCTCTGCTCTGCCATAACAATTCTCGAGTCTGTGAAGTCGACGGGTTGCGACATCTGTTAGACAAGCGTTCTTACTGGGGATGTGGAACGAGTGGCGGCTGAAGTCAAGGACTCAAAGATAGACATGGAGAAATAATCTGAGAAGTACCTATTGTCAGGTATCAAGAATCGCCACGGCTGAACTTCTAGCTCAACTGTTCGAGCACAGGATACTAAAGGCTCCGAACGACCAGGAGAACGGCAGAAAGTGCCCAACGCCAAAGGATGAAGGTGAGGCTCGAGCAAGGTGAGCAGGCAAAGAATGCAATAGGGGGGGAAAAAACAATAAGCCGCTGCCCAGGAAATCCCAAAAGGGAGGTCACGATGGTGTAGTTCTTGTCGGGTTGATGATAGGGTGATGGCTGCAGTCATGAATGGGTGACGGTTCACGTCCCAAGCTGAGGTGGCTGCATTCGGTTAGCGTGTAACGAAAATGAAGTAAAGAAACCAAAACCCTGTGGCTGGAGCCGCAACAACATGATGTTTGCAATAGATGACCACATTTTTAGCAAAATGGTTTTCAAAATATTGATTTTCTCGTTATTCACTGTAGAAATAAATGTAAATATGTCTATGTTTTTTTCTTTATTGCTGTCTTAAAAAAAGTTTCAATACGTTGGTGTATTGGGGGAAAATGGGACAGATCATGGATAGCTGTGATAATAACAGACTATACCTAATAGACTACGCTACGAACTGCCTCATTTCGCTTTGGTTTTTTGAGAAATGCAATAGCATGACACTTGATATTGAAACACAAAGATTGAGAGTTCTCTTCTTCTACCTTGCCATCACTCTAGGTTTGGCGGTATATACATCAATCCTCCGCCACTGAAAACAAGAAAGAAATGTTTAGTGGGGGTGGTTCTTGTGGTGACCTGTTGTTTTCTCAAGTTAGACATGCAATGGTCATATACTGGGGTATTTTGAAAACGTACGAAGGTGGAAGTAGTACTCCATGCCGTAACCCATGATGAGAAGGGTACCAATCACGTGGACAAAGGCTGTTCAAGACACAAGCAATTAGTTAAAATGTCAAATGCTTCATTGGATTAGGGGGGAAGTTCTTACGAGCAGCAGAAGCGTTCTTGCCGAAGTAGCGGGCCTGGTAGCGTCCCAAAATGCCGGTGGGCTTGACCTCAGGAGCAGCACCACGGGGGAGACGGGCGTAGAAGTTCACCACACGCTCCATACGAGCGGCATCCTGGGCGGCACCGATCGCCTTTTCGAGTGTCAGTTATCGTATCGCAAAAAAATGGGAGGTAGGTATCGGTTGTGAAGTCTCGGTGTCGCAATTAAAAAACTTCCTGGGGTGAAAAAGGACTCGGGGGCTACCAAGGACTAATGTCACTTGGGAAGAAGTATCTCACATTGGGGGAAGCGATCTATGCAGCAGTTAGCATCTGTCAAAGTACAAATTCTGGCCTTTCTATTTCCATTCCCGTGGTGTCCTTACCTTGGGAGGGATCAAGGTCGAGAGGGCTCGGCGAGTGATGTAGCTCATCTTGGGCGAACTGCGTTGTGTTAAAATTATTGCCTTGAGTTCCACGTGAAAAGGAATGGCAAATATATCACTAAACTATTTCGCTTACCTTGATTCGAGGATCTGAACCAGGGACAATTGATGATGACGGAGAGGATGGAAGTGCTCGCGAGAAAGCGGGTTGTCGGATGAGCGGTTCCTAGGCCAGGGAGCCTCATGTCGCGCTAACCGCATTTAGATTTGTCTCGACGACCACTCTTGCCGCATACCTCACCTTGCGACTGCATTACTGTTGCGGTGCACCTTGTCCACACCACCACCGACATATCAACAATCATGTCGTTTCTCAGAGTAGGAGGCTCCGCTTGCTTCCGTGCGGGCAGGATCATCGCCCCCGTCAATGTGCGATTTATCTCCAATGCCGTCCGTGATCCCTCTGTCAAGACCAGCCCTTCGGATGCACCGACTACTCCCAACAAGGGTAGCACCCTGATCAGCCAGGAAAAGCCCTCCGAGGCAATGGCTCGTCACCAGCCTGATTATGAGGCCACGATTGACCACGGCACTTCGTACGAATCCCACGCGTGTCATCATAACTCTTTTGGCTGACAGAACCTTCAGGCAATTCTCCCCTGTGCCCAAGCGTGCTATGGATGGCAGTGAACCCGGTGAAACTGTTCCTGCTGCTGTCCTTTCTGGTGCTCCCACCGACCTCCAGGCTCGCACTGTCAGGTAAGACTATCAAGTTCGAAAAGATTGAAGTCCTCAAACACTGATCATTGATCCCCCCCCTCTCCAGAATCTACCGCCCCTCCAAGCCCGCCTCTCAGTCCGGAACCTGGCACAGCCACCACTGGCGAATGGATTGGGATATTTTGCAAAAGGGACATCGCTGGGAGAACCCACTCATTGGTTACCAATCCTCTGCCGATTTCATGCAGGGAACCAATTTGACCTTCAAGTCGAAGGAGGATGCCATCGCTTTTGCCCAGAAGCAGGGATACGAGTACTTCGTTCAGGAACCAAATGAGCGCAAGATCGTCCCCAAGGCTTACGCAAACAACTTTTCCCACGAACCGAAGAAGCTCAAGCACATCAAGACCAAATAATCAAAAAACAATTCCATCTGTATTATGTACATAACCGCCGGTTTATGCTTTCTTTTCGGTTTTGTTTTTTAACTGATTCAATCAAGTTCAGTGTTTTTTCAGAGACTGCCACACTAGGTCGTATCAGGAAACATCGTGGAAAGAGATTTATAGCTTCTATTCAATCCTCCCTAGTGATGTCTGTGAAGCATGAATGATTACGGTATCTTGTGTTCCTCTATCAGCTTCTATTGAGGGGGGGTCTATGTGGCTTATTATGGGTCAGCACAGCAAGCCTAAAACTGGAGTGTAAGTATAAAGTTCAGGTATCATGGACGCACTATCTTCGCGTCCTCTAGGGCCTAAGTATTCAGATGCCCTTCTGCTTTCTGACTCATTTCAGTCATTGTTTAGTAATAGTCCATCTTGAATTATATCTCGAATGATTTCCGGTGACAAAATATCTAGATGTATGTCATCCTGCTTTTCATAAATATACCCTATAGCAAGTGACAACCTTACAGCCCCATTGCCGGATATTTCCAGTAGCTGTGCAGATATAGATTACCTAGGTAGGCACCACATAAATAGTCAACTCAGTTTCGCTGAAGTGCCTTTTCCTTATCGCCTGCTGCGGCAAGCAGTTTCTTCGAGACACCTCACATTGGTAGTGTTTCTACATAGATCGATAGCCCTGAGATGTCTAGATAGAACATTCCCTTATGCAGCAATTGCTCCTTCAACGAGGCCACCAGTTCCACACACACCCTAGCTTTTTTTCAAATGGTAGTTTTGCTTTGAAACCAAATGCCTCACCTTGGCTGTTTTCATCATCGCTTCAGAAAAAAGGTCGGCATTGGATCAATAATAATATCCATCAAGCTATTACGATTTGGTGTTACTGCCTCTATTATATTTCCAGTGAGGGGTTTAAATAAAGGAGATAAATTTAAGCAGCTATTTTGCTTGCACAGGAAAAGATATAGATATTTAGCAAAAACGAACCAAGTGTCAAATTATATATATCGCGTATAGTACCGTAACTCCATGTAAATCATTCATGTACACACATACTTACATCTCGAAAGCATGAATGACAACAATGAATATACCTAATACTGGATAGCAGTGATCCAAACTCCCCAGTGCAACATAAAAAAGTCAAACGAAGGGAGTAGCCTGCGCTACACCTATTTTCAAGCAAATTGGGCCTAGCCGCTGCGTGCAACTGCCCCGCCACCCCACCTAAAATTTATTATCTCGTCGTGATAAGATCAAAAAAACACACCACCCAGGAACCATACTTCCCCTGTCCCTTTTTCTTCTTTTCTTTTTTTTTTTCTCTCTCTCTTCGACCTCTACAAAATCAATACCGATCAACGAGAAATAATGTCAACCTCTGCGACTAACAATATGGCGGGCGGTGACCAGACCGTCATCACTCTTCGCAAAGTTCTCACCTCTGAAACGGAGCCTCTCGCTCGCCGATTCCGTGCGCTTTTCTCCCTGAAGCATCTCGCCTGCTTGCAGCCCCCCACCGAGCAGACACTGCCCTCCATCGAGGCGATTGCAGCTGGCTTTGCCTCCGACTCGGAGTTGCTGAAGCATGAGCTTGCATACTGCCTTGGTCAGACTCGGAACACCGACTCTGTGCCATTCCTGCAGAAGGTCGTCAAGGACCCCGAGGAGGATGCCATGTGCCGCCATGAGGCCGCAGAGGCTCTTGGTGCCTTGGGATTTGAAGACAGTCTGGAACTCCTCAAGAAGATGAGGGACGACGAGAATGAACTTGACATCATCAGAGAAACATGCGATATTGCTGTGGACAGAATTATCTGGGAGAACTCAGAAGAGAAGAAAGCAGAGGAATTGAAGCCTAGGTAGGTACCCCTTACGGAGTGGGATGCTCATTGCCTTTGCGTGTAAAGTCGACAATTTCTAACTATGGTAGTGATTTTGGCTCCATTGATCCCGCCCCGCCGCTTCCCATGGCCGCAAGCCAACCTTCTATCTCTGACATGGAGAACACACTGCTCGACACAAAGCTTCCCTTGTTCCAGAGATACCGTGCCATGTTCGCTCTGCGTGACCTTGCATCGCCCCCCGATCTTCCTACCGCCGTGAGCGCTGTCAATGCATTGGCCAAGGGTCTCAAAGACCCTTCGGCCCTGTTCCGCCACGAGATTGCGTTTGTCTTTGGCCAGCTTTGCCACCCAGCTTCGATTCCCAGCCTCACAGACTGCCTGAGTGACCAGAGTGAGGCTTGTATGGTGCGACACGAAGCCGCCGAAGCCCTTGGAAGCTTGGGCGACGAGGAGGGCGTCGACGCAACTCTGAGAAAGTTCTTGAATGACCCGGAGAAAGTCGTGAGAGATAGCGTGATTGTGGCTCTGGATATGGCGGAGTTTGAGAAGAACGGGGAGATGCAGTATGCGCTGGTGCCGGACGCAACAGCTCCCGCTGCCGTGTCTGCTGCTTAATGGGTCATGGAAACAAAAATTATTGTGTCATTGGGTTGTCACTTTTTCGCTTAATAGATGTACAGTTGTGAATTCACAAAATAGAACATGCTTCCCTTATTTGTCGCTGTATCCCCCCCTCCCCCAATGGGTCATTTGCAACAGTGTAGATAGATGATCAGCAACTTTTACCGGAAAACACAGGGATATAGCTCCGTGATTCTGGCGCCCGCATGGGACAATTGCACAGTTGCATTCTTTGCTTCCAAACATTGGACATGTACTGTATACTGAGCAGGGGCTTCGATATCCTTAGCTGTCCAAGACCCGCAGATCTTGAGCATTGACAGAAAGTGGGAGTATAGGTCTGAGGGTGACGAAAATCTGAAACTAGAGTCAATGGAAAGTGATTGATGATACTCTCACAAGTGAGGTGATGCCAGTTCATTTTTCTTTCGAGCTCCGCAGCCTTCACAGCGGAAGCAATCCGTGTCAAAGGTCAAAAAGGCAATTGTAGACATTTTAAGTGTATTGATTCAGAGCGAAGGTGCTGAGCACCGAGAATGGAACCCGATAGTAAGCATCGCTCTCAAGCAAGAATTTCAACTGCCCATGATGCATCTGAGGGAGAGATGGATAGTGTCAAGTAGACAGTCGGCAGACAAATCACAAGTCTTTTCCTGCTTGTCGGAAAGATTTGCACGGGCCACATTAGTTCGTGTCGGGCGGTAAAGAGCGGCAGCGGCAAGAGCAGCGTGCCTGGCATTAATTATTGCGTCGTTTTATCATGATCTTCTTAGAGAGATTATTACCTGTCGGGACCATGGGATTAGGCTTTTCTTTCTAATAGCTATGTCTCTGATCGGAGCATGCCTTTCCAGTCTTTTTTGATCCCCCGTCTCCCCGACCCCAGAGCTCCATTAGGGACCGACTGTTGTCATGGACCAAAACTGGCGTCCGGCCGTACAGGTCGTCATCAACGGCCATCCTCAGGCGCAGGCCCATGCTCCAAATGGACCACCCCAGCGCCGGGCAAGACCTCTGTCTGTGGATGAGGCATTGCAATACTCTCCCATGTCTAGCTCTCCTGTATTTGGTCTAGGTATGCTTGACGACGACTGATAACCGCTTGTATGGGGGATTTCTTTGACTGATACATCTCGTTTCTTAGATTGCATATTACGCCCTGACATTGGCCGACCTTCGAATACTACTTCCATAAACCACATCCTACAGGCTGGTCGTACTGCGATACATGATCTAAACAGTGAAATTCAATCAGGGCGTGATGAGTCTAACCGCCTAGAGACATCTCGCGAATATTTGCAACAATTGCTGGATGGTGAACAGTTGACAGAATTGTAGGTAAAACCCTTGTCTGGCTATGGTGATGTTTCCTCACAGAGTCGCAGCAAGTTTAAGTTGCCCAACGGTATCAGTAACGTCGAACATTCGCATCCAACCGCCTCTGATGGCCTAGTTACGAGTCGCAATGATCTTGGCCCATTTGCAACAATGATGTTGGACTCCACGGATATAGCTTTCCGATGTAAGTCATTATCCCCACGTATGCCCTTCGATACTGTCTCCCATCTTTATTGTCTTATTAGAACGCCATGATAACGAATTGGATGGTGATAGACCCGCCGCCTTCAAGCTTGAAGATGGACAATGGAGGCAATGGAGGACCCCCGCAGAAAATCGCATCTTGGAACGAACGAGCACACCACGCAAACAAGCCAATAACCGCATCTTATAACCGACAGCCTCACACTACAAGCCACCTATCTGTGGTAATTCCAGTCAAGCCGATACCGCCCGATGACCAGAGCTCCTTGAAGAGAAGAAAGCTTAATAATGATGGGGAGGATAATATTACATCAATTCGACTTAAAGACCAGAAGGAAGAGGCAGATGCTGCTTTGGTGAAACTCCAAGATCTGCTCCATGAAGTCTTTGAAGCTGAGGATCAACTTGAGCCTGGTACCTCTGCTGAACGCTCAAATGCGATTTTTTCAGTTGCAAATGCGCTGGAAGTAAACGGTTTCATGATTTCTTCAGATACCCACAGTAATCTCCAGAAGGCAATAAAGAAAGTGGTAGGCTTCAAGCGACTGCAGGACATTCCCTCGGACTACCTAAACCGGCTTCAAAAGCTTTGTGAGAAGCCAATTGTTGCTGCCCAGGCGCCTGACCTGAAACTGGACGACCCATCGAACGAGTCTGAAACACAAGATTGGCTAAGAAAATGTGAGGACATGGTGAACGCACTACTTGCAATCGGCACGCTATTGCAAACAATGTCTGGCCGTCAGACGGAGCGGGATCTCTGCCCGGAAGATCTGATCGAGGCCATTCCTAACGTTCTCAACCAAACATTTGACTATTGCATTATCCCCGCCGTTGAGGCACGCCCCGGCGGCAAAGAAGGAAAACATTTCGAATTTTTTACTAGCCAGAAGCGTGTTATCAGCGGCCTAATCAACCAAAGCAAAAAAGCCCTTGCACTTTTTGCTGATTTTCTGTCGCGCATCGATGTCTCTGAAGGAGCAATTACCGCGACTGAATTTTTCGCAACCAAATTAATCTTCGTTGAGAATGCTCACACAGACAAAGAATCTGCAGTGGGATATCAAAAATATGAATCTGTTCGGCGGGGAGCCATGGATGTGCTTGCTAAGATATTCTCCAAATATCCCGCTCAGCGGCCCTTCATCCTCGATGAGATTTTGGTTTCGTTAGAGAAACTCCCATCTACTCGGCAGAGCGCTAGACAATTCAAACTAGCCGATGGAAAGAATATCCAGCTTCTAACAGCATTGGTGATGCAACTTGTGCAAACAACTGCTTTGGATACCCCTGCTTCCCGATCAGCTAGAGCAAAGCGTGGCCTACAGCCAGCTGGCGATGATGAAGAGCTTCAGGGGGATGTGAAAGCTGAAAACCAAAGTGAAACTGACGAAGAAGAGCCAGAGGTGTCTCTGGAGCGTCTTGCAGCTAAGGTTAATCGTTTGTACGATAATGCCGTGCGCAGTGCTCAGTATATCGTCAAATTCATTGTTCAGCGTGCAATGACATCTACCAAAACCGGCGACCAACCCTACCGGAATATTCTTGACTTATTTACCGAAGATTTGATCAGTGTGCTAGGGTTTACTGACTGGCCTGCAGCGGAGCTGCTTCTTCGTATAATGGCTTCTCATATGGTTGGGATAGCTGACCTCGATAAGAGCCCCGCCACTGCAAAGAGCATGGCGCTTGAACTTTTAGGTTGGATGGGGTCTGCTATATCTGATCTCGCTGTTACTGCACAGCATTTGCTTCCCGCGATGGAAGAATCTGATAGTGACCTTACTGATTATCTGAGGCAGCTATTTGACGATTATTCGTCTCGTGCACTGCATCCTCAAGACCTCATTGTCCCGGAAGGCCCATACCGAATGACTCTCGAATACTTTCTGCAAGACCGCAACTCAGATAACTGGCAACTTACTAGTGCTCGGGGTTATTACCTCGCACAGTGGGCAAAAACTGTCTGCTCTATCTACTATAATTCGGAGGACAAAGATGAGATTGCTCAAGATGATATGACCGAAAACCTGGTTGATCTTTTGTCGAAATTGTTTTCTGACCCATTGTGGTTGGAGACTCACAAGTATGTGTTTGAAACAGTTCTTTTTTGCGTCGAGGATATAATGCTAACATGATTGCAGACATTTTGATGAAGTGTCTACTGCTCATGGACGTTTCGCCTATATTTTGACTGTCCTGAATTCAAGCTTTTGTAAAGCCTTCGACACCATTCTTAAGGTTCTTCTCAATTCAATCGCCAGTGATCAAGCCAAGGTCCGCAGTCGCAGCTTGAAGAGTGTGATTTATATGCTTGAGAAAGACCCAAGTCTCCTTGACAGAGACGCTTCAGTCATGCGTGTAATTCTTCGGTGTGCTGCTGACGCATCGCCCATGGTTCGGGATTCTGCCCTCTCTTTGATTGCCAAGTGTATTGTTTTGAAACCTAAGCTCGAAGAAGATGGATGCCGGAGTATTCTTACTTGTGCGGCGGACCCGACAGCTGGTGTGAGAAAGCGCTGCATTGGGTTGCTCAAAGATATCTATCTTAAGACATTGCGCAATGAATTAAAGCTGGCAATATTAGATAGCTTTCTTCAACGGACTGGAGATCTTGAAGATACTGTGGCAACATTGGCGCGCCAAACTTTTGAGGAGATATGGCTTGCTCCGTTCCATGAGTCCATCGATTCAGCCCAGGATGGGCCAAGATTGAAGGTTGGCATTGGAGAACAGGTGACTTTAATCGTCAATTTAGTACAACGCAGCGAAACAGCCCTCGAAACCCTCGGCTCTTGTGTCAAGAAAATTTTGTCAGACAACTCCAAGTCTTTGACTTTGAATTTCAAGGTATGCAAAGCGATGGTCGCGACAATGTTCGAGAAACTGGTGGAGGACACCGAGTCTTCAGGAAAGGAGTACCAGCAAGCCCTCCTTCAGACAATTACAGTATTCGCCAAAGCAAACCCGAAACTGTTCAGTCCCGACCAACTGGAAGCCCTTCATCCTTATATTGGACATCTTGCCACTGCGGAGGATCTCTTTATTTTCCGGTCTGTGGTAGTGATATATCGTTGTGTTTTGCCGTTCTTGTCTACTGCTCACAATACTCTTCTGAAAGAAGTTCAAAATGATCTTTTCAAGAGTGTTGCGAAGCTAGCCCGTTCAGAATTGAACGAGGTGATGGCTTGTCTTTGGACCATAAACGGAGTCTTGCAAAATACTGACAGACTGGTAAAGCTTACAATCTCGGTGGTAAAACCCATTCAGAGTTGCAAAAATGTCAATCTCGCAGATCCTGCCAATGCCTCTGTACTCGCTCGGGCCAAAAGTTACATTCGAATCGCAGGCTGCGTTGGACGGCATTGCGACCTGGAAAAGTATGCACTGCACTTTAAAACTGCATTCCCATCTTGGACTGGCGGGTCTGTGGCAGGTTTAATGGTTGACGCTATCATACCTTTTACCCTTCCAAAACAACCTGTGGAGTTGAGGATCATGGCGCTTGAAAGTGTAGGATCTATCTGTCAGTCATGGCCTGCTCAATTTAGCAGGGAGGAACCAAGGAAGATACTGTCCATGGTCTTCGAGGAAGACAACGCAAGTCTGCAAAATATTGTTTTGAGGTCCTTTGCAGACTTTTTCGCGATGCACGAAGGCAAGGCCGAAAAGTCCGTGATGCCGTCCGCTGAGGTAGCGGAGCAAGAGGGCTCTACCAGGTTAGGTGGATCATTGAAAGCAAATGACAACGATGGAGCGGCCGCGTTGATTGCGCAGCATTTTCTCCAAAGCATGCTCCGAGTTGCACAGTCACGACAAGATTCGTATGCCCTAACCGCCATTGAACTCATTGCCAGTATCAACCGCCAAGGTTTGGTGCACCCTAAAGAATGTGCGGGCGTTTTGGTCTCACTGGAGACTTCCACTGTCCCTGCCATCGCCAAAGTTGCGTTCGACACCCATAAAATGCTCCACCAGCAATACGAATCAATGTTTGAGAGAGAATATATGCGAGCTGTTCAAGAAGCCTTTTACTACCAGCGGGACGTTGTTGGTGATCCCACAGGCGCGCTCAGCCGGCCCTACATCGCCAAACTTGCCCCGTTGTTTGAAACTATCAAAACCAGCAACAGTCGATACCAAAAGAAATTCCTTTCAAACCTTTGCTCAAAGATAAACTTCGAACTGAAAAACCTCGACAGCAAAGGGAACCCACCAGAGCACCTTCTGCTGGCTCAGTTCGTAGCTCAAAACCTGGCCTTTTTCGAATATGGTCAATTGGCTGAACTTGTACCGACCATCGGATGCATGGAGCGTATTGTTGCTGCGACTGGAACAGTCGTGGCTCATACGATCGAAACGGAGATCTTCCCTCCTAGAATAGATTTTCCCCCGGCGCCGGGGGGTTTCCAGCCTGCTGTTCCCGGGCCAGACGGTTCAGTTGGGCTACCGCTCCAACTACAAGTGAATCCGGAAACTTTACGGCTGCTAGCCACTGCAGCTGCGGCACTCTCGATGCTCTGGGAGGCCCGAACCTACCTTCGCCGTCTCTATGGCGTGAGTGCCCACGTCCGGAACAAAGAAGGGAAAGCTGTTTCCAAAGAACTCAACAAATCAGCTACAAAGGTTCATGGAATCACTGGCGACAAAGTTTGGGACGCCATTTCCAGGAATATGGCATCATTAGACAACGAAGAAAACATGTTCGCGAAATGTCGAGAATTTGCCACCCTGCTCGCGATTGACGACGAATTCAAGGTCGGCGAGGATCAAGATGCAGAAGGTGACAGCTTGGATGGCAATGCTGATCTGGACGATCCAGCAGCTACCTTGGGCGCAGCGGGTGGGCCGAGACCCGTGAAACGAAAGAATTCCGTCTCAGGAACGAACCCCGTTAAGCGTCCTAGGGGACGAAAAAGTGGTTCTGGGAAGAAGAGAGCCAGCATGGAGCCGGAGGAGAGCCTGGATTGGAATTGAATGGGGTGTATTTTGGCTCTTTACTGATCATCACATAGACGTCGCATATGGGACGGGTCTGGCGTTAGGGGATATCCAATTTGCTTTCATATTTAATGAGAAACGTCTGGGGAAAGACTAGGGCTGAGGGTTTGCTTTTTGATAATTTTCCTGTTATTATCTACCGGGGGTATTTTCGCTGGTGGTGTGCATCAGTTACCGGTGACATTACTACTTGATCTTGCTGGGCAGCAGACTGCCTGTCTTTTTTTATGACTAGATATTGTCATTTATCATTCAAATAAGTATATAATTCATTTAATCGCCTTTTCTTTCCTGCATAAATTGTTCCATCTTATCGCTAGTTAATTTACATCGCACAACCAGCTCAGCCCAGCTCGCTGTAGTACGTACTCTACAGCTGTCTGGCGGTGTCGATCCCCTCACGTGACCTACACACCGGTACCGGATGACATGACGTCGTATCAGTTGTGTCCGTTCCAAATTTATCTTAAAACCTGCCTTTGTTTCTGCCGAAGTTCTGGGACTATTGCTGGCCAACCTTTATATTTATTTTTTTTTTTTTTCTTTTCTATAGTCAACTCAATTATACGCTCCTTTGTGTCGATCGTTCGGCTATGAACCCTGGCGGTTCTAATTGCCGGCACTGATATCTATTCTTCCAGATCACCTGGGCAGCCATGAGCGCGGTATTGCTCCGGAGTCGCCCGGATGGCTCTGCGCTGAGGTCAATTGGGTTGCTATCACATCGCATTCATGCTTCTAGGACCGCTATAACTACCGGCCGTGCTGCCTCTCGGGCTTTGCATGCTCCTCGCCGGAGACCCTTCCCCCGTTGTTTCGCGTCGACTCGGCCTGCCGACGTTCCGCTACTATCGGTCCGTCACAAATCAGCGGTAGCTGAGGCTCCTAACGGTCCACGACAATCATCAGCCATCAGTAACATAATCTTCAAGGCATTCGCATACTGTGGATTTTTCATTGTGTCTAGTGGTGCTGCAGTGGTGGCGTTCTTCATCTATGATGCGACTACATACCGCGACGACTCCAGTGCGGAAGACATCCCTGTGTCGGAGTTGGCACTGAACCCCCGTCATGGAGGGCCCAAGAACCTGCCCATCGCCGAGGTCTTGGTTAGTGACAGCGACTCAGAAGAATTACAAAAGCAGAATGATAAACCAAGGCTGGTGATTTTGGGCACAGGCTGGGGAAGTGTTGCTCTTCTTAAGCACCTTAATCCTGACGACTACCATGTCACCGTTGTGTCCCCAACCAACTACTTTCTCTTCACACCTATGTTGCCTTCGGCAACTGTTGGAACTCTTGGTCTGAGGTCGCTCGTCGAACCTGTTCGTCGGATCATTCAGCAAGTCAATGGTCACTTCCTGAAGGCCCGGGCGGAAGACGTTGATTTCTCCGAGAAGTTGGTTGAGATCTCCCAAGAGGATGCAAATGGACATAAGAAGAGCTTCTATCTCCCGTATGACAAGCTTGTCATTGGTGTTGGTATGGTTACTTGCCTGTTTTGTTGATTGTTCGACTGAGATCGTTGCTAACATCAGAACTATCTAGGTTGTATCACGAACCCACACGGTGTCAAGGGCCTGGAGCACTGCAACTTCCTGAAAACTATTGACGATGCTCGACAAATCAAGAATAAGGTGCTGGAGAACATGGAATTGGCCTGTCTTCCGACTACTAGCGACGAAGAACGAAGGCGCTTGCTGTCCTTTGTTGTTTGCGGAGGAGGCCCAACTGGTGTCGAGTTTGCCGCTGAATTGTTCGACTTGCTCAACGAGGACTTGCTTCACTCATTCCCCAAGATTTTGAGGAACGAGATCTCTATTCACATCATTCAAAGTCGGAGCCACATCCTGAACACATATGATGAAGCTCTTTCTAAATATGCCGAGGTATGCATTGCTCGAACTATATAATGTGAAACAAGTACAAAACTAACGCATGTAGGCCCGCTTCTCCCGTGACCTCGTTGATGTGTTGACCAACTCCCGCGTGAAGGAGGTCCAAGAAGACAAGGTATTGTTCTCACAGATAGAAGATGGCAAGACAGTCGTGAAGGAGATCCCTATGGGCTTCTGCTTGTGGTCAACCGGTGTTTGTGAGTGGAACCTTCTATTATGTATCTGTATCACTGTGACTGACGATTTCTATAGCTCGAGCCGAGATTTCAAAGAAGCTCTCGGACAAACTTGAGGGACAGAACAACAAGCATGCCTTGGAAACTGACGCGCACCTTCGTCTTATTGGAGCACCCTTGGGCGATGTATATGCCATTGGCGACTGTTCTACCGTCCAGAACAACGTGGCTGACAACATTGTCTCTTTCGTGCGCACAATTGCCTGGGAGAAGAACAAGGACCCTCGCAAGGTGCATCTTAACTTCAGGGAGTGGAGTGAAGTTGCCAACCGGGTTAAGAAGCGTTTCCCTCAAGCCTCAAACCATCTTCGCCGATTGGACAAGCTCTTTGAGCAGTATGACAAGGACCAATCTGGTACCCTTGAATTTGGCGAATTGGCCGAGCTTCTTCACCAGATCGATACCAAACTTACGTCTTTGCCTGCCACGGCACAGCGTGCCAACCAGCAGGGTGAATACCTAGGGAAAAAGCTATCGAAGATCGCCGCCGCTTTGCCCGGTCTGAGAGCCAATGAGATCGACCACGGTGATCTTGATGAAGCTGTTTACAAGGCTTTCAAGTACAAGCATCTCGGTAGTCTAGCCTATATCAGTAACGCTGCTGTCTTCGACTTTGGCGGATTGAACTTCAGTGGAGGTGTTTTGGCAATGTATCTCTGGCGAAGCGTTTACTTCGCGCAGAGTGTCAGCCTCCGGACCCGCTGCATGCTTGCCATGGATTGGGCCAAGAGAGCACTCTTTGGAAGAGGTATTTTCCTATCTTCAACCTCCTCGATTTTCATTCAATGCAACATGGAACTAATTATGTGTTTTCTTCGCAGATCTCATGTGCTTTTAACCGCACCAACAAAACATCTGGACTATTCCCAGATATGACCAACCAAAGCTTTCCTTTCAAACCTCTTCTAATGTCTTGCTTTCACGCAAGAAATAGGCAAATTTTGGAAAATTCCCCCCTTTTCTGTTTCTTATATCCTCGGGATATCCTTATATACATCCAGCGTCATCTTGTTTGAAAGACTAACGTATATAATCATATATTATAGAACATCTTGGTGGATGGATGTTTTTTTGTCTACACCATGTGTCCCAAATTTCAGAAGAGTTTTGTAGTGTATCGAAACTGTACCACTTGCTGCACTTTGTGCCTAGTCAGACGCGACTCACAAAATACAAAGGTCTCCATATTTAGCGCGAATAATTACTGTGGGTAGACACGTAGATTTAAGAGTTGCGAAGAAAAAACATTGAAATTGAGAAGACTGATGTATTCGATTATTAAATAGGTCCTAGAAGCGCGATACAAAGGCTTCGCCAATTGCGGAAGTCGTTCCCGCGCCAAAACGCCTCGCTATACATAAAGATAAAAAGAAAAGGTTATGCATAATACGGAGTGACACCATGATTATATGGTTGAATCAGATATGTCACGAGATCATTGGATCAATGTCTCCGTTGTTGGTCATTACAGTGTCGCTTGAGGCGCCGTTTTGGCTTGTGTTGTTACCAACGAGGCCGATATCCAGTTTTTCAGGTATATCTTTTTTGGATTCACGGGCCTTTTGCTCCGCCCAAGCGCGAAGCTTGACCAGGTTCCGCAATCGGGCCTCTTTACGGGCACCTTGGCTTTGCAAGATAGCCTCGTTGACCTTGATTGCGATCTCCTTACGAAGGTCTGGGTGTAACAGAGGGGCAAGGGATGGGGCCAGGTTCTCAGTAGGAAAGATTAGAAGAGCAAGAGTTCTTTCCAAGTCTTCGAGAAACTGAGGGTTGGTGGGAGCCCTGGGGGCGAGTTGCGATGTTGCAAACTCGAGTGCGGGGCTTATGTCTCCCTCCGGTGTTGATGTGCATGAGCGAATTAACTCCACAAGTTGCAGGCGCAACAATGCAAAATGCAAAGATGGGTTTTCATCCAGAACCTATCAATGTCAAGTCAGTATGACACATTGCAAAAGAGAAGTGAAAACAGATGGCATGAAATGTATGTTTGCTGTTCATACTGAGGACTGAAGATGTTTGTTTTTCATCAAGACCCATAAGGCTCGTTATGAGTGGTGCATGAAACTGGTATAATCCTAGCAAGGAGGGAGGGGGGGGGGGAATTAAATGAGAGGTAGTCCATACCTCAGGGTTAAGCTCATTGATCTTCTCGATCGCAGTCTGGATATCACCAGAATGGATCGCAGTACGGATCTCTACCCGCTCCTGGATCAACTCAATATCCACCTTTGGTTGAATATTGGCCTCGACTGCAAACTTTTTTGCAGCAGCTGGGTAGCCGTTGGTGACCAGGTAGTCCATTACCAAGCAGTTGATGTCACTTTAGAAATATTGTCAGCCACAGTCCGGAATACTCCAACAAATTGAAACAATGTGACAAGTAGAACAATGATCAGAAGGACAAGTTAATTATGTTCTCCTCAATTATTTTCAGAGAGATTCCCAACTTGATTTGAAAAGCATCATGAAGTGGGGGGCGGGCAGGGATCGGAGGGGAGAGGATGGGAACGGCGACTCACGTTTTGGAAGGCCTGACCTCATCGACCTTTCGCTCGAAATGAGGCCATGTTGGCGTGGCGGAGTGAGTAGGAGACATCTGCATCCCGTTAAAACCCAACCACCACGCGTGCGCAACCCATCAGGAAGCATACAAAATTAGCAGAAGCCATGGTTCTAGCAGTGATAGCTGTTGAGCTTATGAAGCACCTTGATATCCAGAAGCCCGTCCGTGAAGATGGAAAGCCTCGCAGACGAGAGCCATGGAGTGGCTATGCTGAAGAATGAGGAAGAAGGAAGAATTGAAAATTGCAGTGAAGAAATAGGCGGGCGATTTTCTTAGCCCCGTTTAAGCCGCAAGCGAAAGTCACGCGGACAGGCTAAGCCCAACTGGTCCAAGCGCCGATCACTAGGAAGCTTTGGGTATCTTCCACTGTTATTCTTATCAGCTGGAAATTGTTCCCCTCCCAAGCGCCGGCGGTGCCTCGCCTTGTTGCCAGAAAGAAAAAAACATCGTTCTTCTTTTGAGTGCCATGGTCGAAGGATTGGGAGTATTTTTACCGGCTAGTTTTTTATTTTCCTCCGTGAAAGAGTAGGAAATCATGGAGTCAATTTCACCCGTTTACTCGTCGACGACGGAGAAGCGGTACTCTCCGCCATGGGCGGACTTGAGCATTATCGGTATCGCAGGCAGCTCAGGCTCTGGCAAGACCTCCGTGGCAATGGAGATTGTGAAGTCCCTGAATCTGCCTTGGGTTGTTATTCTTGTAATGGTAATTATTGATCCATGAAAGGGCGGGGAAAATAAGAATACCAATAACAGAAGCAATAACTTGTCTAACACTTGGGGTGTTACAGGATTCATTCTACAAAAGCTTGTCTCCAGAACAACATGAAAAAGCCCACGCCAACGAGTATGACTTTGATTGCCCGGATGCCATAGATTTTGACGCATTGGTGCACACGTTAAGGGATTTGAAACAAGGGTATATCATATTGTTCTTTTGTAGTTGTCAAGTCTTGACAACATATAACCATATGAAGGAGGCTAACGGTCAACGGTTTGAAAAGGAAAAAAGCAAACATTCCTGTGTATTCGTTTGCTGAACACCAACGCCAGCCTCAAACGACCACTCTATACTCACCGCATGTGTTGATACTGGAAGGAATTCTGGCCCTCCATGACCCAAGGATCCTGGAACTCTTGGATGTCAAGGTAGATATCCTGGAACTAGCGATCAACTCTAGACATTCGTGGTGCTTACCATGACTCTTTAGATATTTGTCGAAGCAGATATGGATGTCTGCCTGGGACGCAGAAGTGGGTGCTATCTTTCCCTTGGAATGGCGTATCAAACATTTCGCTAACGAAGAGGAAGCCAGTCCTGCGTGATGTCCGGGAAAGACAGAGAGATATTGATGGGATCATCAAGCAATGGTTTACCTATGTTAAGCCATCATTTAAAAGATATGTTGAACCTCAACGGGGAAATTCTGGTATGCGAATGCTTTAGTGCCCTTTTCAAAACTGTTCTGACAATACGATAGATATCATTATTCCCCGTGGAATTGAGAATAAAACTGCCATCGGTAAGTTTACTTTCTCTTCCTGTGTGGCTTACTTTTCACATAGCTAATCCTTCCAGACATGGTGGTCAAGCATATCCAGCGTAATCTCCAAGAAAAGTCTGAGAAACACAGAGCCGATTTGCATACATTGGGCCTCATTGCCTCGGAGGGACAACTATCTCCAAATGTGCACATAATGCCCGAAACGCCGCAGCTCGTGGGTATGAATACGATTCTTCAAGACCCTTCTACCGAGCAGGTTGACTTTGTGTTTTATTTTGACCGACTTGCTTCGATGCTGATCGAAAAGTAAGTAAAATAGTCTTGCGGCCATACGTGACAGGACGCTTGATCGCTGACTGGGCTTGTACTAGGGCACTGGACAATACTTTGTATATTCCGGTGGAGGTGAAGACACCACAAGAAAATAGCTATAATGGCTTGAACCCAGCAGGAACCATGTCTGCTATTGCAATTCTGCGCGGTGGCTCGTGTCTTGAGACAGCTCTCAAACGAACCATTCCCGATTGTATCACTGGTCGCGTGCTCATCCAGACCAATGAGCGGAGCCAGGAGCCAGAGCTGCACTACTTGAAGCTGCCTCCAGGGATTGAAGAGCATGCTACTGTAATGCTACTTGACCCTCAAATGTCGAGTGGGGGAGCTGGCTTGATGGCTGTGCGTGTCCTCATAGACCATGGAGTGGAAGAACATAACATCGTATTCGTGACGTGTGCTGCAGGCAAGAGAGGATTGAAGCGATTGAGCGCAGTATACCCCAAGGTCAAGGTCATTGTGGGAAGAATTGAAGAGGAGAAAGAACCTCGATGGATGGAGAGAAGATATTTTGGTTGTTAAATATCTGGACAGGCATATTGGATAGTTTTTTGAAGACTCAACAGAAGACATCTTGGTTACTAGTGCATACAAGGGGTGGCATACAAAGAAACAATATACATATAAGCGTTGCTGCAACTATAAATATTACGAAATTAGAGACTTTCTTCAAGAGAATCAATTGCTTTTTGCATTTGCTGCTGATGCTTTTCTTGATCAAAATGGTTGCGATAGAGGGCCTTCTCGATGCACGGGCCACATCAAAAATTCGGCCGAAGATTCTTTGGCTCCGCCCGCAAAGAAAAATTATTGTCGCGCAAGTCAACCAAGGCATTTGAACAACTTTTCTTTTCAATAATTTGATCAAACATCAAATTATTTTTACCAGATAGCCTTTGTCTCTTTCTTATTCCGCAAGCGGATCTGCCGCAATGCCGAGCCACGAGAAGAAGAAGTCCAAGAAGAGCGGCGGCGCCAAAGGTCAAGCCGACTCTGTCATCAGTAAGGATATGCTCATTATTCATTTATATTAACTTTCTGTTTCCTAGAACAAATAACTAATATCAATCTTCTTTTAGCGGACCCTCGATTTGCGAATATCCAAACCGATCCTCGTTATCGCCTCCCCAGCAAACGTCAGACTCATGTGAAACTCGATCAGCGTTTCGCGCACATGCTGCACGATAAGGATTTCTCCAAAAATGCTGCAGTCGATAGATATGGACGTAAATTGGCCCGGGATGACACAAAGAAGCAGTTGGAAAAATTCTACCGATTGGACGAGGACGAGGACGAGAACGAGGACGAAGGTGAAGATGAGGACGCACAAGTCAGCGCCGATGACGACGACGAGGTTCAGAAAGAGCTGAAGAAGGTCGAAAGCCGCTCTTATGATCCGGCACGAGATGGAGGGTTCTCGGACTCTTCTTCGGAAGAGGAGAGTTCAAGTGATGAGGAAAGCGAGGAAGAGGCAGAGGATCTCGAAGAACACGAATTCCCCGACAAGCAGCAATCAAATATACCCATGGGAGATGTTACAAAGCGGATAGCAGTTGTCAATTTGGATTGGGATAATATCCGGGCAACGGATTTGATGGCTGTGTTTTCTAGCTTTGTTCCTACTGGGGGTCGTGTGTTGAAGGTCTCTGTCTACCCGAGTGAATTCGGAAAGGAAAGACTGGAGAGAGAAGAAACTGAAGGGCCTCCCAAAGAGATCTTCGCTTCGAAGAAAGACGATAGCGAAGAAGACGATGATGAAGATGAGGTTGACTCGGACGAAGAAGAGGAGAAGATCAAGAAGTCGATGCTGAAGGGTGATGAAGGCGAGGAGTTTAACTCGACACAACTACGACAGTACCAGTTGGAGCGACTACGCTACTACTATGCTATCATGACATTCTCATCTAAAGATGTCGCAAAGCACGTCTATGACCTGGTGGATGGAGCAGAATATCTCTCGAGTGCCAACTTTTTTGATCTCCGCTTTGTGCCCGACGAGACCGATTTCTCTGACGATAGGCCCCGCGATGAATGCGAACGGATTCCGGATGGATACAAACCAAATGACTTTGTGACCGATGCGCTGCAACACAGCAAGGTCAAGCTGACCTGGGATGCAGACGACAAGTCTCGTAAAGAAGCTCAGGCTCGAGCATTTGGTGGTAGTCGAAAGGAAATCGACGAGAATGACCTGAAGGCATACCTGGCTAGCGATAGCTCCGACAATGAGGATGGAGAAGAAGAAGAGGTTGAAGTTTTCGATGCTACAAAGGAAGACGGAGCAACCTCCAAGCTTTCCAAAAAGGAAGATGAAAGACAAAGAATGCGCGCTCTGTTGGGACTAAGTGCAGAGGTACCCAAGCCTTCCAAATCAGACGGACCGGTTGGTGAGATGGAGGTTACATTCACATCGGGTCTCGCCGGCGGTCCTAACAACGACAGCATTTTTGAGAATGAGCCTGAGAAGGATGAGACTACGATCGAAAAATACGTGCGTAAGGAGCGCGAGAGGAAGAAGCGCAGAAAGGAGAAGCTCAAGGCAAGCAAACAAGGCACCACTGCAGAGGATCAGCAAGACCAAGGTGATGCCGACAGCGACGGTCAGACCGCCGCCGCAACAACAGGAAAGGAAGAGGATGATGACCTAGGATTTAATGACCCATTCTTTGACGAACCTGATAGCAAGGCTTCCGCCTCGGCTCGTCGGAAGGAGGAGAAACGCAAGAAGAAGGCTGAACGTGCAGCTGAAGAGGCGGCATCGGCAGCCCAGCGAGCAGAGCTGGAGTTGCTGATGGTCGACGAAGACAAGTCCGGAATCAAGCACTTTGACATGAATGCGATTGAGAAATCCGAAAAACAAGCGCGCAGAAAGAAGAAGGGCAAGAGCAAGAGCAAGGAAACCGAGGGCCCTGCAGATGACTTCGAGATGAACGTCAGTGATCCGCGATTTTCTCGACTGTACGAAAGCCACGAATTTGCTATTGATCCCACCAACCCTAAATTTAAGGCAACGTCGGGCATGAAAGCTGTGTTGGAAGAGGGTCGGAAACGTCGGAGAACCCGTGATGATCGGGGGGATGACGAAGAAGCAGGTGATTCTCGCGACCAGAAAAAGAAGCAGAAAAAGAGCTCTTCCAAGGAAGCGGGGTCTGAGGATTTGAAGAAGCTGGTGGACAAGGTGAAGCGAAAGACGCAAAAGAGCTGAGAGTGTGGATCTTCGTTTGTAGAATAGACAACCAAAAAAGAAATGACAAGTGGATTTCGGATATTACAATGATAATTAAGCATGATCTGCTTTGTTTCGGGACATAATCTGACTGTTTGCCTTATCTTGCTTACCTCTTCTGATCCCTGGCATTAAAAACGAGTGTTATTACTTGTCTCCTCTTTTCCCGTTCACGGGTATATATCCACCAGTTGCGTTGTCCTGGATGTCACCCTTTGCCGTCTCTCTACTCCCACCTCTCCAATCAACCCAGACAGGACCGTCCCAGATGCAGGATGAGATGTTTGTGTAACCCAACACTGCAGGATATCCTCTGGATGTCTGGTTGTGAATGAATATCGCATGCAACCAGTATCACAATGAGATGAGGCTGAGATCATGCATCCACCTCCATCCTTCACCGCCCTTTTGTGATTCTGTTCCCCAACGCCTCCCGCTTCCTCTTCTCCTCATTCCCTCTGGAGTGGTCACTTAATCCTCCACGTTCTAAGTGGGAATACTGTGTTAATCCTTCCTAAATGTTAACTTGGCTCTTTTAGCTTGATTTTACCAGTGGATCACTCCCAATTGCTTGCCAACTTGTGGTGGTCTTTTCTCCCACCTCAGGCTCCCCCCCACAACCACCCCTCGATCGAACCCCTCGATCATGATTGCCCCTCGCTGAGATTGTGTGATGGAGGAAACGGCAGTCTAGTCAATCCTAGCTGTCTGCCTGTTGTGTTCTGCAAGATCAAACCCAAAGCGTTGTTCATTTATTGTCTTTTCTCTCGTGTGGACAAAACCCCTCCTCGCCTCCTCGCCTACCGCCGGCCGCTGTTCACTCCTTGTCTTCCTTTCCCCCCTCCTCACCATGCTGGGTCGTTTATTGAGCACGGCAGCGTCGACCTTGAACCCATCGGCGTATTCCACACGAAATGCAACCCAGCTAGAGTCTGTCACCGAAGAGGAGCACACCTCCGGGCTTCTGTTTCCCGACGCCAGTCTGCTCCGACGCTCCAATACCCACGCCTACCCTCTTCACACAACCTTTAATTCCCCGAACGTTTCCACAACTGGTGCATACGATGATCGTGGTGGGATTGAATTGGACTCAACCAAGGATTTTCGTGTGATTATTGCCCAGAATGCACTGGGAGATCGAGATGCCTGTGTCCTGTTGGATACTCGTGCTTCCCCGTCAGATACCGGGCTAGATTCTCAGGTGTATGAAAATCAAGGGAATAGACATTCTCGTACGGTTTCCAGTATATCTCGGGGATCGCGAAGAGGCTATATGCCGCATTCGTCGGCCGCAGAGCCAAGTCCTTTATCCATGGCAGCGGATGCACGTCGGTCGTCGATTGGTCCAGGTGCCTTTTCGCGTGCTCGAGGCCGCAGTTCAACACTGTCACCTGCTGGGGGGTGGCATGATCCTGGACATTCGCGTCATTCGGCCGATTCAAACGATTCTGGTCTGTTGAATTGTATTTTTGGCAGTAGTGCGTTCAGCTATCGAGGGTCGTCTACAAAAATGCACATCATATCTGCCGATGATGAACCGGGAAGAACTTCGAGTGCGTCCCCTGCAGCACGCAATTCATTTTCCAGAGCGCACACAACCGGCAGCCCTACAAGCTTTATTGGTCCTAGTCGGGGCAATGACTCCAAACCACCAGCTAAGGTTACCGTTCTTCTGACAAGGATGTTCAGTGTTAATCTTCCAGAGGTTGATGATGCATCTACTGATCAGGGCGATTATGCGGCTTCTATCTATCAGGAATCTCTTCCCGAAACAGGATTTCCCTTCCCGGATGTCTCGAAGCAGCGCAGGAAGATCAAAGAGAAGAAAACCCCCATGTATGCGGTAGCAATAACAATCCAAATTCCGCTACTTGCCCGAAACAATACACGTCCTATCTCACGGCTTAGTTCGCAAGGGGTTGACTCTCTAAAGGGCATTTCTTGTTCCCTGGATTCAGACTACCGGTGGCGTGGCGGATTCCTTGATGATAGCCTTTCACTTGCTTCACCTCCGGCTAGTCTAGATGAACGTATTGACTTGTTGGTTGATCACTGGGATGTCATCAACCGTACCTTATCCCACATGGAGAGGCTCGCTCGAAAAGAGATCTTGTTTCTTCTAAAGAAGGTTGACTCATTGTCAGGTGTGAACCCGAAGCCTGCCAAAGCCCCAAATATGCAGCGGACGAACCAAACTATCGTGCATCTTCCAGCAAACATACTAGCTGTGAACTCAAAGCTCAAAGATGAGGCGCTCCGTAGCACTCGTCGAATCAGCGTCGCTCTTCAGACACCGTATGTTGTGACGGGCCAAAGCCGCTGGGGTGTGTGGAGAGAAGAAGGTCGTTCGATCGTTCGCAGTCTAGGTGATAAAGAACACAGTTTCTTTTTCCTGGTTCTTATCACAGCATTCTTGGGTAATCATACTGAGTGGCTCAATGCCTTGGGCCCAGATTGGTATCGAAGACGCCACTATTTGCAGCAGAAGGCCCAGCAGGACTTGGACCCAATCCTTTCAAACCGAACCGTGATTATCTCTCCGGATAAGATGACGGCTAGGCGGCTCATCTTCTTGCTAGCGGCTTTTCTGCCAGCGAAGCAACGGTTTGAACCACTCCCATCTCCTCTTCGCCCGGGCACTTCGACCTCAACACGCGCCATCTCCCAGAGTCCACCGAGCGTACCTGTTCTTCGTCAAGAATCTCTCCGAAGAGCCATCGAGCGGCGATCTCGTGCTCAACGCATGAACCTGGCTGAGGTTGATCAGCACCAGCGATCAGTAAGCGTATCCTCTACTGAGACTGCATATCGATCAGACGATATCGAATCAACTATTCAGGCAGACATGGGTAGAGAGCGAAGAGGGTCTGATGCGCGCTCCATCAGAACATTAGGTGTGCCGATGCATGCCAAAGATGTTCGCAACAAGAACACCAGCTCTGCGACGACATCTACAACAACTCCTAGTAGCACTGTTCCGGTTCCGCATTTTGCTTCACGTCAAAATAGATCTGAACGAGAAGGACATGATCGGACAGTGGATGACGGGAATGACAGCCTCGCATCAGAGAATTTGTTGAGGAACCTACAAAGAAGTGAAAGCTCAGCAGCCAGTACCGGCAGCAGTATCCCTTCCACCGGTGGCCGATGGGGTAGCCTCTTTTCGGGCTTGTGGAGCTCTCGTCAAGAATCCTCTACCGATGGCAGCGAGGTGGCTACTCCGTATGAGGCTCGCAAGCGCTCTGTTTCTGGAAATGTCGGTGCTTCGACCCGGAGCCCAACAACTTTGAGCCAAATGGTCAAAGAAGTCTCAATTCCGCCAGAAGAAATCCCGAATATGGCCACAAGCGGCAACATCTCAATTCCTCACTCCCATGCTCAAAATGGCCTCGAGGAGGTTCCACCCGACCTGTCAATGAATGATCAAGTCAGAGAGTCTCCCCTAAAAATGTCTGTACGAGCAGATGATGGAGTGGTGGATGTTGATCTCCCGTTGCCTGGGTTTCTTTCTCTCTCATCGTCTGGTGATTCCACAGTGGCGTCCCCAAAGAAGACTCGGACATCAGTTACTAGTGTTGATGCTATGGCATCCACCCATAGCAGCAATTCTGGATTCCCTTGTGCCCAACGGGAACCTGAAGGCCCTAACATCAATGTTGCTGGCTGGCTGAAGAGTTTTCATGAAGACTTCTTGCTGCAAGCGGTGCGACCTTATCCGGATCTGGAGGCCCACATTAAACGTGCAATGCAAGCCGAACCTACTCCAAATATTTCTTTTACGCCTGATATGGACGGACCGGAAAGATGGGTGGATGTTGCGACTACGTTAGTTGCAGATGCTAGGACCTTCACAGTCAAACGTTTGCGCCTGAGGCGAAAGGTCCCCGTACACAACGCCTCTTGGGAAAGCCCATTAACACCCCCTAATGCTTCTCGTCCTGTCACACCTCGCAATGGCCCTGGCAACTCTACATCGCAGCTTACGAGTTTTTTCTCTCAAGCTAACAGTTCCAGTAAGTCTGTGAACTCTACCATGGATGGGTTCAACCACAGTAATGTGGAGGAACGTTTTGTTGAAGAACCTGTCATGGATCTCGATGGCACTCTTGTCGATGCTCTCGAGCGTGTTCTTGCTCAGAGTGGACAGTCCTCCTTGATGCACTCACGGGCTCCTTCGCCATCACGGGCACGTAGAGGCGATGACAAAACCACTTCCGAGTCAGTAATCCGAGAGGAGGTGGCTGCTCCAATTGAAGTTCCGCGTGCAGAATGTCGCAAAACGGTCCTTGGAGCCCTTGAGGAAGTAGTCCGAAGCGTAACCGCTGAGCATTGTCGTGAAGATGTGAATGGAGAACTGGGCCTCGCAGACAGGGAGCGGAAGCGTTCCTTGGCTGGAGCCGACAATACGTTGAGGGAAGGAGTCCGCAGATGGCTTCTTGATGTGGAAGAGGCCTGGTAGATTCTTTCTCTCTCCTTCTTTCTTCTTTCTTCTTTCTTCTTTCTTCTTTCTTCTTTCTTCTTTCTTCTTTCTTCTTTCTTCTTTCTTCTTTCTTCTTTCTTCTTTCTTC